ATAATAATGGTATTAGCACTGGTACTTACTCCAAATTTGAGTGCTTTTTGGATGACATGGTAGCAAATGTATTGGCAGAAGTTGAGAACAGAAGATGTAGCATTGTAATGCATCTAGTGGTAGTGAGATGTCGCCACTTCTTATGAGGCGTCAAGTCTATCGTCTGATCCTCATGTGAGCAGATGATGTTGACTCATCATTTTCAGAGTAAGTGGGCCAGTAATATTTTATTTCAATTCTGAAAATGAACAAATTTTTCAGGTGAACTCAGTGGATTTGGCTCTCTCGACATCACATTGTAGAAAAGGGTAGACTTATAGCTTTTACCAGCTGTACATCCTAGCATATTATTCACCCTTGTGTACACTGTGTAGTAACCCCAACGGCCACCAGGTTGACGTGTCTATCGGCATACAGGTCATCAACACTCAAATGATGCTTTTTATCTTGTCCATTGCATGCTGCATCAGTATCCAATGTAAGTTTTCCTTATATATAAATTCTGCTCATTGCTAATATATATTTTTATTAGTGATCAGTCTTCTGCAACAGCATAGAAGGCACATCAGAATGATCAAACACTTTATGAGTATGCCACTCCGATGATATGCTTTATTATGTATATTATTCAAACACTGAATATACATGCAAATAGCTATCAATTTCTATTATTGATCGAGCAATGCAAAATGGCATCATCGTTATGGCTCAAGTTAAAGACTCGGGCAAAGAATCTTGGCCCTTTACTTCATAGCTTCCTCTATTCATTGATTGCTCCTCCTGCCTCTGGGACTAAGTTGAATATGTGGCACTGTTCATTGATGTGCTGGCTTGTGGTGTTTTCTGTTCATCCAGATGGTTGTTTTATTATAACTAATTACTATATGCGCATTCTGGCAAAATGGGAGTATCTCTTGAGAAATATGCATTTATGTGAGGCAACCTAATAGTATAATGCCTCATCAGGAGTGAGGGAGTGTTGACGAGTAGGTGTCAAGTGGGTGTCAAGTACTGAGTGTCAGGTAGGTGTCAAATAGGTGTCAAATAGGTGTCAAGTGGGTATGTTGTAGACTGCGTACAGAGTACTGTAGATTATATACAGAATACTATAGACCATATACAGAGTATTATAAACCACTATACATCACATATAGTTAAGTTGTAGTTAAGTAAGCAGAGCAGTTAGAACATTTGTAGCTTAAGCTCAATCCTAACCTCAGGTCACTTATAATTTGTAGTCAAAATTTGTTCCCACAGTTTGGTCAAAAGTTCATCAAGGAACAAGTGCCTATCAGAACCTCATCCTGCATAAGAACAATTCCTGAGGTATGAAAAAATTGTAACTGCCCCTTTCACATCTGGCACTCCATCACCTGCATTTTGGTTAAGTCAGAGACTCATGAGTAACTATACTATAATCATCTCTCCTGCCTTGTGCATATCTATAAGATGCTCATCATCTATCTTGAATGATTCACTCACTCTTTTTAGCTCCTCAGTTCCACCCTTCTGTGAGACCTTCACAGACACTCTGAACAAGTTGAATGCTAAAAAACTTTGCACATTGAAGAAGAATCATGTTTTACAGAGCAATCAGGTTTATGATCATAATGATGACTCTATATCTCTCCAGCTAAATGTGACTTGTGATGCCCTCTTAGACTTTGCATTGAAGTCAAATCTGTCATTGAGTTAATAAAATGTAGAATGAGCACAGATGAATATATACTCTGATAGCATGGACCACTAGATAATGTTCTAAAAGTGCTTCAACATCTAACTCAGTAGAGGAATTAGATACATTTTTCAAAAGATAACTGCCCGCATCTTTACTAACTGAATGGGAGTGAAATTTCACATAAATGCTAAAGAATATGAGGAATATAATCACTGTAATAATTAACTGAACATACATTACTGGAGCAGCTGTGAAGGGATTGGTTTATGAGCATTCCTGTGGACTCATCATCTGCAGTACTCACTCGTATAAATGCTTATTGGTTTTATTATCTGAGCAGCTGCTACGGACTCCATTTTATGATTCTTGAGGTATGAAGGAATCGTTCTTGGGATGGGCCTTCTGCCAAATTCTGAGGGACATGTCAAATGGCCCCTATGCGTGAGAACGACTTTTTAATACAAATTTGTATGCATGAGCTGCATCTAGTCCTGGGTTAGGTCTAGGGTTTAACTACAAACTTTGTAGTCCCTGTTGTTACTGTACTACACCTTGCATATAGTCGGTCTTTCAAAGTGATTGTAGTGAAAACCAACGTGACTTGCACAAATAGTGATCAATAGAAGTGACACAGCAGCCACAGAGGACCAATACATTATAGTCAGCAGAATTATAAAAGCACATACTAATTCTGACACATAAAAAGCAGTACCATTGAAATCTGTGAAGGAAATGGAGCATAATGCTCTCTTAAACCAGGTAAATCTGAATAAAACTGGCTGAGATATCTGAGTTTTGGATTAGAATGCTCAGTGTGAAGTGCAGAAAATTGTATAAATGTCAGGAAAATTTGAGAATGACTCTGAAATGCACATAAACATGCTCGATAGGGCGCCTTATTTTTTACAGCAGTGCACATTGAAGAAACAAGCAGAAGTAAGAGAAAACTGAGAAATTGGATTGTAGCACTCCAGCACATGATCCTGATGTTTTGAGAGTAGCACCGTCAGATTCAGCTTAAAAATCCAGTTTGAATGCCTACCACGTTCAACCAAATCCGAGCAGAATTGAGTGAACTACAAACCTGACAAGTTTGGCTAAAAGTGCTTTCAGCCAAAAGTATGTGACCTGCAGGGCATGTGATGTGTGGCTGATGACAAATATGCACAATAAAATGCAAAAAAATCGCACAAATACCAGAAAAATTATGGCATGGCCCTTTGATGATAGTGGACTTGTGGAACTAACTAGACAGTATTGTAAGCCATTGTAAGGTCCTTACAAATCTATACTAGATGGCATTTCAGACTACTGTAAGCCCTTTACAAATATATACGAGATGGCATATTAGAATATTGTAAGGCCTTACAAACCAATACTAGAGGGTGTAATAGAATCTAACAAATGGTATAATAAGGCATTGAAGCAGGCTTACTAAACATTAGTAGACAACATACTAGGAGTCAATATAACACTTTGTAGGCCATTATAGAGCCTTTATCAACCAATGGTCAGTGGTATACTAACTATTCTAAGCATATCACAAAGTAACACTAGATGACATGACTATTATAAGGTCCTTACAAACTCATACCAGATGGTGTACTAGGACTCTACTAGAGATTATTAGACACTATTGTCACAAGGGTTACTAAAGATTGTTACACAGTGATACCAGGTAACATTTCAGACTACTATTGTTACCCCAGTTCTGCAATCGGGTCTAGTTCTGCAATTTCGCGATTCCACCTCATTCCACTGTAGCACAAATCATGAAAAAATATGTACTGAACTCACATCATCCTGTATGCCTTGGATATAAATTTTGAAGTACCATGTACGAAGGGAATGTGTTACAAAAGTGAGAATTACTGCTTTGCAGAGCTAGTCTGCTTTCCTGGCTGGTTTCCTACCCAAAGTTTCATGAAAAAATTTCACACAGTAGCAGCAGGTCACTAAATCTTCTCAACCGGCATAAAGAATAGGTAGGAGATGCGATGTTCTATGTGCTAGAACTCACCGAACGCCGATTGCAAGACTGGTGTGACACTAGGATTTGCAGGTTGAAACTCCACTCGGCAATTCACGTGCGGGTGGCAATTGCACTTCGCATCCATGTTCAAGTCTGTTTGACCTGCGCGCAGCACACTCTTTTCTGCAACACTCTCCTTTGGCTGTCAGCTATCACACCTTACATCTGGTCTACTTTACACAATATCTAACTTGCAATATGCCTCGGGCTGCTGTTCTCCGCAAGAAGGGCCTCACCATTCAAAACCGGGAAGCAAAGATTCAACAGGCTGTCGATGGCGTCAAGAACGGCACCTATGCTACACCCAAGATTGCTGCTTGCGCGCTCAGTATTGGCTCTCAGTACACCACGATCTGGCGATGGCTCAACAATAAGACACGACCGCAATACGAGGCCCATCAAGCCAAGCAACTTCTCAACCATGCGCAGGAGCGCACTCTTGTAGCATGGACGAAGTGGCTGGGATTCACTGGTCAGCCGGTGATGAGAGAGACGATCTCTCCGAAGGTCAAGGCTCTGTGTGGAAAGGACCCGAATCCCAAGTGGATTGAACGGTTCCTAATGCGGAATCCCGACTGTACTATGGGGCGACCGGCTGATTTGGATCCGAAGCGGGCTAGTGCATTTAACTATACTACTGTCAACCACCACTTCGAAGAGCTCCAGAAGACTATTGACCTCTACGACATTCCTCCGTGCAACATGTTTAACTTTGACGAGATTGGGATCCAGCTTGGTGGGGGTCGGAAGGGATCGCGTGAGCAGTTCTTCTTTGCCTCAGAGGACCAGAGCCACTACAAACTGAAGAGCGATGACCTGGAGCTTGTGACTGTTCTCGAAACTGTCTGCGCTGATGGCTCATCTACTGTGAAGCCTGGTTTTGTCTTTGCGGGTGTCAAGATGTGTGAAGAGTGGATTTCCGAGGAGGACGGGATTTTGTAAGTCAGATTTGCTCTTGTGCTGCCAATACTCATGTTTCTGCAGCCTTTCTACCACCGATAATGGCTGGACAGATGACCACGTGTCCCAGGAGTGGTTCCAGAGAGCGTTATCCCTGCCACCAAAGCTCATAGTGATTCTTCGAAGCCAGTGCTTCTGATGTTTGATGGTCATGGATCTCATGTTACATACGAGATGATTACTATTGCGGAGAAGGAGAACATTGTTCTTTATTGTCTGCCATCTCATATGACTCATCGACTTCAGCCCTGTGACGTGGGGGCATTTGGACTACTGAAGAGAGCATGGAATTGTAAGTGTGATTCATTCCTTGAGTCCACTGGAATACCCATGCGAGCAAAGGATGTGGTGGGGTTATATTTAGCTGCACGGCAAGAAGCTTTCAAGGTCGAAATGGTCAAACAGGCATGGCGAAAATCTGGGATTGATTCAAATCCTGAAGGTTCGAAGGTACAGTGCAATCCATCCATCTTCACGGCAACCGACTTCGCTCCAAGTGTCTCCACTTCAACTCAAGTACATCTCCTGGATGGATTTCCAATTGCCAGTACATCACTGTCTACTCCTGGTGCATCATCATCCACTGCTAGTGCATCATTGTCTACCACTTGCGACTCACCTTATGATGTGTCCGATGCACCCAAATCTTGCTTTGGCAGTGACGAAGAAGAAGATGACCCGGATTTGCCAGCAGGTATGCCATCGGCAACCACGACATCCTCCGCCATCGCCAGACTCCCGTCTCCCAGCTTGATTGCAGATGCATCAGCCGCTCCGTCAACACAATTGCCTGATCTAGGCCCTCCACCCCAATACAATGATGACAGCTCAGATTCTGACTTCTCGGACACGGGCTATGATTCGGAGATTCGAGAAAAGCTCGCAAAGCTCAGAAGACAACGAAATAAGGCTCGAGAACAGCGCGACACAGCTGTTTCACATGCAATCTTGGCTGGTAATCATATCAAGTTGCTTCAAGCCAGGCTGAACACAAAGACGTCCAAGAAGCGCAACGGTCGCATTGTGCATATTGGCGGCCGCGTGACTATGTCTGATGAAGCGCGTGAGGAGGCTTTGCAACAGAAGTTAGCGCGTGACGAGAAAGCCAAGAAGACACAAGAGACCCGACAAAAGCAGGAGGATGCACGAGTCGAGCGTGCTCGTCATCAGCAGAACAGCCGTACAGGTATGAAATTCGCGGGTGCCTTGAGCAGCCAGAAGCTCCCTGTTCTTCGTGACATTGCCTGGAGCTTGGAGCTACCAGAGGACGGTAAGAAAGACCAGCTTATTGCCCGCATTAAGGCCTACTTTGACAGGGACGAGAACTCGGTGCTTTGTAACAACAATCAGTTTGCCGAAATATTCGCAACACATGGTTCGAAGTGGTGCGCAGCTGTCCTTACTCAGGAAAACACACGGAATGACAACAACAATGCAGAGCCGGGTCCTAGTCAACGACAGTTTGCGGAGCCTCTTACCAATGCACTCTCAACTCCTGCACCGTGGCAGTACAATCCACTACCATATGCAGGCTCAGCACAGTGGCCAGCACCATATGGCACACCATACGGTATGCCGTATATACCTCAGTCATCTTTTACAGTGTGCGAGCAGCCTGTGTCAACAACAGCTCATGAAGAGTCACACACTCCTGTACCAGCTCTTACATACCCTCAGTATTCCTTCTCTCATGTACCATATGGACCTCCATATACTCAGAGCTAGCTTTAAATCAAATACATTTATTGTTTTCCGTCTGTGACACAAGCTTGAGCTGCAATTGCAGAACCAGTGAGCATGAGCGGAGTTTGAACGAAAAAGGAAGCGGCACCACGGCAATGTGTGACATTGTGTGACCGATAATGCGATCTGGCGGGCAAACGACACCTCTCGCCGTGTTCGCTCTCAGCATCACACAACATCACCGAAAAATTTGAGCATTGCGGAGGAGGTAGTTTATATGTTGCGCTTTCAATTAAAAAAAAATTCAAGCAAATCGGGCTTGGTTTGAAGGAATGGTGCTAGAGTTGCAATCGTGATTGCAGAACTGGGGTAACGATAGTATTGTAAGCTCATTGCAAACTAATACTGTAGGATATTAGGGGCTGGTATAATAGGGTGTTGTTGACTTACTAAATATTACTAGACAACATATTAAGAGTGAGTAGATGACTTTGTAAACTACGGTAAGACTCTTATAAACTCATACTACTTAGTGTAGTAGAATATTGTAGAATGCTTATTAGACATTATTATATGGCACACTAGGAGTCAGTAGAAAATATATTAGACTATAAAATAGATTATAAGAGACTTGTTGATGGTTTCTAGATGGTATATTAGAATTCAGTAGATGACATTGTAAATTGTTGTAAGTTGATATAAAATTAAATTTGTGCTTTAAGTTCAGCAGAAGTGAATGGACTGTGGGTCTATAGACACAGACTTAAGCATTATTAACTAAAAACCACAGCTTGAACTCCGCAGTTACAGAAGAAAAGCAAGAACAAGAAGAACAACACTGTTATTCTAGGAGAGTTGCCTAATTTGAATTATTCAAAGTCGCGGAGTTCCAATAATTCAATCGGCGCCCATTCTCGAGAACCGCAACGACCACGACGGCCACAACGACGACACCACCGTCACGAACGACAACGACGACTCCTTCGCTATGGAAGGAGGCGCTAGGAAGCTGCTTGAGACTGCTACAATCGAAACTCTGCACGCTCATAACTTCTCGCGCTCATCGACTCAAGCGACGCACGCTCTGACGGATCTATTGTCTCGCTACCTGACCCTCTTGTCGACCTCATGCGCCAGGTACGCCGAACACGCCGGCCGGCTGCGACTCACCGCACGCGATGCGGTCTCTGTACTGGACGAGCTTGGAGTTGGTGTGGACGAGCTGAGCGAATACTGCGCAGGCGAGGCGAAGGATTTGTCGCGCTACGCGGTGCACACCGCGCGCAGGATCGAGGATCTGAACGAATTTAAGGGTCAGTGGAATCGTACTTTGCACACCGTTCATTCATGATGTTGTTTCGGTAGCTTCTTTCGCGAATGGCCTCAGAGAGGACCGCGACGACGCCATTCCACTGGTGTACGGGCGTGTGCCCAGTCCGGTCTTTGACGAAGAGGGGGCGGAAAGCGAGAGTGGCGAGGAGACTCAGGAGTCCGAAGAGGAAGCGACGACTCCGGACATCGCAATCCTACAAGAGGACGGCGCGACCACCGCGATGGATGCGAGTGGCGAGAGCGATGGAGCGCTGATCAAGCGTGGTAAGAAGCGCGCAGGGACGCCGACGCTCCCTCTGTCGCCAATATCCAACCCGTCGACGCCGGCACGCAAGCGAGCACGGACGGCCAGCTGGCGTCCTCCATCTCACATACCCGATTTTCTGCCGCCGTTTCCCACCGACTCTCCGAGACATTCACCGTCGCCACCTCCTCAAGATACATCCGCCCCCAGCCAGCCAGTCAAGCTGGAACGTCCGCCATCTCCTCTGCCGCAGCCTCAGATGGCGGCATCCACATCCTCGGCGGATTATCTCACGGCGATTCCATACCCCCTTTCCACATTAGCCTCAACTCCGTCGTGGCACCTCCCATCAGCGCCTCCGCTCTCCCCTGCACCTTCTGTACCAACTTTCTCCAGGCTCCCAATACCACAAACACAGCCCGCACTGCTCGGAGCCTATCACCACGTTCTTACCCATCCTCCTGCCGACACAGTGACACCAGCAACTCCAGCGCGGTACAAAGTTGCGCTGGGCTTCCTCGCCCAGTCGGAAGCCACCCCTCGCTGGGATCCTGGACCGACCCTGTTCTCAACCGCCGCACCGAATTTTCCGCGCGTGGCAGCGATTGGCCCGACTTATCCCGCTCCGATCGTGGAGACCAAGAGTGAGAAGGAAGAGAATGACAAAGACAAGAAGTCGAATCTACCCATGGTGCCTCCCAGGCCCGTGGTTGCCTGCGAGCGAATAACGCCCCTCCTCAGTCAGCAAGTGTCGCGTCTGCCTCAGGTGGCTCGGCGGGTCCTTCCCGTAAGCCTTTGTTTTTGTATATTTCTATGATTTGTAACTTACATCTCCTGTGCTAAGAATTCTGTATATAATCGGACAACTCGCTTGACTCATCCTCCTGTCCTGTTTCGCGGAAACCAAAGGCTCACGTATGGGCCGGGAGTTAACGCACCATGGAACTCAGGTGTGCCAACTCCTGCAACAACACCCGCGCTGGGCAAATCCAAAGACGGGCATGGCTCGAACGGCCTCCCGAATGGCAAGGACGCTGCAGCGCCGGCGAAGGCGCTGCCGGACGCGCGTTTGTACGCGACGTGGAATTACGAGCAGAAACATTATCAGGACCCCACTATGGTACGGAGGGGCAGAATCAGTAGTATCGCGAGTGTGGTGGGAGCGCCGCCTGGCAGAGCAAGGAGTGAGACCAGGCATCTGAGCTGAGAGAGTACATGACGGATCGGTATCGCGGTCCACTGTACGCTTCTGGGACGTTACGAGAGGAAGTACTCATCATCAAGTTATTACATTGCATTGGAAGTCGTGTTATCTGCTTTCGAGTAACATTTGTTATCATCTGGAGCAAGGCCTGTTACGAATCAGACGTGCGATTGAGAGAGATGTAGGACGGGCCGTGCGGACATGATCATTGCTATGGCACTCGCTCGGTTGGGCGTCTGTCCGCACAAAATGCGGGAAGCCCACGCAGGGGTGCACTCACTTCGCTGTTCCACCTTCTCCCTCTGGTAGGCTGGCCACTCATTGTTTTTTCTACCCTTCGTTTTCCATCGTCTTCCATCGTTTTACCCTTCGTTTGATTTTGCTTTCGCGATGCACTCGTTCTTCAACCTCTTCTTCACGCTCGTGGCCGTACTCGCAGGCCGAGGCACGTCCGCTCTCCACCAGCTTCGATCTCACTGATTGACTATATCTGATAACTAGCACTCGCTCTAAACATAACCATTGGTGGCTCGCTGGGCGTCATACCTGCCACCCAGTTCCTGAACGTCAGCGATGCGACGCTCGCGAGCGACGTGAGTTACGACTTCCTCGACGACTACTACTCCGTGTCGAGCTCACGCGAATCGACAGTGCCAGACCCAGTGTGCCCCCGGTTTCACCGCCATCCAGGTATGTAACCCAGTCATTCCCCGCGCCGAACACATTGCCAATTCCACCGCAGGCATGCACGGACGACGTCTGTCTGTGCGACATGTCGACCGTTACCGCGGTTACCGCCTGTGAACAATGCATGTTCAACGACCTGATCTCGAAAAACACCGTGAGCTCCGACCCGAGGGCCGGATCTGCCACGGCGCTTTCAGGTGCGCACACATTTCATCCTGGATCCCACTGTCCTTAATGACACGGCGTTCTGTACCGTCCCACAGCGTACGCTGCCGCATGCCTCGCCTCGGTCAACGTCACCGTTCCCACGACGGAGATTACGCTGACGCTCCCCTCAGATTGGGACGGGCCTTTTGGGCTCGGGCTCGACACGGCCGGTACGGTGATCACCCTTATCGCGGGCATTCTGTTGGCCGGCGGGTCTCTTACAATCCTCAACACGATGTGAGGGCTCGCAGGGTGTGGGTTCCACCGCGAGTCTCGGTGGCTTCAGAAGACTTGTGCGCATCGTAGTCCGCTGGTTGGTGGTCTCTCGACTCTGGTTCTAGTTGAGAGCATATTTATATAGGGAGAATACGGTTGGCTGTAAGGTGACTTGCAACTACTCAGTGAGAGCACCCGTGTCATAGCTGCAGACCTAAATGACAGCTACTATATCGGAGGATGGTTACCAGGACATGACAGTTCAACTCAACACAGCATCCCCGCAAAGTGTTCGAATTGTTCTGGGTGAGCGACCAAAGCGACCACGTGACACTCCATTGTATCAATGATTGGACGGGGCGATGAGAGTACATGGACACAGAACAAATTGGTACATGCACAACGAGGGGACTGCTACTGCGGGCTTAACAGACAAGACGGTAAGCGTGTGACAAAGACAGATATACGACCAAGATGAAAGGAGACGATCTGCCCAGAAGGAAAGGCAAACCGTGAATCAATGTCCTGATACGTACAGGAGACGGGCACATACAAAGTTAAGCACCCTTCGGAGCCTCCTTCCAGGATATGGCCTGAACTGGAGGTCAGTACCGACGAAAGATGAGAGGTCTGATATATACGCACCTGCTCCTCACTCATAGCACTGACAATCGTGACGAGCAGATCCTTGCCCTCTTCGAAGGCGCCGACGATCTGCTCGCCGATTTCACCCTCCGGGACTTTGACATCGTCCTTGGCGACGCCATCCGCGGTCATGAGATTAAGGAAGCCGTCATCGATGTTGACCTGCACGGCGAACATCTGGTGAGGCGAGCGTACAACACAAGGAAGTGAAAGGGGCACCTACGAGCTGGTATTCATTACGGGTGACGTTCGGGACATCCATGTTATGGGTGGAAGGGCAGATATCTTCCTGAAGACGTAAGACGTGCACGCGTTCAGCTACCGTTAGCGTTCCGTTTCCCGCATTCAGCCACTGGACTCACAAGCTTCTTGCCGGTAAAGATCTACCGCAGATCGTCAGGATAACAAGCACGCGTAGAAGACGGAGACGCGCTCACATCGATGGCGACCAAGTGGACCTTGGCGTGTCCGTGCTTGCCAGTCTTGGAGGTGGACATCTCCACGATCTTGCAGGGACGGCCTGGCACGCACCGGGTGTCACCAGACCGACATAAAAAGAACAAACAAAAATCACGCTACCTTTTATAACGACATGCCCATTTTTGCGGAGAGCAGAGCACTGCATGGGGAAGGTGGCAGACGCCCCCGCACTGGCCTACACGCATCCACAACGCGAGTCAAGAGCTGCTCGATGAGGGTGTTGCCGGTGGCACACACCTGCTCGAAATTGTGGTTGTGCTGCTCATCGTCGGACATGATTAGTTCGTGGAAAGAGAGAGAAAGAGAAACGCGGGGGGTGGTGGTCTAGACGGGGGAGGAGGGACGGATGTAAGAGAGAAGTCTGCAGGCGCTGCAATACGTGCGCGCGGCCTCGCAAGAAAAAATCGTCGTCCATCGATATTCAATCTCCGAATCGGGCGTGAGACTATCCGGCAATCAAGGCCGGTCATGCCGGCCGCCTCACTGTGCTCCCCGCCCGGAGACCGGTGGCTCCTGGCGCTTATTTACAACACTTGCTTCAATACTGCACGAGACGACGACGAGGATGCATCCGTTTGGCGGAACACCCGTTTGCCCGCGATGCAACAAGATGGTATATGCCGCAGAGCAGGTACGTCTGTACCCTCCCTTCCGTCGAACTGACCGTGAGCTCGCTTAGATCATGGGCCCAGGACGCAAGGTACGACTTCCGCCCTGCCCGCTGTCTGTCTCTCCTCACCTATCTTTACGGTTAACAGCTCTACCATAAGGTAAGGCTGTTCACCATAAACACGTATTGAACACGTCTGAATTTACCGTCCCGAAAGCCATGCCTCACATGCACGACGTGCGGGAAGCGGCTCGACTCCTACAATCTAGTCGAGCACGACCAAGAGGTGCGCTCACCGTTACCCACATCAGACGTAACCCTTACATCCATTTCACCCCCTCACCCTCTAGCCATACTGGTAAGTCCCCTCCCCCCCCTGCCGCGCCAGCGTCTAAGTGGCGCGCCCACAGCAAGAACTGCCACATCAAGAATTTCGGCACGCGCGACACCCGCCTCGCGAACCTCCCAAATCGCGACGAGGTCTTCGTCTCCTCTCCACCGACGTTGCCCGTGCGTGGAGGCTTCTCTCCCACCCGGCGCGTTGCGTCCCCGCCCCCGGCATCGACTGCACCACAGCTCCCTGTGCGCCGGCACGTCAACAGCGCGCCCTCTGCACCGCCGATGCTGCGCCCGACGCGGACGTTCAGTCCCGTACGCACGACGTTCTCCAGCAACGACCCAGTGGCTACCGAAGAGACAGGTGAAGAGGACGCACATTCGGAGGGGCCTCGGACCCCGGAGCCTGCATCAGGGGCGTTTCCAACGCACACGGGACGCGTTGGTGGGCTCCCGCGTACGGTACCACTGACCCTCAGCCCGTCGAAGGGTCGCAACGGCAGTCCCGCGAAGCCAGAGGACACCGCCGCGGGCCAGACGTCGCCGACGCTCACGCGGACGCTGCTCCCGTCGGCAACGGGCACGCGATACGGCGTTGCGCTGGGCGGTCGTGGCACGGGCGTGGGCACGGTGTCGCCTATGATGACGGGCGGACGAGGCCCGACGTGCGGGCGGTGCGGAAAGACGGTGTATTTTGCAGAGCAAGTAAAGGCGATCGGGAAGACGTGGCATAAGGGGTGTTTGCGGTGTACCGAGTGCGGGACGCTGCTCGACTCGACGCGTCTCACGGAACGCGAGGGCAGCCCGTTTTGCCAGAGGTGCTATGGGAAGGTGCGTCGCGTCCTGCCTCTTCCACGTTTGCCGCTCTTCGTCGATTTCTGATGGTGAAGGCTGACTTGTATTTCCCCCTTTGCAGTTGTATGGTCCCCAAGGGAGCGGGTACGCTCTGCTAGGTAAGGCCGGAGCGTGAGGCGCAACGCCCGTCCGACCCCGCGGGCCATCGATGTGCCCACGCGCATTGCCACGCCAAGTGCCGGCACCGCTGGGTCTGCAACCGGTGCGCACGCTTTCCATCTCTGTTCTCAAGCTCGCGCGTGCGTTCTCACCAGCGTTGCTGCTCCAGCGATGGCGTGGCTGGCGTGTGCCCCATAACGCCCGATGTGGACGGTCTCTCCCCCGTTTTCGCCCTTGGCACCGCCCTCGCTACTGCGTCTTTTGCCTGCCCCTTCTTTTCGCCTTCGCTTTCGATCCATTTACGCGCCTTTTCGCCTTCGATGATACTTCCTGCGCTGCTGCTACTTCTGTTTTTGCTCCTGCCATAAGGACGATGTTGTATCCCGTAGCGTGACACCGTTTCCTTCCGCTCCGTCTAGTTTCGTTTCCTATTGTATGAACGGCGTGCCATGGTACATGGTATATACGGTACGATACACACCTTTTAGCGACGATATTGATGCCTGCCCTATCTACTCACCTGCACGCGGTGCACGGACTTCTTGCAATTTATGATGTACACTCCACCCTTTTGGCTCTGCTGGTGTCAGCGCGCGGTTGACGTTGCGGATTGTGCTCTCAGTTAAGCTTTCGCGCATCCACCGGAGAAGCTATGGTCGTGTATGCTCACCCCTGCCAGATTGCATTATCAATCTCTTAGCTCCAGGACGTGCAAGTAAAGTTGTTCCGCCAGGGCATGTCACAGATATCTGAATTATTCAGGTAGGCAGGTATACGGCAACGCGTCCAAATCGTCTGATTGGTGGGCGGGTCCGTGGACCAATCATGTGCACCACTTACTCACCGCCAACGCCACCAGCCACAGCCTAGTACGTACGCACTCACTCCCCGACGATGGCGCCCCCAGCGACGACGGTGCGCACAACGCTTACGCCCACCCCCGGCTTCTGCATCAAGACCCTCGCGCTCGAGCCCGCGCTCGTCCGTCTCGCCCCGCCTCCCAGCGCGCCCGGCACGCTCGACGTCCCCGCGCCGCACACGCTCCGCGTCCCCAAGGGCATCAAGATCTTCGTCAACGTCGCCTACGCAGCGGGCGTGCCCCCGCCCCCGCCCGGGTCCGCCGACGCGATCCGCCGCGCGGTCGCGGGCGACGACTTTCCCGACTCGCGCCGCGCGGAGGGCGCGGACGGCGCGTGGTTCGTGCCCGTGGTGGTGTCGGAGCCGCGCGAGGAGCGGGATAAAGGTGTGCACATCTGTCTACGGTCCCGATCCCGTCTTCTGTGTTCTGTGTTCTGTGCTTTGTGTTCTGTGTAATGGAAGGACTGATCGGCGTCGTGCAGCGGGGCGGCCGGCGGTGGTGTTCGACTGCGTGTACAACGACGGGCTGAGGGCGCGCGCGACGGACGCGGCGTTCAAGACCTTTCTCATCGGTGCGTCCCCCCCTTTCGCCCCTTTCCCCTTCGCCTCCACCCCGCCCCGCTGACGCGCCCCGGCCGCGCAGAGCTCGCGTTCCAGCGCATCGAGGCGCAGTCCGGCGTGCCGCTCTCGCGGCAGATCGGCACGCCGAACATCGCGTTCAAGGGCACGCCCGCGCCGCGCAGCGTGCTCGTCCCCGCCGCGCTCGCCCCGCGCCGGGCGCTCGTCGAGGAGCTCCCCGCTAGTGTGAAACCTCCAGCACAGCGTGAGAGACAGATCGTGGCGGAGGAGGAGGAGGAGGTGGTGGCGACGGAGGGCGTGCCGCCCGCGCTCGACTGGACGCGCGAAGGGGGCCAGGTGCGGATCGCACTTAAAGTCCCGAGGCTGGTACGTCCCTCCCCCCATCTGCCGTCATGTAAAAAAACGCGCGCATGGCTGACCCCCGCCCCGGAGACACGCGCGGACCTCGCGCACACGACGCTGGACCTCGAGGCGCGGCGGGTGCGCCTGCGCTCGCCCGTCTACGCGCTCGACCTCGACCTCGACCGCCCGGACGCGGAGCTGCGCGCGAACGGAGAGGGGGGAAAAGGCATGGACGACGCGGCGGTGGAGCGCGTGCTCGCGCTGAAGCGGGTGCGCGACCTCGACGTCGAGGGCGCGCGCGCGGAGTGGCGGGTCGCGGAAGGCGTGCTGCTCTTGCGCGCGTAGCAATCCCTCTGGAGTGCTATGCGGTTTCTGGAGAAGAGCGCGTGCTGACATACTCGGCGGGCGTATCAGCGGCGCAGGTCGTTCCGTGCAACGCGCAGGGGTAACTTAGTGGCGGCGAATGGCAGTACTAGCTGTTGGGCGGTAGATGCCTACTGAACGGTACTAGCGTGGTGCACTTAGAGCGGCGCAGTCGCATCTGCTTTGTACATGAACCGTCGAAGACATCGCTCGGTGTTGTATCGCCGGTCAGACACACGTATTTAGAGGTGGAAGCAGAGTACTAGTATCTATAGCCGGGAAGTCTTGTTATGGCTGCACTATGGATCTCCCGAGAATATTCACGATGGCCGGAAAGGGCTTGTGCGGGTCAGAGACGCAGTCCATCATGGAAAAATACGGATTCCGACCGCCGTGAGCAAATACCCGGTCGCAGAGTAGCTTATAGAGGGCCGATAGGCATCTCTTCCCATGCGCAAGTAGCGTCCGAGAAAGCATCCGAGCAAAGGCAGGAAAGGCGTCATCGCATCAACAGCGAGAACCCAAAACGAAGGGATCGGCGGGTCAGGTACCGGCAGAAGAGAAACGGGAGGCGGTACGACGAGCTTGGGTTCAAATTCTCGAGCACGAGCCGATGGGGGATGCGACAGCACTCACATTGAATATTGAATATTGAATATTGAGCCCTGGAGAGTCCGTTGCGGAGAGGGGGACGCAGGGATTGAGGGCTCCCACCGTGCTCGAGCACAGTCGGACGCTCTCCGTGTCTCCGGGTGGGGAAGGGAAACGGCCCCGGCGACCCAAAAGGAATGCGCACCGTATCAGTATCAGATAGAAGTGATGCGTGGTGGGAGACGCGGTTCGATGAACAAGATGCGCAGGCGGCGGCAGAGATGAGCTGCGAATTATGGCGGGTGTGCGCCGGGAATTGGCCGTGGAGCGACTGCTCCGTGGGTGCGGATTGCGCGTCCGCGGCTTGGCTGGACGCTCGACGGGGGTGATTGGACGGTGCTGCGCGAACAGCGGGTGGATGTCAACAGAGATGGAGCCTGGGCGGCGAGCTAAGACAGACGCAGAGGGAGCAGAGTCCGAGAGAGAGCGGAGGTGGATTCCACGGAGGTGTGGGAGTCCAGTACGCGACGCGAGGGAGTTCAGTACGCGACGGGAGGCAAAGCAGAAGTCGTTGGAAGAGAAGCGAGGGCAGCGTGGAAGAGGAGAGAGAGAGCGTGGCTGGGAGGGAACGCACGTTGCCCGATCTGGAGATGATCTGGAGTCATATTGCGAGTCTGCAGCAGCTCCCACTCAAAAATTGTACAGACATGGCCGAGGCGCATATAAGCCCGTCCCACACCTTCAGATTCCGCAAGCACCGTCCCCTCCTGCTCCCGTACGTGCTTGGTTGACATTAATCCTCGCAGCCGTACCGCCCTCGCCCGCCGACATGCAGCCCAACGGAACAGGCTCCGTCGTCTCCCCCGTCCCCGACGACCACGAGAAGATCATGTCCTACATCCAGGACCGCCGCGTCCTCGGCGTGCGTTCCCCTCATCACTAGCTCATCCGACGCCCGACCGCTGACCTCTGCCCGCAGTACGACCCGCTCGTGCAGCCCGCCCTGCTCCGCCACGAGATCGTCTCCACGCCCGAGTCCCGCCTCACCATCGCTGCAGCCCGCTACGCCGCCGCGCGCATCCTCGCCGGCCAGGACGACCGCCTGCTCGTCGTCGTCGGCCCCTGCTCCATCCACTCCCCCGCCCAGGCACTCGAGTACGCCCGCCTCCTCAAGGCCCGCATCCCCTCCTGGCCCAACCTCCTCATCATCATGCGCGCCTACTTGTGCGTCCCTCCCGCTCTCCCCCCCCCTTCCGCGCTGACCGCCTGATCCCACCACAAACAGCGAAGTAAGCTCTCCACTCCGCAGACGCGCACTCACCGAACTGACACCCCCCCGCCAGAAACCGCGGACGACCGTCGGCTGGAAGGGCCTCATCAACGACCCGGACATCGACGGCTCCTTCCAGATCAACAAGGGCCTGCGCCTCGCCCGCCAGCTGCTCTGTGACCTCACCGCCCTCGGCGTCCCCGTCGGCTCCGAGCTCCTCGACACCATCTCCCCCCAGTACATCGCCGACCTCATCTCCTGGGGCGCCATCGGCGCCCGCACCACCGAGAGCCAGCTCCACCGCGAGCTCGCCTCGGGCGTCTCCTTCCCCATCGGCTTCAAGAACGGCACGGACGGCAGCGTGCGTCGCCCGCACGCAACGTGGGCGTGGGCGTGAGCTAACTTGTGTCTTGTGTCTCTATAGGTGTCGGTCGCGGTCGACGCCATGCGCTCCTCGTCCAACCCGCATGCCTTCATGGGCGTCACGGAGCAGGGCCTCGCCGCGATCGTCAAGACGCGCGGGAACCAGGTACGCGCCCCCCCCCCTCGCCTGCCCCGAACCCCTCTGCTGACCCGCCGACCGTCGCACTACAGGACGTCCACGTGATCCTCCGCGGGGGCAGCACAGGCCCAAACTACGAGGCGGAGCACGTCCGCGCCGCGGCGCTCGCGATCGAGAAAGCGCGTCCGCACGCGCGCCCGTCCATCATGATCGACTGCAGCCGTGCGTCTTCCCCCCCTCCCCTTCCTCCCCCCCTTCACTCATAACCCTCGCCCGCAGACGGGAACTCGCAGAAAAACCACCTGAACCAGCCCAAGGTGCTCGCGTCCGTCTGCGCGCAGCTCGCGGCGGGCGAGCGCGCGATCACGGGCGCGATGGTCGAGTCGCACATCCACGCGGGGCGGCAGGACGTCCCGCCCGCGGGCCCCGGCGCGCTCAAGCACGGCGTGAGCATCACCGACGCGTGCGTCGACTGGGAGATGACCGTCGGCATGCTCGACGGGCTCGATCGGGTGCGCCCCTTCTTCTCTCTTCTCTCATTCTCTCTCCCGTGGTGCGAGTGTTGTGCTGACGCGCGCGCTGTTGTTGTTGTTGTTGCGTAGGCCGTCCAGCAGCGCCGCGACACGCTCATCGCGCAGGGCCTGAAAAAGCCCACGGGGCGCGCGTCCGACGCGCCGTGATCCGCTCCGCGTCGCGCGCGCCGACCGACCCGCGGGTCGCGTGGGGACGTACTGACGAGTAGGGAGCGGCGGACGGGTTGATCGTACCGTAGTAGTAGCTGGGACGCTTTGCTTTGTTGTATAGTGTATTGTATGCTAGACCGGCCGCGGACGTGTATGCTAGAGCGGCGATATTGCTGGATGCTTGGAGTGTGGTGAGGTCGCGGACCGTGTGTGAGGGGGGGGGGAACGGGGTCGGATCAGTTGACGATGGAGTTTTGAAGCCATCTGCACTGTCGCGAGAATCGGCTGGGCCGTGCACCACACAGCTCGAGGACGCGTCGTCCCCGGCGTATCACGCTTGGCTGCTGAACGTGAACGTTTGCGTGACGCAACCGGCGACTGCGGGGAGAATGCGGCGTCGAGCGAGTACTTACAACGAGAAGAGCACGAACTTGAAGGACTGTCCGCGACCGACCGGGATTAGAGTCCAGCCCGACGGTCTTCGAATATCATCGGAGGACGACGACAACGACGTTCTGAGTCGCAGATTGAAGTACTGAGGAACGACTTACGAAGTGCCGGCGGGATCTGTCTGCAGCTGAGAGCGCGATGGCGACGCGAACGTTCAGAAGATGCATAATCCTCAATATTCAGACATCCATGCTCAGCCTTACCTCTTTGGAGCTTAACCAGAGGTACACCCAAGCTGGGAGATCACACTATCATAGTCGACACTCGTACGCGACGAACCCCCCCTATCTTAGCTCTCCATTCCAAAGACCACGAGCGCATCCGCGGACGTTTCATCTCTGCCCGCCATCTCTGGGGGCGTTTCGCCCAGAATGGCAGGCGGACTTCCATATCCAGCGGACGATCTCCGATGACACATCGCGCTCACCTCACGCACGCCCAGGTACTCATTTTCCTCTCCTCCCGCATCTCCCGTGCACTAGTGCAGCTGCAGCTCGGGGCATCTCGTTAAAAGAAACGCACACGCGCCCAGTATTTGCGCGCACGGACCCCGGCTCCCTCCGCATCGGCGCCGACGTCCTCTCGAGTCGGACGTACCATCATACTATTGCTTGCGGATTGCGGAAGCAGCACTGCGTCATGCCCCCCCCCCCCCGGATTTAGCGCCGATGGCGTTCGAGAACGCTGCGCGAATACTGCGAATCCCCCCCCCCCCCCCGGCCCATCGGGATATCGCAAATCGCAATCGGGATCGATGTCAAAGGTCCCAGGACGCGGCTCCCCCCGCGCCGGCGTGCCTCACCGAGGAGATTAATTCGAGGGGTTGCGAAGTAACGAGGGGGTGTGCGCGCAGCGCACCGCCCTTGCTCTCGCAGGGGTGCGTGAAATAACGGTGGTCGACGACCAATGGAACCCGACCGAGAGCGCGTTCGTGGCATCGATTCACGAAGATCCCATGGTGGCGCCCCCCCCCTTCCTCCTCCTCGGGCCTCGGGGGCAGTAGTGCGGCGCCGCATGGCTCCGCGGAGCCGTCGCGATGTGCGCGCGGGGGGGCAATGGCGTTCATCCCTCACCGCTCTTCCGTTCTTTTTTTGCCCCGAGCGTCGCGCGGATCTTGGCCCGCTCTCCTCCGGCCCAAGTATGCATCGATGCGCCAACGTCCTGCACAGGGTTCGGACGCGCAAAGAGCGTGTTTCAAATGGAAATGCGTTCATCCTGAAAGTTTTCCCTATTCTGTTTTTTCTTTCCCTCTTGCTACTTATCCCGGGAACTGTGCATATCCCCCCGGGCCCCTACAAACATATGCAGAGGACGCGCGTGAGCAAAAGAGAACAGACATCCTGCCAGAACTCTCGCATCAGACCAAGCCAGGCCGTAAAGCGCAACACCAAGTTCCAAGCGACTTTCTATACAGTTAGACACGTCGGGTAACACAGGTCCAAAGCTACAACAGACAAGCACCAATACCAACATTGCTACCCCCTCGCGCGATAGATAAGAGTATGGCTAGATTCCAAAACCGGGATCGGGGGGGGCACGGACGGACGGACGAGATGGATGGTTAGATATTGCGTAAGTAGAGTACAGGTACCGTAAGCCGCGCGCAAGAACTTGAGGAGGATCCGGGTGGGGGCAGCGTGGGATCGCAAGAGAGTGAGAGTGAGAGTGAGTGAGAGAGAGATAATCGAGAGAGACCAGATGAGCAGAAATCCAAGGATACAAAGTGTCCGCCGTCGTCCTCCCTCCGCCGCGCCGCGGGCGTCCAAGCATGATATGTACATGTAGAAACATGCCTTTTTTCAGCGATCCGTACTCTATGCACGTCGCAGCCAACTATAAGTCAACACGAACGCGGGAAAGCAACCGCAGGACGCACATATATATCCTCTTAAATTACCGAGAGCGACCGCCCTCCCGCCCAGGACCAGCTGGGGAAGAGGCAGAAGACGTAGACGCAGAGTACACCGCGAGGTGCCTGCTCTCCTCGCCGTCCAGCTTCCAGATGCTGCCGCGGCGCAGCCCGAACCCCGTCGCGCCCGCGTTGTACGCCCGCGGCGTCGGCTGCAGCGGCGCAACAGAGTCCTCGAGCGAGAGCTCCGCCGACGACGACGTCGTCGTGGGCGACAGCGACGGAGACTGCACGATGTCCTGCAGGAACGACGGGAGCAGCGTCATGCTCTGCTCCGCGTCCGCGCCAGGCGGGAACGGCGGCGCACACGCAAACGGGAACGGCCGCGCCCCGCCCACCGGGCGCCCGTGCGTCTGGTAGATCGGGCGCGAAGGCGAGTCGCCCGCGTTGAAGAGCTCGTACGACGGCAGCGAGTCGCCGCGCGGCACTATCCGGAGGTACGGCGGCACCTCCGCCTCTGAGTACGGCGCGGCGGGCGCTCTGGCAGGGGAGTCGACCGAGTGCCATCGCTCATGGGGGTGCGCGTGGGCGCCCCCGCAGGCCTGAGCCTGGTTTGCAAGCACGCTTTCGAGAAGGGCGATGCGCTCGGCCTGCACGGCGGCGGAAATCGAGTCGCCATTGCCCTCGGCATCTGCGCATTCGCGTCAGCACCTCTAAAGACGCGCAGGAAAAGCAAGGAATACCCACAAGGGAAGCACGTCTGGCAGACCTTCCTTCGGCGCCAATTGAGGTAATGACACTTGTGACAAATCCAGTCTCCAGGCTGCTTCTCTGCAGCGCCCTTGTTGCCTGTGTTGATGATTGGGGGATACTGCGCGCCCGCAAGTAAGTATTAGAGGACACAAGAAAAAGAGTACAAGCACAAACACGCACCGTTATTACGGCCGATCCTGAAGGCCGAATCTGGCCCTGCTCCGGCAAAGCCTCATTATCTGGCCAATAGATGATGCACGGCGCGAGAGGGTCCTTCGACACGTTCTGCACGTGCCCACCGATGCTCAGAGCGCGGCCAGACGGCGTCAGCGGCGTATAGGGCGAAGCAGACTTGAGCGAAGGAATGGGCGGTGCGCTCGTCGGAGCAGGATTGACGGGTGGCAGGTTGGATGTCATAATGCGCGGGAATGGCGGTCGGGAGAGCTGGTCGCGGGGGACAGACGGCGAGGAAAACCGAGGGGACATGTGGTTGACTTGGGAAAAGTCCAACGACGCGCTCCTATGCTGCGTCAGAGACGGAGGACCCTCGGAGCGAGAACGCCCGCATCCTATGCAAGAAACGTTGCGGCTGAAAACCATGTCAGTCAACAAATTACGCAGACACGAAACGGTGGCCAAGGGGAGAATATCGTGGTAAGATGTAGAAAACGGAAATTGAAATAAGGCGGATATAGCGGAGAAAAGCGCGGCCACTCACCCGAAGTTGTGCGCCGCACAGCTCGCCACAGTACAACTGGAAAAAGGTGTGTCAGCACGTATACGACCAAGACGGACCGGATTGGTGTGAACCGCACGACAACGAATCAGTGCTCACATCCAATCCCCTAACCTGAAGCTGGTTTTGGGATTTGGTGGGTTGCTCGAGATGGTGTAAGGCCCCACCGCGGCACTATGCAAGAGGGGATCGGAGGTGTCGCGCCCGCCCATACGCAGAAAAGTCAAGTCGATGCAGGGTGGGCCAATACCAATGTATGTGGAGGGAATATCGCAGAGAGGTTTCTGCCTGGAGATGTCTGAAGACGAGTCAAAATTTTCACGCGCCGGCGAAATCTAATGCGAAGTAGGGAATGTAAGCATTCGTGATGGAGAGCGCGAGGAATGAAAAAACGCACGAGGTTGTTGAGGTCGACTCGCCGTAATTGGAAGGGGGGCTGGATGTCTGATTCTAGGGCAGGCGCGACGGAGAAGGAATAGCACGGAGAGAAAAGCGCGGTGCGAGCCTGGAAGCCATAAGAATGAGACGGTTATAAGGGTGGCGCAAGATCAGATCGCCAGCAAAGGCCACACGCCTTACGAAACAGCATGAAAATTATACGTCGGAGGGCTGATCGGTCGGAACGGAGAGCTGCCGGGACACTAGCCCCCTTGTAAGCACCACCTCACGGTATCCGGCGGCAACGGCGTTTCAGCCGTGCCTGGACGCCATATATCTTCCCAATATGGCATCCCGCACCCAATAAGGCAGCACCCAGTCACGTCACACTCACCTCTTCATGCGTCGCATAGACTGCGAACAGACTCCCGGGCTCACGGACACTCTTGCTCGCCCACAGTGCGGCGGGACGAGGGACTGGCTACAGTACGAGAAAGTAAGAAGACGAACAAAGATCTAAGCGAACCGCCGTACATGACCGCTGGATGAAGCACCAGAAAATACCGATAATGCTGCTGACGTCGAACACTGGAGATCAAAGAACTGGACAACGGCGCCGAGCATCGGTCACTTCCGCCGCACTGGGCACAATGCAGAACGTAAAAACATACGCGTATTACCCGGGATCGGGCGTCGCAAAACGCTTCGTATGATGTCAGTCGGCCGTCGTCGTCAGAGTCGGACCCGATGCTCGAGGTGGACCGGGTGACGAGTTTCTCGAGGTCAAATGGAACTTTGTGGTCGTCCAACCATGATAGAGACGGCGAGTGAGGTGCCCGAAAGTAGGAGCCGTTCGGAGAAGGAGGGGGAGAGTCGAGGTTCAGACGACGAAGAGCATCAGTCAGACGCGTCGCCGGAGCCGGGTATCTTGCAGGCTCTCGCGCCGCTAGGAAGTCACGGAAAGACAGGTGATCGGTAGATATAGGGAACACAGGGACAGGCATGGCAAAAGAGTGGAGGTGGAGAGGTCTAGGGGGAATGGACCACGTCGAACTGGGGCATGAAGTACTTGCACGTCGCGCGCGTGGTTCCCAAACTGCTGAACGATAGGATGTGAGCGATGATGGATCGTCAACTTGGCGCAGACGCCTGTGGCTACTTCTAACAAATCCGGTGGAAATACGGCGGCCAATAAACGTAAAAACTGTCAGATCCGGGCTAATAGGGAGGGGATCCCTGAAGAGAACTCCACCAACTGGAGGTGAATCATTCGTAGAATCCAAGGGAGTGCCCAAGCAAGTGGGTTCGCCGCTGTCACACACACCACAGCAGGAATATATTTACCACGCTCAAGGGTAAGGCTGCGTCGCGTCCGCATGGGCGAATATCATCGCGGCTCCCAATTTCATCCGATTATTCATGCGGTGTTAGTTTCGGCGTCAACGCCTACAGCTCCCCGGGGTGCTTGCCTCATCATTCGTTCGTGGTGTCGTCCATCGACAAGAGATCAAGTGATAGTTGGCGCAGGCGACGCAATCCCGCAAACAAGACACACCTGCGTAAAACTCGTGGGTTCCATTCTGGATGTCATAGGCAGAAAGGGAGAACGCAGAGCTCAGACTGAAGGTAGGACGATACTATGACGACCAATGGCAAGCTGTCGACGTCAAACACAAGCGCGCGGAGAAATTGTGGGGCGTCGATTGGCCCTTCGAATGTGTCTCGTATTCAGTAACGACTCGTAACGTCACAGGCAACTCGAATATTCATCACGCGTCAGATCTCAGATCACGCGCCGGCTTCCTAAAAAGTTTGTTCTCGTGACCTAAACTACTACCGAGTCTCCCCGTGAATGCAAGCTAACCAAACCGACTCCCCCCGCTGCAGAGCACCAATAGACCGCAATATCTGTCGGGAGCGAATAAAAAATCCAGCTTCAGACGCAACATCCCCATGGATTCCGAGGCGACGCCTGGTCCCACAGAATTCTCGGCCAATAATCACGGGAGGTATTTACCAGGCCGCACCGTGATGCGAGCGGACTCTGACTGCACATACGGGCAGCGTCGGCCGTCATGCCATCAGCCCCAGAAGCGCCGATGAATCGCGTCGCAGTACGACAACCCCACGCCAGACTCACGCGCACTGTGGTCGCTGGACGCATCATCATCTCCCACCGCAATGGGAGATATAACTTCAGATAACATACCCTATGTAGTCTGGTGAGATCCCGGAGAGATACGATCCGGCGGGCCAGATGTATGTAGAGCCTAAGGTGACCTATAACAGCTAAGTCCACCCAAAGGTGCCTTTCCGGCGTCCAGTGAATTCTGCGCATCAAACGTTTTCGTGCTCGTCGAGACCGGGTCCGTCTCACCGCGCAAGTCTCGTCGTCCCACCCGATGAGTGCGGGTTCTCTCTCATGAATCTCGGCAATTGAAACGCACATCGCGTTATATCGAACCGCTATCCATCGCACCAAAAGGCTGGGGTCCACCTGCCCGACCCACTATGCCCGATCATTGCTCGATATGAACTCGCAATCGCAGAATTCTGAGAACGAACGTACCGGTGCTTCGCGAGATTGCCGCGCCCAGCTATGAAGAGGGATCTCTCGGTGAAGCCATAGACATACGGACCAGCGATACGGCGGTCGCTGTGCAGCGGCGCCTTGAAAGGACTGGTGGTATGCTTCGTCATTGGTGGGAGGCCATCAGTAATGCTATATTGTAGCCAAACCAGAACCCGAGAGGGTGTATGTAGCTGACAAGAACGTGTCAGGTTCACCAGATTTGTGGGATCAAGAACGACAGAAAAGAAAAACGGGGGGGAGCAGAGGCGACCCTTCAGTTTTAGGCCCGAAAAGAATTTGCAGGGGGGTCAGATAAGTTCGGTCCGCCTCAAAAGCATTTTTGTGGGATCGAGTTGTGGGTTTGCAGATGCGTAAAGGGAGCGACACGGAGAGCAGAAGCGCCCTCCCCGAATGTCTTAAAGAACATCCTCGTGTCATAGACCTGGCAATATAGCCGGTATAAATTTTCAGACGGAAAAACGTGAATCAAGGACAGACAAGTGACGTCACCCTGCTGCAGTGCCGCTGCTAGTGAACGTCCTGGGGACATCTAGAAATATTGCACCGAAAATTCGCGATTCGTAGGGACGATTTAAAGATCATCGTCAGCTGTAGCATGAGTACCGAAGCTTCATACGCGTTGCAGCTGACATGAGGGTACTTACCGTGACATGAGGGCACCGTGACATGGCGTCGCCGTGACGATTCGCGTCTCGTAACGCGTCTAATCGTCACGCAAATGCCAATTGAATCAAAGTGCAGAATTCGTGATACAGCCCCCTACTTTCCTATACACATTCTCCTGTAAGCGCGCGAAGGTTCGGGATGCTGTTTGACTCCAGATCTACGGCGCTGCATGCCAAACATAACTTCTGCAAACCAAAAACGGGCGGCATCAATACTCGGAAGTATTAGAAGACCTGATATGGATCCCCGAGCAAGAACGGAACGTTACCTTGTCACCCGTCTCGCATTGAAATGCAAGGGGTCGCATACGGCTCTTTCTCTCAGGGAACTTCAATGGTGAGAATGCACGCGGCTCCTTTCCGTGGATTGCATTCCACCCAGTGGAGCAGTTCATTCTCCCTGTGAGCACCCAGTAAGTACTTCGCGAACCGTAGGGCACTTCCAAGCTTTATAGTTCAATTGACTCCTGAGTTAGACCGAAGCTTGAGACAGCTGAAGATGCAGTGGCCCATGGCCCTGCTAAAGCCTGCTGCCAAGCACCATACCCCGCAATATTAACGGCAGTCGGACCACCATCATCGGACAACAAGGTTCAGCGCTGTTCCCAGTACTGTCATCTGGCGAGGACATCCTGGGATGACTTCCAGTGAGGTGGACTGATCCCGCAAGTAGAAGTTGATGTGAATCAAGCACACGACTTGACGTCTCCCCACGTCAGTGTCTGTGCATCAACGAATTCCAGATTCGTCCTCTCGTGTTTTGGTGGCGCTGAATTCTACCACCGCATTTACTGGCGAATCTAGCGATTCACTAACCATCTAGTCAGCCGACGGACCTGGAAGTATCTGGCAGCGGGAAACAAGGCTCCTGAAATGGTATATATGCCAGAGATGTTGCACTTGGAATAGTTGTACTGTACACAGTGCCATCTAACAACAGAATACGAAGGTCTTCGGACGAGATCCGGATAGAGGCGAGAAGGAGAGAGATATCGTACGTACTAGATCGGCGACAACATAAACAGAATAATATATCGAACAAATGTATGAACGTGCCCGACGTGTGTGCGTCATCGAAAACGAAACCGAAGGGGGGAAAACTGGTCGACCCAGGCGGACGGCCTCATGCATAAACAGAGCTCTCGAGCCCCGCCTTGCTCACGCGCCGCATCGGCTGCAGCGTCGCTTCGTCGACCGGAGCCCGGCGCGCATGGCGATACCGTCCCGACGCGTCCTTGATCTCCGTCTCCTGGCCTGAGTCGCCCAGCGACGCCGAGTCCACCGCACTCGGCGTAGGCATTACATGGAACGAATGCTGGCTCGTGAACACGGGCGGCAGGCTCTCGCGCACGTTCTGCGGGCGGCGCCCGCCCAGCGCGACCTGGTAATTGGCGCCGACGCCGCTGCCCCCGCTCGCAGAATCCTCGCCGCTGTCTGGGTCTGCAGGCGGCGGCACCTTGACTACGCCGACGGACTTGCCACCGAGCTCCTGCTCCTCGAAGGTCATGAGCTCCGAGACGAACCCAATATTGGGCGAGATGCCTTTGCGCCGCTCGAGCACGAAGGCGTAGGCGCGTGAGAGGGTCCAGTGGTTCGCGTGTATAAGATATGCCATTACGGCCGTGACAGATCGCGACTTGCCTGCCTTGCAGTGCACGAAGGTCGGCGCAGAGTGCAGACGTGCGTCGTCTTCGAAGCAAAAGCGATATGAGCACTAAGCCGTAGAACTGAAGGAGAAAACTCACCTAGAAGGTCACAGACCTCGCGCACGCCTCGCGTGATATTGTCTTCCTCAACTGTGTCTCGCATGGGAATGCGAATATAGCGCTCAAAGCGTTCACGCAGTCGTAGATCATGATCGTCATCGCATTCCGCAGCGAGGTTCAATATTCGCTTCACACCCAGCGCGAACAGCTCCTCGACGTGCTCTTCTGCCGTGAGCTCGGGACCGAGGAAGAGAAAATTCGGTAGAATTGTTGATACAGTGAAAATAGGGTATGGTTCCTCCGTTGTCGGCGGCTGCGAAGAATCGAGTCGTGCAGTGGAGGGCGAGCGCGGCATTGGCGTCGATGGGGTATGTGGTGTGCTGGATCCCGCACCAGGAAACGAGGGTGATGGTGGTGGGAGAAAGTCGTGCGAGCCAAAATTGGCGGATAGCAGCCGAGCAGATCCCGGCGGGGAGTGATTCGCAAAAGATAGATTCAGGTGTGAGGGAGAACGCGAACGCGAGCGTAATGAGTGGTCAGACCCAGGAAGTGGTGGCGCAGACAGCGTCGCCGCTTTTATGGGCGCAGTGCGCACCTGCAACTTCGGCATCCCTGCGTTCAGTCGCTCCGCGGAAGTCGTGTCCAATTTCCTTAGTGTGGGTATACTTGGCCGCCGCGGTGGTGGCGGTCGAGAGAAAACAGTTTGTGACGGTGGTGGCGAAGGTGTGGCATAATCACCCATAGCGTGCCATGTATGTATCGCAGACGGCATTGTCGCGAACGGTGAATGTAACGTCTGCTCAATTTCGGGAAGGTTCCTCGTCCGCGCCGCACTCGACACGTCCAGCTGGAACAATCCCGCCGACTGGCTCGTCGGCTCCTCCCTGCGTTTGTTCGTGGTCGCAATTAGTTGACGGAGATAGGGATGCTGCCGTGCGGAGGCCAAGCCGCCTTCGAGGTAGTCGACGTTCCCGGGGTCGAGTAGGGGCACAATCACCGGTAACAGCCCCCATGCCGTCGCCCCCGTGTTGTGGCGCTCCTTATCCTCCATCGTCTCGTCGTACACGATCACGTCTCCATCCCAGTCCCCACTCGTCATCATGTCGTCCCACAGCCGCTTGCCCTCCTCCGTCGGGATGAACTGCCGCAAAGCGTCCAAGTCCTGCAGCCCGCCCCCCGGCTTCCGCGACCGCTTGAGGATCAGGGACGGGATCGCCATGTTGATGCTCCCTTCAATATGGCTCTGGTGGAACAGCCCAACCGGTCGTGTGTCGATCAGTAGCGGACGTGTCGGTGCGGAAAGGCGTGCTACGAGTATCGCCGGGTCGATACCGGTCGGGAAGTGCTCTTTGCGAGATGAGGACGTCCAGTTGTCTGCGTCCACGTAGAATGCGCTTAAAGGTGTGGCGCGGGGTTCGGAGACGGGTGTAAAGTACGCGCTGTCGGGGCTCATACTTGAGGTCGGGCTTGGCGAAGGCTGTGGTCGTTCCCGCTCTGCCCAGGAGCTGTACGGTGGCGATGCCGGTTGGCGGGTGCGGACGGAAGAGGACGAGCGCAGAGGCCGTAGGCGCAGGTTCTTTTGTACATTCCGTCGAAGTCTCTCCAGTATAGCGAAGTCTTTCGAGAGTTCGTCCGAATTGGCGTCCGAGTCTGTCTCGAGGTGCGACTGGTAGTCAATCGGTGAGTCAGACGAGCCGGTAGATGGGGAGGAGAGGTTCAACAAGTCTTCGTCATCAATTGGTGTCTCGAGCTCGATAATAGTGTTAGAAAGACCAGGACGCTTTGTCGTCGTGACCTGAAGAGTGAGATTGGTTGGACGACCTTTCCTTGGAGGCATGAGGCTCTGCAAGTAAATGCAGATTATGTGTCGCCTTCCAGAAGTTCTGAACGAGACCTTTAGCAGAAAACTTCAGTAGCAGCTACAGTTCAGGATAGTACCAGCTAGTTGGAGGATGGACGTGATGAGCTTGGAGCTGCAGCCTGTGATGAGCAAATTTTGAGTATGTAAGGGGATATCTAACTGGTTTTGGAGATACAAAATCACACTTATATAACTAAAACTACTTTTTTTCATAATAGCCATTATTAATCTAATTGGTGTTCCAAACTAACGCATTGCGCGTAAGTCGCCTGCTTCCCAACGCGTTCCCATTTTCCGTCACGGTCCACCCCAAAAAAACATACAAAAGATCCCGTCCCAATGTATCAATCCCCTAACTTCCGCAGAACACAGCAGTTGCAACCCGCTGTGCAAGACAAATACCGCACCCAAGCTTCAACGCTCCAAGAACTTTTCCCTGCATGGTCCAACGAAGGTATTTTCCGCCACCACATCCCTCTCTTTCGATGCTCAAATGCTCGTGCGACCCCACAGATCTGCAATCTGTGCTCGACGAAGTGAGTGGAGACATAGGGCTTGCAGTAAGTAGGATCAGTGAAGGTAGGTTTTTACTTGTGTTGTCATTGCACCATTAATCCGTCGCCAGGTCATGCTGAGCAGTGGGGCTCTGTCAACCGTAAGAAGGACAAGAAACCGACCACTTCGCCTTCACTTCAGTCGAAAGAGCCTTCTTCTCCCAGGAGTGGTGAGTTCCGCGGTGCCAGAGGCGGTCGCGGTGGAAGAGGTGGTGCTGGACGGGGCGGCGCAGCACGAGGGTCGTTCGCCCGCGGTGCCCACCATGAGACCAACGGCCACCTGCCCAGACGTTCTCACGGCACCGAAACAGCGGTGTCCAAGCCAGAGGCATCCGCTTCTACCACCGCTACTCCTGTTGCGGCTCCATCGAAGCTAGCGGAGGATGGCGCACAAACGCCTGCCGAAGCCTGGGAGCATCCCCCCTCGGAGGCGACTACTAACGCTGCGCCTTCTACCCAGTCTGCATGGGGAACGAGCACGCCTACAACTTGGGGAGGTGATACCGCCGTTAACGGCTCAGCTGCCCATCCTGCTCACGCTCCCAGTGCTGCTCCCCAACGCCCTGCGTCCGTGAAGGTGACCAAAACTCCAGCAACGTCCAAGATGTCCTGGGCGCAGATTGCACGGTATGTGTTTTCTGATTGGCCTCATGTAGTTCTTCCCCCAACGTAGTGCATGTCGTAGACCCCACGAGAAGGCAGCACCTACTCCATCTGCTCCGGTGCCTGCTTCAACGGTTGCTCCTGCTATTGTTCCTGCTCCCTCAACTGCACCTCTAGCTGCACCAGAACACAGTCCTCTGCTAGAGGAGGCCCCCGCGGAGCTACCGCAACAAGGTTGGGAAGAGCCAACTACTGTACAAGCTCCTACATGGGAAGATGAGCCGCCCGCTGTGCTTGCAGCTGATACATGGGCTGCGGAGACACAACGTACTGCTGAAGAGCCGAAAGCAGTGGAGGTTGAAGTGCATGTACCCGAAGAGCCAGCTGTCGTTCCTGAACATGCTGTTCCCAGTGCGCTTCCCCCCCAGCTGCAGCAGCCACCTATAGTCGAATCACTCCCGGCCGTCGTGAAACCGATCACCCCGGCTGCTCATACACGACCAGCAGCCGTGGCGCACCGCAGCAGCGCGAAGTTCAAGACGACGGATCAGGCCGTGGTCATGCCCAGCTCAAACTTTGGAACCGTGGAGAAAGTTGGCATGCAGTTTGGCAGCTTGAGCGTTGGTGGTGATGACCTTGATGTAACCACGTATGTGTTGCCGCTCATTGTCAACGATATCAGTTACTGATCAGTATTTCTCTAGGTATGAACCCGCTTCACCGGAAGAGGTGTCTGTTCGCGCAACCGAGCCAAGTGCTTTCGACCCACAGCTGTCTTCACAACCGTCGTCCGTCCCTGCACCTGCGCAGCTTCAGGAGACACCTGCTACACCTATTATCTCTCCTCCTACACAGCCAAGTGCCGCACCCAATGTTTTCCAGCAGGCGCTACCACAGCAGGTACAGCAACAGCAGCATCAACAACAGCAGACACAACAACCCACCCAGCATGTTGCTCAACCGCAGCACTCATTACCTCCTTCCCTCACCCAACCTGTTGTTCCCACTCAAGCCCAAATCCAAGCCCAACCTTCCTTACCTGCATCCGGTACATCCACATCCTCTATATCCCAGTACTCGCAGTCTCTCCCGCAGCAATCCATTTCCAACCACCAGCTCCCTCAGTCGCAAGCGCAGCAGCAGCACCTTCCATATGTGCAACATGGTCTCCCCTCACACTTCGAGCCCGCGCAGAACCAAGCACACTCTCCGTCCATTCCGCACGCCCAACAGCAACAGCAGAGCCTTGGTGGAGCCTCGTACTTCCGCCAACCTGAGGCACCGTACTTCCACACCCCAACTCCGCCCGCGACTCAGGCGCAAGAGAGCCCATATGGTGCGTTTGGCCAGCTCGGCCAGCAGCAAATCCAGCACCAAGGCCAGGGCTCGCGCCTCACAGGCTTTGGCGGTGAATATGGCTACACCGACACCCAGAGAGTATGTTTCTTTTGGCATACACCCTTGATATCTCAGACTTACTTGGCGATTAGCAGACTTTTTATGATTCGTACTCTGGCTCCGCTGGTTTCGGGAACCATAACGTACTTGGTCATGACGAAATCAAGGGCCTGCCCGGTGCTCAGCAACAGTCTCACGGTGCACCCGGCCTTCCTCCTACCAATTCTCAGTCGTCTCAACAACTTCCCCCCTCATCACAAACAAACCAGGCGCAGCCGAATGCAGGCCAGGGCCCGCAACAAAGCTACCCTCCACCCCTCCCATACTACTTCCCCTACCCGCAGAACCAGTACTACGGCTCCCCTTACAACTCTGGTTACACCGTGCCGCAGCCCTTCGTGAAGTACCCGACCGTTTTCCAAGCAGGACCGCCCGGACCGCAGTCTGCGCCGTCGCCTGCCGCGAAACAAGGACCGGGCGCGGTGCAGCCACAGTCGCCGTATGCCCAGAACCTGTATGGACAGCAACACCCGTCGAGCGCGTACGATGATCTTGGGTACCAGCATCACTCTCAGCACTCCCACGCGCAGAGCGTCGGCAGCACGATCCCGCAGGCTGAGTATGGCAAGTCGCTCTACGGCGCCGGTGGCCAAGGAATGCAGGGTTTCATGGGCCTCGGCCAGTCGAACGGCCCTTCGTCGGGTCCGCCCATCGGCCAACGCGCGGGCGGCGCCTCCCCTGAGACCGTGTACAAGCCGTACGGCGGGAACGTGGGCGTCAAGGATGTCGGTGGGGGTGTTGGTGTTGGACAGGGCGGTGTCGGCCAACCACAGACCCGCGGTGGCGTGCAGCAGCCCGCTCAAGCCGGGTTCTATGGTGCGCAAAGATTCGGTGCGGGCACATCGGCGGTGCCGCAGAGCCAGCAGGCGCAGCAGCACCAACCGCAGGGCCAGGTTCCGCAGGGTCATATGGGCGGCTACCCACAGGGCGGGTCGGATGCGGGCCAATTCTACACGTACCAGCCGAGACAGCAGCAATATTGGCAATAATTATCCGGGCTGACTGCGTTTTTCACACTCCAAAGATGAACTTGGCTTGCAAGTCGTATGCATGAGCTGTGTCAGTGGTCGTGTTCGCTATCTCGTGTCTCCTCTTCTCTCGTACTCATTCTCTGCTTGACCCGTTGCAATGGTGTTGTGTCTCGTTTGATTTCCTTCCTGTCTTCGTTCGTCATCTTGCTAGCGCTGCCTAGGCCTGTTTCATCTTTACTTGTCTCTTACATATCGTACATCTCATCTCCGTCACATCTCATCCTCACGTGTACATTTGTGATCTACCTGCCAGCTTTCAGAATGCCTATCTATGATACAGCCTCAAAACAGCGAACATACGACTCGGTGGACGTCAGTCCATAACATGAAAGCCTCGGGCCGTTGTCAATAATATTGCTATCGAGCAACAAACCCGGCGAGCTCATCCATTCTTTCGACAGCGAGCTAGTGAGAGTTGGCGTTTGAGGAACAACTTATACAAGACAGAAAATAAGACTTTTAGACACGCCAGTACTCACATCCTTACCAATTTCTCTCCCCAGGAAATCGCGATTGCAGGAATTAATGCGATGGTATATCTGCAAGGTCACGGCGGAAGGTGTTGATCGGTACAATATCCAGGCCGGACGCTCATCATGTCTTTCTATGAATTCTCGGTATGTCGGAACGGGTCGCTTTTTTTGGCCTTGGTATACTTGACAGTCAAATTCAAAAACAGATTGTGTCTAGTGGTACGCTCTTGTGCACACAAGTTAATCGGTGCAATAATTGCAGAGTGTGCAAAGGATCAGTAATCAGGGCACACGTCAGAGAGCGACAACTTAGCACTGAAATTAACTTATCTAGGGAGCTTTCATATCGCGCCATACAGGATTTGCCCATCCACAACAGTCGCCCGCACCTTCGTCGCAAGAATCTCCGTAAACGGCGCGTCCTCGCGCATGATATCCGTATCCAGCACGACAAAGTCTGCCTTCTTCTCTGGCTCGAGCGACCCGAGCTCGTGCTCCGCAAATGCCGCATACGCAGCGTCGAGAGTCATGCCTTTCAGCGCCTGCGCGCGCGTAAGGCGTTCGGCCGGGTACCTGCAGAAGATCAGCGAGGTCACTCATAATAGTAGTCTGATACCTGGTGAATGAATGAGCGTACCAGCCGCCAGGCCCGTGTGGGCTGTTCCCATTCACGTCAAGTCGGGATACGGCTGCGTAGAACCCCAGCAGCGGATTGATGCCTTCCACTGGGAAGTCTGACCCTAGAGGGAGGGTCTTCAAAGGCGATGCCCTGTAGGGTGCAGCGGAGAGCGTCGATGAGTATGGTGCCTAAGCGAGCCGTCGAAATACTCGGCCTCACTGCAGTAAAGACTGATATGCATATCCTCCTTTGATCCGATCTCGACCCTGTAAACGCATCAAACACAACCTCAGGATACTCCAGGATACACGTACCAGGCGACTCTCAGCATACCCCATGTCGCTTGTCCTTCAACCGAGGTCAGTATCAGAGAAACGAAGTCATTGGGGAGGACGTACGCATGTGTGGGCTGCACACTCGTAATCACTATGTAGGCACGTAAGCATGAGAAAAATCCTCGTTATCGCCCACTCACCACCCAGCCTTCCCGCACGCTCTATGTCTCCGACACGCATGATCTGTGCATGCTCGATCCTCGGTCGCCGCGCATGTGCCTGTTCGGTATCATTTCCCAGCAGGCCCTCAAAAATGTCCAGTACGGCTTTGTTAGCGCGGTCCCCAATGCAGTGGATATTCTCCGTCGACCTCAGCCCATGTATCGGGACACAAAACACTGCATAACTTACGATACCCCAGCCAGCCTCCCAGAAGCGTGCCACCGTCGCGTTGAGCGCCGCTTCGTCGCTGCGCATGAGTCCGCTTGTCCCGGGGTTGTCGGAATACGGTTCCAGAAGGGCCGCGCCCCACGACCCCAGTGCACCTGTATATTGTCAAGCATCTGGGTCAGATACACTAGAACGGACCCACCATCTGTGTACAGCTTGACGCTGCGCACATTCAGCCGTCCGTCCCGCCCGTAGCCCGTAAGCCACGGTATTTTATCACCCCAATATGTCGGCTCGTTCGAGTGACCCATAGCGTAGACGCGGAGCTACGCCCATGGAATGCTGTAAGCACGAATGCGTGCGAATATCTATGAACGTACAGGTAACTTCCCCTCGTCTGCCACCCTAATCGCTGATTAGGGTGATAAACTATTCAGGTACACTGGATAACTCACTGCTTGAATACATCAATCATATCCACTTCCACGTCGGCATCATGCACGCTCGTCAAGCCCACGGCCAACGCGTCAGTTAACGCGCGCTCGAGATATGCCTTCATCTGCGCTGCGGACCGGGGAGGTTTAGGTACGAGCGCCATAGCAGCATCGAGGAACACGCCTGAGAGGCCATTAAGCTTGGCGCAAGCTAGAAAAACCTACCCACGAACCAGTCATCTCGCCGTTCTCATATCGCACCACTTCTCCACCCTCAATTTCCCCCGGCCCTGGGTTCACAAATGCTAGTGCTGTGGGAGAGACCCAGAGAGCATGCCCGTCAACACGGTGCAGTGCGAGTGGACGCGATGCAAGGAGCGGGCGTATGGCTAGATCCGCCTGTGAAGGAATTCAGTCAATTGACATATCCTTCACCTTACGCGAAGCTCTTAAAAGATTTCGATAGAACAGAAGTACTGACCGCCGTCGGAAAGCCACCTCTCCACCCTTTCCAACGCGTCTGGTCCCAGCCCATGCCCTCCACCCAGCGAGTCTCATCAGCAAAAACATCGGGGTGCGAGCGGACATAATCCTCGATGATGTCCAGGACGTCTACTTCGGTTGGTCGATGGGGGGAAAGGTTATCCACCAGTAAACGCACCGTTAAATGTTTCAGCTCCGTCAAGCGGAAGCTCCACTTTGAAGCCGTACATAATCAGGTGTGCGTGTGCATCTGCGGCGAAATGGCATTAAAATGAAATGCAACTACAGTCATAAAATGTACCTGCTAGACCAGGTACAACAATACTACCGGGTACAGGACGAATAATGGTGAGCGGCTTCTTTGCACTAGGTTCATTACCGTAGAATCGTGCAATGAGTGCGTTCTGATACTCTTCCCACTGTACCTGAAGGCTAGCTTGAAGTAGCACGTCAGTACGAAATAGGTGAAAGAGTTCAGGCTACGCACATAGACTTCCGGTAGCAATAATCTTGTCCTTCCTCACAAGCATGCAATCAACCACAGGCTCTACCTCATTGACGGTGTATATCGTCCCATTGTTACTGCACAATGCATAAGAATCTGGCAACTGCGTGACAGTTTTGTATTCAGGTCCGGATAAGTTTATGCGATACGCGATACCGGCAAGCACAGAGGCGACACAAAGCCAGAAAAGTCGAGGACGAGTAGAGGATGATGAAGTCTGAGAAATTGCTGACTTTGAACCCGTCGTTGAAGTTGTCTTTGCCTCGACAAAAGGTTTGGTTTGGTCCGACTCCATCCTGCGGCGAGACATGGTCCAACGAGATCTCGTAGGATCTTGTTCGGAGCGCTCCGAAGGCGCGGGTTCTGGATAAGACTTTCGTAGAAGGTTGGAATCAAATCATAGTTCTACCACAGTCGTTTTTGTAGCTATCTTACAGCTGGATTCCTATTAAAATCGTGCATTTTGTGTCAGAATCTGAGACTAGACCTGCGGCCGCGGTGCATTCGATTTCTGCTGGTCCTGAAGTCTCCTCAAGCTGTGGCCTGGAAATTGCCGGTAGTGATCGAGGTCTATTACGCGCTCAAGGTTGACGATGATTAACCACCACTATCACAGCGTGCTGCCTCCGCAAATTCTACTTATTCAATTCGTGTATTGCGTGCTCTAATCCTTTAAAACAATTCACCTACACATCTTCAAGTTCAACTCAGCCCGGGCAATACGATTTCATGCCGAATGTGCGGACGTTTCTCGCTGGGCATCCCCGTGAGCGGCCATTCTGGTACATTTTCTGGGTTCCCATTCACAGGTCAGTTCGCGTAGCATCACCAAATACAAGAGCTGCACGGATACAACGTGCAAGTAGGCGAGTGGATAGGCCAGGAGCAATTTGTGCCTAGGTGTGTATGAAATCCGGTCTGTCGCATCTCAGCAGGAGGCTCCAACAGCCCTTCAGGCACAACATCGCACCGCGCTCGCAAGCACCTGTCCTGCGTAGACGCGAGCATGGAGAGGATATTCCAAATGCTCCTTCCGACGCTCTGATCATACAAACTATGAAATGGGGATTGGTGCCTCATTGGAGCAAGCATGAAGACAACCGATTGAACACCGTTAACGCGCGCTGCGAGAATTTAATCGAGGGCGGTGGCATGTGGGCGAGCATCAAGGGCAAAAGGAGATGTGCCGTAATATGCGAAGGGTAAGCCCACGTCCGATACTTGACCCGTTTCACGAGCCTTATGTACCGTAGCTACTTCGAGTGGTTGAAGAAGGGGGCACAACGACTACCTCACTTCACCAAGCACAGGAACGGTAGTTTGATGCTGCTTGCAGGCCTGTATGACCGCGTTGTGTTGGAAGGTAATTGTTTTAATGGCGAAACATTGCTTGATGTTGAGCGTAACATTCAGGGCAAACCGAACCGCTTTGGACATTTACCGTAGTCACCACGGACGCCAGCAAGGAATTTGAGTGGCTACACGACAGGCAACCAGTAATACTGCCGTCCATGGAAGCTCTAAACACCTGGCTCAATACCTCGCCTCAAAGGTGGACTCCTGAGCTGACGAAGGTAGTGCAACCCTATCACAACCTGGATTCCCCACTGTTATGGTAAGCTGATACCTCTTCCCACTTTGTAACCATTGTACTCAGTATGCGCAAGCTACCAAGTGCCCAAAGAAGTCGGGAAAGTCGGGACGGAGTCACCTTCATTCATCGAACCCTTAGCCGAGAGGAAGGACGGCATTCAGGCGATGTTCGCTAGGCAGCAGGAGGGTCCGTTTGCCAAGGTTGCGACCCCAACAAAGAAGAGAAAGCGAAGCGCATCCCCGCAGCCTGGGTCTAGCAAGAAGGTGGAGAGCCCTGCCGAGCATGGCGTCAAGGCGGAAGCTGAGAAGATCAATGCATGGGACGATGATTCGGATATTGAGTATGTCGACAGTAGTAAGGCCAACGAGGAACACGGAGAGATGTCAAAGGTTTCTCCGGCCAAGGTGCGTTTTCAGGTCATCTTCGTCTAGCTTCATTCTGAGTTGTTCGATATAGCCGCATGCTGCAAGTATACGAGATAAGGTGGGCATATTTTTATGCGCAAATTCCGATATGTTGTTATATCTAACTTGTCTAATTTCCTGCTAGTCGTCACCGAAGAAGGCAACACCGCAGAAAGCAGTAACAAAGACACTAGTGTCTGAGAAGCCAACAGCGAAGAAGCAGAAGAAGACGTCCAAGCCCGACATGTCCACGAAGATCACAACATTCTTCGCGAAATCATAGTAACAGGATTACAGTGGGTAAGCTTGTCGTCTGTATGTAGGATTGGATGAAATGGCGTCAGGAAGAGAATATTTATTTTCCCACCAGGATCGGCGGTGAAATATCTTATGCGGATTTGCGACTGATCAGCCGCTATGTGCAACTTATTTGACTACGGTATGGTACTGTAGAAGAACCGTACCATTAATATATTATTGTGTACCTCTAACTCAATAGGATTCTCTATACTTCAAGAGCATGAGAATGCAGGCTCCTAAAACCAGCCGTCGCTATAGCGTTCTCGCTCCTTTATCATATGTTTTAAGAGATCATGTGATATATATATTTTATGAGACTTACCCGATTGAGCGAGAAAATAGCCGAACAAGAGGAGGAGAACACTATAGGACGGCTGGCCTATAATGTCAACCGAGGTTTCGCCGCTGGCGGGGGGGGTGGGCGCTTATCCGGCGCTTCTCACTGTACGGCGAAACCTCGGTTGACATTATAGGCCAGCCGTCCTATAGTGTTCTCCTCCTCTTGTTCGGCTATTTTCTCGCTCAATCGGGTAAGTCTCATAAAATATATATATCACATGATCTCTTAAAACATATGATAAAGGAGCGAGAACGCTATAGCGACGGCTGGTTTTAGGAGCCTGATGAGAATGAAGAATCTGTGGGAAACAGATGCAACGGGGACCCAAAGTGACGACTGTTTGCCGTCTCTAGCAAGCCTCTTTCTACTGACCGATGACAGAATCTCGTTGTACAGATCTGATGGGAATCATCGACTTCACGACAAAGTCCTTTACCAGTCCCTTTACCGTGCCCGCCAACGATTGAGGGTTTAATTAGCGCCCGGTTAGCGTACACAGCCACCGCTCAATGTATGGTGTTCTGGTTTCATGTTCGTTTCCTCTTACCATTGCATTTTCTTGGATATCTCTGATTTTGTTCCCAAAGTTTCTCATTTTCTCACTCTTTTTTTTTGAGCCCGACTAGATGTGCAGACAGTACTCCCTAGGCGTTTCGGTGAGCAGCTAGCTCATCGTTCTTCTCTCGGCCCGAGCTCTGATCCTAAGTTTGCACTGCACCAAGATATCGGAAAGCTGCAAGGTTATCCCGTGGACGTCCATGAATGGATAGACGAGGACCAGTTTCCCCCAGGTGCGCCAGATTGCAGTGTGTCACGTCCGAGCAGGTAGCTTCACGAGCGTTAGATACAATATCTCAGCGTCCGCGACAGCACCTGTCCTGCGCAGTTGGGTCTATGACGATGTCTTGGATGGAAGGAATATTCCTCCCAATTCTCATGTCGTCCACACTATGCGTTAGGGCTTCGTGCCCCACTACGACCCGAAGAAGGCCATTGTGAATGCGCGCAGCGAGAAGGTGATCGAAGGCATTGACGGTACATGGAAGGTTGCGAGGATCAATAGCAGATGTGCGGTGTTGTGTTAAGGGTGAGCATAATAGCATCGAACACTGCTTTGTATTATGCTGATAGTTGGAACGTTGTAGATACTTCATATATGTTAGAGCGCGTCCTTACTTTGTCAGATACCAGAACGGAAACTTGATGTTGCTCGCGAGTTTGCATAGACGTGTTGTGCTCGAAGGTAATCTTCTCAATAGCCAGCAGACGCCGCCTTTATCTGAATCCGACATCTCAGAAGGACAGGAACCAGTCTAGACATTCGCTATCATCACTACGGATGCTGATGACTGGACTCGCTACGCGGAAGACATCCTGTGATATTATCTTCTATGGGAATATTAAACACCTGGCTCGATACCTCTCCGCCAATATGGTCAGATAAACTCACCGAATCGGTTCAACCCTACAGCGATAAGACGTCTCCGCTTGACTTGTAAGCTACTACCGCCGACGATCTGTATGCTGTGGTTGTATAATAAAACGTGAACAAGCTACCCAGTTCCCATTGCTGTCACACATTCCGCGAACGATTCTGCTTCGTTCATTCGACCTGTGGCACCGGAGAGGAAAGATGACACTATCCCATCCATGTTCGCACGGCAGAGGGAGGCTCAAGAACTTCCTGCAACACAAAGGAGCCAACATATCGCGTCATCACCAGCAGGTCCCAGCCAGCAGGGGGAGAGTTCTGGCACCTGTGTCCCGCCAGAAGTTATCACTGTTTCTGACGACTCTGAGGAGGGATCAGTCGAGCGTGACGATCCGAAGGGTAAGAAGAAGGCAACATCAAAGAGCTATCATGTGAAGGTCAATCTCCCGCTTAACTGTATCTTACTCGGATGTTCAACGTTCATTCATAGAAGTAGGCTAAGTTCCAACTTACATCAACAGGGAAGCAAAGGCACGACCGATCGCAAGGGTCTAGCCTGAGAGGTGAGGGCTCGGGCACGCATGTCGCCACTTCCGAACTTGAAGCCAATGATAACTCAGACATTGAGGAAGGCAATATCGAAAAGTTCTCGTGCCAAGGTCAGTTCCTTACTAAACTGTTAAGGCTGGACCCTCGAAATTTCCCGATATACAGAGGCGCAAGCATAGCGCATCGCCACAGCGAGTCCAGCCACAAGCGGAAATGTTTCGGCAAACGTGTCTTCACCTCTGAAGCCGACGATCTTTCGAATGTTGAGACAGTTGAGCCTGTTGAGGATCTCAGGAGCAAGAAGAAGCCAACGCCAAAGACCTCCCGTGCCAAGGTAAGCTTCCTACTCCGCTATTTCTTCATTCATTCTGATCTGCAGAATTAGTCTGGGCCCTCGAAATCTATCTCAACCATGAAGAGGAAGCCCAGTGAACCACTACAAGAGGGGTCCAGCCAGCAGGGCAGGCATTCCAGCGGACATATCGTCATTTCTGAGGACCATGATGACTCGGCCGTTGCGTTGGTCGAGAACATTGGCAATCCTAAAAGTAAACAGAAGGAGACATCGAAGGTATGTCGTGCCAAGTCAAATGTAAGTTTGTTGCCGGTATAATCTGGCTTCGTGCTGGTTCACAGAAGGTGGCTGTGCTATCCAAACGCACCTCCTCAACAAGGAAGGGAAATCACGGCTCGTCTCCTCAACCCGAGGCAGAGTTGGCGGATGCTACTTCTAGCGCATATTCTCTCACTTCCGGAAGGGAGCCCGTTGATGATGACTCCGATGAGGAGGTTGCGCCCACAGATGATCCCAAGGGTAAGAAGAAAGTGACAACAAGGGCCTCTCGTTCTACGGTGAGTCTCTTGACTAATCTTATGACTTCCTTCCGTCTTTTCACCATCGGTCTGTTCATTGCCAGGCAATGCGGGGCCAATCTACTGTAAGTTGATAGTCTGTGAAATCAGGACTCTGCTGAAATACTGCTAGATTCCACTAGATAGGGAGTATGTTCGATCTAGCTCAATAGGATTAATGGGTTTCTGGCCTGACCTGACGGAAGGACAAGTGCAATGGGTAGCCTACAAGAATGATAAAGCATGCTAGCGATACAATAGCGGAGGGATCTGGTGGATACAGTATATGACGTGAAAACGAAGACACTCTATCAAACTTTCTCGGATTGAAGGGACGATATGAGACGATTGAAGTCTAAAGGCCATATCTGCTTCAGCCACATGGAGGCAGAGGGACTGGGGGACGCTGACCTTCCATCGCTCTCTTTGCGATGGCCATCCCCTGCACCTGACCCTTCTCTCTTTCCTTGTCTCTCTCGGCCATAAATTTGTGCTTCTGTTGTGCGAGGACCTGGGCATACAATGCAATCAGTGAGTCAATAGAATGGCGCATATAGTCACGCACGAGCAGCCTCTGCTGTTCCCTGAGCAACTCAACCCAAATCCGACGAATATCGTCATCAATTGAAGCGTATTCTAACACGAACTTCTCGTATATGCCATTTCTGCGCGCATATAGTCAGCTAACTCCGTCTTTCGACGCCCCATATCACTCACATCTCCGCAACGGTACTCGCTAACTCGTCTGTAGTTGCAGAGATCTGGAGTTGTAAGAGATTAAAATAACACGCATTAGTTACAAGGCTGACGCTTACTCACGCGCGATTCCAGCTCGTTCTTTGCTAACTGGAGGAAACGTCCCTCTTTCTCCTTCCGCTTCTTCTCCCATGAAGCTGCGCAAGCGGTCAGAGCTGAATTAGGTCTTACACTGGGATCCTCACTTTGCATCTCTTGCGCAACTACTGCCATCAGCCTAAAAGGCTGCTCGTCAGTACTCTGACTATAGTAGCACGACCAGCACTTGCCCTGCATCGTCGCTGCTCACGGACTGCTGAGACAGCTGCAAGGAAATTAGGTTCACCGAACGATAATAGATATTTTTCAGACCTTTGATTCTTTAGCACTTCTTTGGGGCATTTCAACACTTCGATTGTTAGTACAGATGAAGGAAGTAGATTCAGAACGAGACTCTCGAGTCGACGCGTCGCGATCACGTGCTACTAGACGCTCACTCGGAGCAGATGAACAGTAAACAAAGTATTAAATAATGATAGGAGAGCAAGAAAGCATGCACACGGAATCGTATAGATACATCATAGACAACTTGGTATGCTACAGATGTCAGAGAGGTGGAATCCAGAACCGAGAACAAAATATCACACTACCACTGCCGCTTGGATCTACTCCATCCGCAAGGAGACTGGTGCTCGAAAGGTCGACATTATGCCATGGACGCCACACGTACACTTCGCGGCCTTCCTGGACATCCTCTACTTTGTTCATCCGCAGGTTCGCACACGGACTCCCTATATTCAGCAGAATATTCAGTACCTCTGCGCTCTGATTCCCTGAGTTACGACATCGGAGGATCGCGAGACATGGAGGCTGATGTGATCGATGGTTACCCGTGCCCTTACTGACGTGAAATACGGAGACGATCCGCAGACGCAGCTCGGGGACAACACGCCGGGAGTTTCGTATGCAGTTGTGTATGTCTGTCTGCCAAAGTAAAAGCGCGGTATCGTTATGACCAAACAGACATTTCGCATTGTCTGCCAAGCCACCTCTGCGACGTCCGCAATTAGCATCAGCTTCACATGAATAGATCACTGACAGCTGTACCTAAGGTACTTCGCATCCTTGTTCTTGTTCTTCGATGCCTTCTCCGGACTCTGACCCAGTCCGCGAAGCAGCTCACGCTCGACGGGGTCAACGTATCCGTGGCCATGCTGTTGCACAAAGATAGACAGAAGCTCGGCAGATCCGCTCTCCGTATGTGGATCTGTAGCCAGGGCTACGTTCGTAGTGAATATAGTCTTCATCTCACGCTGTACAGACCGGGACGGAGTTTTCGGTGCAAAGGACGGAGGTGCTGCGATACTCTTGAGAGATGCTGGATTCTTGGACGGAGATGCGCCATGCTTAGGCGGTGGTGGGATAGGAATGGTCCGGGAAATGGGTTTCATGGAGGAGGACGTCCCAGGGAATGGAGGTGGTCGCGAGATCGGAGTTACCGACGATAAGGGCTTGCTTGAACGAAGCGGGTTCGCTGGAGGTGGTCTGGGACCCAGCGACATGGGCTTCATGGTAGATGAAATTGATGGGCGCAATTGCAACCCACTGATGCTACGTAGTCGTCCTGACGCGGATTCTGAGACACCTACAGGCTGACGTAAAGCAGAAACAACTGCTTGCATTCCATCTTCTGCTGACTTAGGTGGGGAGGGCAAGACGACAGGTGGAGCTTTGGGTGGCCGCTCCGGAACTTTCTTCACAGGAGAAACTTCACCAAACGCGGAGAGATGCCCTGCACGTAGCTTCTCCAAGTCGGTTGAACCAACGCGTGCCTTGGACGGGCCAGGAGTGGATGGGGAAGATGCATCGCCAAAGGCAGAGACAAATTTCGGAGCAGAAACATTAATTGGCTGCTTCTTCTGGACGAATCCTGGCGGCAATGTCATTCGAGCCCGTTTGGTCGAATGAGGCTGCATCGATATGAGGCTTATTAACAAAAAGACCAAGAATATTTTCGGTCACCTTCAGCTCTTCGCCGTCTCTCTTTCCCTTCATTACTCGGAGTATCATAAACTGTCATAAGGTGGAGCAATCGCAAGCTCTAGCCACGATTGAACAGAGGAGGCAGAAATTTGCCCTTGCAATCACGGACCACGCGGTGGACGGAGGAGAATTGTAATTAGCGCCCAAACCTACTCGTTTACGTAAAACTTGTTCAGATATGATCTCGATCAGATCCTACTTCAGCAGTTCGTCCGATCCTGTGCTATGGAATTTGCATACGTCCAACCTATGACAGACCTCACGGAGGACATTAGACGAGAGATTGGACAGGTATGCTTATTTTCACGCCGATTCCGAGGATCTCTTATGGAACTGCCGTCAGCACTTTGTCTTCGGGTTTCATGGGCACGACGTCAACGACGATATCAGGATACTGATCTGTGACTATTTCCTCGGGTAAGTAACCTGTAAAAGAGGACATATTATTATCTTAACTTGGTTTGTGCAGAAATGTAATACTCATGAAACGGAATGTCCAAAGTGTGCATCTCTGGACTGGAAATCCGAGTCTACGATGTCAATGATGGCGGTGTGCAGGCATCGTGCAAGTCCGTGCTCTCGTTCGCAAGCTTCAGCTGCTTGCGAAGGAGGCTGGGCACAAGCGTCCACTCATGATCGGTATCGATCAAGAGAACGGTAAGTCCGTAATCCCCTCGCGAGTTATGTACGCTGTGATACACCCCCCTAGGCCTTGTCTCAGCGTTCAGTCTGTCGTTTACAGACGATGCTGGCACACAATTGTGAGTGTTTTCTTGTGCCCTCGGATGTGCATGATCTCTTCTACTTTGCAAGTCCTGGTGCCATGGCTCTCGCTGCATCTGGTTCCCCCGAACTAGCTGAGCGTGTTTCGCATGCAAGCGGACGGGAGCTACGATTAGCGGGTATCCATTGGGCGTATGTCTTATCCAATACCTCCCCATGCGCAGCCGATTGATGGTGATGTCGTAGCTACAGCCCTGTAGCGGATATTAACTCGGATCCAAGAAACCCAGTTATAGGTGAGTCTAATCGAGCTAATACTACAATACAGTGTCTGAATAATCGGCCAGGCGTGCGCTCGTATGGTGATGGTGTGTCGTGCCTCGAACTGCAACCAGTTACAGTAAAGCTAATACTAGTCGCCTTTGCAGACCCGAATGAGGTTGCTCTCTACGTCCAGGCAGTAAGCCGCGGTTTGATATCTGCGAAAATCGCACCATCGGCCAAACATTTTCCAGGGCACGGAAACACGCATATTGATTCACATCTCAATCTTCCCCGCATAATGACCTGCCAAAAAGACCTGGCAGCGACAGAGCTCGTCCCGTTCCAAGCCCTGGTGGATAGCGGCATTCCTAGCATAATGACGGGACACATGGCTCTCCCGCTCATCACAGACGATGATACCCCCTGCTCCCTGTCGAGGCAGATCACCACTGGTCTCTTGCGCGAAGAGATGGGCTTCAAAGGCGTCATTGTCACCGACTGTCTCGAGATGGAGGCCGTCGCGAGTAAATATGGAGCTGAAGGCGGTGCTGTCATGAGTCTGCAGGCGGGCGCAGACATCGTCATGATCTGTCACCAATACAGCCGTCATATGGGAGCATTGGAAGCAGCGTACACTGCTGTGCGAGAGGGAAAACTGTCGATTGACGCATTGCGCGTTAGTGGCGTTAGGATCAACGCTCTGAAGGACGAGTTCGCAGGGGCTTGGGATGACGTGTTCTCGTCGGGGTTGGAGCCCGATGAGCTGTCTCGCCTGAAGCAGGAGAATATTTTGCTCGCCCAGCACGCGTACGCTCGATCAGTCGCTGTCATACGCGATCCTGTCGGCACCCTTCCTCTCAGCACCAACGGCCACGCTGTCCTATTCACTCCGCGTATGGAGAGCATCAACCTCGCTGTAGACGATGCCGAGGGCAAGCTTCGTGACAGCCAGAGACGTCTGCGGAACACGGCGGGTCCGTCATACCAAGCCTTCGCCGCCTCGATCTCACAGCGAGTACTAGTTCCTGTGAAGCACATCGTCTACGCGCCAGACGAAGAGATCTCGGACTCGATAAAAGAGAGCCTCCGGGCAGCTACATCAGTCATCTTTGCAACCCGTAATGGCCTCGACCATGGCGAGTGGCAAATTGGTGTCGTGCGCAGGGTTGTCGAGACTGTGGATTCAAGCAAGCTTGCTCTGGTCTCGACATGCGCACCGTACGATCTTTTGGCTATGCAAGGAGTCAATGCGCCTTGTCTCGCTACGTTTGAATTCACTGTCCCAGCATTGAGAGCGGCAGTGGCAGTGATTTTCGGCGAGACAACTGCAGTCGGAACAGTCCCAGTCAAGTAGAGATTGACGGCCACGATGAAGTGTGTCTGTACTTGTAAAACATATAGTATTGTACGGGAAATACCTTCCACAGCTCACGCAGCAGATCAGACATAGAGACAAGGAAATTGTGTAGTTAGTAAGTCGTCGCGAGAGAGCCTGGGAGACGTTGAGAGCCGGCGACGGTCTATGGTATGCGGTACGCCAAGCCACGTGCACTTACCCCACACACTGTGACTGATGCTCTTTTGGGTTCAACGGCGACACAGCCTTCACGACCCAAATCAGCGCCGCCGAAGAGAATACTCTGGCTTTCCATCACCTCTTTTGTCACAGATTGTACGTGGAATCTTGCAGTTATCACTGCACCGGTCACGATGAAGAGGCTTTTCGGGCGCGACAAGGCCAAAGGCAAGCCGGTCCCTGGCTCGAAGGACTTGGCTGCAGAGATCGCTCCTGGCGCACAGGAAGTCCGTGCATTTTCACCTATGCTGCGGTGGTGTTGACCCTGTCATAGAGCTACGCATATGTCTCTCATCCACCACATAATGCCGGGCGGGGCCAGTCAAGTCCTCTGTCGGTCGACGAGCATTGGCATATGGTCGACAATGATTCCCACACGTATACTGTGCGTTCTGCGATGTCAGGCGCCGGGTATTCACCTTCGCTGGCATCTACCCCCCTCCTTTCCGTACCCCGTGCTGTATCTCCGGTGGCCTCCAACCCCGTCTCACCTCAGCCCATGAGGTCTCCGAACCCAAGAGACCGCGATCGAGATCCAAATGCACTGAAGAAGAAGGGGGTGAACGGACCGAACGCCTTTGGTGCTATAGGCATTCTGAAAGCACTCGATCCCCACCCCGAACCGCCATTAATGCCGGAGCTCTCAGAGGACAGCTTGACTGAAGCATCGTTCAGGGAGGAGAAGAAGGAGCGCAAGAGCTTTTGGGATCGCAGCGGTTTGCGAGAGAAGGAGAAGGAGAGGGGAAAGGACAGAGAAAGGAGAGAAGAAGAGGCGCATGATGTGCTTACTAGGATGATAGGTGCGTGATGTATTGGCATAATCATGCCCGTGAAGCTAATATGAACCATGATGCTACCTTTTCTTCATCTGCTGCTCTCATTTCACTTGTACCCGTGTTTTGGTGTACAGGCTATCTGACTGCGTCGGCCTCTGAGGATTGGTCTCTGGTTCTGGAAGTCTGCGAGAGGGCTTCTGCCAATGAGGTCAGTGCGAAGGAAGCCGCAAAGGCGTTACGAAGAGAATTCAAGTGCGTCAATATTTCTACGATGTCTATGGACGGCGGTGTCGCGCTCTCCCGTGCCGCTTGTTCTGACCGCTATCCAGGTATGCTGAGCCAGCCGCGCAGCTGTCAGCGGCACGGGTACGTACTCATACAAGACACCAGGCTGTCGAGCTCATCATCCTGAGTCGTAGCTTTGGGCAATTATGCTCCGAAATTCGTCCGAGATATTCATCTGGCAATGCACTTCTCGCAAGTTCCTCGACACGCTAGAAGATGTGATTACATCCTCGCGAACATCACCCGTCGTTCGGGAACGTCTGTTAGAGGTGCTGGCCGCGGCTGCATACGCCAGTACGTCAAGTGTGTGATCGTTCAATCTCGAAGATATGTTTTGTCTTCATACCTATATGCTAACCCCAATTTCTGCAGGTAAGGACAGTGGTTTCCGTCACTTATGGAAGAAGGTCAAGCCGGCTGATAAACCAGACGAAGTGCGTGAATTGTATTGTGCTCTATTCGCCCATTTATTGAAACTGAGCCGTGCTTCATCGCATTTAGGGCATACCATTCGATGCCTCTGACGCAATGTTCCAACCTCCACCACGGCACCATTATGCATCACATCCTGACCAGCCACCACAGGTCCCCCCACGGCCACCCTCATCTGTATGTGTGTCTATTCTGGATCTGTTTTTCCAACTGACTGTCACTACAGGGTATACCGCACAAGAAAATATCTCGTCATCATGTTATACCCCCAGAAGAGGATATGCGACGTCTATTCCAGGAGTGCAAAGTGGGCCGGGGCAATGCTGCATTATTATCGGAATCACTCACGTATGCGAAACCCGAGGATCTGAAATCAAAGGACATTATTCGGGTACGTCTCTTGGTCCCTTCAGGGGCATGTGCTTACATTAGAAATACAGGAGTTCTACGCCAGATGTCGTGCCTCGCAAGAGCTGATCTCTGCTCAGATACCTTGGGCATTTGCGGGTGCCGAGCGGTCACGTCAAGCCACCGGACGAGCCGAAGTGCAGCACAGAGATTTACGACCATCCATTGACTCGGACCACCCCACGGAAGAATCGGTTGAGTTGACACCAGAGGAGCATCTATTAGCTGCTCTGCTTGCTGCGAACGAGGATCTGATGGAGGCTTTGAGAGTGTATGATGACCTAGAACGCGTTGGGTTAGAGAGGGAAATCGAAAGGGAGGCGGAGGACAGGAGTAGAAAGGAAACGAGGATTGATAGGAGTGTAAGATTTCCCTTCCATCCTTCGATTTCTGTTACTCATACTCTTGGGTCGGTTTCAGCAACTTCGGTATAACGAGGCTGAAGACTCCCTATACCTGGAACCGGGCTATCCATACCACGGTGGAGCTTCATCTTCTCGAAGTCCATCACCGTCGCTCTCTGCTTCGCCATCTCCGGCACCATCATTCGTCATCACGCCGATGCACGTATCTCATAATCAGAATCATCCTCTGCCTGCTCTTCCTCATCATGGTGGCTCCACCGGGGGTCACCATCAGCAAACAGCTGTTCCGGCGCAAGGATCTATAGTATCCCTTGCACCACCACCACCGGCACCCATGGGGCCGCGTTCCTTCACTCACGGTTCACAGCGCTCTCGGACGCCGTCTCCCGAGCAGCCGGCCTATGTTGCGCGCAGTTCGTTGGAAGTGCGTCAAAATGGAACTGCACACGATCTGAACAGATTCCTTGTGCCGGACGTGGATCCAGATGACGAGCGCACGCCCAAAAGACCGAGTGCGAAGGCTCTTGGCAAGCGCAGGATTATCGAGTCCGTTGAAGCAGATCGTGAGTATACCATTCTGTGTCTAACTTCTTCTGACATTTTTTGGACAATGCTGCAGATCACGCGGACTCTGACGAGTTTTACTATGAGCACAACGAGGACACGATGCGTTCTTCGGAAGATCCTCTCGAGTCCGAGTCTGACGAGGGGCATCACCACCCATGGCACCAGCCGGTAAATTACGTATATGATGCCGCGGCGGAACTCACTCAGCAGCGTATCCGAGAAGGGCTAGCCGCAGTGGCACTTGTAAGTGGTGTGCATTAATTCTGAGATGTGGAGGAAACACTACTAGTACTGTCACGCTCATTTCTGTAGAGTCTGTGTATGTAGATTAATTTCAAGGTAGGACTTACACGGTAGCATAAATTATCATGTTGTCAGCATATTAGTTTGTCGGTTAACTGAATACTTCGAATTATGTAAATGCTCAATGTTCTGTATCCTAAACGGTTAGTCTTCATTGCACCTCCACCATGTCCACCACGCTCGAAACCGACATATACGAAGGTATGTAGTGCATATATATGTCAAGTCATCAATTTAACATGTACAGATCTCTACGGTGACTCGGAGAATGTGGATAACAAGGACTCAATTCCGCCCACACAACCCGAGCAGGAGGAAGATGCAAGTCCGGAGCCTCCAGAACACGAGACGAGGATTGCTACGGGAGAAAATTCGTTACCTCCAAAGCCCACACAGTCTTCGGAGCTTTCATATTCTGCCCAGATCGCGAAACAATTCTCCGCGTACAAGCAGACTCCCGCACAAGAAAGGCAACAGCGGTCATTCACACACTCGTCGACCAAACTTCTCCCTTCGAGTATTGACACAATTGACGGCAATGCGCAGGATGGCGCGTCAATGGCGCGCAGGCCGGTCCGGCCGTCAGAGATGAAAGACGAAGGGTGAGTTTCATTCCTACGCAATTTGAGGTGACGACTTCCGTCGAGAAGGCGCTACCTCGAGCATAGTAACTTGTCGCAAAAGCTGTTGTGTTATATTCGTGTAATCCTGGTCGTACTCGCTATTCAGCGTCACACCTGGTCCGTACACCCTACGCTCTACACCAGTATTATCCCTACGTGCACGATACTTGCGCTACTCCAGATAGCTGCGCAACTTCACATAGCCGCACTATTCCAGATACTTGCGCAACTCCAGATAGCTGCACTATTCCAGATACCTGTGCAACTCCAGATACCTGCACTATTCCAGATACTTGCGCTACTCCAGAAGTGTGCTAACTTCGTTTGCCTCCATGGTCCTGTCTATGTCTGTGTCGTTCTGTCTACGTTACTGGCACTAATATTCTCTTAACTTCATCCTCGGTACTCTCGACATGTCACCGTACTTGTCTCCTACGATTTACGGCTCTGAATGTTAACTCCGCGATCTATGGTGCCCGCCTCGTCTTGCAGCAAACTGTTCGTGGGAGGTCTCAGCTGGGACACAACCGATGGTATACTCCACCTGCACGCGTATTCTGCATTGTTTGACTAATTGGTTGCATGTATTATCCTTCCCGACCAGAGGGTTTGAGGAAATATTTCTCGGAATTTGGAAAGGTCGAGGACTGTACGATTTTGCGTGACCACGATGGGAGGTCTCGTGGATTCGCCTTTCTCACCTTTGAAGATCCAAGTTCGGTCAATAATGTCATGATCCGGGAACATGTCCTGGACGGTAAAGCTGTACGCTGCGCGAGACGCTAGATGCCTCCTGTACGACTTAACGTTTTATCAGATTGACCCAAAACGCGCGATTCCTCGTGAGGAACATCTGCGCAATACCCGGTATTTTGTGGGTGGACTGTCGCATGCTACAACATCTGAGTCCATGAAGGCCTTTTTTGGCACCTATGGCAAGGTCGTTGATGCTACCGTTATGGTGGACCGAGAAACTGGGCGATCAAAAGGTTTTGGATTTGTCACCTTCGAGGATGCGAGCAATACAGAGCAACTGGTCAGCAAAGGTCAACTTGTTCTGGATGACAAGGAGGTACGCTCGGTATTACCGTATTCGCCCAGCTTACTCACTTCGTAACCATCGGTGATAGATCGAGGTGAAAGTAGCACAGCCCCGAAGTCAGCGCGACCTTGCACGAAGCACGAAGCCCACGCATGAGCCAGGCGTCATCGGTGTGGACACCGGATCATCAGCCTCTAGCATGGGCTTTGCGTCTCCTCAGCAAGCAACGATCAATCCCCAGCAGATGGCCATGATGTACCAGCGTATGATGGGCCAAATGCCTATGGCAGCTGGTATGCCTGCGATGGGAATGAGCCCGATGGGTATGTCAATGCCCGCGTTCAATGGCGGCAACGGCATGCCAGGCATGGTGTCCATGGGTCCGGTCAACCCTCAGATGAACGACTTCAGCATGGGCGGGAACATGGGCGGGGGCATGGGAAATCCAATGAACGGCGGGATGGCCGGAGGAATGGCCAGCGGCATGGCGAGCGGTATGGCTAGTGGGATGGCTGGTGGGATGGGAACAGGAATGGCTGGTGGCATGCCCAGCGGAATGGGTGTCGGAATGGGCGGAGGCATGACCAATGGGATGATGGGAGGCATGGGTGGGAGCATGGGAGGCATTGGAGGTGTCATGGGCGCCGGGATGCGGATGGGTATGGGTCCTATGGCGATGAGCCCGCCAGCGATGGGCATGAGGCCTTTCATGGGCAATCCCGCTATGATGAGGCAAGGCATGAGTATGATGGCGCCCATGAGCCCGATGGCCAGGGCACGCGGAGGAGCGATGATGAATACTGGAGTCGGCCCTGCAAGAAGTATGGCTCGTGGGCAGCACAGTTTTCATCCATACGCGCGATAGCGCTAGTACACCGTTTATTCACTCAATGTTGCTTATAGTATACCGAAGCTTAATCTCGTGCGGTCGAGGGGATGATAGGCAGGCTGTCCGGATGTATGATAAATTATAACATGCTATGTTTGCTAAATGGTCTCAGAACGAACGCAAAGATATCTGAGGTTTTGGAGCTTCCGTTGTAGGACCCTTGTTGCCCAGTACCTGGCGAATTGACGCCTCCAACGTATCCCTCATTTCTGGACTTAATTTCCCTGTGGCCTCTTTGAATGCAGACGGGGATGCGGCGGCAAAAGACAGAAGCTGATTGACGCTTTGCGAATGCATCGACGATGGGGTGGTTCTCGCCGGGTCAAGAAGTAGGATGATGGAGGGCATCAGGATCCCAAGTGCTCGAGGACCTATGGAGAAGATGACACATCAGAATCTGACTGGCAGAAAGTTGGGCAACTCACGAATATCCTCAGCAATTGACAGGAATAAAGTCGAAAAGGCCTTGTATATCTCTCCGAGAATTGCTAGATGCTGCTCTGAGACAGTGCCCTCTATGCTTGATGCCGCTATCTTTACGAGGCATTCAATCATCCCTGGGAGCAATAACCTGGCACATTGACGCAGGGCGGCATTTCCGGAAGCAGACGCCATGATCAAGGTTTTAGTGCAGTGCGCTGCAGTTAACGACATCTTGTGGGATAGTCAGTACGAGCATAACACTCGAAGAGAAACTTCACCTCATCAGCTTCTATGAGCCTTTGAGATACAAGGAAGCAACAGTGATCGATGATAGCTGATGCCACCTTCACGGATGGAGAGATGACAGTCAAGACAAGGACAGAGGCTAGAAGATTGCTCTTGATCTTTCTGAACGAAATGGCACCCTGCCGTCCTCTGAAAATTCAACGTAAACACCTCAAGTAGACCGTACAGCTGCACCAAACTTACCTCATTTCATCAACGTTCACCAAGCACGCTGATAAGAGACCATGAACAACTCGTTCATAATTGTCCTCAAGTTCCGCAAGGTTAGAAGGCCCTTCGAGCAAAGTTTTCAGCGATTGCAAGGTTGGTCCCACGAGATCAACTTCAGATGTCTCGTTCCGGAGAAGTTCTGCGAGAGATTAGTTAGATTTCACGAATGAGCTAAATTGGATACCTACCGCTATATAAGGTGATAGCGACCGCCCTGAACTGTTCCTTCGGAACGGGACCGAAGGTTAATGCTATGGTTGAAAATGTGTCGAAAGCAGCGTTGATCAGTGCGACCTTCTCCATCGGTGTAGATCCATCATCTGAAAACATTCATCGGCATGAAGTAGATATGTCCAGCAAAAGGCATTACTCACGGACCACGCCATTCCGAGGACCTTTGATCGCCCTCCGCAAGACATAGGCACAGATTCTCAGACAGTGGACTTGAGGTAGACTTAGAAGATCCTCTCGCGACATATGGCCGTTGCTACAAGTAGCAGAAAAGGGATCAGTGAGGATGATAGGCGGAAGCTGCATTCACGCACGTCATTGTTTCAGCCTGCGTGGATGTCAAATTCTGTGAGAGACTCGCGAGCGTTTCCACGAGGTATATCTGTACTCCTGAAGGTTCGGTCAAAGCCATACGATAGAACAAGTTGATCAGCTCGTCAAAGATGGGGCTTTCATTGAAGACATTGCCGCAGTACTTGTTTTGCACGAGACACTTTAAGGCTCGTAGTGCGATAATAGATGTTCGCTGAGTAGCGATATCGGAATCTGGTACAGACGCGACGAGCGTCTCATACACCAACCCGAACACAACGAAGAAGAAGGCAGTGGGTTCATCACGATGAGCTGGTACTTGCGACGTGTCAGTGGAGATGGAGTCCTGCCCATCCATGGCAGCTAAGATGTGTGGATCATCGGCAACCATAGCTGTGGCAACTGCTTGCAGAATGACCGGCCAAGCATCCAAATAGTACTATTGGAGTGTAAGACACAGGCAGCTCATGTAACACACAGCACTGACCGGAAGAAGAACCTCCCTGCCTAGGCTGGAGTACGAAGAGTCTAAAGGTCCGGATGAGGAGTCGTCGAAGGCTTCCGTGTCTGCACGAATGCTGGCATAATCTCTTAGGGATGCTATCCATAGTGAAGCAAGAGTCTTCCTGTATGGTTTGATGACATTAACAAGATATGACTGGAGACTGCTGGCCACTTCGAGCTCTGCCCAGGCAGATAAAGTTGCAATGCGCAACATGACAGACGCATTCGGACTAAGCTCTGCGGCATCACCTAGAGACAACATTCCCGACTCTAGTTGTGTCGGATGAGTGAACAGCTGTTATTTCAGCCATAGCCCAAATCTGACCTTTAGACTGTTCGAGCGCAGACGTCAAAAGCTTCAGTATGCGTCCCATCCTATTGACATCCTTGACAACACCACAACCGACGAATACAGCACAAGCACCAATAGCAGAAGCCAGTATTTCCGGCGTCGAATCAGAGGAGAACGCTGGCGTGAGGGCGGCAGTGATAGGAGCCTGATGCTGTTCCAGCAGGAGAGATTCGCTGTAGTCAGGATCTGGTGTTTTCGCGAATACCTATAAACGAAACATTAGCACCTTCGTAAAGTTAAGGATAAACGCCTCACTTCGATGATGTCCCGTAGTACAGTAAGGCCCTCGAGACGAATCTCAGTGACATGCGCAGCTGATGCTGTGAATGCTATCTTGATAAGGTCCGGAACACGAGACACAAGCAAGCCGGCTACCGGAAGACCCTGACTTCGTGCAAACGCTAAGTCTAAGTGTTCTTTCCTGCTGGATTGTCTGACAATCATGCAGATACTATGCAAGCACTGCAAAGCAAATAATTGTGTTCTCCAACGAGATGTCGACCGTGCACCTCCAAAGGCACCCGAGTCTTGAGCCGATCCTACACTGAGTGATTGTCCTTCGTCATCCAGAAGATCTCCGCGTTTAGCTGCAGCGTCTGCAACCTGTTGCGACGCAGTCGTTCGTGACATGATGCGTTGGCACAGATCGATCCAAGCGGAAGGATTATGTATGACGGTTTGGTGGAGCCAGCTCACGATGACATTGCGGACACCATCCACAGAAGAGTCATCGTCGAGCATCGCGAAGAGCTCTTCTACCAACTGGTCGCCGCCGAGACGAGACATGGCAAATGCGTCTTTCTGCACCAATTGGTATAATGCATTGATGGACGCGAGTTTGAGCGGTCTCCGCGAGGAAGACAGATATCCTCTAAACCGCATTACCAGGTCTGGTACTTCGACATACTCCGGCGCGAACATGAGGAAGTGCTGAATGCAGTTGATGGCCTCCACGCATATCCCATCATCGTCTTCGTCGATGAATTGGCGAACCAGATCCAGGACAAGCGTTCTGGAGCGAGTTGAGTCCTGGATATCCGGCCCAAGAACGGTGATGACCGCGTCGATGTTTTGACAAACGACTTGATAGGTGGGCAGGTCGCCGCTCAAATTCGTATGATTGAGCCCGCCACCTTCCGGTTCGTGTGACTCCATCATATACACCTTGAAGAGCAATCCTAAGGTGCTAGGTACAAAAGGAGCATATGCCAAGCTGGCCGCGTCAATCACCCGTGCGAGGGCCCCGAGAGCCCAGAAATGCACTACAGGATGGGGATCGTTGATGAGTGACATCAAGACGTGTATCGTGGTTTTCAACAAAGGGCCAGCTGCGAGACCACCGACGTAAGCGTGAATAGCTCCGAATGCTTCAGCACAGCCTGCTCGCCCGAGTGGATCTCGATTAGTGACGACCTGGTCCACCAAAATCTTAACCTGACTGGTCAAGAAATTGGTGCCGGCAATGTTTGCTAAGCGACCGATGGCTTCACTACTGGCCTTCCGCAAGACGAGATCGCCATCCACAAGGACGTCCTACATTTCAGTAAGATCAGCATAACAAGGAAGCACATCGGGACTACAGTACCTTCAGGAATGAGGAGAGCGCCGACGTGATTTGAGCGTTGCCTAACACCTGGCGAGATCGCGCTGTGACCGGCTGACGAAGAGCGAGTACGAGAGCAACAGTGGCGTTGACCGATACCGCAGCCTTTCGCCCAAGATTCCGCTCGGACTTGCCTGTCAGCTCAACCAACTGGGTCAGAGTGCGCGTTGAGACAGTAAGGTCCTGCAGAGGTAGAAGTTGTGCAAATAATTGGATTGCAGCGTTCACGGCCGCAGTAGCCGGCGGTGCGGGCTCGGGCCAACGATGGTTTGCCTCTACGTCATTGAGTTGACAGAGGAATAGGGGATCGTGCTCGCAGGATCCGATAATCGGCTTCTGGAACTGGTATTCTGGTCAATACGAGAAGTGAAAAGAGGTGTAGATGTTGGCTCACCATGTCATTAATAGAGATTTCTATACCGTCACGGTTCATCCACGCCTTTAGACCCTTGCCAGTATCGTTGTCATCGATCTGAATATCAGTCACTCCATACGCATAGCCATCAACGCTATGCCAAACGGACGTAAACGCCCCAGTAGACGACGCAATCGCAGCTTGTACCGAGGATCCCGCATAACCATCTGGGCTTGCGAATAAAGATATTGCAGACTGCAGCAGGGACGACTGGATCGACTCCGTGACACTGGAGAGCCCGAGCGACGAGAAGCACAAAAAAATACGTGAGCGCAGCAAGGCCTCCCGCCCCTCGAGCGAGAGCTCCTTCACCCCTGCCTGAGGCTCCTCCGGATTGACCTCGACGCGGTGCGCAACGAATGTGTTTGCGAACTGGAGCGCGTTGCTGAGTAAGGACGCGATACGGCGGGTCACGTCAGGCGTGACGAGCGTCGGAGAGTTGTACTTCAAGAAGCAGTGCACCGCTCCCAGCGCACTCTCACGGACGTGCAGCAGGAACATCCACTCCATCGGGCTCCGCCCTGCTGCCCCGTCCTTTGACGTCGGCTTTGGGAGCGCGTTGCGCCAGAGGACGAGTAATTGCGGTAGATGTGCGCGCAGGAAGTTCGGTCCCAGCGTCATCAGCGATGCGATACACCTCCAGGCGATTTCGATCTCTGTCCTTGCGATCTTGACTTCATGCTCGCCCGCACGTTTGAGCAACTGCACGGCCATGTCAAAGACCTTCGCACTGATGTCGTAAGATACGTACAGCGGCCGTTCAGGTATGACGGCCAGTAGCGCTGCCAGGCCATAGGCATGGCCGAGTGCACGCGTGTGTATGTCTGCCGGAGCTGCGGGTGTGGTCAAAGACGTCAGATCGCGCTGCAGCATCTCGACGATGCTGAGCAGCACTTTCGGAAGGCGTAGGGGTGTTGAGTAGCAGAAGCAGCGTAGTGCCCATGCCGTACTCACTCGAATGGTGTGGCTCGGGTGGGAGAGAAGTGTCAATAATGGATCTACCAAGGCATCCTGCAAGACAATAGATTGTGACTAAAGATACGTCTTGCAAACGTCGAGAACATACCTGTACAGGGGGTGGTGCGTTGCCCAACTGCCGTAACAAACCTGCTACTTCGCGAAGGGCAATAGCCAAGCACAACGAATTTGGTGCCGTCTGCCCTGGCATCATGGCAGGCCACCGTTTGAGATACAGATTCGAAAGTTCCTGGATAGCAGTGATCTGCGCCTGCTCTCCCAACATACGCACCCCGACAAGATCTCTAAGCAGAATCTCTACGAAGGAGCGGATAGAGAGGACTTCGTAGCGGGTAGATGAATTGCGAGGGTTCGACACAATCTCTGTCATGAAGTGGTTAACGATGAGAGGATAATTGCTCTCGACGAAACTCGAGCCCAGAAGGGCCAAGAGTGCTGCATAGAAATCGAAGATGCCAATACGAGTCTTGCGCGAAGCCTGCGGGCGGTTGAAGTGGATAGACAACTGGTTCAACATCTCCGTGGGCGTCATGACAGGCTTCGCCTCCTCTGCAGTAACATGGGGCACAGGCGCAATGTCCTCCTCGTCTTCGTTTGCATTCTGTCCCTTCTTGCCCTTCTTGGACGTCTCGACCACTGGCACTACCCGCGGGACCTGGGTGGACGCAAGCATGTGCGCGGCGAGCTTGGAGAGCGATCGCCGCGTGAGTTGATCTGAGTTCTCCAGGCTCCGTACGCACAGCGAAATGATGGAATCCACGTCAGAAACAGACCTGGTACCGTCTCCGGACGGATACATGAGGATCAATACCTACGTAACGTCAGTGGTAAGTAAGATAGACTGCTAAGTCTACCCACATTACACGCTCCACGCTGTACGGGTAGCGCCTTATCCCCAAGATGGTGCCGCATTTGCTTAATGATGTCCTTGGCCACTGAATCAGTTATGGCTCGTTTCGCCGTTGTCATACTCTTCTCCAGAGCGCACAGCGCATGGTATCGGATGATGATTGGCTAATTTGAGACTAAGACCAGGATCATCTCGCTGCACACTGCCTGATAACTCACGCTTGACGACTTGGACAGCTTCAAGGTGACCGCCGCGATCTCGCCCATTAGCGACATAACCTGAGAACAGTGAAATTACAACATTAAACAACACATATATCACGCTTACTTGGCTGCCGAATACCCCCATGAGCTCTCCAATACAGTACAATGCTGCGCTGCGAAGAAGTCGTGTAAGTCAAGGTATGGTCGTGAACGTTTGACTTACACCCTGCTAGCATCTTTGTGAGGCGTTTTAGAGTCACCAACGATCTTGAGAAAAGCTTGCACCGTGTCAAAGAGCGTCTTCGTTTCCGCGCGGGTATACAGGGATATCAAACATTTCGCGATGAGGTTCCTCACGGGACGTCCAGGTAAAGGATAGGGCTCCGGAGCAGTGACAATCTTCACCAGTGTTGCTTCCAGATCTCCCTGGGATGACTTCAGGTCCGCCTGGACGTGCTTCAGCCGGTGAAACGTATCCTACCGGAAAATTCACGTACCGTGGAGGCCTGTCTTACCGCCTTCTCCGTGGAAGCAAGCCATTGGAAGAGATATATCTCGCCATTCTCGTTAGAAAAATTGGACTGCGACCATAGTCATTAAATGGTGGTCAAGGAAGCTACACTACGACTTGCCTCGTCAATTGGTTCGCACAGAAGCGATTCTGTGGGCATGTATACTCAAATCACGGGTACGGTGGACAACGATAGTGTCCTCCGCGTCGTAGATATTCTCAACTCTGATGTCTTCTCGTTCTCCCGAAAAAAAAGTCAAGTACTGAAGTGGTCGTCGTCGAGATTCACGAGTGGGGGTCCGTTCGCGAGCCTGCGCGGAGAGATCACGCGGTCACGCGCAGTGAGTGAGTTGCTCTCCCCCATCCTCCATGCTGAAGTTTTCTCCTCCGCCTATACAGCTTCCACCGCAGCAATCTACAGTTGCTAATGGCTCGGCTGTACTTCACCATCTCGAGATTCCTCCGGTCAACGGACAATCCGATGTGCTCTCAGACACGAGCGCGACAGTGACCCCGGTATCACAACATTCACTTTCGTCCATCCCAGAATCTGCCGAATCAGAGTCGTTCCCAATACCTGAATCGCTCACAAAGTCCGACGAATCGAAGTCGCAATCCACAGGAGTCACCGCGCCCTCCACTCGCCCGCCGTCGACAAGGGCTCCACCACCTCACCGCGACAATTCATTCCTGGTCTTCAACAAATTCATCCTCTACGAGAACAGGCTCAGGTTCTACATCGTCGCGTCAAACACGTCGGACTCGCGGCACAAGATCATTAAGATTGACCGCACGTCCCAGGACGAGCTCGAAGTGGTCGAAGATGAGGCGGTGTACAGTGGTAAGCAGATGAGCGCCATGCTCAAGATGCTGGAGGATGGGAACAGAGGATGTGGTGGTTTGGGGAAAGCGAGGGTACTCTTTGGCATAGCTGGTGCGCCTATTAGAATCTTCGTACCTGCATGTACCAACCGGTGAATACAGGATTCATCAGGTTCACGTCGGGGTGGTATATGATCGTGATCTCGAAGCGCTCTGTGGTCGCCCTCCTCGGCGGGCACTACATATACCACTGCGAGGGCACAGACATCATACCTGTATGCTTCAATCACAAAGTGGACAAGCCTGCCGAGGAGCAGCGCCTCATGAATATCTACAAGCAAGTCGACATGTCCAAGAACTTTTACTTCAGGTGTGTATTCGATGATTATTGTGTTCCGGTATGCTGAACCTACCCGTTCAGCTACACCTACGACCTGACTTCGACTCTACAGCACAATCTTACCAGGTTAGGATTACCTGCACCGAGGGGCACGGTGTTCAACGACCGCTTCGCATGGAACCACCACATGCTGACTACCGCCTTCCATGACGACAAGCCACCCTCTCTCAGAGCTCACTGGCTTCTCCCGTTACTTCACGGCCATGTCGACCAGGCTAGTCAGTCTCCTCGCATGCTATGTTGCCTGTGATTACCTACCGACTGTGCCTACAGAGTTGACCGTCCTCGGCCGTGTTATCTTTATTACTTTGATCGCACGCAGGTCCCGCCACCACGCAGGCGCTAGATACCTCAAACGGGGGGTCAACGACGAGGTAAGTGATGTCCGTATTGCTCTAATTAGTCGCATTCACCCGTGTGACAGGGCAACGTTGCGAACGAAGTGGAGACAGAACAGATCGTTTCCGAGACCTTGACCACACCGTTTTACTACCCCGCAACCCAAGGCTCGAATGAGTATCCTCGTGCAAGACGCCCGAGTCCGAATTTCACGAGCTACGTGCAGGTACGACTAGCATACACCCTCTGATTCATTGATCCCATCGTGTCTCGTCCCTGCTGGCATAGTACCGCGGCAGCATACCAATATACTGGACACAAGAAACCAACAGCATGAGCCCTAGGCCGCCCATCGAAAGTCAGTCAACCCTCCCGCTGCTCCCGTGACTTCCATTGATTTCTACCAGTCAGCGTGATGGACCCCTTCTACACTGCCGCCTCGCGCCACTTCGACGACCTCTTCAGCAGATACGGCACGCCCATTATGATACTGAACCTGATCAAGAAACGTGAGCCACAGCCGCGCGAGTCAAAGCTGCTGGACGAGTACACGCAGTGCGTACGCTACCTCAACCAGTTTCTTCCGTCGGACAAGAGGATGGTATACCGGGCATGGGACATGTCGCGCGCCTATAAAGAGTGCGTCTCATTATTTCCCGCGAGGTGCAGAGCGGTGCCTGATGTGTCACCAGGAAAACGCAGGACGTCATCGGGTACTTGGAAGACATCGCGGAAGAATCTATCCAAATGACGGGTTTCTTCCACTCTGGGCCTGAACCCTACGCGCACGCCCTGCAAAACGAAGACGAGTACGTCCCCCGTCCCCTAGTTACTGACCATCCTCTGACACGGCTGATCGTGTACCGTCAGTGGCACAGGCTTGCCATGGCGGAACACTATGTCACTGCAGAACGGCGTCTGCCGCACGAACTGTGTCGACTGTCTCGATCGCACGAACGCGGCGCAGTTCGTGTTTGGCAAACGCGCATTTGGCCACCAGTTGTATGCGCTGGGCGTCGTGGAGACGCCGAATTTGGCGTTCGACTCAGATGCGGTTAATATGCTCACGGAGATGTATCATGATCATGGCGATAGTAGGCACGCTACACAACCTGGAATAGCACCATTGCTCACAGTTGATCGTAGGTCTCGCGCTACAATACACGGGCAGTGCCCTAGTGAATAGGGTGGAAACATACCGGCGGATGCCCCATTGGAACAGCCATTCCCGAGACATCATCGAGAATCTTCGTCGCTTCTATGCTAATTCACTCCTAGGTGAGTTGAGACTCTCCTTCACATCATCTTCTGAACCGTACGCACTCACGAAACACACACCCCAGATGCCGACAAGCAAACCTCCATCAACCTCTTCCTTGGCGTGCAATCCGAGCGGATGACCCCTCGGCCACCGCAGCGGGGCAAGTACCAGCAGTGGTTCCGCGATGAGCACCTGGAGCCCGCTTACGTGCTCGAGGATTGCGAGCGGGGTATCCAGCGCTACGTGAACACGCGCGGGGACTACTGGATCGAGTATTACCGTCCGCTGCTCTTCACGTCACTCGGGAAGCATTTCGCGTTCTCGATGAACAGCACGCTTAAGTTGCCTGGGTGAGTAACATAGCTACCATTATGCCTTTAAAGTGCGCTGAACTAGAAATGCAGAAAGACTGCTCGTGACGTCACCTACAGTCCGTTCCTCCAGCATCACAATTCATCGCATCATCCAAGGTATGCGTCATATCTTCCTTTTTGATCGTGCGGATTGAAGGGAAACACGCACTTAGGCTGATGGACGGCGTGCGCCGGTGGATTGGGTCGAACCCTTCTGCGGGTTCTCGGAATACACACGTCGACCGCGGACACGACCACAAGTCCAAGAAGCAGAAAGTAAGCGTGGAGCCCGATCCCGATTCCACGGAAGCGCTCGCCATGCAGCATCTTGACCCGTTCGTCTCCGCAGACGAGGAGGCCGAATACGCAGAGTGTGTTGCCCTTCCTTGATGCCTCGCCTTACAACATGTGTACTCACCCTCACTCTCGCGTCCACCGTGTAGATACATCGACCAATGCCAAGAGTTTTTCAACACCGCAGACGACTGGGCGGAGCGCGGAGACATGGAGAAGTACCAGCATGCTGTGGCAATAGCACACGGCGGGAGCGCATACCTGCAGGATGCACCGGAGGATATGTTTGCTCCATATATCGAGCGTGCCAATCCGCAACTGGTGGGTGGCGGGCACAGGGACAACCTCACAATCATGTACGAGAAGTTCATCGAGGAGGTTGGGATGCATTAGTCGATTGAACATCTGTACACCCCGCAGTATTTAAGTGGATAAAATGGTATCTTGTGGGTATAAATGATTGGATTGGATTGCAATCCCCAGTGAGTGATGCAAGAAGAAACAGAAGTAGATATGATACAGCAACAATGATGTTCGGCGGATATGGTATGGCAATAATCTACAGCGAACAAACGGACTCTGCTACAAGACAAGAAAACAATCCAGAACCCCAAAATTGGCCGGCTCACTTACAGCCGGCTCTCCAATAGCCCGACGCTCCTCCTCCATTCGATTCTCCCTTTTCCAAAAGCCGCCTCCAACACTTCCTCGATTGTACGCACGTAGACAAACTCGATGTCAGAGCGCACCTCGAGGGGAACATCGTGCTCAACATCTTTGCGATTTGCCCACGGCAGGACAACCTTAGCAATCTGGGCACGGTGCGCACCTAGCACCTTCTCCTTGATGCCACCGACGGGACCCACGCGGCCGCGCAGGGTAACCTAATTGCAGAATATCAACAACCACGCCACAGTGGAGACACAAAAACCTGCCTCCCCAGTCATAGCAACGTTGCTCGGTATGCACGACCCCGTGAGCAGCGAGACAAAGGCACATATCTACGTGGCAATTAGTGAAGGACGGACCAAAGAGAGAATCACTATGCGGACCATCGCAATACCAGCAGAAGGACCGTCTTTCTTAACAGCACCGGCCGGTAGATGAAGGTGAATGTCGATCGGATTGGGGACCTTCAACGGGTCCTGTGCGCGCGACTTGGTGATACAGAGGTCATACGCGTGCGTCTTGACCCAACTCAATGCGAGTTCACCACTTTCCTTGATGACCTGCGGAGAAACCCTAGTCAATCGATATACATGATAGCACCCAAGGGACATACGTCTCCCAAGCTGCCAGTCAGCTTCAACCGCCCTGTGCCAGGGACTGCTATGGTCTCGACAGGCAAGATCCCGCCCTCACCCGTGCCAGTAACGACGAGGCCGTAAACAACACCGCACCGTTCCTCTCTGTCTCTTTCCTCCTCGTCCCACCTCGCGATGCCGAGGATGCGCTCTAGTTCGTCCTCCTCAACAACGCTACGATACTCTGCCTGTCCGCCTTTCTGACTCTGTATCTGGCTGATCACCGCGGCCTCATGCCCAACACTATCCGCGTATTCCGCCCACTCTACGGCTTTGTACCGCACGACGGCGCCGATTGCACGCTCCAGGGAGCGCACCCCCGCCTCCCGTGTGTAGTGCGTCGCCATGCGCTGGAGTGCCAGTGTGGTTATCGTGACGTGCTCCGGCGTCAGCCCGTTGGCCTGTAACTGCTTCGGAAGTAGAAACGTCAGCGCGATGTGCATCTTTTCGTCGTACGTGTATCCTATAGTAAAATCAATGCAATGGACAAGGATCAAAGTTCATGTCACGCACCGGAGAGCTGCACAATTTCACAGCGGTCTAGAAGAGGAAGGGCGATGGTCTCCAGAGTATTAGAAGTACAGATAAACAGCACTTGACTCAAGTCGATGGGCACATTAATGTAATGGTCCTGAAGACAATTCAGACTTGCATCTCACAAATCCAGTGCACGCGCACCTTGAATGAATGATTCTGCTCCGGATCAAGCACTTCCAAAAGAGCGGCAGAGGGATCCCCGTGAATGCTATTATGCCCAACCTTGTCAACCTCATCCCTGGAAAAACTCAGTGCAACATTTCATCCGCTAATTCACGGAACACCTACAACAGAATGACTGGGTCTGGTCGTCCCGCCTTCCGCAACGCCTGCACGATCATGCCGGGTCCACTGGCAACATACGTCCGGCGATGCCCCCTGATCTCGGCCTCGTCTCGCACGCCACCGAGCGAGATACGCTGGAACGGCCGGTTGAGCGCTCGCGCGATCGAGTGGCCAAGTGAGGTCTTGCCTGTTCCAGGCGGACCAACGAACCTGACAAATCTTGAGCACATAGCCTTTAACAATTAGCTATAAACTCACAGGAGGATCGGGCCCTTGACACCCTTCCTGGGTGGTGGTGATATTGATTCGGGACTGGCACCAGGAAAGAGCCTCTTAGCGTCTTGCTCGTTAGCCTTCAGGACGACCAGCTGACTTTCTTGAGTTTGCGCGCGTGCTTCCTTCTCCGCATTCAACTCCTTCAGCCGGACAACCGCGAGGTACTCGATTAGCCGCTTCTTGATCTTTTCCAGACCGTAGTGGTCGGCATCGAGCTGTTTCCGCGCGTTCGTGAGGAATGCACGATCCCGTAGTGCTTCGAGTGACGCATTTGCCTGTGTGGTGGTCGATGCCGCCCATGGAACTGCGACAAGCCAATCCAGCTGTGCGAGATGTCAACTGAAAGGCATACGCACGATGAGGCATGCACACGCACGTAATTGCGGACGACGCCTTGCTCAACGCTACCGCTCGGAATACGCTTCAGCCGCCGCCACTCGCGTACTGCAACCTTGCGCTCCTCGCTTCCTTGCGCCATCGCGTCGATGCCCACACGTATGTCCGCCATGTCCTTCTCCTCCGTGTCCTCATCCAGCTCTGATACTGGCTCAGACCGCTTGTCCTCCTCTGTCCCACCATTCCTGCCGTCGATCGACGTCTGCTCGAGCGTGCGCAGTTCTCGCTGAATAGCAGCGAGCTGTTGCCGTAGGTAGAACTCCTTCTGCTGCCTCGAAAGAGATTCGTCCACGGACTGCTCAATCTTGCGCGTCACCTCAGATATCGACGTGTACTTCACGAATAGCGCAGTGGCACGGCGAAGTCGATCGTCTGCATCGGCTGCGGACAGGAAGTCTATAGCAGTAAAACAGAAAAAGGTTAGCTGCACCGGATCACTCTGAAGAGGCAGCGAGAATATGCATGCTGCACAAAGCGTGCGAAAAATCAGCCGCATGCATAGGCTTGAACCACCGGTAATATGAAGAAAGAAGTTCTCCCAGCTGAATCCGGCCACACAGTAGCATCCGAAGGGATTTCGCTTGCACCCGTATACAAGGGGAGAAATAGTAGGCACAGATAATGCGAGAAAGGGATATCACATGCTACGATGCTCACCAAGTCTGTCATTGTAGTCATCGATGAATCCTGCCACCAGCATGTCCGCCATTCCAGGGACCCGTTCATCCGCAATATCCTCTATAACATTGGAAACTTTCATGTAAGCAGCGCGCTTGGACTGTTGCGGGGAATCCTTTGCGAGACGCTCCAGCAGCTTAAAGGACGCGGCCTTGAACATAGCTACAGCTTCGGCTGAAGGCATATTATTTTCGGCCGGTAGCCCGACCTTCCGCTCAACAATACCCTCGGTATCCGAGCTTCGGGTATCCTCGAGCAAACGCACGCGTGATATGCCTTGCAAAACGAGACCGTAGCGGTCAGATACTGCACGCGTTTGCGGTCGGACGAGACGGATGACTCGTGCAGTTGTGCCCCACGTATGCAGCGTACTCTCAGCGGTGACAGGGACAGCTACAACGACCGGCTGGCTGTCGCCAGGTTGAATGAGCTGCAGGAGCGAATTGGCGACCTCGGGGGTGATGGGGAACGTGAGACGAGCAGATGGAAAGAGAATAAAGGGGTATGGGACGGGAAAGACAGGGAGTGTAATAGCTGACATGGTGGAAGGAATAACAGAGTAGTAATGTGTGAAATGAATGAAAATGACAGAAGTCCGAGTCTGCTTCAACCCGGCAACTTAGACCTCCCACCCCTGGTGTAAGGCCGAATATGGAAGTTGAGTAAGTTCGCCGCTCCTCGCGAACGACGAAACTCGTAGCGGCATGGTCGTAATTAAGACATGTTGAAAGTGAACGTGGAAAACTGAAGAGTACTTACTACTTTGTCTGTGGTAAAGCTGTATGAAGCAAGTTGACTTCTGACCCCTCCGAGAGGCCACGGTCGCTCGCTGTGGCAACAGAACCACATTAATCACAACATCTTTCGTTGCGTCTTTTTCAGTCAGAAAAGTGGCTGGTTCTTTGGACAGGGTGATTCGACGCTCCGCCTTGTCTCGGCTGCTATTAGGGTCAGCCTTATCAACGGCCCAAATAGAATACTAATGTCACCTCTGTTCGACTGCGTACATCAACCGTAATGGCCGGTTTATCCGAAAAGTGGCTGCTATATGGAATGAAAGCCAAAGTTGACCCGAAGACTCTTGCAGCGTATGAAAGGCCGCTGTCGGCATTATAAGGGCGCACTACGCCTTACATAAAGTTAGGAGGTAACTGCAATGTACGGTCAGGAGTAAAGGGAAATATGACAAACTGAGGTCCATGAAGTTACGTTGTAGTAGTTTTTCTGCACGGTCCTGCTTCATATTTCACAAGACGGTGCAAGATCGTTCGAATATATCATTCATCGCTGGTCAAAGAATACATGTATCGACGCCACGCAACGGGGGCAACAACGCGTACACTAGCGCGGACATAATCATAGCTTCCCTTGAGGAACACAACTGAGAACAGCATTAGCAGACTGACGCGTACGACATGTCGAGTCTCATCTGAGTCATTACGAAAACATAGGATGCAACGCAGGCACGACTGAACAGCTTGATAGTAGGAGCGAAAATGGGGGAATGAAGTGGAATTAGAATGAACCCAGGGATACAATGGTGAGAGCAATGTGCGTTGACGGCGACAAATGGCAAATCAATAGTCCTATAGACGTAATGGCGGGGCCGCAGCCCGCTCTACTGTGCATGCGAAGCGACTGAGAGTGCCTCCTTCAGAGGACAGACGACTGAGTAAGAGACAAGAGATTGAGAAAGAGATCATTGAGACGAAGAAAGAACATAGGAATTGATACAAAGGTGGAATCTCTATGCGGTGGCGCGCTTGACCATCTGCAGAATGGAATCCTCGTGAGATATTAAATAAAACATGAACGTGCTAGCGCACCTCACGGGCCCACCGTAATGTCTTCTTAGTTTCTGGTGGCAGACGACCCTTCGCCCGCAGCTCCGACGCAATCCATTCGGCAAGCAGATATTGCTTGATCTGTCCTTCTGGGAACGAATCCGCAAGGTCACCAATCAAACCAATCGACGCCTTGACGGAGGACTCGGTCCTCTCGCTGTCCGCCAGGCACAGTTGAGTTAACTCCAGCATGCCCTGAACATAGGGCAAGAGTAACGTGACTAGGTACCAGACAAAACATTCAATCACGTGCGTCGACAATGCTCAAGGGAAACACACCTTGCTCCGTGTTCTTGAAGCCAGTGACGATACCAGTATATGCCTCAAGAATTCCTTCCCTGAGAAGACCTACATATTCTACCAAATCTACGTCGAGCTACATGTGATTGCATGAGCCTTCGCAGACCCGATTGCACAGATATTAACTCACAGGATTCGGTTGTACGCCACCAGCCTGCCTCAATACGCCCATGGTGGTGCTCAGATACGGCTCAAACGCAGGTCCGATGGCAAGAGCGATATCGCCGAAGCAAGACAATATCGATATCTTCACGTTACGATTGAGGACATCGCTCTGCAAGTTCTCGAGCAGGACGCTCATGAACGCGTTCGCGTACTGTGTACTCTGCTCGCCAAGAGCACGTGATATATCACCGATGACGCCAACCGCGACAGTGCATAGCTGGGTGTCCTCGTGCGCCTTCAGAGCTGGATACAAGAACGGCAGGAACGCAGTGATATATGGCGAGAAGCGTTGCTCAAGAGCTAAAGCAAATATAGTCAGAAATTTGAGGACCAAGGCAGCTCTAAGATACGAACCAGCTGCAAGCGCGCCAACAAGGAGGAAAGCGTCTTCTAGGATGGTGGAAGTCTTGCCAGCCACCTGGATTAACTGAAGGACCAGTGTCATAATGCGATCCGCCAGCGGCTGAATCCCTTCACCAAGTTTACGGACAACGCTCTGTACATGCATCGATACTCAGTGTTCCAAGGATCGGTTCCGATGCGACTCACTATGATCACGCTGCAGAAGTTGCTCTGCAGATCGTTCCAGTTATTGCGATCATCAACGCCCAGGATCTGGTTCTGAAAAGGCGGGATTGATAATTACACACACGGAACTGGTCAGACCGGACTTACCTGCATACTCAGAAGTTGCTCCATTCTGACGAGAACGGAAACAGCAGTACCCTGAACAACGGTGATCGTGTCCAAAGTCGAGTGAGTAACAAATGACGTGATAGCTTCATAAGCAGCTGTGCGATAATTGGCCTCGTTACTTGCTCTGCGTAAAATGGCATCAGGAGCGGCCAGTACGTCACTGAGAGATACTAACGTCTCTGTTACCCGGAGAAGGGCTTGGACGATCCCATCGACGTAGGGTGACAGCGGCCCAGTGGTAGCTGCTTGTGGGTCATCTCCCTCTGAATAGCCCAGCTGGTCCGAAAGGTTCATGAGAGCCCAACAGCAATTGGCAACAATTCGAGGGTTGTCCTGCAGACCGTTGACAAGAGCAGATATGAGAGGGTGGAGGTGCACATCAGTCTTGATGCATGTGACCAGAAGATCACAAATCCGACCGAGAGTCCAAGCAACCGTGTCTTTGACATGAATATTGGCGTCGGTCATCATATCAATGAGGATTTGGAAGGCCTGGTTGACCAGAGGCGTGAGCACGTTGGGGTCAGGACCCTCCAAAATGGAACCGAAGGTCATGACGGCAGCTTCCCGGAGGTGCCAATCTGAAGCCCTGATGTTGGCTTCGATGAAGGGGATAACAGCCGGCACGATCGTATCGCCGACAGCTTGAGCAAGAAGACCGAGGCAAGTTCCAGCAGCCATCGAGATGTTCCACTCATCTTCATCCGCGTCCTCCTCCTGATGGGTTAGCAATTGCAAGAGGACTGGAACAATCTCAGGCAGCGCAATTTTGGCGAAGAATTTACTCTCGGTTTCAGGCATCTCACCATACTCAGAGGCCTGAAGTGTCCCACTAGTGTTAGAACACTGTGGCGCAAGTCCAACGAGATGCATACGCACCTCTGACGCCTCCCACGCTAGTTCAGTCTCAATTTCGCAGACCGTTGACCAAAACTCAATAGCTTGCAACGCGATACTTTCCTCGCTATGTTTCATGCCCATAACAGTAAGCTGGTAAAGGATTGTAAGCACTGAGCAGAAACGTTGACGGAGCAACAGTGCTTACTCCAAACAGAGCGCGCTCCATGTAAAAGCCCATCTTCTCATAGTAAAGGGTCATAATCCGCACCAGACACTCGAACGCCCCGACTTGGACAGGTACCGAACCATTCTGGGTCGCTTCGCAAACGACCTGCATGATGTAGTTCCGCTCACCCTGCCAAGCAAGTCAGTGGAGGCAAGTTCGTCGCAGTTCGTCCAGAAAGTACGATTACCTCGCGATCGAAGTTATCACGAACGAACTCAAGGGAATTAAGGAGGGCGGTGATGGCAGCCAACTGTACTTCTGGTGATGGTTCGTCCTTGCGTGCGCCATGGATAACCGCCGTCAGGATCTCGTTCGAACGTAGCGCCAAAATTTCCGGTTTCTAATAAAATAGTCAGAGTGAACAGCCTGGAACAGGATGATGACGCACTATTGTCTCGCAAATGAAGCCGATCGCTTGCAGCGTTGCTACCCTCAAGTGCATGTTAGTCTGATCGTTCACGAAGCTCAGGAGAATCTCAATGATGTCCATCCATTGCCCCTGGGGTAACTCGACCGCCGCTATAGCCGAAACGACTTGCGCCGCGACGGTGCCGACCTTCCCAGCGGAAGAGCTAAGAGCCGTCAGTGCGTCGCTTTTGATCTTGTGCCGTGGCTCGTTAGGCAGAGAGAGCCAACGATTCGAGTAGTCGAGTTGCCGTGCACTTTCCTATTCATGTAAGTGATTAACGGTGAGGTAGCCTCACATCGCCAATCACGACTTACTCGCGCTGTTAGCGCGTTTTTCAGCGCGAGACCTGCGGCGTTTCTAACATGTGTCAGCGAATTCTCCTTAACTAGCTCGGAGGAGAGCATCATCATGTACGCGGGCTAGAATAGCCAGACGCATCGGAAAGGTCAACAATGGTCCATCGAAAATGAGGAATGCTTTTTGCTCACATAGTTCTCCCTTGATGCGCTCTCCAACTTTTGTGTCGCATCTGAACGCGTATGCGCATCTGTTTAAACAAGAAGGTATGATTGAGACACACAAACGCCCCGTAAACGCGAGTTGGAGCGAGCAGACGAGATAGTGGCCGCACCTGGAGATAGGGTATTGGCGAGAAGTTCGCTGGCGTTCATGGTGCCGAGTCAGAGAGGATATTGCTGGTGTTTCGGAGGAATGACACTATAGTAAAGGAGAAAGAGATGAACGTCGCTTGGAAGTGCGGATCTTCGTATAAAATGAGGGAGGGTGGCGGTACACGGTTGGGTAGAGGGATGAACCGAAAGCAGCAGGCGGCAGATTTTCAACGCCACCCACCGGCTGTGACACGCGGTAACAATCGCAACAAACAAGTTCCAAGGCATGTTGTTCTTTGTCTGTTCTTCTATGCTCCCCTGAACCTACGGGTCACCCTTTTTTACTCTCAAGTTATTGTCCGGTCATTATCCGTATCATTTAGTAGCTGCTGGTGGTGTGGACATATACGTAGACGCGTTGTTCAGGTCATTGACCAAAGAAAACAGAGGATCCGAAGCTCTACACATGGCTGACAGGGTGCGTATATCACTGCTCTAACGCCTGAAGCTCCGACCTTTCAATTGCACTCAGGGTCGTGGTGCAAATAGGGGTGCCCGTGGAGCATCGAGTTCTGGTAGAGGTCGACATGTCCCGTAAGTAACAAAACGCACTACTTATAACGGTCGTTCACATTTCCATTGCATGCAGGGCTCAACCGACTATGGATAAGCCAAAGCGCGAGGCGATTCTAGACCTTTCAAAGTATGCTAACGAGAGAATAAGAGTGAAATTCACAGGTGGACGAGAAGGTAGACCTGCCACCGTCAGTTTGTACGCAATATTGAACCCGTATTCAGTAACCGGCGTCTTGAAGGGTTACGATCAATTATTGAACCTCGTGCTTGATGAGGTGCAGGAGGTGCTGCAAGAGGGTGAGTGCCAGCCGCGAGACGTAATGAGCACTTAGGGGTTCACGCATCAACTCGCAGATGCGGAGTCACACACCCGCTCTCTAGGATTGGTCGTCCTACGTGGACCGACAATCACGATTCTCAGTCCAGTTGACGGGTCAGAAGAGATTGCAAATCCTTTCTTGGCCCAGGAGTAGCTGTCCTTCAGAGATTGTCATGGCTTCTCCCTTACTTTCGGGCTCCATACACTGAAGAAGATGTATGACTAGCATATCTGTTAATACACCAAGGTGTGTCGTTATTGACCACCAGTAACACAACATTGCAACGTGTATCTTAAGAGACATCCCCGTAGGTTCTTCTCTGGGTCCTTAGTATTACCTGCATCACCTATCCAGATGTAGATAATACCGGAGCACCACTCGTGCGAGCAAGTGCTCGCACCCAGCGCAGGCTGAACCGTTGACGTTTGCACAGGTCGTGTGTGTAAGGTACATTCGTCGTCGAACATACACTATTTCGTGCATTAGAGTGTGCTCAAGTGCTGATGATACTGAATAGTATTTGAGAAGAAGTCCATAAAACGCAATTTGAACAATGTACATACGGCAGACGTCCCCCTATCATCATAACTTCGTGCTTAGCCTCTCAGGTGTGACTGCAGCATACCGCTGCGGGGAGGTTCCCTCCACTGTAGCTGCAATCGCAGGGAAATTGATACGCTCCCTTGAGTTCCTACCAGCTTCGCATTTTCTCGCCCACACGGTTGCGAATCTGCGATCGAGGTCCGTCAGCGCAACTGTCTCTCGAATACCTCTTTATCGGGGATGGGAAGGTCGAAGAGGGTGATCATCGTAAATAACTGTAACTTTAAGAGCTCGCTCCCACTGCGGTCACGGTTAGGGCGCCGTTACTGCTCCTGATGCATGCCAGTATTTTGCGACCTTTTGAGACTTACTTATTCCTGAATCATTCCAGAGTGTACTGTATAGCCAGTGCAGGAGGGCGAGTACTCCGGGCAAGCTCAGCCTCCGGCGGGGTGTGAGTCTGCCCGTCGCCGTGCCGCCAAGACCCCCGCAATCCCCGAGCCCCGATGCCTGAAAACCCCGAAATTGGGCCCGCAGGCCGGACCTTCGATCTCGGACCCCCGAAAATGGTCGCAAAGCTTACATGCAGAACATCCCCGAAGTTGTCCCCTTTGGCCCGAGGTCTGGTGCGAAACCCCTGGAAAATGTTCCTGGGAGAAATTGAAAATGCAAGAGAATACCTCCGGTGCCAAATTTGACTTTGAGCCCGCCGGAAACCCATTTCTCACCGCAGATGTTCGATCCCGCAGGCCGAAACCTTGAGCGCAAAACGATCTCCTAACCCTCGAAAATGGCCTCCGCGGGATCGAAGATCTAAGCGAGTTACTAGTGTTGCCGAAGTTCAGTTTAGAACGAAGGTTCGAACCTTGAACCTCTGAACTGAACCTAGGTTCAGTTCTGGTTCTGGTTCTGGTTCAGCCTCTGCTAGGTAGGTTCAGTTCAAGCATGAACTGGTTCGAACCTGATAGGCTAAAACCCATTGGAAAAACCAAATATATGGGCATCCTTATGACTTCGAGAGTTGTCAGTGCAACTAAAGACTGCAAAATGGTATAGAATATACATGTGCTGACTATAGTCTCTTATATTCTGCTGAAATTGCACAGACATACCCTGTATAGCATCCTCTTATGTAATACTCACTCTTGGTCAAACATGAGATTACCATTCTACACAGTTCACTGCAGCATTTTGATGGTGGGTAATGCACCAATAATACTAAGAAGCATGTAGAGTAAAGGTGGGAGGCCCCCATTGTCCTTAAAATTGCTAGATTGAAAAATCTCAGGTTCAGAGGTTCGAACTGGTTCTGAACCTATGGTTCAGACTTGGTTCTGGTTCAGCAGGTTCACTGTAGGTTCAGGTTCAGGTTCGGAGAAAATGGCTTCTGAACCGAACTGAACTGAACTTCGGCAACACTACGAGTTACGGGGGGTTCTACTATTGTGTTGCCGTGATCTACACGGCCAAAACAGTAAAGCACCAGAAAATCATTAGACGAAAAGGGTAGAAAAGACGGAAATACGTACCGAAATACAGCCCTCGTGTGATGCCGCTTCAGGAATTTTCATGAGGCCTGAGATCGGACCGAATTTGGGTGGTCCGAATGGCCCCGGATTTCCAAGGCTGTAATGGGGCTTTGAACAGGTGGATTCCTGGGCTGTGAGAGGGTGGCTGAGTATTAGCGCAGCTCGTATGAATTCCTCCGAGTGAGTGATTTGGGGAAGAGATATTATTACTGGGACCTGCAAGAGGTCCCTCCTTATATACTACACCAGTAGACTAGTCCAGAACATGCCACATAGTTCTAGTAGCTACTGTATCCTTCGATGCTGAATAAGATATCGGGGAATATCGCCCGACTACCTGGATGCTCCGGATTGCCTAATAAGGTCATCCCGAAGCCTCCAACACTCCCCCTCAAGCCGGAAGCATCCCAAGTTCCAATGTGAACTTTTGGTGCTTAGGCTTGGGTAGGGCCTTAGTAAATACATCTGCTACCATCTCATCTGTAGGACAGTAGCACAATTGAATAATACCATTTTCCACCTTTTCGCGCACGAAATGATTCTGCACGTCAAAGTGCTTTGACCGCGCATGATACTGCGGGTCGCGTGCTATCGCGATCGCTGCCTGGTTATCACAATAAATTTCTGTGGGTTCTTCTTGTGCAAACCCAAGTTCTGCCAGTAAGTTTCGCAGCCATATTGCTTGACGTGTCGCGTGCGCGAGTGCTGTATACTCGGCTTCTGTCGAGGATGTTGCCGTTGTTGTTTGTTTCTTCGAACTCCATGCTACGGCTCCACCTCCCAAGTAAAAGACATGACCCGAGACTGATTTTCGGTCATGATCTGATGCATAATCCGCGTCCGTATATCCTCCTATTATATTTCCGTTCGGCGCGTCCGAATCGCATCGCGTGTACGTGACGTGCAAGTCACGTGTTCCTGCGAGGTACCGTAGAACGCGTTTTGCTGCTGTCCAATGGACAGGTCGTGGGCACGCTGTGTATTTGCTCAGCGTCTGTACAGCGTAGGAAATATCTGGCCTTGTTCCCACTGCTGCGTACATCAGCGATCCCACCATCGACACGTAACCTCCCGCCAAATGGTCGTCCACCTCCTCGTTCTCGTCCTCTGCCGTGAACGCCACATTCGGATCGAGCGGCATCCCTACAGCGTTGGCGTTCTCAAGCTGGTATCGCTTGAGAATGCTCTCGATGTAGTGCTGTTGCGAGATTTGGATTTTTCCCGCTTCCCTATCTCGCTCAATTTCAATCCCAACAATTTTCTGCGGCTCACCAAGGTCCGTGACTTCGAAGAGGTCCTGCAGGTCGCGCTTGAGCTCCTCCATGAGCTTCGGAGAGTTGGTGAATAACAGTAAGTCATCCACCCATACCGTGATAATCTGAACTTCTCCTTCCTTTCGCTCCCGCAGGTATACACATGGATCCGCCTCCAGCCGCTTGTACCCGAGCTCCGTCAGCTCGCGATGCAGCTTGCGGTTCCATTCGCGCCTGGACTGCTTTAGTCCATAGAGCGTCTTGTGGAGTCGACAAACGCGTCCACTTCCGTCATCGAAGCCTTCCGGCTGTCGCATGTAGATCTCCTCCTGGAGGTCTCCATTCAGGTAAGCTCCCTTGACATCCATCTGGCCTATTTCCCAGTTATTAACTACTGCTAATGCTAGGATGGCCCTGATGGACTCAAGACGAACTACAGGGGCAAAGGTTTCAAGGAAATCCATCCCTGGGATCTGTGAGTACCCCTGTGCCACCAATCTGGCTTTGTACTTGACAACCTGACCCTCCTTGTTGGTTTTCCTCTGGAAGACCCACTTGCAGCCCACAGCATTTCGATCTTTTGGTAAGTCTTGTAGCTCCCAAGTCCCCATGCCCTGCAACTGATCATATTCCGCTTTTACAGCCTTTTCCCATTCTGGCCATTCCGGAGAGGCTTGGGCCTCTGCGAGGCTTCGCGGCTCATCTCCCGCACTCGCCGTTCTGTCGCCCGATGCCAGTGCTGTCGCATACAGCGCCTGCGCGATCTCTTCAAATTCTTCGGGCGTCACGGCGACTTTCGCACTCTCACCAGGTGCGTTCTCTTTCGGCACTCCCGGCGGCTCGCGCGACTTCGCGGGCTGTGCGCGGGGGTTATCCATCCTTCGATAGTCGTGGTCCTGCGTAGCACGGGTCGTACGACGAAGAGGGATCTTCGGGGGTGCAGGCAAGAATGTCGGTCGCTCTCGCATGCTCTCCTGTATCTCGGGAGGTAAGTCTTCCTCTGTAATGTAGTTTCCATCGTGTTTCTTGTTAGACTGATCAGCTTTGACAGGTACTGATGCTGGTTTTGATGCAGATGTGGGAGGCTGCTGCTTGACAGCTCCCCCTGACTCCCCCTCGAGCGGCAGCCTGTCACTGTCATCAGGCTGATGTACAGGAACATTGCTTGCTGGGTTCGGGGCATCCGCGAATACAAAATTTCGCGAGACTCAGATCGAGCGCGCACCCACATCGTAGTAGCGCACGGCCTTCGGGCCATCAGCAAAACCTACAAAGGTGTGTTTCTTCGACTTTGGCTCGAGTTTTGAGAGATTCTGGCCTTCTGTCAGAATCCAGACATCTGACCCAAATTCTCGTAGGTGCGCGACATTGGGCTTCTTGCCCGTCCACGCCTCTTCCGGAGTTTTCCCGCGCAGTGCTTTCGTCGGCGCTCGATTTCGCAGGTATGCTGCGTATGCAACAGCTTCCGCCCAGAGGAAGTTTGGAAGCTTCCTCGCAATCAACATTGCGCGAGCAAGCTCCAATAGCGTGCGATTAAATCGCTCAGCTACACCATTCTGCGAAGGTGAGTATGGTGCTGTTGTTTGCAGCTCAATTCCTTTCTCACGGCACCACCCTTTCAGGTTTTTATTGATGTACTCGGACCCATTGTCAACTCGCACGATCTTCGGCAGGTGCCCGAAGCGTCGTTCAATAAAGGTGAGGTATTCTTTCAATTTTTCAAAAGCCTCACTTTTATGTTTCATGAACAGGACTTGGCACCTCCGCGTGCAGTCGTCCGTGAACGATATGTAGTAACGCGATCCGGCGATCGATACTACACGTGCGGGGCCCCAGACGTCACTATGTGTCAACTCGCCTGGCATCTGGGAGCGGTCTTCCGCCTCCTTCGGGTATGCACGACGCGCCTGCTTAGCTTGTACGCAGGCTTCGCACTGTGTCAGTGGCATCGAGTTTTCATCAACGGTGAGTCCCTCCACCAAGTTTTCCTTGTAGAGCTTCTCTAACCCTGTGAATCCCAGGTGTCCATATCTCCGGTGCCACGACTCCCACGAGTCGCTATCGTCGCGTGCAATGTTCGCGCGCTCTTCACTCGGCATAGCAGCCTTTGCCCGCATGTTGAGCAAGTACAATCGGCCGACTTTTCGGCCTTGCGCGATGATGTGGCCGCTGCTTTCTCGCAGCATTATTCCTCCGGCACCGCCATCAAAGTGTCCACCCGCTTCATCCAGGCGGCTCAGCGACACCAAATTATTTGTCGCTTTCGGTGCGTACAGGACATCTTTCAAGCAGAAAGTACATGTGTTGCCTCTGATCCTGCTATTGACTTCCACAGTGCCACGCCCGAGAGCGCGCACACTCTGGTCTCCGATCCCGGCAATCGAAGAGGCCTCAAGCGGCACATAGTCTGTCATCGCGTCACGAAGGTTCGTAACATGTGATGTCGTTCCAGAGTCAGCTAGCCAGTCATAACGCGAGAACTGACTACTAAATTGTTGCCCGGCACAGGTCGCCTCGTCTGTGCGGAACGCGACATCTCGCAGCACGTCATTTGTTGACTGTGCCTGGTTCGTGTGTGCCTGCACACGGCCTCCTTTTTTACTTCGCGGTCCCTGACCCGCCTTGCCGCCGCCTTTCGACCAACACTCATGTTGAGTGTGTCCACGCTTGTGGCAATTCCAGCACTCCGTGTCGGACTTCCTGTCCGTTCCGCCCTGTGTGGTATTCTTCAGCTGGGTCCACCGCCCGCATGCTGCCAGCGCAGACTCGTCGGCACCGCCTTTCTCTCGCCGGCGCCGGTATTCTTCGAGCAAGATGGCTATCAATTCATGCGATGTCGGCAACTTGTCCTTCTGGCTTGTTGCACCCAGGTACGCAGATGTGAACTGGTCCCAAGACTCCGGTAACGATGTGATCAGGATCGTTCGAAATTCGTCATCCGACACCTTGCTACCCATCATGTGTAGCTGCTCCTGTGTCCGGCGGAGCTCCGTGATATGCGCTGCGATATCGCTGCCTTCCGTGGCAACTGTGTGATAGAATTTCCTTCGGTACGCCATTATCCCCAGTTGTCCACTCGCCTCCTTTACTAACTTCAATTGGTTCCACATCTCTGCAGCCGTTGTAGCGTCCGCAATGTGTATCATCTGCGAGTCGCTCAACAGCAGCTCGATAACGGTCTGGGCTTTTTGATCGCCCTCAACCCATTTCGTGATCACCGCTGTTTCTCCTGCCGTTGGTGTTGTTGCATTTGCCGGCTTCGGCTTCTCCGATGTTCCATCGACATATTTCAAGACACCGCGCTCCCTCAAGATCGCCATAGTATGGCGCTTCCATGGGAGCCAGTTGTCATCGCGAAGTTGCTCAATTCGGAACAAGGACGACAGGCTGTCACGAGATTCGGTAGTACTCGACATTGTAACTACTGATAGTCAGAGTGTGTAACAAGTAAGTAGAAGCTGGTAAAGTATAAGCTATAAGCTAGCGGGGCTCATAACCTATTAGCGCAGCTCGTATGAATTCCTCCGAGTGAGTGATTTGGGGAAGAGATATTATTACTGGGACCTGCAAGAGGTCCCTCCTTATATACTACACCAGTAGACTAGTCCAGAACATGCCACATAGTTCTAGTAGCTACTGTATCCTTCGATGCTGAATAAGATATCGGGGAATATCGCCCGACTACCTGGATGCTCCGGATTGCCTAATAAGGTCATCCCGAAGCCTCCAACACTGAGGCGTTCGCATCCAGCCTGACATTGTTGCTTTGACAGCGGCACCAGTTAGACACCGGTCGTGGGATACTGAAACGACGCTTATACAACCTCCGTCCGGCCCTTGCTAAAGCATATCCCGGTCCTGTTTCTAACTCTGCGGATTACTTGTACAAGCTGCGACTCAGAAAATCTCTAAGTAGATTCAAACTCCGAAAGGTTCATCAAGATTCTGCTGTGCTCTGCTTCGTGCGCTCGTCTCGCTCCCTCTTCGTCCTCGCCATGATCATCTGGTGACAACCTGCGGCTCCTGCCATCATCTCGGATCCTCTCCTAGTTGATCCCAGGCTTGGCAACATGTTCCCGTCACACGCCGCCTACATTTGCATTGAGAGGAGCTGGTTGCCACTGTGAACATTGGGCTGGGCGACTTTCACCCAGCCATCTACCCGGAAAAGCAATCAAATTCCCCACATTTTTGAGCTAAATTCACCGGTTTGCCGCAATATTCAACTGTTCTCTGGGTGATACGAAGTGGTGAATTTCGCCTCGAATATGACGCATTTCACCAGTTCCGTTCTCACTATCCTTTACCAGCTATTTCACCCAATTAAATGGTGATTCTATTCTACCCATGTAGTGGTTAATTCTCGATTGGTGTTTTCCACCCAATTACATACTGAAATTCGCTCTCCATAGTTAGAGTAAGTCACCCTTTTCTTACCCACAGCCCGAGTGAAACATAAGAGCTTTCTTGCATTGTCCACACTCACGATAGAATAGCACCACGGGTAGAATACTAGTGAAATAATGGGTATATTCTGAATGCACAAACACACATGCACCCGGAGATAATATTAGTAAGATCGACGCATGCACCAACGATTCTTGGGAGATGACCACTAATGTTCCTACACTTGAGTTATCGGCAGCACCGCCCTAACGATTGAGACGGATCGTGACATCGACAAGAGGATAATAGACTGTTGTGGGCAGAGTGGATGAGTATTGCCATAATAGGAGAAAGAAGCCCTGTACCTGTCAACGTCTCAGCATGTTCAGTTCGCATGTTCCTCTTCCCCTGCTCTGTCACCCCTGTCGACCTCGACTGATTCGTTCTCCTCCTCGCCACTTGCTGAGCTCTGACCCATGGCCACTGGAGGACACCTGTTTTCTTTTCAGGTGCTTCCTCCCTTGCATGTGCCGCATTTCGTACTGTTCGAGGTACCACCCTTCTTGCGTGACCCGCCGACATTGGCTCCAGGCATCCCCTTCATCCGCACATTGCGCGGCTCCAGCGTTCCTGTGCCAACAGCATATTTGCGCTTATTGCGCATATACTGCTTGATGATCTCAGCTGTCGGCCAGTCGTTGACGAAGTCTCTCATCATCGGGAACGTCTGCAGCATCTGCATAGAGAAGTGTTGTCGTGAGCACATCAGCATGGGTAAATCTTGAAATCCTGGTGCCAATCAAGACCGGCACTGAACATGTTCTCACGCACGATGCGCTAGCAGTAATTTGAAGTAAGTGATCTGCATGAAGGATAATGTGAGCACAACTAACTAGGATTGCTTGGTACTGTGCGTCATTGTCCTCCAGCCCCATCTCGACCTGCAGGTTGAAGCCTGCACCAGCAGAGCCGGGCGGCTTCGGTATCAATGTCTTCTCTTTGACCTGTACAGCATTACTGGTTTTTGCGTGAAGCTCAGCCGCTTCACGCAAGGATTTCTGCTCTGCTAGCTGGGCTGCCAGTGTATATGTAATTGTGAGTTCATATCTGACGTGAACTGCTAGCAAAAACTCACCTTGCAGCTCCTCCACGTGTTTCTGTAGATCACTGGTGACATCATTTGCTGCCGAAGTGGGACCACTCGGCGGTCCTGCAATGGCCTTTGCTGCTCTACTTCCAGGATTACCATTCTTTTTTTTGCCCTTTGCAGTGCCCTTGGGCTTAGGAGCAGCCTGCTCATTGGCGATCCTCGGTGGCATGGTAAGATATAATTGGTCCAATTTCTATGGGTTATTTGCTGAAGGACTATGCAGGAGGGTGCAACGTGAGCATTGTCAACATTGGGGTGCTCGCATTGCCATTCGGACTTAGCAAAATCTGGGAACTTTGTTTGTTGGAGTTTGGCATGTTGTACTGCCTGTGGCGGCTCTCCTGTACTGCATTGCACTCAATATATAACACTCTGATCTACTCTACAAAGCTGCTGGCGAGATTATCCCATGGGCCGGAAGAAGAAGCCAACTACACAACTGGTGCTATGTGCATGCGGCTGCGGCAGAATGGTGTCACGAAGCACGGAACGTCGCCATCGGGCAGGGAAGGTTGCACCGAGAATCCATGCACTATCAGCATTGAATAGGCAGGTGTTCAAGAACTTGAAGAAGCATCAGGTATGACTTTATAGCATGTGACGACAGACTTGCTCGGGTTTGATTGTTGAGAGACATCAGCAGGCGGCAGTGGAAGTGGAATTAGACATCGAGTACAGCGAGACTGATGATGCTGCACCTGATGTTAGAGCCTTGGATGAGAAACTGGATGCAGTGCCAATACCAATGGATGTGGGCTATGCTGCGGGGCCCAATGGGCCACAGTACCGTGGCGGAGATGAAGCAGGCCAGGAGGTTGAACCCGAGGACTCTGCAGTACAGAGCGCAGTGGCCACCGCACAGACTGAGACTTGGTGTAGGCATACACAGTGTGCACAGGTGGATGACGAGGAAGGGGAAACTTCTGATGATGAAGACGAGGCTGAGGACTATTCAAGTGAGAGCAATTCAGATTCAGACGATGACACCGACGATGAGGGAGGACTCACAGTGTGGGATTGGATGGGTGCAGAATTTGAGGCTAGGGCAATGGCCATCGGTTTGTCCGTGTCTCTTCCATGTCATTCCCTTGTAGACTGGGCTTGTTATTTGGGCTAGAGGAAGAGTTGAATGAAGAGGACAAGGCAATGCTCCGAGCATTTGCACTTAAAGCCGACTCTCACATGATGACACAAACCTATGTGAAGCTACCATTTGCGTTTCCAAATGAACATATCCCCACACTTGGTCAAGCCAAATCTCGCATTGCATTCTTGTCTGGCATCAAACCCCAATTATATGACTGCTGCCGAAATTCATGCTGTTGCTTTGTTGTCCCGCATGCAGAGCTCGAAACATGCCCGTATTGTCATCTGGACCGCTACCGAGCAGACAGGAAGCCTTACAAGCAGTACACGTACCTCCCCTTGATCCCGCGGCTCAAGGCATTTCATGTGAACACATTGATGGCCAAGAGCATGCAATATCGTGCTGAAGAACATAAACATGATCTGAATGTCATAAAAGATGTATTTGACAGTGAAATATACCGGTCCTTGTGTGGCCAACCTGTCATTGTCAATGGGAAGCCGCTGAAGCACAGATATTTTGAAGACTCACGAGATATTGCTTTAGGCCTGTCAACCGATGGTTTCGCGCCTTTTAAACGGCGCAAGCAGACGGCATGGCCCCTCATTGCATACAACTACAACTTACCGCCAGAAGTTCGCTTCCACAAAAAAAATATCATTCCCATTGCGGTGATTCCTGGCCCCAAGAAGCTTGCCAACTTTGACTCTTTTCTCTGGCCTCTTGCCGAGGAAATGTTGCGACTGGCAGTTGGCGTGCGTGCATGGGATGTTCTGACAGCAGCCATGTTCGTTCTGCATGCATTTCTCATTCTTGTCGGAGGTGACATCCCTGCGATCTCAATGATCATGTGTATGAAGGGGCACAATGGATACGCACCATGCCGCATGTGCAAAATCGTCGGTGTTCAAGTCCCCAATGCACCCCGCAGCCCATATTATGTCCCTCTTGACCGCTCTCGACATCCCGCACCTGGTGCCATCATTTCCTATGATCCCGCAGCGCTCCCGAAATGCACACATGAAGACATACTTACTCAAGCGTGCGAAGTGCAAAGTGCACGTACTGATGCCGAAGCCGAGCGACTTGCCAAGGCTTATGGAATCAAAGGTGTCCCCCTCCTCTCATGTCTCTCGTCACTCTCTTTTCCACTCTCCTTCCCCTACAATTTTATGCATCTGATCTGGGAAAATGTCATCAAGAATCTTGTACTGCTGTGGACTGGTGAGTTCAAGGGTTTAGACGAGGGAAATGAAGAATACCAGCTACATCCGGACATGTGGACTGCAATCAGCGCCACTACTGCTGCTGCCGGCTCCACAATACCTTCAGCCTTTGGTCCTCGGATACCTGATCCTGCTACTGACAAGAGTGCAAGCACGGCTGACTCCTGGTCACTATGGTCTCTATACGTTGGCCCTGTTCTTCTCGCCCGCAAGTTCACACGCCCGAAGTATTATGAACACTTTATTGAGCTGGTCAAATTACTCCACATGTGCCTGGAGTTTGAGATTAGCAGACAGGATATTGCCATCGTTCGAGCGGGTTTCATAAAGTGGGTGACTACGTACGAAAGGTACGTGAAATACCTTGAAACTCAATCTCACCATGACAAGGCACCACTCACAACCCTTGCACATTCAGAATTTACTACCAGCATTCGCCAGAGCGACTCGGGATTTGCCCGGTTACTATCCATGCCCTTCTGCATATTGCTGACAGCATCGAGACAGCCAGTCCAGTTTGGGCATGCTGGTCATTCCCGATGGAACACTTTTGCGGGTACTTACAGCCTGCGATCAAGAGCCGCCATTTTCCGTTTGCTAGTATCGACAGATACCTCATAGATTCAGCATGTCTGGAGCACATTAAGATGCTGTATGGCATGGAGAAAGAGCTTGCACTGAAGCCGACAGCATCAATGTCAGGTCTTGCTGTGGCGGAGTGTGAGTCAAGCCACTATTTCATATTTCGGCATCATCTGACTGTCATGATTTCAGACAATAGATGTCTGCTGCTTCCACCTCATCGAACAGCTGACATGAAGACTACCCCACTGATTGAGAAGATTGTGGGGGCTTTGGCAACACGATTCAATGTGACTGCTCGCGTCGCACGTCATGCCTTGCCTGAACAAATAAAGTTGTGGGGAAAAGTACGGATTCTCCCTGATGGTGACACCATCCATGCGGCAGCCTTGAGCAAGCCTCGTGAGGACCGGTGTGATGCGACGTATGTGCGAGTAAGTACCATTTCATGGCAATTACTTATCTTCGTTGCAAGGACTAACAATCTGCTTGTTTGTTAGTATGAGGTGTTGGTCGACAAGAATGCCCGATTTCATTGTAGACGTGTTGCTTTAGAAATACACACCTTCTATGGACAGCTACAACACATCTTCGCTGTGCGCCTCGCGCCTTCGCAGCCACTGCAACTCACCAAACCGACAACTCTCATCCTTGCCACTATCAAGTCCTGCCGGATCGAACGCTCCCACAACACACTCGACATACACTTCTTCTCGGACACAGGCGCAGTGGATGTCATCGACATTTCATGCATACAATGTGTCATTGGCAGGGTGCCAGATGGTGATCACTGGGCGATCATAGACCACAGTGGATCGCTTGCGTGCGCTGTGTATGCCGACGAAGTCGAGGACTAGACATACTTACCTGTAGCTACGGTCTTCATAGTTCAACCATCTTGTGGTTGATAATTCATGTTTTTTTGCACTCACAAAACACTGAGTAATTTTCACTCAAAATGATACTCAATTTGGTGGACAGAATCCGTGAGTCCACAATCAGTCAAAAGGACTCGAAACCTGGATGAATTGTAATGAGTGAAATTAACTACTCAATTCACCTGGTCCGAGATTCACACATCTTGTGAGTGAATCGGGATTTTCACTTATGTTGTGGCCGATTGTTGCCCACACGTGCTTTCATAGTGTTGCTCTGTCGCATGGTAGGTCAGTATGATTTTCTTCCGTTCAATATTCATTGCTAACTCTGACATTGAGCTTACAGGTTGTTTGTGATTGGTGCAGGGTGGAGGGCATACACTAGATCGGCGTGGCGGGAGGATTACCGGTCAGAGCGGGGCCAATTTCTGGTAGCGGATGGTTCGTAGGGCAGCATAGCATAGCATGTATCGAAGTCCATACAAAAAATCAATAATTTTGCGGTATACAGTTTTTTGGTATGAAAATGAGATATTTTAACTGGTTGGTCATTTGTGAGCCCCAGACGAAGCATCGGACTGGTCCTTTCCTCAGCCATATTCTGGGCTGCTACGGCCCCATAATGGCATGGCAGTCTAGGGCAGGCTCCTAAAACCAGCCGTTGCTATAGCGTTCTCGCTCCTTTATCCTACGTTCATGTTTTAGGAGATCATATGATAAATGTTTTATGAGACTTACCTGATTGAGCGAAAATTACTGTAAAAGGATAGCCGAACAAGAGGAGGAGAACGCTATAATCAGTTCCTGTGGATTAGACAACACAGTGATCTATCAATTTTGGGTAGTGCTCGCCCCAAATCAACATTGCACCTTGCATTCTGCGACACTGCGCGATGGTGCCCTACGCGAACACCGAATTTGGGTTGACGGCGTCGCAGAAAACAAGACCTATGCTAGGGTTTATTCGAGATTTCCTGCGAGAAATGCTGGGTATGCGCGCTCGGCGTATCCTCGGATGACCAGTTTGGCCAGCCGTCCTATAGCATTCTCCTCCTCTTGTTCGGCTATCCTTTTACAGTAATTTTCGCTCAATCAGGTAAGTCTCATAAAACATTTATCACATGATCTCCTAAAACATGAACGTAGGATAAAGGAGCGAGAACGCTATAGCGACGGCTGGTTTTAGGAGCCTGAGTAGGGGTTGTTTTGGTGTCTGACTACAAGCCCTGAAATGGGGCTGCACACGGGCTGTCACGGGCCTGTCTACGCGGCTGAATTGACAACAATTACAAGCATTGTATAAGGGTTTTTATAAAATACCGTAAAATCATTAGACGAAAAGGATAGTAATAGGCTGTGGCACAGCCTGGTACGGGGCCTCCGCTCCACGGCCCCATTTTGGTGCCGCAGAGATCTGGCCGTGTACTTAAAAGTACAACGAGATACACGTGATGCGCCTTTCCCGACCGTGACGCGTCGCGCCACCGCGATCGTCCTAACCGCAATGCACTCCTTGTCACACTAGTTGGGTAACCACCTAGCAGTACTCAGTTGACTGGAACTTGTCTTGTTGTTGCTTGTCTTTGTTGAGATGCCCCCTGTTTGGCTTGCCCGCTGGAAGACGCGAGGATCGATGGAGCTGCGACACTACCAGGTCCCGCTCGCTGTGAAAGAATATGTTGTGAATCAGATCAAACAGGTGCTGAGGGAGAAGGGCGTAAAGCATTGGTCGAAGTGGGTGCGCGAGGATTTACGAAATTCCACGAACGATGTACGGTCAAACCGCAAACGACAACTAGTCGAAACATACCCGGGGCTCCTTCCCGGTCATTACAGGACTGCCCTTGAAAGCGAAGCTTGGCTACCAATATACATTCTCACTGCTACTATACCCCACTCGGATCTCAAAGACACGCCATTTGATACGAACTTAGAACTGTGTATAGTTACCTGGAGACACCAATCTGGCCTGGTGGGCATTACATTTTACAACAATCACCTTCCAGAGACTACCCATCCATCCCACTTTATTGTCGATGGTGCAACCACGGAACTATCAAACAAATTGCATCCGGACAGCGGAGGTGTCGGTTTTATACATGCAACCCAATTCTTGCAGGAAGAGTTGGATCGACACTTGACCGAATTGGAGAAAACAGAGAAGCCGCACATTGAAGCCGAAAACACCGGTATATGTTTTCGCATAGGCCATCAGCTGGGGATGCTCAATTGGTGCAAGAATGAAGGAGTTGCGAATCAGCTAGGCGCGAAGGTGGAAAGCCTGGTGCCATCAAGCTTGGAAGGAATTCTGGCATCTGGTAGAACAGTCCTTAGCCATTCTCTCAACCGTGAATGCTCATTCACTGTCTTTCTCCAACAGGCGACACGGACTCATCAAAGGGGAGAAGAATTCATGAAAACAGAGTTGTGATCACATATAATCGTCGCTTTGCGCTTGGACTGTCGGTGAAAGCCACCGGCGTGGACAAGGCCACTGAGCCATCCCACGAGATTCCTCTCATAAAAGCGGACGAAGTTGTCATTACTATACTTGGTCTTCCAAGTAAACTCACTCCAGAGCACATATTCTCTGGTGTATTCGGTGTCATGCGCCAACCTCGTACATGGAAGATCCAAAACTGGACGCCGCATAGTCCAACAATCCACTTCTTCAAGCCTTCAGAAGTTTCACCTTCCTTGTCTCGTACGCCAGATTTCCATGAACCGCCTTTCTATCATCGTGACCAGCTGATCCTCTCCGGACCTCCGCTGAACAAACTCGGCATCAACTACGTCGGCGATCTTCTACTGACAGGTGACCGAACCATAGTGATTACTGCAGGGCCCTTATTTGACGAGTACAAGCGGCATCTCTCCGCGGCCGTCGACTTGGCATTTCGTACCATGCCTGAGCTCGCTGTAGAGCTCGCCGTGGACATACTGACTGACCACGGCAACCACGATGGGACTATCAGCCGAGTGCTGACCCCTGCCGACACGGAAGGCAAGGACGCTTATCGACGCGCATTTACAGCAGCATGGCGAAGGCTGGACCCTTCGTTGTCCGATGACGAGCAGCTCTTCCCTGTCTCCGGGGCTGAAGCAGCACTTGTCCAGGAGCTCGGCAAGACTGGGCGTCCCGTGCACCCGCACGTCAAGACGATACTCGCCAGGTCGGGTGCGTACCCTGATATCAGGTTGCACGCAGAATCGCTGCTCCTGCAGGCGCGATCATGTTCGATCTATGTCCCGGGAGTCGACCGCTTGCGCCGCGCGCTGGCTACCCTTCTACCGGGCGTGACGGAGAACCAGCTGGCCGTTCGGCAGTTCAATCACTCCCAACCGACGATCGTCTGGGATATGGTGACAGAAGTGTTCGTCATGGGCGTCCCTGCGCCGTGCGAGAATCACGGAGACGGCGGCTGTGTTTGTTGGGTGGGCCCGTATCTCGCGGATGCCGTTGCGAGCTGGGAAAACAGGAATGCTGGCGCCGAGATGCTGTCAAAGGCTGCGATGTACCGGGTGTATTTAAATAGCATGGAAGGGGTCCACACCGACGATATGCAAGAGCCGTCCAACAGCAAAAATGAAGAGGTCAATGGTGAGCCCGTCTGTCGCTGTCCTATAATATGTCGCGTAACACGCTGACCAATTGTAGGTAATACTTCCCCTCCCCCTCAACCTGCCGTTAATGACGAAGACGAGGACGACAATGAACTAGGCTATATCACTGTCGTTTCTCATGCCACAACACCAATGCAAGCCACCCTGCGAGCATATGGCACACCGAGATCCATCTCTCCTCGTCGTGTGCTCCTCACACCTGCAAGCCCAGACCGACGAACATCTTCGGTACCGGCGCTAGTTGCAGCAGCCACCTCGTCTCAAAGCCCCAGAAGAACTCCTGCTTTGGAAGCACCGCCACCGAAAACTAATGATACAGGTGCGTTTCTCTCACCATGCAATTGTGTCACATATTAAATATAAGTCATCAAGGTTCTACTTCCCACCACCCGCCGACCGAGGACAACTGTGATACCATAGAAGACTTGTGGCAGGACATGAAAGAACGGATCGAGAAGTTCACGCATGCGCGTCTGGACAAGGAGCGCCGCTCCGCGCAGGAAAAGGAGAACGCCGTAATCGAACAAGTCACTCATCTCCAAGCCGTTTCGGATACGCATGAACGGGAACGCAGGGAGCATTTGCAGGCGTTGGAGACCAAGGGGAAGGAGCTCATGGAATGTGACCTCTTATTGCAGCGCAAAGACGAGACCATCCGGGATAGGGACGCGCGCATCGCACAGCAGAAGCAGTCGCTGAAGTCGCAAGCTCGGCGCATTCGCAAGTTGGAGGACAACGTGAATAAACTGGAGAATCGCGAGAGAGTCCGTGCACAGAAGCTGCAGACGGAGCTGGAAAGCATGAAGCGGCGTATCTCTGTTGCCTTCAGCGAGCATGAGGAGGAAGAGTACGAGGAGAAGGATCCTCCAGAGGAACCACCGAGCAAAAAATTGAGATCTGACTGATTTTGATCATGACTTGCTATCTACATATTGCTCTGCCACATTGCTTTGGGAATAACGAGTGGACTCCATTGATGTTGCTAATAATCTAGGTACAGTGCTGTATAACCATATATCCATACAATTGTCCATCCTCACTTCGCACTCGGAGCCGCGTAGTCCCGCGAAAGGTCGATCTGCCCCCGCAGATGTGTGTTTGTAATGCGCATTTGGCGCTGTCGAGGGGCAGACTTCCTCCCTTTCTTTTTCCCTGCGGGACCTTTGGGTACCAGTGCTTCCGCCGCCGTGACTTGAAGACCCTCCGACTGGAGATGCTTGAGGAGGTCGACGTCGTTAGGAACCTCGAGGGAATGCCAGAGGTCGTTAAACTCTGCATGGGCGATGAAGAGCGTGTTTCAGTATGCAAGCCACGAGGCGTACCTTTCTCGACGGCTACGCCGCCGGACTCCTCGTCTGGCTTGATCTCATTCCAGAATACCATGCGCATTTGGCCATCCTTGAGGGTGCGCGTTACATAGACCTCGCCCTCTTTTTCCAGCTCCTCGATGGCCTGCGGAGCCTCCTTCCAGCTTTCCTTCAACGTGCGCACGGAGAGACCGCCGCCTTTACGGGTCTGTCGCTGGATTTCAGTGAGAAGTGCGGCTTTGTTGCGCACATTGAAATCGTGCTGCGAGGGTAAGTCACGAGCGGCGAGATGTGACACAGCAAACATACTCGATACGAGTACAGGTCGGTCTTTGGGTCGTACAAAATTCGATCATGGGACCTGAACTTCTCCTGGAGAACCTTGTCTGTGTCTATTGGTGTGTTCGTGAGGATAGCAAGGTCCTGCAAGCGCATGGGGTTCCCAGTCGTCTTGAGGTGATTCACGGCGTACACGAGCTGGGTGTTGACATTGGTACCCGTACCCGTCTCAGCGGGCTGAGAGTACACAACATCTGCACTAACATGTCAGCCATGGAACACCACCAGGGCAGACAAGTCAAGCAGAAGACGTGCTTGATTTTGGTCGCTTCTTTTTTGACTTGGTCGGGAGTTCAGGTGTTGGTTCAGGTGCAGACGCAAGCAGAGGCACCGGATTTGGTTGTGAGTGCCACGAAGAGTAGTCTTGTCTGTGAAGAGCTGATTTGAAAGCGGCTGCGTCCCTTGCCAAACCAGACATGGCGGTGGATGTTAGAGAAGGCGCCCCGGAGCCGCGTGGTATAGAGGCGCCCTACCGCAAACACGCGCAAATACCGTAATTGACGGGCCCATATTTTAAGCTTGATCTCTCTTCAAAACTTCAGTCGCTGTTACCTCTATACTGTACCTCATGTAAATTTGTACACGCGAAAGCTTTATGTTTTCTAGTTGACACTGTGGTCACTTATTTGATGTAATCCACTCCCTGTGCAGTTTCCCCCCCGGTTGTGGGTGGCTGTTTGCGGGTTACGTGGATGATGGGCGTCTATCTGCTTACGGATAGTACCGAGTCAAAGTTGGTCTCAACTAGCTCTTGGCCGCGGGATGGCTCAAGGCGACATGGCCTTCTTCGCCAGGCCCTCCTCCTCTGCTGTCAAAATTGTCGCTCCTTCCGTCACAAGTCCACCGCCCAGCCCGAAACCGACATCCAAGAGGGGTAGGTTTGCCCACGCAGGTCGCTGATACTGACTAAGTTCATCCTCAGACGCTACTCAGCGCCAGTGTAGGAATATTCTGATTTATGGGTGAGTATAGAACTTCTCTATCAATTAGGGAAGAATCGACTGTCGTCCAGATCATGTAAATATCAGGACAAAGGTTGTATCTACTATCATCCACCCGTACGTGACTTCATCGTCTCGAATCGCACCCCTTTGCTCACGCCCGTCCAGCGCGATACTCCGTCTCCTGTGTGCGTAAGATATAGACTCAACCTGCTGTCACCACCGCTGAACTTGATGCAGACTTCCAGAGTCGCCTGTCCCGAGCGCAGCGCTCCCGGCCCAGGCCGTCAATGCACCTGTATTTGTTCCTAAGACACCCCACTACCCTACGAGCCCACCTACTCCCGTTATTGTACCTTTGCAAAGCCCACCGTCCTCGTAAGTGGTGTTACCTACCGTCTGTTACAGTGATCTACAGCTTCTTCAGACCTTCACCTTCGTCAGCTCCGTCCGACCTCTCATACGAGCACCATGAGCCATTTAACCCATTTGCTTCCGATGATGAAGTTGTCAACGATGGGTCTAAAGTTGTAAGTTTTGTGTGTATTAATGTTATCGTATTAACGCTTTGCGTAGCCCGCTGTCAATCCGTATGAGCTGCCATCGGACTCGATGCTTGGCTATGATCCTGCGAACATGGTGGATTCCTTTTACACGCCTCCATATTACGCTCAGCAACCAGTGCGTCTGCCCGATCGCTCTGGTTTGATCGACCTCTGATACCTGCAGGACGTCGTCGCAGTTGAATTATCACCTGTACACCCAGGCCCGCCCCGAAGTACTAGCGCACAAGTACTTCATATCCGACTCCATCCGCGAGGAACTGCAGAGGCGCTCGGAGACTATTCGTACTGCACTGGTACCTGATATGATGTTGCCCGAGGAGATGCAGGGGTACCATTCACTAGTCCCACTGGAGCCATCCACAGGCGATCGGCGCAAATTCGGCAATTGGTACTCCAGTGTATATCGAGCCACGAACTCTGCCGATGGGTTGCAGTATGTACTGAGAAGGATTGAGAGTACGTTTTTCGACTACAACGACGAATGCTCACTCATTCCTCCTCGTAGACTTCCGGCTCATGCAGCAAACGGCATTTACTGCGATTGAAAACTGGTCTCGTCTGCGGCACCCAAACATCGTCTCTGTCCAGGAAGCGTTCACCACCCGTGCCTTCACAGACAGTTGTGCGTGTCCTCTTTCTTCTTCCTCGAGTTCCACACGTGTGACACGACATGATGCTTCCGCAGCACTCGTCGTGGTGTACGACTACCACCCGAACGCGCAGACGGTTTACGAGGCTCACATCAAGCCTAAGGCTCCGCAATTCCAGAACGGACGTCTGCAGACGCAGTCGAACCGCATACCCGAGCAGACTATGTGGTCGTACGTGATCCAGATTGCAAATGCGATCAAGGCGGTACACGACTCCGGGATGGCCGTTAGGATTATCGACCCTACCAAGATCCTTCTCACTGGAAAAAATAGGTACGACATTCCCTGCTTGCCTACTCTTCGATAGTTATCTGGTGGTAACGAAATGGAGGAGCTGATGCTGGCTGTCTGCTTATAGGGTCCGTATTGGCTCGTGCGGGGTCGTTGATGTGCTCATGTACGAGTCGCATGCGGACATCGCGTTCCTCCAGCAGGAGGACCTCGCGATGTTCGGGAAGCTCATAATCTCGCTGTGCTGCAATAACCCTGCACCTATGAACAATTTGGTAAAGTCAATGGAGACCGTCGGGCGGCATTACTCCTCGGATCTCAAGAGTGTGGCCTTGTTCTTGATCTCCAAGCCTGGCCCTCACAAGGTCTGTCTTCGTAGACTGTGTTACGAGGCATCTCCACTGACATGGCTATGGAATGCAGATCATCGGACAGTTGTTTGATATGATCGGAAGTAGGCTGCTGACGGAGATGGACGAGATGCAGAAGTGAATCATTCTTGCCACCTTGTCTGACGTGTTACTCATGGCCTCGCAATCACAGCGCGGTGGACCGCCTGGAGGGTGAGCTGCTGACCGAACTGGAAAATGCACGTCTTGTCCGGCTTCTGTGCAAATTCGGTTTTATCAACGAGCGGCCTGAGTAAGTTTCTTTCGCTGAGCAACCCATCGTAACCTGACATGGGCTTGCCAGATTCGCACGCGAACCACGCTGGTCAGAGACGGGTGACAGATACATCGTCAAGCTCTTCCGCGATTACGTGTTCCACCAGGTCGACGAGCAGGGCAATCCGGTCGTCAATCTGTCGCACGTCCTGACATGTCTCAACAAGGTATGTCTATCGCTCTGCACTTCGACACTTATCCAGGATTGATAACTGTTATCTGTTGTACAGTTAGACGCGGGGACTGACGAGCGCATCATGCTGGTATCTCGCGACGAGCAAAGTTGTTTGGTCGTGAGCTACAAGGAGGTCAAGTCGTGCATCAACTCGGCCTTCAGGTTTGCCGTTTCCTAGCATGTTTACCTCTTACAGCTGCTCATTTCGCATCTTCCAGCGACCTGTCAAGAAGGTGATGACGTGGTGGACGCTTTTTGATAACAGAAAATAGGTAGAACCTGAAAAAGACGCAGAAAACAGACAAATCAACGACTCTTTCATTTCTATCCTCCCGTGTGATTTCTGCGTGCTTCAAGTCTCGGTATGCTTCTTTCTTCAACGTGAGCCCTCTGACGTGTCCCCCGCGTTTTCTCTACCGATCATATCCTGTCAAGATTGGCACGGCAGCCAGACTTCCTTGACTTTTGTCCTTAAAGTGCTAGATTTAAGATAAGTAGACGTTGAAAAGAATCCTTGCCAAATGACTGTGAGTGTGCCAGTTTGTCTGACCATCTCTAGTCAATCTGACAACTGCTCATGCTGTAACTTGCTCCAGCAGTACTATTAGACCGATCAAGAAATAACGGTGGTCATCTCCGCTAACCTTATAATGCCTCAGTGTGAACTGCCCAGGGCAATGCTGCTGGTACCTCCGGGCTGATACATGCTTCGCTGAAGCCCTGGGAGGTACGTATAGAAACAAGAGACTATTTAGGCCGCTTCTGCATTACTGACTTTCTTCCAGAAGACGGACGATCAGTCAAGAACAGACGGTCACATCGAAACGAGCCTGAGCTGTACGCCGTTAGATGTCGCACACGTGAAGTCCTGCTGGTGTTTCGCAACCCTTCACGGTACGACTCTGCAGGTCCAGCTGGACTGGCGAGATGGGTTGGGGTACCGAGGCCGCCACTCATGTCATTCATCCGCCCGCCGAGGTGCAGGCGAAGATGCCGCGATCATTCAGCGTGTTGAAATCGTGTGTGAGTTTGTGTGTACTTCACTACATATCTATGCCGTCACATTTCGCTGATCTCTCGATGCCTACATACTCAGCGATGTGCGACGGGTCACTTATCTCTATTCTCTTTCGAGGGCTATGCAGATCCACTGCCGTGACGGCAACTGGTGAAGACCGAACTCGAGGAGGGGCGCGCGTGATGTGGGTGGTCTGTTCTAGTGTTGGGCAGGGACATGTGCTCGGGCACATTGAATTTTGAGACAATGGTTACTGGTGCCATCGGGGCGCGGACCAAGAGCCGGTTTTTGCACGCGGTGCTTGGAGGAAAGAGCATCAGCAGAGGTGATTAGATGGAAGACAGATGGAGTGGGTGTTAACTCCCCTAAGTTACGGCTACATTGCCCTTTAGCCCAATAGAGCCACCGCGTTTTGTCATTTCCTTGACATGTCGGCGTTATTTCTTCCTGAGATAAACGCATTCTTTGGTAGGAAGGGCCCTGATGCCTGAGGAGCGGTGATTTATATCTGGAACAGGGATAGGCGGCACGTGCGTCTGGGATTGTTCTCAAGTCCAAAACGGGCACAAAGCGCTTCGGTATAGCAGCAGGCTGTATACCCTCCGCCTGACTCTGCAGTCCGTCCTTCTCCCCAGATTATCTGTCTGGACCGTCCTCAACGTCGCTGACAGTACGCTCGCAACTGCCTATACCCCGCTGCCACCCACTTGTCCCGCAAGGCCGGAGACACTGATGGCAACCGCCTATACACGGTCTCCCACTGCACTCAATCCCATCCGTCAGCAATTCTTGAATTCTCCTCCACAGCGCAGGCCAGCTTCTCGGCTGCATTTTGTGACAGAGTTCTCGCAGTGTTTGTACGATTTTGTCGTCCAACTCCTCCCCACACCCGAGGAGCTCGCGGTGAAGGAGGATGTCCGCAAGCTTCTCGAGCGCCTCATCCGCACCATCGAGCCCGACAGCCGGCTGCTTTCATTTGGCAGCACGGCCAATGGATTCAGCCTTAGAAACTCTGGTGAGACGCTCTTTGGACGCGGTTCCACTTGGTCGCTGACTCCTCGCAGATATGGACCTCTGCTGTCTGATTGATTCCTCGGAGCGACTCGCCGCCTCAGATCTGGTCACCATGCTAGGAGACCTGCTTGAGCGAGGTGCGTATTTAGCATTGATTGCTCGTTGTGAGCGCGCATTCATCTCGCGATAGAGACGAAGTTCCATGTAAAGCCGCTGCCTCACGCACGGATACCCATCGTGAAGCTCTCCCTCGATCCATCACCCGGCCTGCCCTTCGGCATTGCGTGCGATATCGGCTTTGAAAACAGACTGGCACTAGAAAATACGCGTTTACTCATGTGCTATGCCATGATCGACCCAACCCGTGTACGGACGATGGTCCTATTCCGTGAGTAGTTATCCAAGTCCCTCGTGTTCGTAGGATAAACATTCAGTATCCTGGCTTGTACAGTGAAAGTTTGGAGTAAGCGGCGGTGCGTGAAGTTACCTCTGCCATACCGGTGGATTCTGATCCCTCTCACAGGAAGATCAACTCGCCTTACAAAGGCACCTTGTCATCGTATGGTTACGTTCTGCTTGTAATCTATTTCCTAGTACACGTGAAGAATCCGCCTGTACTTCCAAATCTGCAACAAATGCCGCCTCTGCGTCCTATCTCCAAAGTACGCGCACTTGGATCTGATTTGTATCTCCTGAGCTGACGAGATTCACAGGAGGATACACATCTTAATGGATACAACATCTGGTGCGCGTTTAGGCCATCCATCCAGCAGCGATTGACTAATTCTACGCAGGTTTTTCGATGATATAGAGCTCTTGCGTCAACGATGGAAGTCGTCGAATACCGACACCGTCGCCGACCTGTAGGCTACCTCTGACCTTGTGGCGTCTACGGACTGACGTTCCATCCGCAGACTAATTGATTTCTTCAAATTCTATTCCCGCGATTTCGCTTATAGTACTGGCGTGGCCTCTATCAGAGCTGGTCTCCTGAATAAGGAGAGCAAGGGCTGGCAAAATGAGGTATGCGTAGAACCTCCATCTGATTGCACTTAGATTAACCTCCTGTCTTAGTTTGAGAAAACAAGTCTGCGAGAGCGCAATCGGCTATGCATTGAGGTAACATCATCATCTCCCGCAATCTGAAAATGAGTTCTCATTCTGCGAAGGATCCATTTGAGATGGACTTCAACGTTGCTCGCTGCGTGACCAAGGACGGTCTCTACACCGTGCGTTTTTTGTTCTCTATATGCGATCGTGTCTGAAATGTGCCTTATTAGATCCGAGGCGAGTTCATGCGTGCGTCACGGATACTGCAATTCCGACCGGAACGCGCCATCGTCGCGCTCGCCGCACTGTGTGAAGAGCGTAAGGGCGAGGAGCTGTTACAAGCCTCTCCTTCACGTGCGGCTTTCGCACCGCCTCGCCTGCCTCCCCAGATCCCGTACACTGTCGGCAGCAGCCCCATGCGTCCCACCGGAGTTCCTGTGCCCGCATCAGTCTCACCCCCTGAGCCTGCGGCCGTGCCCGAGGAATCTTCTCCGGGCTCTCCAACTCCGGTGTCGAGGCCAACACCCTCTGCGCAGGTTCCAATACGGCTGCCGCTCGACCAGCTCGAGCATATGGCGCCGAAGCGAGGGAAGTGGACAAGTCCCCCGCCGCCAGAAGCACCTGAGGAAGACCGCTCGGCATTTGAGGACCGCCTCGGACAGGGCCTAGCGCGTGCGACTGCGCCGAGCTCCGCGTGGGTGCCATACCAGCGCCAGGGGCAAGGCTACTCCTCGTCGAATAGCGAAGTGCAGACGGACGACGACGCCCGCTCGGACATGGTGGAGTCGGACGATGTGCAGTCCGTACACTCGTTCACGGAGGAGGGTGCCATATACCGCCATCGCGAGCGACTGCGAACGGTCACGCCGGGAAGCGAGCAACAGATACAGCTCTTGGAAGCCCAGGCTCCGCAGGCTGAGTTAGATAGGTCAAATTTTGCGTCTGGTTCAGGTGCTGGTTCTGTGCCTCGTGCGATGCCAGTGTCTCCGCAGGGTCACGGAGGGGGCGGACTCGATGCGAAGATGCTTGCGCGACTGCGAGGACGCCCGCCCTCAAAAGTGACTCAACATCTGAGTAAGGTGAACGCGGTGAATCTGGGAGCCAGAGACATGGATGAAGGGTTTGTTCCACCCCACATAGACACCCCACGACGCTCGTTGTCGGGTCCTTCGCGGACGTCGAACAAGTTTTCCCAGCTCGCACTGCCCACGCTAGTCCCGACGTTCCCGGCCCCACAGGCGTACATTCCCAATGAACAGATGCACACAGCCTCTCCAGCCTATCCGACTGCGTTCATCCCCAATGCAAACGTGTTCTATGAGACCACCCCGACGAAGGATAGAATGATCCACATGAGTGGATACGCCTTACCCATGCGGTTCACCTCCTCATACCAGTTCTATGAACATTCTCCTGTCCTCGCCACATCCCAACCACACGCTTTCGCTCTCCCAGGACGGTCAACACCCGGGAGCCGTTCACCGTCGTCCACCACGTCGTCTCCCCGTCAGCCCAACATCTCGCCACGGCATCTTCCGCCATCACTCCGGCGGATGAAGCTGTCGGAGGGCGTGCCGGAGAGGGAGCCCTCTGTGCTCGAGAACGCTGTGCCTCTGACTATGGCCAGGAGCCTCTCGCAGACGCAGGCTGGCTATCCGACTGGCACCGTGTCTCTGCAGAGTCAGCAGTATTCACTGTCGCTTTCGCCCTCATTGTCGCAAATTAGCTTGCACTCCCCACCCACTCCACCTCACTCCCAGCCATTCTTGCATCAACACAGCGCGCATCTGCCCCATTCAACGCACTCACAACCACATTCGCATGCACACCCACATATGCATTCGCATCAACATCAACATTCAATGCATTTGCATTCACGTCCACATTCATATCCGCGTTCGCTCTCGCCGCAGCCTGTGTCGCCCTTTGCTTCTCCCTCATCAGGGAGCGCCTCATGTACAAGCTCGCAATATGCCGCATCGTCGTCACCCTTGTCAACGTCACCCCTATCACTGTCACATAGCGATCTGCCGCCCCAGAAACCTACAGTTGGAGACGTCAACGAGAGCGAGAAGACCCCGATTGAGTCTCAGCATCCTGCAGATTTGGACGCCCAGGTTGACTGCAATTTAAACGACAATGTGCATCCACCGCAGCTGCAGGAAGTATCTCACCTCACTCCAGGATCGCTGTCTCTTAACCAGGGCGTAGAAGAGGTCCTACCGATGGGTCCTATGGAGTCTTCTACTGTGCGATGGTAGCAAGCACGAGTTTCTCTGACTCATGGACAACGTGCGGGCCTCTAGAGGCTTTCGGATTGCGTACTTGGCGCCGTTGTTCACACACACCTTTAGTCGAAGCTGCTCTGCATGCTATGCATGGGGCAATTAGACCTAGATTTTTGGCTCATTGCTTACTGGCATAGATCTGCACACCTCTCAGGTCTGCTGCAAGTATGCTCTGACCTTCGTGCCTCCAGTAACCCACCTGCACCAGATATGGTTTCATCTCATCATGTCCTTGCTTGTCTTTACTTGCATACGATACTGCACATGCGCCTTGCGAATGGTTCGCAAATGCCTTCATGCACATACCCTCACCCACCATTTCTAGTTTAGGCAGCCCTAACAACTCAGATGCCTGGTGGGCTTCATTCTGACGGGTCTCGCATGTAGTCCCACACGGACTGGGTACTGCGGACATGTAGCCAGATTCACCACCCCCCTATTCCCTGGTCCCAATGCTGTCTTGGAATGACTATTCTACCTACTGCCAGGAATTCGAAACACATGCAGCTTCCATCCTACAGCTGCAGTGACCGGTCGACCGATGCGGTTATGTGGAGCCCTGCTTGCAAACATGCTCGAATCATGTCTAGTAGCCTGGAAGGATGCAATACACGGTGCCTATCTACTCCAGATACAGGCAGCTGCACAAGACTAAACTATTGGATAATTTCTGTCCCATGACCTCATGTGCTAGAGAGGTTCAAACCGGTCAGATGTCGTTGCAGCGTCTCTAATCCTGCCTCTGCACACGAGAGATTCAGAAGCAGAGTCATAGATGCAATAGCCTTCGAACGGAGTTCATGCTCGCTGTGTCCACCATGTCTGCGCGCCTGCTGTTCACGGATAAACAGATCCTCTTCTTCCTCGAGCGCATCTTCGACTGCCCTCCGTGCGACTGTTGAACTTGTGACCTCGATGTTCCGCAGTGTCTCCATGCTCTCCTTTCGTAAACCATCCAGATAGGGACGCATGGCTCTTGTTTCAATTTCGTCTATGACCGCTGCTTTGTCGAGGACGTAGTGTTTTGACTGTCCCAGCACATATCAGTGAAGCAGACCAAACGGAGATGGAGAGACATACACGAGCCATGAAGGGCCAAACGCCGGAACTGAGTAACCACGGGATGGTAGCAAGCACCGCAATGGGTGCACGCAGCATAAAGCCCAATTGTTCAACGTCATTTCGCGCTGAAGTAGTTGCAATGCTTATTGTGTCCCCGGAGTCAACGCTCACATCTTCGTGGTTGGCGTTGCGGGAAGACGCATACAATAAGGGTTTAGCCATAGCGGCCTGTATGGCATTGTAGGCACTCGCTGCGTTATGACGCGCGGCGATGACGGTGCGTAATACCTTCTTCCCCAGTTTTGAGAGTAGCAATGTGTCAATGTCTTGACCATAAACATCCAATTTTTCAAGCACGGTTCCCATTAGATCGTTCTGGGTCTCGTCTCTGATTGATCTCTGAATTTTGCGCTTCAGACTGTCGAAACGCTCTGCGCGTGTTTGGTCGGCTAGATTGCGAACGAACTGGACGAATTGGCGTTTGATGGTGCCCAGTGATGTATGCATTTCCTCCTGTATTGCCAGCAAGAAAAATTCCACTTCTTCCTTGCGGTGGAATTTCAGCTTGTTAGAATCCTCAAGTTGCTAGCGTTCCGTAAGCAAATTGGTCGAACAAACAAGCGACAGACGGCTTACTTTGATCTTTCGTTGCCATTCGGGTCGTTTCATTACGGTGACGATAGCCTGTGGTCCGAGGTCCAGACACTGCTTCTGAAGAACCTTGAATGATTTCTCCAGCTTTTCCGTTGAGTTTCTCTGCATACGTTGTTCGTCCTCTTGCCAAAATATCAAAACCTCGGTAATCTGGGCTTTCGTATGCTTGAATGCTTCGTACGCCTTTTTGTACTGCTCCGGTGTACGGCTTAAGCCTACTAGAAGACGTCTGTTATTGAGATGGACATTTTAGCAATGTGAAATGCTTCGCTGTAATTCAGAGAGAGAACACATACTGTTGATCGGAGCAGGATTTGTTCACCATCCCTCGAATCTTTTGACCTTCCATCATCAAGGTGAGGCCACGCTCCCTCGCAACTATGTCCATCGTCAGGCGCTTAATAGCCTCTTCCAGCCTGCTCTCTTCAAGCCTTTTGACGATAGCCCGTCTCCATTCATCCGCACGCAATTCCTTGTACTTCTGCTCTGCATTTCCCATACCCAAGATCCGTTCTGCGCACTATTGCCATTGTCAGTCACTACCAATGGCGTGGATCGACTGCCCGTACGTCATAGGCAAGATCACTCTCTTTCCAGATGTCTTTGAATCTCGGCTTTCCCGTTTGCGAACGCTGTAGAAGGGCGCGTGCGCCGATACCAAGACGAGAAGAACAGCTCAATACCCGTCGGATAGCGTCCGTGCTCTTCGGCCAGAACACTTTGGCTACACTTGCTATCTGCTGTTCCTGACGATCTCTCGCAACCTGTTCGACCTTGCTTAGTCGAGACAGATAGAGAATGCCTCATACTCCCACCTGATCTAGATGGGTACAGAGAACAACTTCTGGAGCTCGGCCAAGACCATTCTTAATGATGGCGGGAAGCTGTGATCTCCAATCATCCTTGGACACTTCCTTGAAGGATACAATAGGCACAATTGCGTTGGCTTCTTTCGCTACCACCCGCACCAAATCCTCATACGCATGGAACTAGTCATAAAGATTCGAATCAACCGATTCATGAGAAGCCGGAAACATGCGATCTTACATCGCCGCTGCCAGGAGACAGCTCTCCAATCCCCTACCGACGTGGGTCAATTCGAGACGGCACTCGCGACATGATGCGCTCGTACCGGAAGATCGATGAACTTAGTAGGTGAATTGAACAACCGAATTGATTACAAGACGTAATGTGATACTTAAGGACGTACCTCGATGTCCCCTGTGATATCTTTTTCTCGCAGTGCTTCAAATTCAACCTTTAGCAATGGCCAACTGGGTTGACGTTGTGGCGGTAGAGATATGTCTAGCCTATTACAGAGACGCACAATGTCATTGAGCTGTGCGAGCTATCACGAATGCAGTTGAACAGTGTCCTCACAATAAAATAAGCTGAGGCTCACCAGCTTGGACACTTCCCGCTCTCCGTTTGCGCATACGGGGAGCACGAAAGACTCTTGCTCAAACAACCGCAAATTCGCTTTCGTTGTCGGATGTAAATCCACCCACTTGTTGTACAGCTGCATCTGATGGCTCGTATCCTGTGATTCCGGTGTCGGCGTCGCGATGCCTTCAAAGGAACCAAACTGATCATCGTCATCGTCATCAGTGTCAAACGACATCGCGAATGGATCGTCGTCTGGAGGTTTGAAATTGTCCATCAGGATGGAATATTTGTGTTGCTTTAATTGTTCAATTGCAAGTCTGAAGTAAGAGGCATCAATCTCCAAGCTCGGTCGGGCTTGTCCTTTTACATGCTGGAGACGGCATGGCCAGGCAGTCGACGGAAGTTCTGGTGGGAAATGTATCAGTAATGCAATATGGAGATATGTTCAGCACCATACCATCACTTGGAAGAACAAGACAACCCATGAGTGCATTGAGGAATAGAGATTTGCTGCGGTATGATGTAGCTCAGCACATTTCCGCACGTCCGTGCAGGAATAACCCACCCCGCTTTCACCATGCCGCAAAATGCGATGCTGAACTTCTGGTCCATTTCTCTTGCTACTTCCCTTCGGATACTAGTCAACATTTCTAGAAGGTGTTGGCGTACGGACGATTTGTCCGATGCCATGCGATTGTGCGTAGGCTCCTGATAGATGAGCCTCTCAATATTCTGCAACAAACTAGTTTGTGCCTTCCCGATTATCGGCACTGTATTCTGGCTGAGATTCCGTTCAACCCATATTCGTCCCACCTCCTGGAATGCTCTGGTATACATGCTCATCCAATCCTCGTCGAACTTCACTACTTGAAGATTTTGATCGACGTCAAGTCCAAATCCATCCAGTTCTATGATAGGAAGATAGAAAGGCTTGGTGTAAAAATGACGCTTGAGAACATGAGAGACGACCCGATATTCGCCCAGTGTTTCGTGTGCGACGTTGCCATAGAAGTCATAGATTTTGCTCCGAACATCGAGAAGGTCTTCAACTCCAGTCCTCGACAGGAGTTCGACGGCTTGCGATAGAGTAGCAGCGGGGTGCGGAACAAGATCGGTTAGGGAGCGACGCCTGGATAGAAGAGATGATTGTGCGGTCTGTAAAGCGGAGAGCAGTTGATTCAAGTAACCCCGTTCTTTTTCATATACGTCGGCCAGAGAGATGATGTTGTCCGATGAGAATACTGGGGAGAGAAATGTTCTCAATAACAGCGCAGTGTCGTAGAACAGTGCCATGACTATATCCTTGTATTTCAGGGCAGGAGAGAAGTTGTGCAACCATACCGATCCTGTCTCATACGTGCGAATAATATCACGTATGACCGAGTCCATGGCATTGAGCGCATCGGTGATAGAGGAAATGGTGGCCAACCCCGGATATGTTGTCCTGAACGTCTGGCTGCGAGCGGCTAAGGATGTCCGGCCGATCGCCACACTCATCTCGCAGAGCTATGGAATAGAGACTTCAGGCAGTTAACGATCAATAGGAAACAGGGAAAAGATCAGAAATACATACTCTCGACAATCAACAAGGCAATTAAGCGGCGGGTGGAAGTTCAGTAAGGGCCTATCCACTTGGTCAGTTGCAGTTTCCCCGACTCGCTCTGTCAAGATGTATATAGTTCAGCATCGGAACACCTATTAGTAGAACGGGATTCCAAAGGCTTCCAAGCGTCAATCTCACGGGTATCGTGACGGATGCCTCAATTCACGATGTAACTAGAGTCTGCCGCCGGGGACGTATCACGGGGATAGCGACACGACATTAATATACCTAAGTCATTTGGAGCAACCTCAAGTTTGTCTATGGCCGAGAGATGGGCCGCAGTACTATGTAAGTACTATGGCAGTTGCATTCGGTCATACAGTACTAGACGCCCGTCGCGGTCGCAATACTAGTGATCTCCCCTGCTGTAGTCTAGGTTCTGACGCGCCTCCTTGTCGAGAGGTCGGACAATTTAGACGGAGCTATAATTTTACTAGTGTTTGATAACACTGAGTGGCAAATCTTTGTGATGTCATGTGATGTACCCATTCCAACAAATCTGCGGAAGGCTTTCTACGGTCATTCTTCACTACAGTTTCCCCACCTGGCATGCGCGGTGGTATGTGGTAATGCACAGGTGATGGCAAGATCATGTCTGCTAGAGTTGGTGATACAAAAAGTATAGGGATTTCTCCATAGAAAACCAATCACAGGAAATCTAAGGCTGCTTGGACTATCATAGAGCATACGACATAGCCGCGAACCCAGAAAAAGCGTTAACTCATCTTCATGCACTTTGGGCTGACATACGATGGCAGAACAGGCGAAGGGGGACATTCAAGGGACAGAAACACGACGCGCTCGACGCGATTTACAGACGCGTCGGCGGAGCACATGACGTGCCGGATCCGCAATCACAACCCGCAATTGACCTCTTAGTAAGACCCCCCTTATAGATAGCAGACGTCAGACACGGATATCCGAGGCACGAAGGTTGAAGCAGAGTGGCTACAACTGCCTTTGGGAGACTACCCTGCTGCTGCTGCAGTGGGCCCGGCAGAGTAGACAGACACTCTGCTTCGACCTTTAAATTCATCCGTTACGATATCCGTGTCTGTCGCTGTGAACAAAGTTCAAGTTGGACATCCCGGCCGGGAGCTGAGCGCTGAACCTGATGCAAGAACAACACGAAGTCTTGAAGTCAATATTTCCTCCGAGGCAGTACACAATAGCGTATGGTGTACATGTCCAGTCCAATCCATCACTCTGGCGTACTAAACTTAGTACTATGCAAGAGACGGAAGAATTTCATGCTTTTCTTGTCACAAGTTCTTCAGATGGCTTTGAATCTTGGACAGTGCCGATTCCGCTGCGAGAAAATCGAGCAATGTGCTTACGGCCGATGCCACTGTTTCTGATGAATACTTGTTCTTATCCTGTCTGCGTTCGTTCTCAAACCGCTTCTCCTCGTTCGCGAGCGAATCCTTTACCGCATCCTTGGCTGCCTCAAAGCTCTTTGACATCATCTGTTCCAAGGTCCTTTTTCCTTCTTGCTTTAAAGCGTCGGAGAAGGGACGGACAACATGCTTCTTCAACTCCTCCAGGAAGGCGGTTTGGTCCAGCACATGTTGCTCCGACTAAGGCAGCCATGAGAAAGGGAAACTCTTTGATATAGGAAAAAACTACATACCCTTTTCATGAAGGGCCATATCCCTGCTCCGAGCAGCCACGGGACAGCCGCGATCACTGCAATGGGCGCCCGTAACATGAATCCCAGCTCGTCAATCCCCTCTGCTTCATCGCCGTCATGATCGAATTCATGCACCAGGGACTGCCCCAAGAACGGCTTCGCAATCGCCTCCTGGAGGGCATGGTATGCCGATGCTGCATTGTGTCGTGTAGCGATGGTGTGCATCACCTTGCGCCGGACGCTGTGGAACGTGAGCGCCTCGACGTTGGAGCTGCGGTCGTCCAGTTCATCCATGATCTCCTCCCTTAGATCCTGCTGCATATCGTCTGCGATGTTGCTCCTGATGCGGCTTTGCAGCGTCTTGAAGTGTTCAGCGCGCAGATGATTTGCCAGATTGCGTACGTTCTTGACGAATTTTTGCTTCAAAGTCGACAGCTTCTTGCTGAGTTCGGCCTGTACTTGGTGCAAGAATCGCTCAGCCGCACCGATGTTGCGGAACACCAACTCGTCGTGGGCGTTCGTTTCTGTCTGCGATGTATCACCGCATGAGCTGGCGGTGGAACACTAATGTGAGCGAACTATCCAACCTGATTCGCAGTATCCTCGACTGCCCGCTTCGCTACATTATCTGATTCGCGTTGAAGGATCGCGAAGCGATCCTGCAGCTTCTTTTCCGATTGCAGCTCCATACGCGCACTGACGGCCGACCATTCCTTCAGCACCGCTTCGTATTGGCTCTTCACCGCCTGAAATTCCGCGTACGCTTCTTCGCGCTCTTCCACAGAGCAACGCATCGGAAGCAGGACCCGGCTGGTGCAGTCGATTGAGCTTCGGCATCAGCTTCAATACGGCAAGACAAATAAGCCGAACCCACCGTTGGTAAATGATCGCTTTGTGCAGCTGCTTGTGCAGCTGTATGTTCTCGTTTATCAGAGCCCGCCGGCGCGACGACTCGATCATGTCCGTGATGAGTCGCTTGATCGTATCCGCGAGCATGCTCTTCTTCAGCAGGTCATCCAGCGCCTTCCTCCACAGTGCGAAGTCCATCTTCCTGTACGTCACCTCAGGCTCGTGTGCGCCAAGAATCTTCTCCGCACACTATTCACGCTCCGTTGTTAGTCATATCTGAAGGTAGAAATAAGTACAGGAGCGAACGTGCCTCGTACTCAAGCGTGTTTTCCTCCCAGATCTGCTTGAACTCCGGCTTGCGCTTCTTCGACATTCGCAGGACAGCACGGGCACTGAAGCCCATGCGGGATGCGCAACACAGGACTCGCTTCGTGTCAGGATTCTGGGGCCAAAACGCTTTCGTAACGCTCGCGATCTGTTCGGTGACGCGGTCTTTTGCGACCTGTCATAGTAGAATTAACCGTGTTAGCGTTCGCAATAGGAAGACAAGTCATGCAGCGGAAGCACGCACCTGGTCGAGGTGGGTGCAGAGTACCAGGTCCGGCGGGTGCCCTACGCCGGCCATGACTATCGACGGGAGCTCGTTCCTCCAACTCTCCTTGGAGACCTCTTTAAACGACACGATCGGGATGACCGCGTTGACCTCGCTCGCGACACTTCGTACTAAATCTTCGAATTTGAAGTGCTGGAAGTATTGTCGTGAGATCATTGAACCAACGACAGCGAGAAACCATATGGATCTCACCACGTCACCGTGCTCGCCTATTCCCTACGGAGTATTAGTCTGTCCATCGAGTATGAATGCATACATACTAAACGCACTGGGAGGTCAATGAACTGCAAGGAAATGTGAAACCATGAGCAAGCAATCCACTTTAGTAGATGTCACGGACCAACCTCAAACTCCCCTTCGAATGTCTCGTCGCGCAACGCCTCGAAATCTATCCGCAAAACGGGCCAGTTCGCGTTCTTGTCCCTTGGCACCTCCACACCGAATCGATAGCAAAGTCTGACCACGTCGTTGACCTGCCCAAGCTTCAAGTAGCAATTCAGCATCACCTTGCTACACTACAGCATCAACAGAGCGCACCAGGTCCATCACATGTTCCTCGCCTGACGCCCTCTCCGGGATGTGATACCCCTCCTTCTCGAACTTGAGCAAATTCTTCTGAGTCGCTGGGTGAAGATCGATCCATAAATGGTAGATCTCGCGCAGCCTGTCCGCGGAAGTCACCTCCGCCGTCGCGGTATCAATATCGCGGTCGTCGCACGCGGTATCCGCGTCACTGGAGGTGTCGTTGAGCAGTGCCGAAAACGGATCCGTGTCACGCGGTGGCTGGTAATTCGCCATCATGAGCCCGAACCGCGCCCTCTGGAGCTCGCTGATGAGCTTTTGGAAGAAATACGCATCGATGTCGAGGCTCGGTATGCGCTGGTCCTTGACGTGTTGTACGCGGCAGGGCCACGCGGTCGACGGGAGCTCTGAGATAAAATGAGGCACTCGTGTGGGGCAAAGCTGGGAGATGCACATACCATCAGACGGGAGGATCATCTGGCCCATGAGTGCATTCAAGAAAAGGGATTTTCTGTGGCAGTACAGATTAACTTCGTAAGCCCGAATGAAAATCGCACTTCTCCTCACCCTGCCTTGACCATGCCACAGAACGCGAGTGAGAACCGCTTGCTCGTCTCGCGGTTGATGCCCTTCTGCACCGTATTGCGCATATCCACCAGGTGTGCACAGCGCGTCGCCTCAGGCTGGCTCTTCTGCCCCGCGTCCCCTGCCGCCTGGAAGGCGGTCAACTCGTTGTTCAGCACCAGCGAGAGATTTTGCAGCACGGTGAGCTGTGTACGAGCGAGGTCGGGCAACGCGCCATCGCCAACATGATCTTCAACCCACTCTACCGCCAGGCCTTTCACCGACGACGAGTAATCGTCTCCGCGATCTCCGCGCGATCCCGGAATCAACACCAGGTCCTTCGCGATCTCCAACGCGAAGGTCACGTCCACACGGATATTGAACGGGTTGTTGTAGCACGCCGCTTGAACCGCATCCAGCGCCTTACGGCCAAAGGATGGTGTGCCCGGGCTCATCCTCTGTGGGTTTGGTGACACTGCGCGGGACACAGGGCGGGGGGAGAGCGTAAGGCTGACGCTCCCGGAACCATGGATCTCATACAGATCGGAGAACTGCTTGAACCGTTGCAAGATCTGTCCGCGGGACTCGTCAAGCTTGATCGTCGCATCGCCGAGGACCTCGTTGAACCGTTGGAAATCCTTATCGGCGTCGGACAGCAAAGCGGCGAGATCGACGCTCCCGCGCGCGCGCACCTTCGCTTGGAGAGCGTCCGCGGCGCCCTCCTGAGCGCTCAGCAGCTGATCCGCGTCGGCGAGCGCCGCGCGGAGGTCGCTAAATGCCACGTTCCCGCCGGGCGAGTCCATGAGCGCCGCCACGGCCCCCTGATTGCCGTAGTGCACGATCGCCTCCAGCTTGCCCGTCACGTCCTGCGCGTCGCGCGCGTACACGGTCAGCGCACGCTTGTACCGCTTTGTCGCCTGCGTTTCCTGGGCGTTGATGTCCTGCAGCTTGTTGATCTTGTCGAGCACGGCCGTCGCGACCTTGGCGAGCACGCTCGAGACGGTGCCGAGCGAGATCGGGTCCATAGTGACCAGTGGGGTATCGATAGCAGGTAGAGCCAGGGTGATGTCCTGTGCCGGATGGTCGGTCGTCGGTGGGATCTGGGTAGTGGGAGTGGGGCGAACGTTGTGGACAGCGTGCTAAGAGACCGCCCTTGTATAGCCTGCATGTCGTGAGCGTCTGCCATGATGAGCGCCTGCATGATTGTCGTTGTTCCAGGTATACGTTGAATTTTGACAGGCGATACAGCCTGCGCATAGCCTCGGGAAAAGCTGCGTGCGACTGAGATCAGCAGGAGAAAAGGCACAGCGTGCGCCGCCATGCTATCCACTCACTCAATAGTGTCAATTTCCACCACGAAACCTCTCGGAAAGACTAGCAGGCTTATCGGAAAGCCTCAAACCTTGAATTCCGGGACCAATCGATATTAGAGAAAAACGCGGAAAACCAGTATGATTAGCTGACTAGCTACGCCGATTATCAGCGAGTGCAAGCTAGATTGTCACGTGGAAGCGCGTTCGAAATATTAATTGCGAGAGCCTTGCATTGCAGCGGCTCGGGGGAATAAAATAATTGTTGGCAATGAGAGCCGTATGATGTTCAGAGTGCATCGTCAGTACTGCGCCCGAATCTTCTCCCGCGACGCGATCGCCGATCCTGGATCGTTGTACTTGGCCAAGGTATTCCTAATTTCTTTTCGTCGACACCTGCGATTACGATGCCACGGCTACATCGAACACTGAACCCGCCCACAGACGAAAGCTCAGCGTGATTAGACCTCCAGCAAGCGTACACTAAGACCGTGTATCTCCCACAAGCACACCCAGCACATTACACCTCCACCCCACGGCGGCTACTCGACGCTCGGCGACCTGCTAATCTCCTTGCTCCCGTCCCAATCGCTGCCCTCGGCGACGAGCTCCGAATGGCCCATGCGCGCCAGCTTCTTGTCGAAGTCGCGCATCCGGTAGCGCGACACGATGCGCTCGAGCAGCTCCGACGTCGAGATTCCCGGCGTGCGTCGCGTCGGCAGGAACTTGCCTACGTAAGGGAAGTTAGGGTTAGGGTTTTCGGGGTTAGGGTTATGGTGGATCCGATCGGTGGCGTCGAATGTGGAGTTAAGGTTGCAAATACGGATGCGACGGGGCGGAAGCGAGAAAGGGCGAGAGAGGTGTCAACGAGATGTAGAGAAAGAGACAAGGGTGGGGAGGATAGGGGAGAGACGCACCCTGGCTCTTCGCGTACGCATACACGTCCTCCTGCCCTGCGCTGGGGTACAGATCTTCGTCGTGCGCGACATAGTCGATTTTGTGCTGCTCGAATAAGGTTAGTTGTACCAGTGAGATATGGGAGACATGAGGTGGGAAAGGCGGGAGTCAGACGCACCTTTGATATGAAAGCCTCGTCGATGACCCATGGCGCGTCCGGGATGACTTGGTCGACCCATCGACAGTGCCGTACTGCTTCACACCTGCCAGTGGCGGAATATATTAAGAGTTAAATAAAGGAAGACCAAGCGGAGGGAGAAGAGTAATGGAGATAGCTAGTCGTTCCTACTCAAGCACTGACTTCCTCGTGACCTTTCGCGACACGAAGAATTGTACACCATTGCACAAGTGGGTCATAACACAGCAATCGAAAGGCGAGATGCAAGACAGGCGTGACGCACCGTTCAGCGTGGTTCATGACTGGTATATTTTTGTGCTCTTCACATTGCTCATCCGAATTCACACCGACAAGGAGGTAGACGCCAGAACCCGATTCCGACAACGGATCGCTTGGCGCATTTGGGGACGACGGGGACGAGAACGAGAGCTTCGCTTGACGGAGCTGGAGCGCATGCCTGCCAAGGACCTCCCATCGATTACAGCCAGACGACGTACGGACGCAGCACTCACCCGAGGTGGAACAGATCATACACGCCATCCGCATATATGCGCACAGGCCTATCGATGGGCGGGCGATTGATCAAGTACGGCCGTACCTGGCCCTCCTCCCCTTCGCGCGCGATCGCCCGTCTGGCGTAGTCCTGGATGTCCTGCGGAGTGAGCTTTGCGGGGTCGAATGCGTATACGGAGACGGCGGCTGGAGACGGCTCGGGCGGGGCTGGGAGGGGGATCATGCTCGGCGCGGGAGTGTCCTGCGTGTGGTCGTGGTCGGGGCCCGCTGTGGTGCTGCTCTCGATGTCGCCGTCGTACGTGGGCGAGTCCGTGCCGGCGTCGTCGTCGGAAACGAGCGCTGCGAGCGCGTGTTTCGGGCGGCGGGGCGCGGCGGGGGCGGGCATGCGGGCGGGGAGGCGCGTGGAGGACGCAGAGGGCCCAGAAGAGGGTGCGTCGGTGGTGGAGCCGGCGTCGTCGGTGAGGGGGTCGTTGTCCTCCTCCGAGGCGTCGTAGGCGGCTGGGGAGTCGGGGACCGGGCGGGAGTACGGGTGTGGGTGCACGGGGGGAACGTGCTTCGCGGCGAAGGAGCGTTTTGCGTGCAGTGCAGTCGTCTTCATCGCTGCTCTTTTACTTTTACACGAAGACGAGCAGAGCCAGATCCCTGTTCCGGCAATCCCCGTGGCGGTACCACAGCGCACGTGCTCCGGTGACGCGTTACGTTTCTTGCCTTTTCCGACTGCCTCAGTAGCGGCCTGCGAGAGGCGCAAGTGATGAATCGTCTGTATATGCCTATAATCAATACTCCGAATAATTTCAATACTGTGACCCTTCATGAGGAGAAGCTCCGAGTTATAAAGTACACCTTGAAGACCTATATAGACCATAGCAGTCTGCAGGCAGAGACAAGTACTGGTATTGTTCATGACGAGGGACTTCTACACTGCTAGACAGGATGCTGTGGATTTTGACCGGTGGACGGCCCTGTGGTTTGCCGGAGTTAGTTCTCGAGGATTCCCGGAAGTCAACAAGCCTTGTAGATTCTCGCAATTCCGTCCTGTTCTGCTCTCAAAAGAGGAAAGTACATATGCATTATGTAATACTCAGACGTATACGTCGCAATGCTAGCGCAGGCGTATGCAGCCAAATAACAGTGGATGGATGAACTGAATATCAATAATAAATGAATAACATTTTTTGGGGGGCGGTGTGGACAGCAGTGACAACCAAGTAGCTATGCAATGGTGTAGGTGGATACCTATAGGTTGAGTCGTGTCCCTGATGGCGTCGAGCAAGACATGTCATCGGGCTCTTTTGTGCATCATCATTACAATGGACTCTCGCACGCAACGACTACAAAATCTATTCCCGGTGATAATATAAATGAACAGCAGATTATCCCTGCAAGACAGATGCCTATATCTGCAACCCGTCTGCGTATCCAAGCTCCGTGCTCAACTCAAGCTCTCTGTTGAACCCAGACACGTGTTTGTCAGTCTCCCTTCAAAATACACCTAAAGTGAACTGGACACACCGCATCGCGAGCGACTCAAAGTCGCACTCCCGCCCGAACATCTCTTTTCGCAACCGCTCTCCGACGGCCGCAGGCATACGTCTCTTCTCGTCATTTTCAGAAAACCGCCACCACGAATACCGCCACTTGGGATCATTGACGGGAAGGCGCATGGTCGAGTCATATTCGTGCCACTTACCTACTCCCAGCGAGAGGTAGCGCACCCCCGGCAGGCACTTCTGCACTTCCTGCGGGATCAGCCCCACCGGGTCAACGGCGGCGTCGTCCCTGACGTCGTCGCCATTCTCGAGCCCGGTGAGCACACAGAACACGCGAAGGTACATTAGCGGCACGTTTGCATCTGCCAGCTCCTGTAGAATGGTGCTCTGCCGTGGCGCGGCGGATCAGTTAGCGTGAAAAGTGGTAGTATAGGAGTGAGACGCACCACTGCGGCTCTCAGAAAGGATACATCCTCCCAGTCCTCGACGTTGCCCAAGTCGCGGGGCAAGCGGTCCATGGTCAGCGTGAGTTCAAATGACCTCACCGTGTGCGCCTCCGACATCGCCTTCGCCAGTGTCTGCCAGAAGAGGTCGCGCTCTTTCTCGAAGTCCCTGATGTCGCGATGCACCGTCACTGCGACGGGCCTCAGTTCGACCCACGGCAGCTCTGGCATACGATAGCACAGATCCAGGTCCAACTCGAGCCACGAGACGGGGATCGTGATCGTCCACGCCACGAACGACAAAGGGGAGGCATTGAGGTAGTCGAGATCCTTCCATTGCGTAGTCCTAGGCGCACCGCTTGGCATGCGCATGAGGCGAAGCGTCAATCTGCGGACGTTGCGGAATGCTTGGAATGCCACATCCGTCGACAGAAATCCATTCACGAGGGCCACTTCATTGATGGCGGGGAAAGCCAACCTGTGAGCAAGAGGCTGCTCCAGACTACTGCGAGGACGATTAAGAAGAAGAGAGACGTAGAGCGACTGGAGGCATGAAAGCGAGGGCAACGGTCTGCGTTCGCCAGTGTCAACGGCACCTTCATTCGCACAACGCGGCTCTGGGACAGCGATCTCGGAATCGGAAGGTCTCATGTAGTTCAGAATGCTGACGAGGTTATCTTCCGACACCATATCGGGGTCGATGTCGAACAACGTGAGTCTCATCGGCGTGCTCTTGAGTGCACGTGCAAAATCCTGAAAGACACCAGACGGAAGAAACAAGAAACGGATATCGAGAAGATTAGGGAGAGTCGCTATAGCTTCCATAAGCTGTGGGTGCTTGGCCACGAAATCCATGCGGCCAATCGTGAGACGCTGCAAATTACCCGCAGACGCCAGGTGTGTGAACATGTTCTTCAGTGGTAGAACAAAATCTAGAGAGGTCCCGGGTTCCACAGCAAATTTATACTGTAGTGTCAAACGCAGACCCCCCAGATAACACAGAAGGTTAATGGGAGCTGAAGGGTCCGCAGGGAGTATGGTAGTCGCTAGTTTGAGTACCTCGTCATCCGAACGAGGGCAGAAGGTTACATGGAGGAGAGCGAGAGAGCGGAGAGCGCTGGAGGTGGTCGAGATTGCTAAGACGTCTTCTGCGCTACATTTAGAGAAAATGATTCTGTGGACATCTTCGATGAGGTCGGAGTATTCCATGACGTTCTGATCAGGTCGGTGGACGACTCGCGAGCTTGAGCGACAGTCCAGGGTGGTGGTGGAAGGCAAAGAAATTGCGAACGGAGTACATACTTATATATGTAACAGCCACAGTGATCGTTGCCACAAGGTTGAATGGGCAAACGAAACAAAGCACTCGGTCCCACTCCAGAATGACCTAGGATGATCTATTACACTGTATACGTAATCAATCCGTCGCACAGGCCTGCGACCTATCTCATGACAGGCAATGGCCTCGGACAATCTATCAATGGAGGTAGATTGCAGAGATGGAATTGTCTTAATGAGAATCAACTGTCCCTTGCACTGCACGGGTGGACGAAGGTTTAAACGTTTAACTGCAATGACTTATCACTCGGACCTTCCACGTAAGCGCTGGTTGTTTGCGTCGCCCCCAACAATACTCTCCCCGGGCCCACGCTTATACACCTAATAATCCTAGCTAGGGTTTTTGCGCCGACCAACGACGCATGGCTAGCAACCGCCTCCTGCACGGTGCAAGCAATGCAAAACGAGACATAGCAACCATCTGATTATATAAGGGCCGGATGCACATTCACGGCGCTTTGAGTGGGAGGTTTGTCTTTGTTTGTTCTCTACTCAAGCACTTAAAAGGTCGCCGCCCTTGTTTCTGAACAGTCACTCATTCTCCCTCTCTGAGCTGCATATCGCGACAAATACCCTTTGTCAGGGAACACATATAAGGTGAGTAAGATGAATATCATATAACTGGCGCGAAACTGACGTGCGTCCCTAACAAACTCAAAGGTTGAAGACAGCGAGTCGCCAATTTGAACATGGATGCGATCATTTCAAGTTAATACTTATATTTTGCACCATCATCCACAGTCTCATCTAACATGTTTCAGGCGAGTTGACTGGAGGGCCACACATCCCAATACTTCCCCAGAAGGTAGTGGATCGTATTATCGACTTTCTGTTGGACGACCAACAGTCACTCTGTGACTGCGCACTGACATGTAGAGCATGGTTTCCTCGCAGTCGCCAAAACCTGTATGATGGCAACATGGAAATATTGAACCGACGGCGCTACGACTCTCTTGTGCCTACAACGAAGATTAAGCACCTAGAACCGTTGGTCTCTATACGCTCACTCACACTCAGAGGATTGCGATACCCCTTCTTCCCAGGCACGGATCCTGGCGAGCCTCGCTGGATCCATTTGTTCTCACTAACTCTGGGCGAACTATTTTCCGGCGTGGTTGAACTGACGATAGCAAAGTGGACCACACAGAACCTGCGTCCGAGTGAGCACGAGGTTGGCTTCCCATGCTTCAGCCACATCCACACCCTTCGGCTTCATGATTGCGATTTCCGGTCATCCCGTGAACTCGAGCGCCTCCTTGCCTCATTCACCTGTCTCGGTACCCTCATAATTAAGCAGGTCGACTACGGAAGTGGGCCTCGTGAGAACGACCTGGAAACGACCTGGCATGATAAAGGCCCTCGACTCTGCTGCTTAGGTGTGGCCACTTCTGATGCGCATCTGTTAGACTGGCTACGTAGATGCCCGTTCACCACCTCATTACGCGACCTGTCGTTGGACACAAGCGTCAGTTCCGTGTGGGATGCATCGTCGCGGATGGTCCAGGCGCTGGGGCCCACTCTAGAAGTCCTGCGTGTGACGGATTCTTCTATGGATTTTAGTGAGGAAATTCAATTCCACTTTCTAGAATGCTTTTTAACATCGGTCCAGATTTATCTGCCGAACAAATCGATCTCTCACGTTGCTCGAGCTTGCGCACGTTGAAGGTGACATTCCGTATGTCTCGACTTAAACAGGACATGCTTCGCACGCAAATTCCGACACTCCTTGAGCGAATTCCGGCCACCAGCCGTCTGCAAACGCTACAGATGGTTATCAGCCTAGAGTCACTTAGAGTGAGTGAAGACCAGCAACACTATGACTGGACATACTGGAGGAATGTCGATCGGATCCTAGCAAAGGAACATTTTTGCAAGCTCAACACGGTGAACATCCGTGTCATATACGACACCGAGAAGGACCGTGAAGACATCGAATCACTGGAACGGCAGAAGAACGCACTCTTCCCAGAGCTATCACGTCATGGCAAGAATTTCCAGATGGTTTTTATATTTAATCCGCCCATCTCAATCACAGATGCCACGTAAGTCGTCTTTGTGATTCTCAGTCGCTGTGCACCAAGCTAATCATGGCGAAGGTTTAAACTCAAGCCAAGAGCAGATGGTAGCCAACGGTGGGTGTTGGAACCTGGCCACATACCTAGCAACCTCGGTCAGCTGGGAGTTGTAAGAAGTATATGTAGAAATATGTAGCTCGGCTAGTCCGGTTGCCAAGTCCCCTGTATATGCAGCTCTGTAGAACTGGTCTCCCTACTGTAGGTCAGCGTAGATGAGCTGTTGGCAAACATCTTGGGCGATTTTTTCTTCTTTGGTTGCATTGTAGGTACCACTGTACAAGCTGAGTCCGTCATGATATCATCAGGAGCATGGAGACATACCTGTTCCAACATCTCGTAGATTTCATTCTCCACATGAGCACGCTTTCCCCCTCGCAATTGACTGGTATTCCCCTCGGAAGGCCATGAAACGGCGTGCGAGAAGATGCGTGTACCAGGTCTGCTACAAAGTCGGCGAGTGTTTGGGATGTCTTCTTGCGAAACTCAGCATGCCCATAGTACGTAGCGCGACTGACCACCTTCTGTCGGCCACCACAGTGTTTCTCGCAGTCGCACTGATACTGATGTTTGCTTGCAGGCATGATCGCGCAGAAGAGCTCGGTGTGGCGGGCAAAGCGATGATATTCGTGTGCGACAGAGCGCAAGTACACTAGTAGGAGTAAGTATCGTGTACAGGCCTGGCAGACAGGATCTCCTACAGGATTGACGCGCCAAATCACAGGATCTCTCGCACGTGTTTGACTGGGTGGGATTTGGTTCGACCTCCTGCGATAGTCCAAGTCAAGCCGCGATCTGGTGCGTCTTGGTTCGTTCTTAGAATATGCGTTTTTCACTGGGCCTTAAGCTGCAAGTTGTCCCGCTGAACTTTCCGGCGGATCGCGCACTAAAAATTTCGTGCAATAGATTCTCGCGACGTCCACAACTATGTCAATTGCAGCGTGAGGAGCGAACACGGCATTTAATGCATGCAACCCTGACAGCTCATATCAACTTCGTCGTTATCCCGGTGCCTTGACGAGCCGCTCATTGTGTTTCGAAAATGTTACGTAGCTGTATCATACCAAGTGGAAGATCTTGCCGAGGGCGGACTGCCACGACCATCGTATCGAACACCACTGTCGGTGTTTGGAAGGTGTCCCTGTACATGCAGCTCTTCATCGCCATGCTGGCCATGCCACGCAGGATGCCGATCGCGGCGTTGAGAGTTGCAGCATGTCGTCGCACGGCTGAGGCCTGAGGTCGCAGAAATTCAGCACAAAAGCCACGTGCAAGCCACGTTCGTGCGGTAGGCCCACCCTGCAGACCACTAGTAACAACCGGACATTGATACAAGACCGTCCACGCTGAACGCGGACGGTGCTTGGTATGAGAGGAACTTGCGGTGAGAACTTGCTTTTTTAGGAAGTCAACCTTCCCGATCGAGGAGCAGGTGACAGTGAACACACGTGACTAACGCGTCCGTCAAGTTCAACCGCGACGCGCCACGTAGTCAAAGGAAATTCTGATCTTCTGCAGGTGAGTTATGTGCTGTGTTTTCTAACATTCAACTCTGCTGTACCAGAGACTTTGTAACCTCGGGCCCCTTTTGGAGTTACAAGCTGTGTTCCACAGCGTTTGACACTGAGATACGAGTTAAGTCTCTGCAGAAAACCCCATCCCAGTGTTTCTGACAAAGTCGTGTCTCCGCCACCTGCGTGTAGTAACCGTTTGGCGGCACTCATAACACGTATGCCATATATGGCTGCAGTGTACGCAAATTTCTTTCTTCTGGAATACGTTATTTCAAATGCTGGGACAAAGACTGATTCAGTCGCAACAGTGTCTTGCCCAACAACATAAGTGGGGCACGTCACGTTGAAGTGATCAACGATGGGAGTTCCTGGTTTGTGGGATGTTAGTGTCTTCATGGGGATTCTACGTGTTGCTCAATCGCTCGTCAGATCCTTCGCCCAGCCGGAGAAACGCGATCGTTGACCCATCTGGCCGTCACGGATGGCTTTGAGGCCAACCCAGAAGGCCACCGCGGATTCCGTGTCGGAATAGATGCGAGCATCTGGTTTTTTCATGCTGCATACGGCAAAGAGGGCGAGAATCCGGAACTCCGAACCCTGTTCTTCAAGTGCACGCGTCTTATGAGCGCGCCTTTCCTGCCCGTCTTTGTCTTCGACGGGCCAAAGCGCCCCGAGATTAAGCGCGGAAAACATATTAGCGGAAATAACCATTGGCTCATTCAGGGAATGCAGGAGATCATTAACGCCTTCGGTTTCGAGTGGAGAATCGTGCGCGTGTTTCACTCCGTAATCTCCCACAGTCGGGCTTATAATTTATTAGGCCCCTGGCGAAGCTGAAGCTGAGCTGGCGTACATGAACCGCGTCGGCGTCATTGATGCCGTGATGACGGACGACGTTGATACCTTTGTCTTCGGCGCAGCGATGGTTGTGCGCAAGTAAGCCTTCATCCATCTCAAGGGAGCCTAATATTCATCCCGAATGCGCCTACAGCTCCAGCATCACTCTATCCGGGAACAGGGGCCACTCCCTCAAGAACGCGGCAGGGAAGGACGATGGAAACCACGCGGCAACGTACAAGCTGGCAGACATCACGCGGCACCCGGACATCCAGCTGACGCAGGGCGGGCTGATCCTCATCGCGATCCTGCGCGGGGGCGACTATCACCCTGCAGGCCTCGCGGGATGCGGCCCCGCAATCGCGCATGGGCTTGCGCGTTGCGGGTTTGGCGACAGTTTGCTGAACGCGGCGCGCACGCTCTCAGATGAGCACCTGCCCGGCTTCCTGGTCGCGTGGCGTGCGGAGGTGCGCGAGGAATTGCGCACTAATGCACGCGGCCTCCTCCAGCGCAAGAACCCCACGCTAGCGAAGGCGCTGACGGATGACTTCCCGAACATGGAGGTACTCCTGTCGTACACAGACCCTATCACGTCCGAACCAAAGGGGCGCACGGCACGCAACGTCAACATGGACTGGCAGAAGGAGCCCGACCTTGGCAAGATTGCGGGTCTGTGCGAGATGTACTTCGAGTGGGGAGTGAAGGAGATCATTATCAAGCGCTTCAGGACCGTCCTCTGGCCGTCGGCCGTTCTGCGCATCTTGCGGCGTTCGGTGCTTATTGCTGATAAGCGGAAAAACAGATTGGTTGAGCGGGATCCCGGAAACATGCCGGTGACACCCAGGAAGAAGGGCAAACAAGGGAGGCCGACTCCGCCAGGCACGCCCTCTACGATGATCGCAAAGCACTTCTCGTCGTTGCAGCTCGGCTCACCGTCTCGCAGTCAGGGAGTAGAGTCGGATGACGAGGAGCCAGCAGACAATCTCGTCGTAAAAATCCACTCTTCGAGGCAGCACGCTTCCACGGACGGCATCCTCGAGTACCGCCTCGAAATCGCGCCCCAACAGCTCGTCCACCTATGCGAAGAGGGCGTGAAGGGCCTTCGGACCGCTCTTGCCACCGGGCTCGAGGAATCAGACGAGGAAGGAGGTGAGGACGATGAAGACGGCGGGAACAACCGGAAGACCAAGGCGAAGAAGCCCCCTCCCGATCCATTGAGCCATCTGCGCATCTGGCTGCCCGCGTGCATGGTGCGCATGGTGCACCCAGACCTCGTTGATGAATTTGAGGGTGTGCGGGATAGGCGACAAGCAAAGAAGGCCGGTAAAAGTGCGGCTGGTACCAGCGGCGCAGCAGCTTCTAGAGCGAAGAAGGTTGTCACGAAAGCTGCTACAGTTGCGGAAGAGGAAGAGGAATATAGCGATTCAGGTCCAAGCCCTGGGGGGACCCAGAAGAAGTCCGCTGCTGCACGGACCGTAAAGAAGGTCCCTGCAGTGCACTCAGGTGCGGTCGCCGAGAAACCTCGGGAGAAGTCGAAAGCTGCCCAAGCCAATCGTCCTCAGAGGCTGGACGACTTCTTTGCGGCAAGTAAAAGCACCGCTATTGCGAAGGCAAAGGCACTCGCAAAACCAAGGGTGACGTCCAGCACAGCGAAGATTTCAGCACTGTTTGGTGATTCTCAGGCCAGCAGCTCTCGCCTTCGGGAAGAAAAGCGTTCCAAGGTCATCGAATTGAGTGATTCCTCAGACGACGATCCGGTATTTCCCACACGTTTGTCGTCGCTCACTCAGTCTTCCTGGACAAGTTCATCTGCATCCAGTTCAAGCTTGTTAGCTACCAGCAGCAAAGCAATAAGTGCCCTCTCAGAGCTCGATTCGGATGAACCTGTAAAGCTCCCCTCTCGCTCACAGCCTCGGCCGTTTCCTCTGTCGTTCGGTATGGATGACGACTCTGCCTCCACGCACGAGAATAAACGTGACAAGCCAATAAATATTGGGCGTCCGGCCCTTCCGTCAGAGCGAACACGACAAAGGCCGCCAACTTCGCCCGAGTCTGAGACCTTCGACGCGCAGTTGCGCAAGTCACCTCGCAAGTCGCCGAAGCACTCCTCGCCTCATTCATCCCAGACCAAAGATTCCGATGATGACGAAGGCTACGGCTCACCAACGCCTCAGAGGCCCCGAGCGACTGCCTCGTCAAGCAAACCTCTTCTGGTATCGCCAGTACGCAAGCATGGCTCTTCGAAGCCCGTGGATAGGTCCATAATTGAGATCCTGAGCGATTCTGACTCAGAGTCGCCTCCTTCCAAATTGGCACCCCTGTTGCTTGCGAAGGCGAGAGCCAACAGGTCCGCCGGAACGCGAACAGCATCTGCGAACTCTATGACAGCCAAGGATGGCACTAATGCCACTGCGAAAGCTGCCGCGCCCAAGCCTCGAACTGGCACGTATGGTCCTGAAGATATCATCGATTTAACATGTCCTTAACCAAGCATTCAGCTTGGTGTAGATGTACAGTTTTTACGATTCCCTATTGTATAGATTCTGGTGAGTGGATAATGGATGATGAGACTGGTATGCTGTGGTGGCTACAAGGATGAACGAATGAGTTGAAACCAAGGAGGGGAAACAAGGTAGGCCGCAGTAATTTTGGGTGTTGCCACAACTATTAGTACATTCCTAGTATGCTGTCGTAAAATCTCGGTAAATTTCCTGTCCCATAACGCCGTCGCCAGCTGCAGCTGGCTCCGGTTTATCGGAAGCCGACATCTGCGCTCGGAAGCGTTTTATCGCCTGGAGGCGCGAACGCCAGTTCGTGGTCATTTCTTCGCGTACAGTGTCGTTCTTTGTATGCTGAAACACAGAAACAAACCAATCAGCCAGGAGACTGAGTTGGCGGACTAGCAGAGGAAGGTTCTCCGCAGATATCAATTTGAAGTCGCCGATGGGGGTGAACTCGGTCATGCCGGGAGCACGTTGCACAACAACTTGGAAGTATTCGTTCTCATGAAAATTGTTTGAGAATGCTGCAATGGCCCCTCGTGAATGAGGCTCGATGACGATGTTCACGAACTGGAACTGTGTGGACAGAGTGTCGAATCGGTACGGCATGCCCGAATCATTCCAGACGATCCGGACGTAGTCGTTGCCAATATGGCGCTTCTTGTTCGTGCAGCTTTCATCGACGGATGATGGCATGAGGGTAGCTGTGTGGTAGAGGATTTGCCCAATGTCGTCCCACCATGCGTACGCGTATTCACCGTCCTCAGCCGGATCCAGACCTCCAGCATACACATCGACCTGGCCACGTAGATCAATGAGCCTGGCAAGACCCTCCAGGAAGCGGCCATACGCAGGAGATCCGTGAGTATTACGAAGAATTTCGCCCTCTTTTGTCTGTCCAGGAGCCACATACATGATCCCAACCTTGTGGGTATCAATGACGGGCATTCTGTCCAACGTCCGGAAGAAAGCGGCCATTCTGCTCGTGTCGGTAACCAAACGCCCTCTAGTTGTTGGTCCGTTGTCCGGATATGACGATATTTGCAGCGCAACGTACGCTGGATCGATTGAAACCTCTTTGCGCCGTTGGGAAGGAGCTGAGCCGCTCCACACGTAGCCTGTGATTGGGTCAGGACGACGAACAGTCCTATCCGTATCAGTTATGGCATCAGAACAAACCTGGCACTTCCGTCATTGGTGTTATGTATCAGATAACGAAACATTACTTACGGTCTGCGGATTGGTGCCTTCCGGTCCCTGTTCACCGAGTCCACGCTCCATTGACAAGCTAGCAGATATGGATACGAAATCCGGATCAACATCACCAGGCAGAATCATGGGGACGTTTTCTGCTCTGCAGAGAAACTTCGTCAAGCCCGATGCTCGTCGAGAAAGTACCTCCATCCAGCCGCGCCTTGCCAGCGCACGTATAGTCACCACTGAATTGCCCAGTATCCATGTCTTCTCGCAAAGCGCAGGTTCCGGCGATCCCTTGGGTACAATCGGATTCATGACGACCTCATCCAGCATCGAGTGAGCAGGGCGCGGATCGGCGCTTGCATAGGCGTAACGTGCAAGCCAGTCGAAGCATACTTCCGCCGGTTCGTCTACCTCGTTTTTACCCTCGTTCGCAAGTAAGAGTTGCCGAGTGATGAACTTGATGTGGCGAGGTCTGTCTGGAAGTTTGACAGCCAGGAACCAGAGGTAAACGATGTAGTACGACATGATGCGCACGTGCTGGGAGAGTGCCCACGATATTGATAAAGTCTCATCAGGACGATTGTGATGTTGCAGATACTGCAGAGCAACACCGAAGACCATCTTGTAGTCTCCGTCGGTAAAATTCGCGTGAAGACTGTGAAGTGAGCCAACGATGGACAAGAAGTCGATGATATGGACTGCCATGGCTGGATTCGACATGATCTGAGAAAGTTTCTCCAATATCCGAGACAGGTACTTCGTCATCGAAGGTTGCAGCTCGAAAGCAGACAACGACAGGGCATGGAGACAGCACTTGATGGTGGATGGTTGCCCGCTCAGACCTAAAAGGAAGACTTCAACAAGATGATGTTGAAGTTGGACATCCATGAAACACCGCTTATAGCTGATGAGCACTGTTAACGTATGGTATGCCAATCCGTGAGCATCCCGCGGGATAATACCCTCAGGCCACCGCTCGATAGTCGCGGCCAACTTACCCTCCGAAATTGCTGTGCACAACACAGAGAGCAGTTGCGCGATGACAGCGCGTGATTTCGGTCCGCAAACCAAGTGTTTGTTGGCCAGCTGTGCAGAGAGGTGGCAAAGGATGTAAGAAAGGATCTCCCATTCCTTCTCCGTCTTGATAATTTCAATGATCTTGAGCAGATACGACGACAGAGGCAGCACCTTTCTATTCCCAGGGCCTGCGGGATCGTAGGATATAAGGCCTTCGCTGGGGGTGTCAACATCTGTGACAGAAATCATCAACGTCTCCGGGATAGACCACATCGGTGCCCTTGCTTTCGGCTGCTGGACAGGTAGAGGTGTGGAAAGTAATCGAGTAGCCACCCTGGAACGACTCCTGCTTGGCTCGATCTTGGAAGGCGGCCCTCCCCTGCCTCTTGACACCCTCCGCCCATCTCGCTCCTGCGGCACACGAGGGCGTGCCCTGCGAAAGTCTTGGTCAGGACTGACCTCGTCAGCAGAGCCTGCAGCGTTTGGAGTTCGATTGATCAAGCTGGCCAGATGAGACACATGTCCATGCTTGTCGTAATCTGCGGAGGTAAAGTACAGCCTGTGATCACGGTCTACCCTCAGTCGCACGAGAAACTGCAGTACAGCCAATCTCGCCCTCACGCAGTTCGCTGTGGAGATCAGATCGACGAGGGTCCTGAATACACGCACGCCGAGTTCTGCATTGCCCTCAACAAGGACTAGCGGAGTGAAGGCAAGCTGGCTGAACACAGATACGAGTGCAGCGACCGCGCCCACCGCCTTCGGCATCGGCTGGACCTCAGAAACCGGTGATGGAGATTCCATCATAGGTGTTCGATCCTGAGATGGTCGTGGTCGTGACTGCGAGCGCGACGAGTGACCCGAAGTGAGGGACGTAAACAGGGACATTACGGAAGGCATTGATGCTTCTTTGTCTCTTGCAGGGGCCTGAACGTCCGACTGCATCCTGGACACAGTAGGAGAGGTAACCGCGGATGCACCGGGAGAGAATTGCGCCTGTCCATGAGGGGATGGTGACTGCGTCTCCGTCGTTCTGATAGATGTTGCGTCTTCATCATCTTCATGCTTCTCCGAGGCGACGTCAGTCAAGAAAGTGAGGATCTCTTCGGCGAGTTGTAGATCACTATCGCTAGAGGCCGTCGCGTCCTGTCCATAGTACTCAGCGTTGCGCAGAACAACTTCATCGCCAAGAATGCGCCACATTATCGACACCGTGACATCATCCATTTCGTCCGACATTTGTTGCCTCCAGAAGTTGAACACAAGGCTCGCCAGTGGTCTGCGATATACGGGAATATCCTTCACGAATTCCCACACTGATTGCAAAACGTCCATAGCCATCTGGCGTGTCGTCGGTCGAGAAGGACTGTACAGATCTGGGATGGCCAACACGCTTCCCCAATAATCCAGCCATGACGGGGATGTCGGCGAGAGACACTGACGCTCAGACATTACAACCAGTAACTGCGAGGTCTCTGCATCGGGGAGATGGCCAGACACAGAAAGGATAATGGAAGGAAGAACAGGATAGAGAGGAGTCGTCATGAGATCTTGAGCTAAGAGAGTCGAGAGCGCATTCAGGAATGGCGAAGATTCATCTGTCTGCGAAAGCGAGATGGGAATGATCCCACCCTCCCTAGTTCTTTGCAGAAGACTTGTTGAACGACGAAGATATCGATGAGGGTGAAATACACATACTTCAATGAACGGACATAACCGACAAGCTCCTGCAGTATGTCCCCTACAGCGCTGACTTCCTCGTCATCCACCTCCTCGCCTTCTCCTCTCTCGTCAAGCGCCTGCACTGTGTCCTTCAAGATGCTAGCAATCTCATACAGAACCATCTCCTTGGGTGCGCCGACGATATCTGCCTCGTGGTCTTTCTCAATCCATGCTCGAGTGGCACGGCAGAGCACACTCCGGACCCGGATGAGGTCCCAAGAAACTGCTTCATCCTTGGCCCAAGCAAGTTCCATCAAGCCTCTCTCCAGATCAACTTGCGAAGGGACGCCCGCCGGCGTGTATTGCATGGAAGAGGTACGGGCGATGTAGGCACGGGCGAGGCGGCTCATGAAAACACGGCGTATCGAACTACGCAGCGTTTTGAGCGCACCTACGGATATCTGGATCGACGTCCGCAGGTCCGGGTGGGAGGGGATGAGAAAATGCTTGACCAGCAGCATGCAAGACGAGGAAAACGGGCCTGAAATGAGCTCCTCAAGCATGCTCACAACCCGCTCTTCGAGGGTGCGATCATGCGGCGAGCTCGAACGCGGAAGAGGCGTGAGCGAGATGCGCGGCAGCGGCGTTGCATAGAAGGCCAGCGCGCGAAAGAGTAGCGGCAAAATCATCTGCAGGTGGCTTGGGGCTAGCGCCCTTAGCCTTGTGGAGAGGTACGTCAAGTACGCATCCACGGCGAGGTCCGCAGGGTGCTTGAGCAGAAGCAACTGCGGAATCGACGTCGACGAGTGATGTCGCCTATGGAGCGAAGGTACGCGTTGCGGCGTTATCTTCAAGTCCGCGACGGGGGACATCGGCGGAGAACGGTGGTCCGTCGGGACAAATAGCGCCTTGTCAATCAGTCTTCCCCAGAGCTGCAGCACGCCTGATGTGTCCCCAGCCGACAGCCTCGACACGAACTCCGGGTTGCCCACCAGCGCCGTGAGAAGGGCGGTAAGTTTCTCCACGCTGCGCTGACGTTCTGCACGCTCGTCTTGTGAGATAGTGCCGCGGATCGTCAACCCCTCGAAGGCACCTTCGATCCAAACCTCTAGCACTCGAAGAATCGACCCTTCCATCCCAACTGTCTCCGTACCCAAGCTCATAAGCGCATAAAGAGCCTTGTAACGCGGCTCCCAGAGGTCTAGTGACCAACGCACTGGTGGATCGAGAAATAGGGAGAGACACGTCAACCGATCGGCCGTCGTCAGGAACGCACTCCCGCTATTTTCACAGTAAGCCGCTAATATATCGAATCCTGCAACTTGCAGTGCCACGGGCGACTCCGCAGAGCACAGGGAGGCCAGAACAGGATGGAGAAGCGCCAGACGAGGTCTCGGTGCCCTTCCAGCGAGTGCATTAGTGAGTGCCCGGGCGTGAGTCAGCGAAGGCACCCCAGGAGGAGTCAAGGCCTCAATGAGACTCTCTATCGGCACTTCAGGTACTGTTGGTGGGACTGCTGGTACGGTTGAAGCCTCTGGTCGCCCTCGACGCCAGCCGAACGAGACGAGTGTTGTATTTGCTCTCTGTCGTGCCGGCCGATTGACATTGTCCGGTTGGCTGGGAGACATTCAGGCCTATTCGAGGTATTAACAGATGTAAACGACCCGTATAAACGACTCACCCTTGGCGAGACCAATGCAATGAGCGGCTCAGACGTCGTCACCTGGATCGCTGAGACTGCAAGGCGTTCGATAGCGAGTCGTACAATATAAAGGGGGCTTCAAGGTCCAGTCTAGCTGTCAAGAATTTCGACTGAACAGTTATATCAAGCTTACTCTCTGAAGCAACCAAAGAGACTAGTCACTGAGGGTATATTGAGGTGTTGGCAACTGCAGCATGAACAACCGAGTCACGTTTGTCACAGTTGTACGTTATCTTGCAGAGAACTTACTTCTGCTACTATGGGGCGACGTAAAGGAATCGTGAGATGAAGGATTTTGTCTAGCGGATTGCCTGGGAGTATGTCGTGGACTACTGCTCATGCATGGTGCAATGACTGAGTTGAATATTTACGGGCGTCTTAGCTGTAGGATTCTACTTACGGTCAATTCAGAACCACTGACTTCCGCGTAGTTGACCAAGAATAACAAGTTCAGGGAATGTGGACGTGAGGACGGGAGGACTGCAGGCACACTGTATGCGTGAAAGTCAAGAAGTCGGCAAGTCCGCGGCTTAGCGCCCATCTCGGTGATCGCCTTACGTACAGGAGTCCGCGGCAACGTCCGTTCGCAAATTTCCAGAAATCAGGTTTTGAGTTTTCTCCCGCAAGAAGTTCGCCAGGTCTCTTGGCTTTTCTCAATCCGACAATATTATGTGCTCTATGCTCTTTGGGGATCTGCCGGAGTTGTCTTAGTTAAAATCAGCCTGAAACCTCAAGTACCGCGGTGGTGCATGCGAGTAAAGACCTGGGAGGAAATCACCTTGCCCAAGCCGCCGGCGTTCTGGAGCATACTGTAGCCTGCTTCTAACGGAAGAGAAGCATCGGCGCTCCCGTTGATGATGATCAGGTGCACATGTGGGAGATGTTCTCCATGACCAAGATGCGTCACAGTACATGCCCTGCGTATCCCAAACTTGCTCAAGCATCATCGAATCCCTACCGGTACTCCTCCTGCTGGCGTTGCATTCCACAAGTTCCCTTCGTTCTTCCTGTTCACATTTTTTGATTGAAGGAGCGTGGCACACAGCGCAGAAAGGGCGTGCTCATTTCCGAATCTTCGACGACTTCGGGTATATCTGAATGGGTCTGTGTTGCATTGGTGAGGCAGCACCTTCTTCCCGTAGAATGGAACTCACACGCATCCGCTGTAGATGCCACGACCTGTGGAGCAAGAACTGTTTGACCTCATTTGGCCAAGCCCGACACGAGAATAAAGCACTCGGGCCTGTGTTCCAGCTAAATTCAGAACATTAGACGTTTTTCGTTGAAACTCACCTCCCGATTCTTGTTTGCAGCGCAGCGTTTCAGTGCGGGAATGCTCGCGCTCGCTGGAGATCCGGCGGCAATCCAGCTACACCGGCTGCTTACATTCTCTCAGAGCCTCAGGTCAAGTCAGTACAGACAGCTTGCCATAATCAGCCTAGGACTGTTTGTTCACACTAAAACACGAACAGATTGAATCGGGAGGTGAGTTTCAACGAGAAACGTCTAACGTTCTGGATTTAGCTGTCTACATAGAAGCTACCCTCCATAGAGAGACACGAACCTGCAGGTTGCGTTTCACTTCTGCTTTCCGTAGTGACAGGACAATCCTGTATCCGCAGCTGCATAGTGAACGTGGCCTTCGATGGGTACTCTGAAGGCGAAGCATTTGCATGTCGGGGCTTATGCGTAGTAGTCTCACCTATTCAATAAAACTATTTTTCTATAGGTCCTTCTTTGTATAAGCATTTGCAACTGTACATAGAACTTGGGTGCTGCCAGAGCCTCACGGTAGTAGAGCAAGTTGCGGAGAAATATTCGACCTGTCATACCTGGTCCAAATTGGAAGTTTTGGGTGTAAAATACGTTCCACATTTGGGGGAAATTATACACTCCGCCTCCGCCTTCCGAACTACGTGCGCTCACTGCTCGCTGCTTACACCAGCTTACACACCCCGGACGAGGGGGGTTCACGCAGAACCTCTCTCTTTGTCAACGGAAGCGTTCCATTCTTTCGAAGACACACGCGTCGCCGTTGGCTTCCCTACTGTATCGTCAATATACACCCGAGATGCATTCCGATGCATTTGATGTCATACCCTACGAGGTTCGTGTTCTTCGTTCGGCCTGGAAGTTGCAAGCTCACTCCGCGGTCAGGATATCAAAGGGAACTGGAAAAAGCTAGGCTCCGGATCGTTTGGGAATGTTTACAGAGGTGCGTATGCCGCCGCGGTTCTTCGATGGGCGGTCGGTCTTAGCATCATACATTCAGGTGTATATCTTGGTCTTGACGTTGCGATCAAGGAGGTGCTGCCTTCGAATAATTACGATGTGGCAAAATACTTTGAGCGAGAATGGAGACTCATGAAGTGAGTTCGCTCGCGTGGGTCCTGGAGGATTGTCCTCATAGTATTCCAGGGAAGCGCGCCATCCGAACGTCGTGTTATACCTCGGTCTGTCGCGCGCACCAGACGGGCGGATATTTATCATATCGGAGTACATCGACAACGGGAACCTTCGCATGTACATTCACGACAAGAGCAAGCCGTTCCCGTGGCGCCTCAGACTATCGTTCGCAACTGACATCGCGCGCGCCCTGGCGTACCTCCACGCGCGTAAGTGCATCCACCGCGACCTGAAGGGCGAGAACCTGCTGGTCACCTCGAACGGCCGTCTGAAGATCACGGACTTCGGGTTCGCGCGCATCGCCGCGCGGAACGAGGAGGAGAGCAAACGGCTCACGTTTTGCGGGACGGACTCGTACATGTCCCCCGAGATCCTGACAGGTACTGAGTTCGACCTTCCGACGGACATATTCTCTCTTGGTATCATCTTCTGTGAGATCGCGTCGCGCAAGTTGGCCGACGACAACACGTTTAGGCGGTCCCCGCCATCGTTTGCCATCGACCCAGACGAAGTCCGCAAACTCGCTGGCCCCGGCTGTCCTCCCGCGTTCATTTCTCTCGCTCTCGAATGTGTCAAGCCAGAGCCGAGCGCACGGCCGAACACACGGGTGATACTGGACCGGTTACGTGAGATCGAGGCTGAAGTACTGTCGCGTCCATCAGAAGCAGAGGACATGCATCTTGGTACTGTGAAGTTCATGACTGGGGGGCGCCGTCCAGGTGCTGCTCCTCGCATCCCAAGCTTTGGGATGGGTGTCGGTAAAGACATCGGAAACGGCAATGGTAGCGCGAACTCGTCGATCGTCGATGCGCACTCCAGCGACGAGGACAGTGACGAGGAGCTCATGCAGGCGGTCGCAAAACTCAGCAACGTGAACCTCGACAATGCATGGACGGAGGATACAAAGGGTAATATCAACGTTTGATACTGTAATTACTGTGACTGACCGCAGTGGCCACAGCTCGCAGAGGCGACAGCGCCCACCCGCTCATTGACAACACCTCCAGCATGTATTCGCAATACAGCACAACCGTCATCCGCTCCCACTCGCCCCAGTACTCCGAGAGCGCCCCGCCCTCCCTCTCGTCCATCCTCACGATCCGGCCCTCGCCCAACCCGAACGGTTCAGACGACCTCATCGAGCACCCTCCAGCGACCGGCGCACATGGCCCAACTCCAACAGAATCGCTACTCTCCATCGAATCCTACTACACCGCCTCGACCACCTCCGAGACTGCGCCTTCCATCGCAGCTGCAACAGAAGGCGGTTCGACGGTCCGCGAGCCCGCGCTACCCCTCGTGCATCGATTCACACTCCTCAAGCCGGGCGCAAAGCGCATGAGCATCGGCGGCAGCCGCAACGCGTCCCCGACGCGCCACCTGCCCGGGGACGGGCTGTGGAACCCGCTCGATTTCTTTTTCTCGAGCACTCTGCTGGCGGCGAAGTGCGATGTATGTGCAAAGCGCCTGGGGTGGAAGCCTGTACTCGAGTGTGACGACTGTGGCCTGCGGTGTGTGACTGAAGCTCCCTTCGAGCATCCGTAAAAGCTAACTTGTATCCATCAGTGCTCATGTCAAGTGCGGTGAGAACGCCCCCATGGATTGCGGTATCCGGCAAATGACAGCTCCTGTTCCACTGACCGCAACATCCGCTCCTCCATCCCCACTCGGCAAGGCGAAGCAGAACAAATAAGCGCCTTACATCCGAAGAATTCATTGCACGATCATACGACGCCACGACGGTTACGACTTGCATTTCACGACGGCGTTCCACTGATTCTTGTCCAACAATATTTATTCCAGTCACTCTCATACTGTCATATCAATTTCTGCCATACTCGCATTTGTCTGAACAATGTGGAATCAAGACTGCATTACCTGTATACATGGACCTCAGTAATCTTGGGTGTTCGTTCGGAGACCTACAATACTGCCAAAGAATTGTGTCGCTAGTTTCTTAATATCCTTCTTGCCTCTGGTGTAATGCACTCGCGGCTTTCAATGGTCGCACCGTGTTATCTCAGCTAGCAGGTGTGCGCGCGTGCACCTGTGCGGGAGCCTAGCGACCCTTGCGTATTCCTCTGATTTCCGCGCCCAGTTCGAGGGCTCGCCTTCCTTCTAACCACAACATGGCCTCTGGAAAGGACCATGAATATGACGTAAACAAGGTAAGACGGCGGTTGAGACGCACCTCTGTAAGTTTTCGGGACCATCATCCGTGACAATGGCTGGGCCCCTTCATCGCTGCACCACGTGAAGCGGAAATCGTTGGTCGTCTGTTCGAAGCCCGTCACGGCATCAACGACGTTTGCTTGCACCCCAACATGCTGCATTTTCGCTTCGATTTCAGTCTACAAAGCTAACTGCACAGTGATAAACGCACCACAAGAGCAGGATACTGCTCGGTCGATGCAGAGTGGAGGATGTGCGAATTGAGACGGAGAATTGAGCCGATTGGAACTGGTCGAGCGAATGAAATTCCGTCGAGAGCCAAGAAGCTGACGTGTGTCCTCGTGAAGAGAGATGCGTTCGCAAAACCCAGCTGGGTGCACCAATTTATTACTGGTTCGCAGAAGGCAGCACAGCCACTTACTTCATACGCAAGACGCATCAAATAGCCTTAGAGCCGATGAGCACAAATCAGGACTCAGAAATGTGAATGGAGCATACCACCAAAAATCTTCTGGTGTACACTATGGAAAACAGTGTTAAGTAAAGAAAAGGCACGAAGGTAGGACTACTGACTTGCGCTCTTGAGGGAACATCATTATGCACTTCTCGAGCTTAGTATCGCCCATCCATACTCTCTTCCCCGCGGGAGTGACGAAGTCGTGGCTGTGTTCTTTCTGGCCATACTGCAGGTAGAGTGAATGCAGAGCGGCGGCTTCGTCTGAGGTCGGCGGAACAAGGTTGAGCGCACGACCGGCACGCTGTTGTCTGCGGTTCTTGTGCGCTAGAGACGCATATATGCAGCCTAGGATAATTGATTGGAAAGTGCGACATACCTTCTCCTATCTTGAATAACACCTCATCCTCGGGAGTGGAGATTTTGAGTGGATTGACCGGAGTAGCTGCATGTGTAAAAGCGTCCCTGCACACCATGCAGAAGCGACCTAACCAGATGTCACCATGCTGTTCGCCCAACGCTGCAGAACCCATACCAAGCAGAATGGTTTCCTCCTTGCCGTCTTCTCCCAACGCCTCCATGCGAACCGCAACTTCCATGGAACTCCGGCCAGTATGGATGACCTGACCGCTCAGGCGCATATCACGTACAGGGTGCAGCGGCGCCAGCATATCCAACCTGCCAATGTGGTCGTCAGTTTAGCTACGCCCCTGCCGCGTTCAGACCGACCTGTCCACAGAAGCTGTGACGATATAGAATCCATGATCCTTCGGGAGGTGGGCGACAGGTCCTAGCATATGCTTGTAGGCGATGCCGCCAGCCAACGAATCGAGATGTTCCATGAGCATGCCAGTTCTGATACCTCCCCATGCGTTCGTGTACTGTTCGAGTAACTCCGGAGAGGACGCGAACGGTAGCAACAACTGGCAATATGAGTCTTGCATGGCCCGGGGGGTCAGACGACTCGTCATGGCACGCGTCTCCGAGGTATGTCTGGCGTCCTGGGATGGACTTGAAAGTATAGAATTCCGAAGTGACTCCGACCAGAGGACCCTGGACCGCATAGGGAGCGCACTGCGCGCGACGGTCGAGCGGGTCAAGCCATATTCTTGCGTACATCGGTGGACACGTACGAGTGATGAGCGGGGTCAGCTCTCTTTCCTGCAAGGCCAATTCGCATCACTTCTTCTATTTCCCGTCGTGCAGGAGTGAAGACTTACGGACCACCTTCAACAACCTGTCCATGGCCGTCACATCCTCGGTCTCTTCGACCGCCCCTGGCTCCGAAGTGCGCGACGACGTCAAAGCCTCGTTGCTACGCCATGGTGGAAAGGTCGAGAGATGAGCTATTGACAACCGTGGTCGCCCGGCTCTCCGTGTCACGGCTGGACTTCGCGAACAGCCTGTCCAAAGTTGGGTGCGTGTGAGCGTTCTCAACATCGACATCGTCGTCGGCGGCCGAGTCTATAGTACAGTATAATGTCTTTTGCCCCTCACGGCGATGAAGTCATATGCATGGGCGGCCAGGCTGTGGCTGAGGCTTGATTCGATCACCTGCACTCTACTTGTCAGACACGGATATCCGAGGTACGAGGTTGAAGCAGAGTGTCTACCATCTGCCTTCGGGAGACTACTCTACTTGCAAGGCAGGCGTGCATTCGTCGGACTGAGTCGACGCGCACGAAGTGCATATTGCGACCGAGAGTATTATTTGATGATGGTGTGGAGACTGAACTACGATATCCGAATACACGCACTTACATCCCGCATGGAGACCAGCACACGCTATACGACCTGCTCGGCGGAGACAACCACTTCCTTCTCCTTCTCGCGCAGCTCTGCGGACGTCCGTGGTGAACCGACCCGCGTTTTGTCGATAGTGGGGACTGGGCCGGTGAACCAGTGCACGCCGCCGTACTTGGGGAAGTAGTACCAGACGAGCGACAGGATGAGGGTGCCACCCAGTACGACCTGGAGGATGATGTCGTCGAGTCAGTCTCCATTGCCCTCCAGCAACGGGGAAAGTAACTCACGACCGCGTAGTTCATATCTTGCGTATTCGCCTGTGGCGATGTGGGGAAGAGGAACACGATCCCCATGAACAGCATCCACATCACAGAGATGAACGCCACGGGTGCGCTGAACCGTCCCAGATTGAAGGGACCAGGCTTGAAGTCGTTGTCTCCCAGGAAGCGGGCGGCGATCGGGATCGCGTACGCAACGTAGAGGGCTACGACGGAGAGGGAGAAGATCGCATTGATTGCGACGCTACCTGCGAATGCAAGGAGACCAAGCAGGCCGGCGCAGATGCAGGAGAACCACACAGTGTTGACGGGGGTGCCGGTGAAGCTGTTCATGCGGTAGAGCACCGAGGAGAACGGCAGCGCTCCGTCGCGCGAGAAAGCGAAGCTTTGGCGGGAGGCAGCCAGGACCATGGACGAGCCCATCATGTATCTGCAAAGGCATGCCTGAGCATGCGAAGAAGAAGTGAAGGACTTCTCACTTACTGAGCAATTACGACGAACGACCAGATCGCCAGAGTGCCCTTCTGCCCGAAGCTGTTGACGAAAATCTGGGCCATGGGTTGTCCGACAGGGCTGTTCATGATGGACTCCAGATCGGTGCCCATACAGAACGCGAGAGCTACGTTAATAGCTATGGGGAATCTACGATGAGCATCTATATATCGTGACACGTCGATATCGAAGCTCACCCCAGCCCAACACTCCAGCAATGGTGATCGCCCCCGTGATTGCCCATGGAACTGCGGTCGCGGCATTGGACGCTTCCTCGCTGATGTGTACACTGGAGTCGAAAGAGCCTGATGGTGGCCAACATCGTCAGTATCAGTTACCCAACTGAAATTTTGTCTCCAAACTCACAGATGGTCCAGAGAGGCGCTAGGAAGCTGAGAATGAACGCAAAACCATCGGACCATCCATTCACTACAGCGCGAAAATATAGAATGAGCACGACGCCTGACAAAGCTAGGAAAAACACGTACTGTTCACGAAACCGCCAAAGGCATAGCTCGCGCTGTTCATGTACTCCTTGGGTGTTGCAGCAGGCAGTGCGATGATAACGGCCAGGCAAAGACTGAATGTCACGAAAATGGGACATCGATGGTATGTGCGACAAAGGGATCACTCACCAGACATTGATAATCACGTAGACCGTCTGCAGGCGAGCAAGGATCTTCGTACCAAAGCAACAAATGATAGCGTGCGTAAGCAGGATCGCGATATAGACACCACTGATTCCCAGAGAAGCCAACCGCGTCAACGACGTAATGACATACTCTGCTCTATTGTACTCACAAGAGTTGCGCGTCAGTCGCTACGAAATTTGCGTTGGAACCAATGCTCGCTGCCGCCTGATAATTCGTTAACCGATGTCAGAATACTGGGGGAAGCAGCGCAACTGTAATTTGGACGGCACAACCCCAGTCGATCGATGCGATCGAGGCAATTGACCCGATAGTGTTGGCGTCTGGTCACTGGCAATGAGCGGTTGAGCCATGCATGGCAGAAATTCACATACACCCGACGATCCATGCCAGGACGTTTCGGTAACGAGGGGATGAAAGCGAGTGTGTCCAGAAGTACAGCTGTGACCAATTTATAGCAGTCGGTATCAGGTCAGCAATACGCGCCAGCAGGTACGTACCCCGCCAGACGTTGGAGCCGCTGAAGCCAATTCTCCCATCGACATACCGACGAACAGGATGAATATACTTGCTACCAGCCACTTCGTGAAGGTCAGAGAAATATTCCGGTGACCACAGGAAATCCACTCACACCCCATACCATAGCTGCTGGACCGCCGCTGGGTACAGAGTAGAACAACACAGATCTAAAATATTCTGCATCAGTGGCGCTCAAGAGGGCCTCCACAACAACACGACTCACGCAATGGAGGGAAGCAGGCCGATGATACTGAATGCAATACCAAACGTCTAAAGATAAGGCGTCAGTGCATGGGCCTTTTGCGGAACAACGAAGGGGACGATCGTGATCTTCACGAAGACGTACCTCAAGTCCCGAGAATTCTCTCCGGAACTCCTGCTTGTAACCCAAGCTGGCGAGGAGTTCCTCGTCCGCAACCGCAATGGCGTCGCTCGTGAATTCGACGTGGGAGGTCATCGCGAACTGTCGTGAAAACACTTAGGCAAGTGCGCTGGAGTTGGGTGGTGCTACGAACGCAGTCGTCACAGCTGGCGCTTGCGGGGTATGCTGTTTATATGCGCCTTCTTATCAGCAGGTGTCACAGACCTGCGGTGCGCGCGTCTACTCGCCAAGATAAGAAGAGGAAGGGGCCTATCAATCATTGCAAACATGGAGAATTTGCGATTTTCGTCTTCGCACCTGAAAGGCCTTGAGGTCGGACATCCAGCTATCGTAGAAGCTGCACAACTTGGCGTCCTGCAGAAAAGGTCAATATCCTACGGCGCACGGACCTACTATTAAGTGAGTGCAAGCAGGTCTGCTGAGCGTTCCTTCTCAGACAAATCTGGATGCAGTTGATTGGAGATCTCCAGATTGTTTCAACCAGCCCTCGCAGAAGTTTCTCGCTAGCTAGTTAAGGCCATCCTTTCTCCATATATGGCAAAATTTGAGCTCAATCGTCGGTGCCGGTGAAAAATTATCTCGTACCCCGCACTCGATACGCCTACGGAATTCACGTCATTAGACTTTGACTCGATTATCAGTGGACAACCCCGGCTAGCTCTACCACGATAGGCTCCCTGGAGGCCAGAGCACTTCGCTTAGATATCGGATAGCGGAACAATGCGTAGCGTTGCGAGCTAGCTCAAGCCAAGGAATGATCTACGTTCACGGGTCTCGTTGGGATTACACCGGGCCAAGTTCTATGTTGTGTCGAGACTAGGCCAAAAACAATATTGTACTTCCCGAAATAATAATTAAGGAGAAAAGTGTCATCACAGCTCGTCGTGCGAGCGGCTGAAGTCGTCCTCGTCATCAGGTCCTGCGCCGTACTGAGGTCCTGGGCCACCCTCGTACAATTTGCTCGTGATAGGGTTGACGACATTCTGGACCTCTGTAAGGGGAGTCAGCAGCCGTTACCAACCGGAATAAAGCAAACGTTGACTCACCGCTCAACTTCTCCTCCAACTCGTCCGCAGTCGCGCTCTGTCCATTATCATCGATCCAGTCGGCCGTCTCCTTCACCGTGGACAAGATCGTCTTCTTATCATCATCACTGATCTTGCCCCCAAGGCCCTCCTGATCGCCGAGCTGGGTCTTCAAACCATAGACAAACGTCGACAAGCTGTTTAGCGCCTCAATACGTTTTCGTTGGGCCTCCTGCATTACCAATCACCTTCTCAGTACGTTGCGGTGCAGAAGAGGAAGGGAAAGCTACGCACGTCGTCCGCCGCAAACTCCTCGGCCTCCTTCACCATCCGTTCGATCTCCTCGGGCGTCAATCTGCCCTTTTCGTTTGTGATCGTGACTGATTCTGACTTGCCACTGGAGGCGTCGATCAGTAAGGTACGCGAGGGAAAAATCTGTACAGATCGACTTACGTTCCCTTATCTACCGCGGAGATGCGCATGATACCTGCAGGTTGCGGAGCGTTCAGCTCGCTTACACTCGCTTAAGCGATAACGGAAGCGGATACAACACATACCGTTGGCATCTATCTCAAACGTGACTTCAATCTGGGGCACTCCGCGAGGGGCGGGGGGTATTCCCGACAGCTCGAATTTGCCAAGAAGATTGTTGTCCTTCGTCAATGACCGCTCGCCCTCGTAAACCTGAATCAACACAGTCGGCTGGTTGTCTGCGGCCGTAGAGAAGCTATAGCGACTACTCAGCGAGAAAGCGACGACAAGAATGACAGCGACGTACATCTGAGCCTTGCGAGTAGGAATGACCGTGTTGCGAGAAATGAGCTTGGTCATCACACCGCCAGTGGTCTCGATACCAAGAGTCAGAGGGCAGACGTCGACAAGGACAACGTCACCCAAGGACTCGTCACCGGAGAGGATACCACCCTGAACAGCGGCTCCGTACGCAACAGCCTCGTCAGGGTTGATACCCTTTGAGGGTTCCTTGCCGAAGAATTCCTTGAGGAGCTGCTGGACCTTGGGGATTCGGGTCGAACCACCGACTAGGACAATCTGCACGAATGGTGAGTAAAATTACCCTCAGCAGAACGGAATGATATACCTCGTCGATGTCTTCCTTCTTCAAATTGGCATCCTTGAGCACCTGCTCGACGGGCTTCATGGTCTTGCGGAACAAATCCATGTTGAGCTCCTCAAATTTGGCCCTGGTGAGCGTCTCCGAGAAGTCGTTGCCGTCCTCGAAGGACTCGATCTCAAGCCGAGTCGACTGCTGGCTAGAAAGAGTGCGCTTGGCCTTCTCGACTTCGCGCTTGAGTTTACCGAGAGCCCTCAGGTTCTTGGAGACATCGGTGTTGGTCTTCTTCTTGTACTGCTTGGTCATGTATTCTATGACGCGATTGTCGAAGTCCTCACCACCGAGGTGAGTATCACCGGCGGTTGCCAACACCTCGAAGACACCCTCGTCGATAGACAGCAGAGACACATCGAAGGTACCACCACCAAGATCGTAGACGATGATCTGCGACTCGCCGCCCTTCTTGTCAAGGCCGTACGCGATGGCAGCAGCCGTGGGCTCGTTGATAATTCGAAGTACCTGAAGACCTGCAATAGTGCCTGCATCCTTGGTCGCCTGGCGCTGGGCGTCGTTGAAGTCTCCACACGAGGTCAGACGAGAGTTATGAGGCAAAAAATTATTGACAACTCACAGGCTGGAACAGTAACGACGGCATGAGTAACGGGCTTGCCTAGGTACGCCTCCGCAGTCTCCTTCATCTTTACAAGAACCATGGCCGAAATTTCTTCAGGCGTCTGGGAAGAAATGAGACGGCGCGACATACACAGTTAACGGACTTACAAATTCACGAGTGTCACCACGATATTGGATCTCAATTGCGGGCTTGTCGCCTCTGTTCGTGACTTTGAATGGCCTGGGACCGTGTGAGATACTCGAACGGCTGTAATAGCGGTGTACGCGTACCAGTGTTTCTGGTCACGTTTGACTTCCGGGTCGTCGAACTTACGGCCGATGAGACGCTTTGCGTCGAACACCGTATTCTCGGGGTTCGCATGGTAGGCATTCTTCGCACTGTCTCCGACCAATCGCTCGTCATCAGTGAAGCTGACCCATGATGGTGTTATTCGGTGACCCTGGTCGTTGGCAATAATTTCTACTCGTCCTGCCCGCTGAACACTGAAGCATCCTGTGAGATTATGGGACGCGACATCGCGTGAAGGCGCTCACCCTACGCAAGAGTAGGTCGTACCCAAGTCAATACCGATGACCGTTCCGTAGTCTGCTTTCTTGTCATCCTGGGCATTCGCAGAAACGGGACAAAGAAGAAGGAGAGCAACGAGAGTGAGAAAAACAAGAGAGAGCGACGACACCAGGCGTCGAGATTGTGTCCTCGTTGGACGTCGGGGAGGGGACATGATGGTCAAAGTGTGAGATGTGCTCAGCCTCATCTTGCGAGCTCTTATAATCGCCGATGGTCGACGCGCCACGTCAACACCAGAAAAATGAGGACCCCGGATGAGGGATCCTGCTTTTTTTGGATGTACACCGCAACTTCGAGAGAGTTCTTGAGGTCCTTCTGCTTGCAGCTGCCACGTCGTCGCGGTCAAGTTCTGCGCTGTCGCTGCCAGTTTCTCTGGTCCGTGAGCGCTGGGACGGACGTGAGAGCGGAGGCTACGAATAATATTGGCCGGTTTGGGTGGACACGTCGATCCAACATGCATGACGCGTGCAAGCGTGTACGCATCCTCATTCCCTCGGGTCTGTTTCATATTGGTGAGCTCATATTTGCGTCGTTCTCCGTTTGTTCTGCATGATTCTGGATGGTACGGAATCTTGTTTTTACATTACATATTTTGAATCACAATGTTGAAATTTCAGCGGAATCACTCTGAAGGGCGCATGCAGGCTCTCCGTGGCTATTTGCAGCTCCTACTCGAGCCTCCACGAATTCATCAGGTATGGGACATGCAGCGGAGGTCTTGCGGGAGTGCGTCCGACCCATCCAGTGCTAACATATCTATGTGCTGCATTTTGTCGCGGTATGGAAATAAATGAAAGAAGCACCGAGACAAGATTGCACCATACGGTGTTTTTCATCGTATGCGGCCGATTTCTCTATGTCTCAGACAGGGAAGAAAAACTTTTGGTGAGTGCTGTGAGATATCATGATCCTCGGGACCCTGGCCGACCAATAAACAACATTCAGTTATTTTTCGCATCACTATATGCACTGTCTGCTTCACTTGTGCAAGTTGATTCAGACAGGAGTTGGAAGACAGCAGGTTTTGTCTAGTATACTAATGCACTGCGTCCCCTTTCAGTCTGTCAGCGTTGATTATCGAACGGTAGCATGTATGCTGAGCGAGCCTAGCAGCTGCTGAGTGGCTTGGGGTCTATGCATCGGAGCGTAAATTTTCCGCTCGGCCTTGCGGGTGCATTTCTCGCGCACTCGTAACATTTGTGGACCAAATATCTTAACGAGGCCGACCGCAGTGAATGGTTTAGTGTATGAATCAAAACTAAGTGGTCTTCGCATAGATGGATTTGCAGAGTTATCAGATGAACTCCTCAATACATACCGGGATTTTGGAGTATGAGGCATAGGCTTGGTTCGTCAAGGTCTCGCATCCCATCAATTGCGAGAATTATTCGGCTATTTTGATTCCTCTGATGAACCGTTGAGCGGAGGATCGCAGTTCAATTGAGTGTACTTCTAGGATAACTAGTACAGCTAGGGTAGAATTACAGTAGCGACATCAGAGTAAGAAAGATTGACATACGTACAAGAGAATTATACAGCAACACCCAGGTGGTTCTACATGCAGCAATTACCAAAACTTATCGAGAAGATACTTCGTCGTCCGGGTCGTAAGGTAACGGTGGGATGGTGACAGTACGGGCAGGCAGAATATAAAGTGGTTTGGTCCCGCGCGTGCGGGCTTCTGGGTCATCCTCGTCGTCCACGTCGGAAGGAGGAGGCACCACGAGCACCAGTCGAAATGCGTCCTTTCCATTCAGATAAAATCTGTACAGACGCTTCTCCTTGATGAAACCAAGCGATTCATACAAGGACAAGGCAGCAGAGTTGTCAAATTCGGTCTCCAGTACCACCTTGCAAAAGATGGGGTCAGTAGTGACTCGGTAAATAAACTAAGTAATGCCAAAGTCATGGTCACCTCTTCGACGCCGTTCAGCTTCATCACTTCAAGGGTCCTCCGAACAAGGGTGCTCGCTGTAATGTGCAATGAGCCAGTCAGTTGATAGAGATAAAGAGACAAATGCACACCTATCCCACGCTTCCGCCAATTCTTGTGCACGCTCAACATAGCAATATATCCTCTATTCGTGATATCTTTGTGCATACTTTGCTTACAGACAATGACGCCGACCGGGTCAGACGAGTGGTCAGGATAAGCCTGCATAGTCGAGTTCACATCACTGTCCATGCACGGGGGCCATAGCGTTGCTCACGAGAAAAGACAAATGTGGCCTATATCCCACAGATAAGAGGGTGCTATACGCACGAAAAGCAGGATGCTCACCATTGATGGAGGAAGTATCGGTAAGTGTAGATAACATATGGCTCGCTCAGTTCATGCTGAACGAGAGCCATGATATGAGGTAAATCTGACTCGCCCGTGTATTGTCGGTATACGATGGAGCTCATAGTGGAAGTTGTGGAAGAGATACAGGAGGAACTGAGACCGAGATTGAGTCGTGCACGCGGTGAGGAAGGACGGGCGCTAACGCGTAGAATCGTGACGCGTGCCGCCGCGCTCTCAGGCTCTTCCACTCAAACTTGACTTAGGTTTCCTGCCTACAAGCTCGAAGCTGAGCCTCAAGCCCTACTCCTACTCTTCCCGTTGCTATCACCATCATTCCAAGCAAGTTGTACGTCTTGGACTCAGGCCGAATCACTTTTGCTTGCGACGCCACCATCTTAGGCGCGTCACCAACTTCTTCACCCAAATATTATTTCTTTCCAACACGGTCTATCTCAGTGCCTTCCCCGATATCAACTCACAGAATCTCCAGACGGGATTACAACGCCCCAGATTTTGACTAAATATTCCTGCAGGTTCCAATATGGCTTCTGTGTCTGATCTGCGCAACATGTTGCTCTCTGCTTTCAGTCCTCGCGGCCTCCAGGATGGGGAGCAAGAGTTCTTCGAGATGCTGATCGCACGCAGACCACAGTTGGTCAACCTGTATAATATTGGTCCACGGAGTACCCAGGAGCAGCGAGAACTGGAGTCAGGTGAGTGTTTCTTAATGATTCAGCGATGATTCTTATTATCATCCCAGGAAAAATCACTGTGGACGGGAGGCCACTCGCAGTCAACACAGACTTTGCTCGGCAGACGGTCTTTCTCTCTCAACAGTTGGACTGCTCCGAGCGGTATATTGCCAGCCTACTCCAAGATGTCGTCGCGGAGAACCCCAACATGACTCGAGAGCGCTGCATCGAGGCCGCGGTCCTCGAATTCCATGTCAGGCGGCGTCAATTGGCTGAGTGTCTCAGGTACATATTCGAAGCTGCAGAGATGGTGGAGTCTCAGGATGCTCCGCCACTATGTGCACGCATCGACCTGTTCGTGCGTCAACAGCTCCTTCCAGCTCCAGGTGGGCCAGCTGGTGGTCTCTCTCTGGCATCGAAGATATTCCAGGAGGTTCACAACTTGGGAAACGTGTTGTCGAAAGCCCAAACTGCTCGGCAGAATGCAAGAAGTAATACTGTGGCACCTTCCGCTCAAAGTGAGTGTTGGTGTTGATTTTTGTTGTGGCCATGAAAGTTTATTGCCTGTGTCCAGCAAATGAAGCATATCTTGGCGCTGACATTCTGAGCGCAAGGTGCGACTCGATCAGGTACGAACGACGTACACTGGCGGTGGTCTTGTTCCTCGTCAGTCGAATGGGACTACTCACGCCGACCGAGATACAAAAGATGGTGGACTGGCTTCACGGCAACCCGCGCCATGCGATGACGTACTACGTCTTGCCGACAGTGCTTGCGGCATTTGATTCGGTCGATCCAGCTTCCGCAGGCGGTCAAGCAAGGAGGACCGTGGCTGCAGAGAAAAGCTTCGTGTCTTACATGAAGAGAAAGCTCGACGTTGCAACCGAGTGGAAGGAGCCAGGATTGAAAGCCACCATATTGTTGAAGTGGACATTGTTTATGACCGAAACACGGCGCCGTGATGCATCGTTGGAGAACACCGCAGGTTTCAGGACTGAAGAGCTTGAGACTCAAATATGGAATGCTGTGCAGGGTGATTGCTTCACGTACGTCCTGCGCATGGTGGCGTTGGTGCAGAAGCAGCAGGGGGAACAACCTTCAACGTCGTATTCAGCGGCCTTGCTATCACAAATCGAGCAGGATGCACCTCCGGAACTACCCGCAGAAGACTTCAGGCCCGCTGTCTTGGAGGGGTGTGAGGCCCTTGTGCGCTCATTGATCACGCAAGCATCCTCGGAATTACGGAAGATCAAGCAGAGACAAGAGGATCTACTTCTTGCTGGCAGTCGTACAGACAGGTCCAGACCTTTCCGCTCATCCATGGGACAGTCTCAACACCTATCCTCCAGTACACCGCCCGAAATGGACAAATCTAATTCGCCACCCCGCAACGACATGGCCATACTGTTCTCCCTCGTCGGGTTGCTCTATTCGACACTACCTCCAGAGAGAGCACTTCATTTTTGGGGGAGTGGCGGCATGCTAGAAGGGAAGCGATCGTCATACACTGAGTTTGCCGAAGCAAATTCCGGGAGGCTCCCAGCGTTCCTGCAATGGGCCGTCTGGTCAACTCAACCACGAGATATTGACATGTCCACGGCGCTGTACGACATGCTCTCCGGTCTTGCCAAGGGCCAACAATGCAGCGAGCTCGCATACAATTTTCTCGCCAGGGGCGGAGGGGAAGTCATGGGTGGCTCCGTGTCGGCAGGCCCACCCCACCTCGCGACAGGACCTACTGTGTCGTGGGGTTCCATTTTCGGGTTGCTTGACTCTTGGGCAACGGCTGGTTCGGCCTCTCGCTCTGCTCAGCAGCCACCAGAAGGACAGTCACCGCAATCTGCATTCCAGGCTCCTCAATGGCAAGCCCAGCAGGCTCACCAGCATCAACAACAGCTCTCGTTCTCGTCACAGGATGTCTTATTCGCACAATCGTTCCTCCGACTGCTGGCTACCGTCGTGACGCATTCTGTTGCTGTACGCGTCACGATCAGTGGTCATGCTCGCTTCCGCGCGATCCCAACGTTGGTCTCACTAATTACTATCAGCATACCACTCGAACTGAAGGGGGCAATATTTGACACTTTGTCGGCGTTCTGCTTGCCTGGTGCTGGCTCTCCTGGTGTGGAGATATGCAAATCAATTTGGACCCTCATGGAGCGTCTGGAAGTGATCAACGTGCGAATGGCTCCTGGAAGCTCCATACCTGCTGTCAAAGGAGTAGAGGTCGAGTTGGACGAGGTAGAAACTGCCTACAAGATGTACCCTTCGACCATACCCTTCCTCAGGTTGCTCAGCACGCTCATACACACGCCTAAAAGTGTCGTTCTTAGCGATCGCGTCGCAGATGCGGAACCCATTAACACCATTCCGGATGGACTCGGCCAACCGTATAGGACACCCGGCATTGGGCCGTTCCTGTCATTCGTCGTTGATAATGTGTTCTCCAAGATCAGTAGCCGGGAATACATGCGTCCAGTAGACAGGTGGCGGACGAATGACTTGTGTTTGTGCTTCATGGAGCGGTGCTTGGCGAGCTATGACCTGGAGTCTCTCGTCACAAGTGTCGAAGAATTGCAGCCCAAGGGAGATGCTATTCTGCAGTTGGCCGCCCATCCTGGGTACGAGATCATGAGACGGATGCTCACTCCATCCCCTCTCCAGAACAGTATTCTCTCATATCTTGTTGAAGGTGTCGACGGGTTCGATCGAGGTCTCGCCGAAGAGGAGGCTTTCTTCCGAAGCACTATCGTTCGTGTGTTAAGAATGATCCACCGTATTCTAGAGATACAGGACATTTTTCTGGACGTCCTGGTCCCCATGCTCTCAGAGATCAAAGATCCGACTATTATCGGCGAGGTTCACCCTGCTTCATACTTTGTAAGGTTCGATCAGGTGTTGTCCTACTCCCGGCAACATGTCCCAGCAGTCGCGACATATATTGCTTACCCCGCATATCCCGAACTCATGCTACTCAGCGTCAAGATTTTGACCGCTCTTACTTCATCCTCGGCGTTCCTTCAATTGGCTCTCATGATTGACAAGAGCGAGGAGTCTGTGCGTATCCTCGATGGTTTCCAGAACATTATGGACGCCGACGTCTTGGATGACGTGGAAACCGCAGAAATCATTGCGGAGCAGAACACGGGTGCTGGTGCTCCTGACTCGGATGAGCCTTTGGCCAGCATTACTCAAGCAATCCGCGTGGCAGTGTTAGACTTGTTCATCCAGAACACCGACATCGATCGGCCATATCCAAACATCGCTCACTTCCTTCTCTTTGGAGGTGCGACTGACCGTGACCAGATTCAAGACCCACATGCCCTTGGTGCCCGACGGTCCTGTATACATTCTATTATCGACATACTCAACACAGGTGTCCCCCGCTTGAAGGGCAAAAGCTCTGGCCGGCTGTCATCCATTGACCCATTGTTCATCTCGCTTCCTGCTCTTGCTGAACGCTGCTACCATGTCATATACCAGCTATGCAAACATCCACAGACGTCGGAGTTCATCATGCGTTACTTGCGTACGCGCGAAGACTTCTTCGCGCGTCATCTTGCAGCACTACCATTTAAGATCGCAGGCGCAGATGTGGAATCTTTCATCGAGGTCATGTACAATGACGGCTCGCGTGTCACGACGACTGTCTCTGCATTGGCATCTTTCCTCCGGCTACGTTCCTGGATCCTTGACCTAGTGGCTCTCGAATTACATGTCCTGACAAACAAAGGACATCAGAAAAGCGTCTCTGAGCTCTTGGAGCTTCTGTTTGGAAATGAAGAGAACCAGCCAGAGGACGAAGGTGTTTGGGACAGTGATGTATTCACGCCTTTCCGCGAAGTGGGACAGTCGCATCTCCGGATGATCGAATTCATCCAGTCATTGGATTTCGACTGGTCTGACAGCTTGTCGGCCCAGCCCGTAGAGCTACAGTTCTTGGCGCAGTTGAATCTCCAAAGTTGTCTGCGTGTAGACGGTGCGGGCTGTGAGGTTATAGATCGAACGGCGCTCCTATCTATCCTGACTCTGGCCCAGCGTGAGCTTCATGCGCAAGGTCGTATCTTAAATCCTACACACTACCAACAACTGATCGCGGAGATGAATTATATCATGGAGAGCTGTGCGATTGAGAACCATCGTAGGGAAATACGGTACGCCGCGGCCAGTGGGTATGAGGCGTGGAGAAGACTCCTCGACATGTCCCTCATGAAATGCTTCGATCGATTGCCCTATGACCGTCGAGAGAACATGCTCTTTGATCTTCTGCATGTGCTGCCGCAGAGCCTACGCTCCGCGAATGTTCAGCCATCCTCTGCCGTTCTCCTGTCCGAAGCCGTCCTTTCCACCATCACCAAGCTCCGTGAAGATCGCCGTTACCAGGTCATCCTGCAATCCGCAGGTGGCGATGTCGAAGCAGGGTCACTTCCTGCAGAGCGCCTATACGCACTCCTCCGCAGTCTCTTGGACTGTATCATGGACAACAACCGCATTGCCCTTGTCCGGGGCAACCTCTATGCATCACTGATCAATTACTTCCATCTGGTGATAGCTCCCAAGGTGTTGCAGGAAATTGAGACCGGTCCGATCAATCTTGTGGCCTCCCTCTCCGCGTCGTCGTTGAGCAGGGAGGACTCGCTATTCAACGATAGCATGTCGTCAGTGGCTTTGTCCATTCAAACCTGTGGCTCTCAACAGACTGGATCGATCCTTATGAATGGCAGCCTAATCATTCTGAAGTCAGTCATGGAGCGCCTTGTGGCAATTGTTTCTCGGGACGCTATTGATGGGTCCGAAGTGTGGAAGTCCGTAGCATTCATGCTTCTCGATTCTTTGGTTCGGTTGTCTCGATTAGAGAAGCAATCCGTGATCATCCATACCCTAGCCCGGCATGGTTTTCTCTCAGGGTTCGTACGAGGTCTCAAGGAGTCAGATTTGCGGTTGCAAGACGTCTTGAAGCCCGATCCAGGTTTGTTCACAGATTTATTCCGTCAGGTCTAGTTGTTAACCCCGAGACAGATGAATTGAACACTCTTTACGTCTACGAGGCGAAGATGTCACTATTGGTCCGCGTAGCACAAAGCAGGCAAGGTGCAGAGCGACTGTTGGAAGCCCGAGCTATTCCCGTCTTGGCAGAATGTGATTATCTGGATGCCAGACCTGAGGCCGATCAAGCATTTTTGGGTGTGTCTATATTCCCTCCGTTGCTTTGTCACTAGCTCATGCTTAGTTTTGTATTTTAGACCGAGACAATTTCCTTCCCTCTGCTGTTCAGCGTTACCATCAACTTTTCACTCCTGCTCTGCAACTTGTGAGCGGGATGCTCATCACCCTGGGAACAAGACACATAACTGCAGTGAACCAAGTACGTGGTGTGCTTTACGCAGTTTTCATGTGCTCATCTGCTATGCCGACAAGGCTTTGCAATTCCTGTCGAGTCGTAGGGATACGGCGGTTCTTCTCTTGAAGAACGAGGTTGATGAGCTCTCCCTTGCCGTTCTGGAGGAGCTCCGTCTTCTCGTGTCGCTCTGCAGCAATGTTGTGCAGCATATACCCAAGACAGAATTGGTGAGACGACAAAATTAATCTACGCTGTGAGGTCTGAACCATACTTTACAGCTCTCCAATATCGGTTTCGGCGGTATTCATGCTGCCATATCAAATTTGGCTGCAAGATGCCTAGGCAACCGCCATTGGACGGAAAGTGTCAAGCCTCAAACTGAACGAGAGTTGTCGGATGCTGCCGTAGTTGAGCCAGGTATGCTGATACGGCCCTCATGTATTTCCGATATAATCAATTATTTGGCAGGCTACGGCTCAGAGACGAAATTCCGCGTCGCCGTACATCGCAAAGATCAACTTCTGCGTGAAGCTGTTGTGGCTTACCTGGGAACAGCATGTGACTTCACTGGTACGGTCAACCCCCTATCATGCTGTGAATTTGCTGACTCGTGTTCTCCAGAACCTGAGTTCACTCTGGTCCTATCACCAGCTGTCAATACGCCTAGACAAGAGGATCGGTCATCGCGATTCTTGGGTGAGCAACGCTATTGAATGACAAAATATGATTCTGACAGCCATGTGACGCAGCCACCGTGCCCACAATGGGCGACGCAATCGAGGCTCTGTATAGCTTCTGTGATGAGCTTGCTGGCACTCTGAAGACAATAGCAGATCTCTCCGCGGAACTTGCCGCCAAGGACTACATCAGAGTGGACAACATCCAGGAGGTAGTGAGGCCTTCACAATTACGTCGACACAATATCTGAACAATTCCTCAGATCGTGAGCGTCCCAGATCAAGGTCTCCTGGACAACCTCAACATCCGGCAAAAGCAGTCCCTCGTTAGTCGGGAGCTGACGCACTGGCGAGCGGGCGCAACAGACAGGGCACAGGTTACGATCAGTGAGTGCCGCAAAATTCCAACACCCGTGGAACTTGGCGATAACTGACTGTTGCCATAGCCTCCTTGGAGATGCTCCTGCTGCTGCTCTGGCGGCATCTTCTGTTCTACTCGGAAGGGCGCCATATCAACAACCCGGACCTCAAGGGTTCGATCTCGCACATGATGCGCTTGACGTCGTCTCCTGATGTAGATGTGATCAAGGCAGAGGCCGCACGTAAGCTAATGCCCGTGTTGCAGCGGATGCAAACGCTGGACTTGGTGCGTCTCAACCATGATAGTACTTGACCAGAAGCTGAGCTTTCGCTTCGGATAGACCGAAGAGACAATTGGGGAAGATTGGAAATCATACCAGAGCTACATCGCAATTATGGCGCGGAGGCTAATGGACGTTGCGGGGCTTGATGAGGAACCGGAGGCACAAATCGGGCTGTGACCCACGTGTGTGGTATACGACAGCAATGGGTGTGGAAGATACATGTAGCTAGTGTAATCGTCTGGGCTGGAGAGAAGGGAATATTGCAAACTGCAGTCGACAGCGTGAAAGTGAGTCAAATATAGAGTGCTAGACGGGGAGCAGACTGCCCGCGCCGCGCATCGCAATCTGAGAACCAAAACGAAGCGTCTGCACCCCGCCTGGAAAGTATGCGAGCACGTATGAAACGAGTGCGACAACCTTGCAGATAGATCAGATATTTACGAGCACCATATACAGAAGCTATGCGTACTTGGATTATGGCACCTATCAGTGAGCCAATGTATGAATGTGCCTGGTGGTCACCGGTCAGCATGCAAGGTCCGTCTGTTTATTACGCAGTAACAAGACGCACTCCAAGTGAGAAATACAGTGTGAGACCGAGGCTGCCGAGATATGCAAAGGAGAACGGCAGTCTCTCCTTGGATACAAGATGCTTGATGTGATTTATCGGCCCAACGAGGACCGAAAATCTGAATATACGCAGACAACGTTAACATTCATGGGACCCGGCGTAAATTTGAACACTTACCCAAACATGACAAGTAAGCTCCCCAAGCTGAAGATGATGTACCATGAGGTGAAGACCAGACAGGAAGCATGTTGCCAACGCACCTGAACGCCAGCGCAAACTTAGCTGGTCGTACAGCCAGAAGAGGTAGCGTCATGAATGCTACAAAGAAGCATACAGCAGCACCCAGGAGGCATCCTCCAAATCCTAACAACCTTTCGGTGCAATTCCAGGATAGAGGTGATACATCCGCAAGCCCGTTAGCTTCACGACACATTCTGAGCTGAATGCTGCGCACCTCTCCCATCGTGACAACGCAAAATAAGCCTCCTCCTCGTTGGACCTCTCGCTCGAGCGAAGTGGGATGTACCCGCCGCCTATCGCGTTGTAGAACCTGGAGAATGGGTTTGCGCCTGTGCCTGTGCCTGCTGCGTCCCCGCCCTGCTGCTGCGCTTCGTCAGTGTTCCCTCTCGCCCAGCGGAATTGCGAGAGGTTCTCCCGAAATGTCTGTTCTGTTGAACCTGAAGGCATTAAATAAGAGCGGATGTGAAGGAGGGAGGGATGGTGGGGGATATTGTGGGAGAGTATCGCCTGCGTCCACTATGACCGAAGGTCACGTTCCGCGCCAATACGCGCTCGGGCAAGTCACTGGCGCATTGGCACTAGCGATCCATGATATGCCCACTCGTCGCGCAGTATTTTCTGTGTTGAAGTTTGCTGCTCGTCTACCAAGTAACTGCGACTCTTGTGGTTACTGCTGCTCTCTAGCTAAATCGATTTGCTTTGCATAAACTGTATGGCCTAAAGACTGAGGCCTGAGGACTTGGGGACTATTTCTATACTTCTCAACGCTCGATTGGTCATGGTATACGGGACTCAATGGCAGTACCCGTATGGTGAGGACTTCCTTCTAAAAACTCATTAGCGAGCGAAGGTGCGCAGCGTGTGTTCAAGCAACAATCTGTCATGTGCATTCGAGAGAACAGCAGTTTCTCGTCATTGCCGGCAATTCACTATTTATCTCGGGCAAACATCTGAGCTTTATATGGGCAGACCGGGGTAGCGTAACTCCTTCCAAAAACAGAAGCACCGGTAACACGACAGAATGTGGGGCATTCTGGGCATCTTTGAAGACTTGACATCACATCGCTTCCGATGGTAGCGGTTGCCAGCTGCGGTCCCTGTATATATATAACCCTCCTTAAGCCGGAGAGCCTCCTCCTTCGCAGTTGGGTCTCATGCTCATGTCTGCGAATACAGCTATCTCTCGGTGGTACGGTGAGCTCGTTGAGCAGGACGCAACTATATCGACACTATTTGTGCACGAGTACCAATACGTGCGCTCTGTGTGGAGTAAGTATTGGAAACAAATAATCCGTGTTGGAAAATCACTTCTCATGATCCCCCTTTCCCTAGTTATTGCACTTACTGTTGTTCTCTACGATTATCGTGAGTTCTTGTCAGCTACCTTACATCGTTGGCTTTGGTACGTAGTGGCTGCGCGTCTGTCGGGGATGACGGCTAATGCGCGTCGTAGCAATTGCTCTTGGGAGGCTTTATGCTGCCTTCAACTGTGATAGACGATTCTTGATCATTGTGGGGACATATTTCGGCCTTCAACTCGCATGGATGCTCGCGTTGTATGCCGTATTCGCTGCCAACTTTCAAGGCAAGCATGGCCGTTCTTGTGAGATAAGGTGCTTATCTTTCATAGTCATTGAGCTGCCGCAGACTTGGACGGGATGTATGCCATCGCGTCCAGGGGCATATGAATGGATGATGTGGATTCCAGCCGTCAGCACCGAAGGTGCCCTGCTTGCTATCCTACTGATCAAAGGAACACAAATTGTTCACCAGGGCATCCGCCCTCCTCGAGCATTGTTTGTCATACTGCGTGACACGCTTCTTTATCTTGCGCTTATCATTGGCTTGATCCTGGTGAGTACCCCTTGGACAGAAGGATTGGTAGGTTATATGATCCTTTGTGCGGCGTGACGCGTATTGATCGTCCGATTCGTACCTAGGAAACCATCTCCGCGACCTTCCCTCCGTGAGTTTGAATCCCTCCACATCGCAACGATGTTTACAGGATGACTTTTTACGCAAAGGATGTGGGTCGCATTGGTGTCCACCAGCGGTTGCCGAATGCTGGTGAGCGAACAATTTATCTCATTAACTATGCTCTCATATCATCCGGCAGCTCAACATCCATCAGGTTATGGAATCAAATAGATCGCCACATTCTATCAACTCCATTACAATTCATCTCAGCAGCTTACAGTTCGCGAGCAGCGAGTCTGTCCACGATGCTCAATGAGAATTAAGTTTTCCGTCGGTGTTGTGTTAGCACCGTCATGGGGGCACATGCCACCCGTCTCAAGGCCATTTTACTTACATCTACCCGAACTGCTCTAGTATTCACACACACACACACTACTCCGACACTTCCGTGGAGTATCTGCAGTAACCTTGCCAGTAGCTGTACACCTTATCTTCTTGTCTCAAGGTCGCTTATCCGCCCATCATACATGTACTTGTTGACACTGCTGGTTCATACAGGCCACGCTCTCGTTCCAAGATGCTTTGGCCGCTGGAAGCAAAGTGATGTAAGGTACTCGTACACGTTACATTTGCAGTATAGGGCATATACCTATCGGATTAGTTGTGTGTCCGGTCATTGCAGCGTGCAGCTATCCCAACGAGCGACATAGTCTACGTATCCCATCCCGGGCACCATGGATTCCACCTTCGTACATTGGTAAAAAATGCAGGGATTGTTCAGTCTTGAATTCCAGATGACAGGTGTAAGTCGCATTTCTTCTATTTCGTGAGTGTTTCATCCATTGCACATTTTTTCAAATTCCCCTGATCACTGCATCCTCAAAACCGTTACTGGGGGTAAAAGTATGGTCGACCATCTGGCAACCTCTGGCTGATCTTCAGTACAGTATAGCATATCTCCTGTAGGCGTCATGGCTTTAGTTGTGGGCAATACGGGTATAGACTATTAACCATTGCGAACTTGAAGCTCAGATAACGTCGGTGGTTAGTAGACGGAGGAGCAAGTTTCTGAATGGTCGATATTGACCTTGTGATAGCGGTTGTTCCCGCTTCCAACATGAAGGTAAGACCTTATTCAATCACAATGGACCACTCTTATGGACACTCTGTAGAAGTCTGTAGATTTGCGTGTGATCTCAGATCGTCGTTTCGTTCTGGACAAATCACATCAACGTAATTTGTCGTCTGATGCAATCTGTGGTTCAACTTGTATCGCAATCTAACTGCCCCAGTCCATCTCTTGTTACTTGGTAATTACCTGTTTGCACTGGACGAATATGAGAGCTCAGTGTAGCAATCACGATCTGAAGACTTCAGGCCGTTTTCGATCATGGCAGACGCTTCTTGATCGTGGTAGGCACTTGTTGTAGCGCTGAGTTCGAGTCTAGTCTCCCGTAGGCAGACTACAAAATGATCCCTATGAGCAGTGGGGGAGGGGACGGGATCGTATAGTAGGTTCGAGTCGTGGTCTGAGCACGATATTTGTCGTTGTGGGCCCCAAGTTTCGAGGTGGGTGTTCCTGCGCCACAAAGATTGCGATGCACCGATCCGAAAAAGCTAGTGATCTACTACCACATTCGTGGACGGGATGTATTCCATGGAACACAGGGCCGTATGCATGGCCCGCGCTGTTGATTCCGGTGGCCACATTCTCAGGTCGTCTCCGCAGTACTATTTGTGAAGTACAGACAAATCATGCGGCAAGGCGTTAATCCGCCTGGAGCACTGTGGATCATCCTGCGCGACACCCTTCTCTTCCTTGTGGTTGTCCTTTGCCTGACTCTGATCAACGTTGTTCCGAGAGGACAGTCGGTATGATCTAGACTGCACTTCAATTAAATAACCTTTTCTGACCATCTTATGTGTCACTTAGGAACTAGAACTCATACTGACCACTGTTCCTCCGTGGGTTGAAGAAAACTGTTAGATGAAGAGGATACTTACATCATTTGCAGGACCATCGTTGCATTGCTTTCCATCATCGGTTGCCGGATGCTGGTGTCTACTGCACGATATGGACGCTCACAGACTTATGTATCTCGTTGTAGTTGAACATCCACAAGGCACTCGATCCGAGCGGACAGAACGTGCTGTGGAACTCGACCACCAGGCCCAAAGCAGCTTACGATTTAGGAGTAATTATCTTCCGAGTGAGTTGACAGTAGATCTACTAACGACTGTGCTCGGCGGTACGGAGTAGTTGAATATTACGAGGTACAAATCTAATATACAGGCCAGTCGATGTCCTCTCGGTGGGGTCCGAAGACCTCACGAACGTATGATATCGCTATGATCGTGGTTGTGTCTGAATATATAGGCATCCTCCGCAGGCGGGTTGGCCTTGAAGAGTTTGCCGAGGTGCTCGTCTGGTTGTCATGCACGTCAGTACGAGGCTAACCCTAAGGCAACGGGTTAACTCACAAATCGGGTCAGAATCAATGTGGTCAAAGTGCTTCAGTTCCCACCGTGTCCCAGCGGCGAGCTCGTCGCGCCGCATTTGCCGCTGGTCATTCTGCGCACGTCAATTCAGGACACAAGGTGCGGACCTAATCAAACGCGCGCCTACCTCTATCTTGCTTTTCGCGACGCTAGCGCTCTCGAAGTCACCCTCTCTGATGCCCTTCGAGACGTAGCGCCAGAGGCGCCTGCTCTCGAAATCCTCCATCTCCTCCAAGGGGCGCACAGTGACCTCCTCCTTTGGGCTCGTGACATCCGTGAAGAGCTCGCCGGTAAGCACGTTCTTCGATGTCATGTGCCAGAGACCCTCAAAGACGTGGCGCGGCGTCTCGGAGCCGGGCGGGCACAAGGATGCCTTGAAGACGTGTGACTTGCCAGTGAAGTAACCTTTGCCTCTGTACTCCATCGTCGACAGCCAACCCGTGGAGCTCTGGATATACGACGTCTCAGTGAGCTCGATGTAAGGCGAGCCGTACCACAACCCGTCAATGCGCAGGCGCGGCAGCGTGATCAGGAATACCTCCTGTCCACCGGATGGCAGGTCAACTGTCAACACTGCGTGCCCGATCTGCTTCACTATGATGCTCCCACCTGCACGTATATCCGAGTTAGCTTGAACTCGGAAGAGATTCCTCGTGCTACGTACCAGAAAAGCTCGTCTTTTGTGCGCTATGCCCCTGGAGCCGGATGCCCTTGCTGTCATTTGAAATGTAGTATGCTGTAATTGGCGGATGGTGGGACACCTGTTCGACCACCAAGTTCGTCTGTCCTCGACCATTCAGGTCTGGCCATGATCCGTAGAAAAGCCTACAGAATCTCAGCACGAAGTAGCGTCGAGCGGCAGGGTACTTACTCTCCGAGTACAGGGTTAAGAGGTCTGATACACTGTTAACCATACATCCTACCAGAGAGGCAAAGACGCACTTTTTCTCCGAGCCCAACTTCTCGTTACGTGAGGTATACTGACCTTTGAGGGTACTCTGCGAAACATAGGTCAGATCACACAAGGTACAGTGAGACATCGCCAGTAGTGCAACATAGTAAAACACAGCTCCCCCCCCCCCAATACCACCTATTCAGAATTCAGAAGCCAACATTCCAACAGATAATTACGGCGGCGGTGCATTCGTTCAATGCATTAACCCCTGGACGCGTGAACGTGATGATCTCTCACAACAATTCGTGTGCTACCGAGGCGCGGGCTAAAATAACCACCAGCTGCGCGTATAGCGGTAGAGAACAGAGAGGCTCCGGACCTTTGAGAACTCGCTGCAACGGCAATTGAGCGCCGATTAGGATCGGCAAAAGCTGCAAGGCCAATGACGTCCAGCTGAGTACGAAAGGTCGGGAAGGCGCCCAACAAAACGAGGCCTCGCGTGAAGCCCTCGAATAAGAGGGAGGGTCCCACAAACCTCCACAGTCGTGTACACGGCTGCCAAGCACAAACCGAACCTCCACGGTAAACAGCACGAACAACATGGACACGACGTCACCGGAATTGCGCATTGAGGTAAAGCGGGCTTGCAAATGTTATATTCGGAGCGCACTTGCATCAAAGACTACTCGGAGACTAGGAAGACGTGAGAACTGAGATGGACACTCACGATGAACCACCTAAGGACTAAGATTGAACGCTGTTCGTCCGTTTCCGCGTCCGCAATCGCAGAGAAGAGCGCTGGTCGTTCACACCAGTAGGCTTGACAAAGAATATCAACTTCAGATCTACTAAGTAAATGGGGTCGCATACCGGGAAACTCAGTAAGCGAGATGGGCGAGAGGATAAAAGGTGGCGCCGTCAACGAGGACAGGTCGCCTGAGAATGAAGCAATCCTAAGGAAACCATGCAGAGCTTTCAGATGCCTATGATGCATAGAAGTAAATCCTGACATACGACTTGAGGAAAGATGCCCAGCTGCTCTTCTGCGCTGCAGGCACGCCCTAAACAGCGACGGTATCAGATGACCTGCAGAACGTTCTGCAGGTGGGCCTACCTCGCCAACGACTTCGGTAGGTGTCTGGGTCATGGTGTAGAAATACGACTGTAAGATATGCTGTTTCCGTAGGTTGAGTGAGGGGGTATATGCGGAGGTCGCAGACTGTGGTAAGGAGCCTTGCAGCAACTCAACCGCAGAATGACGGTTGCGACACGTGGCAAGCAAAATAGGTCTCTCCACGCGCATCTCTCCACCTTCCCAGGCACCGCACTTCCCCTCGGTCCCTTGCGCAAGTGCACCGATATATGCAGCGCTAGCTGAGCTGCGAGGACGACCAGCGGACTTGAAGACTGCACTGTATATTCTACCAGTACCCCTAATTATGCATCTACATCTAAACTCAGACATTACGATACTCAAACGCGGGAACACCAGGCTCGGCACTCTCAATGATCATTCTGCTGAAGTCCGAAATCATCTGAGCCTTGGCTTTATCAACAAGCAGGACCTCGGCGTCGACCAAGTTCAGCGTCTTCTTCAGATAGGGCAAGATCTCATTCAGCACCGTCACCTCCGAGAAGGGGAGTGTCCGGTTGAACGCTGTGTGCGCGCCGAATTGCGTGATGCGTTTCTGCAGCAAACATTGGTCAGCCAGAGCAAATTATGAGGATACGAGTAATATACTTTAAACGCCTGTACGAATGGCATGGTGCGCTTGTCCTTGATGAGGCCTTTCTGCGTCAAGAGCTCCCGCACTTTCGCATCGTCGACCTTATCGTGCTCCTCCGAATAAGAGTCTTTCACGATCTGCACACACTGGTCCTGCCACTCGGGGAACTTCGTGGCGACGTAGATGCGCACCGCGCGAGGTTTCGTGGGATCGTACGGCGCCTGCCCCTGTTTGCCCTTGTTCATCTTCTTGAGCAGCGACAACTCCGCATCACGCATCGTCTTGATCGTGCCGCGCATATACAGACCGGAGTCGATGATTGACCGGTCAACAGGATGTGTCACCTCCGGCCATCGCGCGAGATGCACCGACTTCGGCTCTTTGAGGACGGTCAGCCAGATGTGCTCGGCGAAGTGTGGCGCGATGGGTGTGATCAGGAGCACGGCGACGCGTATCCACCAATGTACAAGATCGCGGTGCATGCCGACGTCTGATGTCACTTCACGATACCAGTCGCGGGTGGTCTGGAGCTCATAGAAGCCGTACTTCATAGCATCCTTGTACTCCGTACTGAGAGGAACGGATGAGCAGACAGAAAGTAATGATTGCAGACAACGCACGCTTCATAGTACTCCTTGGTGGTGTTGATCAGAGCGTTTACTTCCTCCTCGAAGATGATATCGTGGTAGTTGCGTGGACCCTCACGCAATTTCGACTCGCCCTGGGTCATCTCCTGTTCACCGGAGAGATGTTAAGCTTTAAACACCCAAACTTGGAATGTAAGACACCCACCTCACACCAGCTGATCAGGGTGTGCAGACGAAGGATGTTCGCATTAGCAGTCTTCTCGTCAAAATTCGCGTCCTCAATGCCGTCGCCAGCATCAGCCAAGCAAAGGCGAGTAGCATCAGTTCCAAATTTCTTGATGCACTGGCGCATGGTCATTGAGTTACCCTTGCTCTTTGACATCTTTTGCCCATTGACCATCAAATGGCCGTTCGTGCGCATGCTGAGCGGCCACTTGTCCTCGGGAAAAAGTGCAGCGTGGACGTAGATACAGAATGTCAAGTGGTTGGGGATCAGGTCCTTGCCGGACGACCGGACATCGAAGGGATAGAAGTACTCGTACTCGTGCTTCATGATATCGATATCCTTCTTAGAGACACTGGCAGACTTGGGCCATGGGCCATTGCGGAAGACGTAGTCCCATACGTCGTCCGTCAACTGCTCTGGCTTGACGTCCAGCAATCCGGGGTTGCGACCGTAGATATCACCTTCTCCTTGTCAATAGATATGAGGGGCTGCAGAAGGGAAGACTTACTGTGCAGGAAGTGTGCTACAGTGTAGTACGCCATGTAGATCGTCGAGTCACTCAAACTCTCCACCAAAAATTGAGGATCCCAAGGGAGCTTAGAACCCAATCCGTACGTTCTTGCGCAAGCCCACTTGTTCAGCCAGGCCAAGACTCCTTCGAATCCGTTACGGGTCTCAGAGTTGTAAGTTTCCATCCTAGCCACTAGTCTGAAGGCAGATGACTCAGTGAGGCAACCACACAAAGCTCATAAAATATGCACACTTTTCTGCCTGTGCCCTCCAAGAGGGCTCACCATAGTCCAGATACCACTGGTCCATCAGAGCAACCACGCACTCGTCAGAGCTGCGCGAGATTACCAATCCTTCGGGTTCTGCATATGCAAATGCGAGACCCTGTGCTATCATGCTATCGCGGACCTTGGCCTTCGCGAGCTGCACGGACACGCCTTTGAAATCTCCGATGAGCATGGTACCACTGTAGAAGCCTTCCTTGTATGCGGCCTCCTTAGCTTCCAGTAGCTGTTTCGTGTCCTTTTGAGAGTTGATCTTGAGCTTCTTAACGAGAGCGGGCGCGATCATGTCACCGTACGTAGGGGAAGAGATCACAGGTACAGGGTCAATTGCTGCCCACGATGCCTCAATACCGTAGAACTCGGGTTTCCTCCGCAGATCCATTAACGTCGCATAGTCGTCAGGTGAGTCAGACGGGACAGACGTGACTACACCGGTACCCTACATATTCATCGTCAATAAAGAGAATGATTGCTTACCAATGGTAGCCCACCTTGGTCGCAAGGACATTTTCCATTGGCAGTACGTATACTTCAGGATTGAGCGCGAACGGCGCCTTCACTTTGGTGCCGACGAGGTCGGCTCCCGGAATGTCCACCAGTTGTTGGATCTGGCCGCGCACGGCCATGGTACCCTGGAAAGCCATGTTACGTGCGGCGCGGTATGTGCAGACAAATGCCTCCTGATCGTTAATCGCGAAGACGCCATATTTAATCGAAGTGCCAACGAAGCAATTTGTTTGACCATACCTGTCGTGTGACCCATATTCAGAGAAAAGTGAAACCAGAAATTTTGCTTACTGCACTCACATGGTTTCCGGTCGGAGGGTAGCCGCTACAAGGAAGACCTTCCGACCGCCTACCTTGGACACTACCTGCTGCTTCGCGGCCTCACTCCAGTGAACGACTTCCATTTTGATGCCAGTGTACTCTTGAGGTCCAAGCGCCTCACCCTCAGATCGGTCGTGGTCCATACACGGTTGGCCGTCCTTCGGACTGTAGATCGTGTAGCGCTCACCGAACTTAATCTTGCCCATGTCATGCAATTTGTTCACCTGCCAGCGGACGAATGTATCATAGTAAGGGTTCCGATCAGTCGTAATGAAGGACCTTCGCCAGTCTATCCGTGATCCAAATGCGTTGTTATCCGCCTATCGAACAGGTGAGTCAGCAACATGCATCCGAACGGCAGACAGCTCACCATACAGATTGGCGGGAAGTACTGAAGCCAGTAATACGGATCCGCGAACTTCTTGATCTCTGAGCGCTGTATGCCCATAGACTCCATGATTTGGTATTGGTACTGCAGACCAGTCGCCTTGGCAGCGATCTTGCCCTTCTTGGCTTTGTCGTGAGCTTTCACATGAGCAGGTGCAATGTTGGCAGTGGAAGTCAATGCGTCATGCAGCTCTTCTTCAGGTCCGGGAGGGTGGCGGTCAAACTCAGGGCCAAACATTTCTATTTCCCGAATAATTTTGTCGGAAGCAGCCTGATATCTGGTTTCAGGCGAGTGCAGCACACGACATCTCAATATACGGGACATACCTTGATGGGCATTCCCGTGCAATGGAAGGCATGAGGAAACAAGACGCGCTTCCCCAACATGCGATGATACCCAGCAGCGAATTCAATTTTGGAGATCGTGAATGCATGACCGAGATGCAAGGAGCCGTTCATGTACGGGAATGGGAATGTACCAAACCATTTCGGAAACTTTTCCCTGATCTCTGCTGGCGACAGCCCTGCTGTCTCCTCCAAGGTTGGTGCGTTCGTCTCGAACAAACGCTGCTCCTGCCACTGCTCTTGGTACTTCTTTTCCAGACCAACTAGTAGATCACGCTTGTTGGTCTGCGCGAGTTCCATAGTGTTCGCCGACGCCATGGTTGATACAAAGCCCGATAAACGAGTGGGACGTGCAACACGTCGCGAGAGTGTAAGAATTGTGAACAGCCGTAGGAAGCAGGGTATAAATCAGTTTTGGTGGACCGCAATCGATGTCAACTCGAGTCAGACCGATGAAAAAATGTCACACCTGAAGGTGTCCCGGGGCCTACCTCCATTCAAGACCCCATGCATACTACTGAGCCGTTGGCATGTAAGTATCAAGGCGACACACACCAAGCAGCTAGAAGCCTAAGTCAATTTAGGACCTATGCACAACAGGGAGGTTTTTCACGATCTAATATACAGGATGATTTAACACAGGCTCTTTCTGAGATAACTCCGTGGCCCGTGGGAATTCGCGTGAGCGCCACGCACGTGATATATATCATATACGATCACGAGCAGAGCGCGTCGCAACGAGCGCCAACTCTTCTCCTGACCACTTGCCACAGCGGCCAACTGAACTTGATTTCTCCCACCCATCTTATGTTATGCCCGCAGCTCGCGACCATATTGACAGGGAAAAAGTGCCTGTTTCACCTAGTATGTTTGATTTTTTCTGTCGAATCGAGTGGAAGCTGAAAATTGTCCAGAATTCGTGCATTCTGCCCCGATTCCGCTAGGTTTCTTCTCAGCATTGCACGTATATGTCTTCATGCGTTAATACTCAAAATCTTAGAACCAGACTCTGACCCTGATTTTAATCCTGGGGCTTATGTATGTGAGCCTCCAAAGAAGGGGCGAAAGTCGCGGAAAACTGCTAGTCCGAAGGGGCATAACCTACCGAGAGACGCCCTTGACAGCACAGGAACCGAAAAAAGGACCAGAAAGCGTAAGTATATCACGATTATGTGTTACCTGACTGAACTGATTGTTGCACCTCCAGAAACTACTCAACGGCATGGTTCTACTTCGCAGAACCCGTTATTGGAATATTTCGGTAGGTATTCTTTGGACACTGTTATACGTTGTAGTTGTAACGTCTTGTTCTATACACATAGGTGAACTTGTGAATGACTTGGGTTTGGAGTTAGCTTCAGAAGACGAGGGCAAGAAGGACGATGAGCTCGACGACCCCGATGTTTTTGCAGATAACGAGGAAGATGAAGAGCAAGTGGAAGAGCAAGAAGGAGAGGAAGCGCATGGTCTCAAGACATACACTGCTCTCATCAGGGAGTCCCAGTCACAGGCGCAGTCAGCGGCAGAAGACTCCGCTACAGGTATGTCGAAAAACGTTCTCATTGTTTTTGCACAAATATCTAGCGCCGCCCTCGTTTCCCAGAATCAGAGACAGAACCAGACGACGATACACCTATCGCGCCCGCCACTTCCAGTCTGCTGAAGCGGAAATCCACAACGCCACCCAGCGGAGCTCCAAGGCCGCCTTCGAAGAAGGCCAAGACTGAGAGCCCAGACGATTCCGTTACAGAGCCCGAGTCGGACGAAGACCCCAATGCCTCTGTGGCTAGGTTCAAATCTCGAGGTATTCATCGTCCATTCTTTCCCGTCTTCTTGACATAATTTTTGCCTTAAGAAGATAAACCTGTTGGCAAGAGATCACCCTCTGACTCAGTGACTGAATCTGAGACCGAGTCTGAGTCTGAGGCCGAACTGTCGGATTCTGAAGACATGCTTAACGGAAAGGTATGTCGGATTATTGGATGCACCCAATACACCATTGGCTGTCCCTGACACATCTTCTACCATCGACAGGAATCACATACGCTCCATCCTAGGCCAACTTTTCCGTTGAAACCTAAGCAGAAACTTCTTGGGCCACTTGTTCTCGACAGTTCTCATGAGGTTCCTGCTCGTATCAACACATTCCTCAGAGAGTATCAACGCGGTGGCGTGCGCTTCTTTTGGGAGCGCTACGCTGATGATAAGGGCGGTCTGTTAGGTGATGACATGGGATTGGTGAGTTTTGTCCTCGCGCCAAGCTATGGGCTACATAATCTCATTGTACATCGCTGAATCCTCCTGCAGGGTAAGTTCTCCCCATATGAATATATCCGTCGACATGCCCACTCGCTATGCTCCAGGAAAAACAATACAAGTGATCTCGTTCCTCTCTGCCATCATGCAGAAGCATGGCGATGAGCGCGATATCGAGCGACGCCGTAAACATGTCTCAGACGTCCAGGACATAAGCAAGGACTGGAAGGAGCGCAGAATACTCCCTCCTGCGAATGCGACATGGCCCACTTGTTTGATTATTGCCCCCAGCAGCGTGGTGGGGAATTGGGAGAGGGAGTTTGAGACGGTGAGCGGCCCCGGCTCTAATCACCAGTAAAGAAACCTGATGAAATCTGCCCAGTGGGGCTACTTCGAAGTTGGGATGTATGTTGGTACACCCTCAGCGAGAGCAGATGTCCTGAACGACTTCAGAATGGGAAGACTGGACGTAGGTGAGGCTGAGCATTGTGTTGAAGTTTCCTCGGCTGGTACTCATATTCACTCTCTTGCCTCTGCCTATCTCCGTATCGCAGTTCTGACATCCTTCGATGTGGCTCGGCGAGACATAGAACTCCTTGACGAGCTGGCTTGGTCATGTGTCATCATTGACGAGGTTCATCGTGTGAAAAACCCAAATTCGAAGATCACAAAGGCATTCAGCCAGTTCGAATGTTCGATCCGGTTTGGACTTACCGGAACGGGTAGGCTCAAACATCATTCCTCAGCTTGTCTAGGATGGATTACTCATTGTGTGATGCTCACTAACAGCGATTCAGAACTCGTATTTGGAGCTATGGAACATTTTGAATTGGACAAATCCCGGCTTGGTGGGCACCAAAGGCCAATGGGAAGGATACGTCGTGAAACCTCTGACGGTCGGCCAGAGCAAGACTGCCTCGGACGAGGAGCACATGAAGGCTGCCGTGAGTAACGTGATTCCTATAAGAGCTCTTCTGTACCTGATTGGCCGCATAGCTTGTTGCAAAAATACTGAAGGAGAAGCTGCTACCGAAATTTTTCCTTCGAAGGTATGTATTGTTTTCGATCCCTGTTAGCGAAGTATCGATTGCGTGCTACATTCTCACAGGACCAAATTTATCATCAAAGATCAGGTATTTTTTGTTCAGGCAACCCGACTCAATGGCGGTCGCAGTGAACTGACGAATGTTTGGATTGAATCTTTAGCTTCCAAAGAAGATAGATGAAGTGGTATTCTGTCCATTAACTACGAAACAGACCGAAGTATATAAACGGATCATCAATATGGAAACCGTACAGAACCTCATACGGAAGGACGAGCCCTGTGACTGCGGTTCGAGAGAATCGTCAGTACCTTGATTTACACGCTCCGTGCACACGCTCAGCGTGCTCTTGCATGCAAAATATCACGAGCGACTCATCGCTGATTATTCGGGGCAGGCGGAAAAGGTGCTGTCACCCGTTTGACAAGGGTGACTTATTCAAGTATATGTCAACTCTGATCAAGGTCTCCAACCATCTCGCTCTGATCTTGCCCTGTTGAGTGCTTCCTATGCTCCGTCCGATCTAAAACTCACCGTATCTATCATTCTGTCGACTAGCTCCGACGGATACCGCCGAACAGGTGCCCTCTTCCAATCTATCACTGCGGGTTTTTCCTGACAATTGTGTGCTCCTTACTTTTTTGTGCTGTCTTTCCCAGACTGCTCGAAATCGAGAGTTGGCCCGGGTTGCATTCCAGGGCGAAGCTGTACCAAAGTACGGCCCTGCAATACTGACCCCACGCTTCTGCGGAAAATGGATGGTAATGTGGTCATTCAATAAGCATCTGTCTGACTTCTTCCTTATGTCAATTCACAGGTATTGGAGACATTGCTGGAGGAATGGAAGAAAGACTCAACTAATAAAGTCTTAATTTTCACGAAGTCAGTCAAATTACTGGAAATGCTGGAGTTCCACCTTGGGTCTCTTAGTAAGTGTACATCACCGTCATGTTCTCCATATCTGAATGTAATGTGCTTAGGCCTGGGCTTTGTAAAGCTAGACGGTTCTACAAAGCAGTCTGAACGTAAGTTTACGCTGTCTCTTGCTGGGGGATGACAACTGACGGCCGGATAGGTATGTCGATAATCGACAAGTTCCACGAAGACCCAGACATCGTTATTTTCTTGATATCCACGCTTGCGGGAGGAACCGGCCTTAACTTGACTGGAGCGAACAAAGTGGTTATCTTTGGCAAGTGGATTCATGCGTATATACGCAGGCGGGGTCACTGACCCACCGTCGTAGATCCCAACTGGAGTGGGTATGCCTCTCAATGTTGCGAAACTCACCCTTTTAATCCTCTTGTCTGTCTGTCCTAGATCCTGCGCATGATTTGCAAGCAATGGACCGTGCCTATCGCTTTGGCCAGACCAGGGATGTTTCTGTGTATCGGTTGTTGGGTGCAGGTTCCATTGAGGAGTTAATATACGCGCGCCAAGTCTACAAACAGCAACAGATGCTGGTCGGATATAATGCGAGTTTACAGACCAGGTGAGGCCCGTCCACGTCCGCTATGTATCTTCCTGTCTGACTCTTCTTGACGCCAGATATTTCGAAGGTGTTCAAGGTGAGAAAAACAAGCAGGGTGAACTGTTTGGGATGAAGAACATCTTCAAATTGCATGAGCATACATCGACCACGAAGATGGCGGTAAGTACGATTGAAAACTGTGCGATTAGATCAAACAACTCTCGATTCATATAGATTGAACGAGCGAGCCTTGTGGATCTTGATTGGGCTTTGGCACACTTAGACGCAAAGAAGAAGAGAAAATCAAGCCCTTCGGCCTCGCAATGGGTGTACGAGGCGGAGGCAAAAGGCGGCAAAGAATATGTGTGTTCTAAGATATTTGTCCGCAACTGTTGGAGTTTGACCATCATGCATTCACAGGGAGATCTTAGTGGTCTCGGTGCATTACTTCTGGACGATAGTCAGTCCTCCTCTCCACACGTTGACCGTTAACTCACTCGATTTCTCGCGTAGGTACGCCGAAGCTCGATGACCAAAATTCAGATATCCAGAAGACACTGAACGACATCGGCATCAACTACACTCACCGAAACGAGGATCTTATCGCTGAGAGCGCCATTGAAGGACAACGACTACAAGCAATGATTGAGGTAAATTTCATCTTCTAATCGCATGCATTTGTTAAACACTATCATGTGTAGGAGAAGAAGAAGGCTAAGAAGAAAGCAAACATTCAACAGAAAGAGGCGGCGGACAAATCTCCGGAGCCCGAGTGGCCACCAAAGCGGAAGCATCACAAGCCTCCACTCACTCCTCGGGACAAGTAAGGTCATTCTCTCACATGCTATCCGGTACTCAAAGGGCCTTCAGGTTGTTTGCACGCCAGTTGGCCTTGATTCAATTAGGCATGATTAAGACTGCTTCTGATCTTTCTGGGTTCGCTCAGCAATTGTGAGTGTCTTGTCTTCACATGCTCGTCATCAGGAGAGTCATTCATGGGTATTGTAGTGCCAGGAAGACGCCGGAAGAACAGAACGATATATTAGCTCAGTTGGATGCACATGCGAAGAAACACCACATCTAGGTCATCGGGGGTGTCAGTGAAGTTCCGGTTCTGGCTGCAATGATCTATACATGCTCCCTCACATCATCCGGACAACTTAGTCGTACTGCTGTTGCGCTTTCGTTGTGACGTTCCGACCGTCGTGTGCTGTTAGTGTTGTAACGACCTGTACTATATACCACGTCCACCAGTATATCATGCATATATAATATACTTGAACAGAGTGCGGAAAGCGTCCTGATCGATGAGATTTCAATACGCACCGTCAAAGCCATCTCCGCCCCATTGGCCCATGCCCATACTCATGCCCATGTTAGAGTTCATGCCCGGGTTCATACCCATGTTCACTGCCATCCCCATGTTTCCCATTCCGTTCATACCCATCATGCCTTCTCCCATTCCACCATCCCACATCCCTCCCACAGTATCAACGAACTGTCCGTCGCCGTTCCCCATCCACCCCATTCCGGCACCCATGCCATTAACCATGCCCATTGCCCCTGGCACCTGCTGCATCTGACCTCCCTCGAAGCCAGAGAAACCGCCACCGCCTTGCGCGAAGCCCATCGCCTGTTGATTCACCGGCATGCCCAGGCCCATGGTGTTCATCCCCTGCATATTCCCCATGTTCATCCCACCCATGCCATTCATGCCGTTCATGCCGTTCATGCCATTCATGCCATTCATGCCGTTCATGCCATTCATGCCGTTCATGCCATTCATGCCGTTCATGCCGACCATGTTGACATTCATACCCATGTCAGGCCACATCATACCCATGTCCGCCGCTCCTGCGAGTGTGTTCATGCCCATCAAGGGTTGGCCCATCATCCTGTTGGAACTGTTGAACCCGCTGCGATTCCCGGAGCCCGTATTACTGCCCATCGGCACCGCCACGGACATGCCCATAGCCATCGGAGTTGCGCTGGGTGCTGCGCCAGCGCCCATGCCCATACTTGGATTCGCAGGCCCACCACGTACCGGCGACTTAGGCCGCAGCGCGTCGATTTCTGTTAAGACGTATTAGTACTCGCATCACGTCCAATCAGGAAATTGTCAACGGCGTGCTGGCCCCGAGGATATTTTCTTTTTTAGACAAACCTGGTGTCATGGGCACAACGGCCTTGCCTCCGTTTGCGAGCTCCTTGATACGGGCTTCCCATGTCTCCCTGTCCCACTTAACTGCGGTCTCCTGAGGGTCCACGGAGACCTCGACCTCCATTTTGTGTGCTATTCGCTCTTCTTCGCCTTCTGCAAGAGCGGTCACCCAACCCCGACGTGTCGTCCGCGCACGCCCAAATATTTCCAGCCTCCGTAAGCCGAGGCAAAAGTTCTCGATCAGCGTGTACATCTCTGGAGGTTTGAGTGTTGGGTCGGAGGCATCGCCTTCCCAAATCATAACATCGGTGTCTAGATCGTGCGTGCACAGATGGTTAATTTTCACATTCTGATGATTCCGATCGTGCTTACCGACGTTGCAGTGCACGAACCAGCTGTCCGTTGAGCGCCGAACCGTGCCACGAATACCCATGAGACAGTGCTGTTTTGTCCGCGTGAGTAACGAAGTAGTGGGTGGATCTGTCTACATGCAGAGATATCGAAAATCAGATGATGGATCTGTGTGTGAAGAGGGCACTCACTCCCGGCCCCCGGTTACTCGTGTTATTAGTCTTGACCCAGACGATATCCTCGCATCGCCTGAAGCCCCATTTCGCCATCACCTCTCTACCACGCTCTAGTCCCTCACCAGCGCCGCTACCGACCCACATCAACACGAAGGAAGGGTCGGCGGCCAGCGCCGGAATTGGAAGTTCTTGGAGGTCGTCCCATGTGAAGGACGAAGAGAACGGCGGATCTATGAGAATAGCATCGAATTTCGAAGGATGGAGAGACGACAGCTCGGAGAATGATAAATAGGTCGGAGGAAGTGTGTGTGCGGCGACTGAGGCTTTCTTTAGGGCGAGAAGTCTCTGCTGCTTCGGATATCTATAATAATGGACAACATTGTACGTCAGACTCTGCAACTTTGCGAGCGCTATAAATATGGTACGATGACGAACTCTTCGAAGCGATGTTCGGGGTGGGCGCCAAGCACCCAGTTCTGAGGCCACTCCCCTCCGTCCACGTATCTCTGCGAATAGTCATTTCTGATAGTCTCCTCTTCTGGCACGTAATTCGGGTATCGCGCAACTCGCGCACGCTTGGCTGGTGGCAAATCTGGCCTATTCGGCCTCGGTTTCGTAGGTAGTGTTGGAGAAGAAGTTGGTGAGGGTGCAGGAGAACGAGGTGGAGACGGCATTAATGGATGATTTACCAAACCAACAGGTGGTGAAGCCAGTGACCTGAGTTGCCGGCGATGGTGTTTCTGCGCTGCACGAATGCGAGACACCAATGCAGAATGAGCGGCCAACAACGCGTTGGCCGAAGCGACGCAGTCGTGTGCACTCATATCCACTCACACCTCTCCTAACAAGATTGTGTTGCACGAACGTACGGTTTCAAGTTCAGTGAATGGGTTCGACCTGTAAAGTCGGGATGCGAGTGAAACCGTGGATCCTTGTTACGCGAGATGACTCCAGGTTGTGACAGGATAGAGATGGCTTCACGCCGTGAACCCCAAGTATGCTCGTCTTCGAGTGGCAGAAGGTGAAGTTGTTCCGTGTGAGTCGCCGCCGCCGTACTTAGAGCTACATGCAAACTCCGTCGTGTAAGCCTGTAATTCCTATATACAGCAAATAAAGGGGTCAGTAATTGAAAGTTCCAGTCAGCAGATATGTCGGGCGACAGACTAGCGGAGTGGACGCTACAGTCAAGCGCCCAGAGTCGATCATATATGCATCATGTGATCTTCGGTGGAACAACTTTTGAGTGAGATTTATCGCCCCTCTGCACGACTGGTGTCGCGTGTTCAAGCCCCAACTTCCGCCATTATTACTCACCAGATTTGACTTGCTTGGACATGGGGAAGAAAACCGCCAAGTCAACGCGGAAGTTTGCAGCGAGTGGGCAACTGAAGAAAACCATCCAGGCGCGCCGAAAGTATCGTGATGTTCGCAAGAAGGCGGAGAAACGGAGGAGTGTTAAGGGCAACCAAAAGAATGATCCAGAGGACGTTGAAGACGAAGATTCTGAAGAGGAACTCGAGGAGAAATCTAACAAGTATGTGATTCTGTTTATCATCGTTGCATCGAGTCTGACTGAGGGCGTGCAAGGTTCAAGGGAATGTCAGTTGATGACTTCCTCGGCGGGGGTTTCATGGGCGGTGGTGACGGCGATGGGGTGCGTTGCTCTCTTAATAGTCCTTAGCCTTTGTGCTTGAACTGCACGCAGGAAATCGCGGAAGGATCTGACGAGGACGACAATGAAGACGCAGATTCAGACAACCAGTCCTTCGCCTCCGTGGACGATCTGGAGGGTGCGTGCGCCGCAGGACTAACAATCGCCGAGAAAACTAACTCGGTACGTACAATACAGACGGAGAAGCTCATCTAGTAGAGTTATCAAAACTCGCGGAGAACGATCCAGAGTTCTACAAGTATCTCCAAGAGAACGACCGTGAACTACTCGAGTTCAACCCTGACGGCGTGGACGTTGACGAACTTGAAGATGAGGACAAGGGTATGGAGGAGGACAAAGTGCCAGTGCTCACCAAACAAATATTGCGAAAATGGCAGAAGGCTCTGCTCGAGGTACGAGTACCGTGGGATTCACAAGAGATAGCGCTGCTCACCACTTATTATCAGCAACGGTCTCTCCGAGCTTTGCGAAAATTACTGATAGCGTTTCGTTCCGCCGTGCACATGAATGAGGAGGATCAGGTACTAGTATGGGGCATTGACAGTTCTTCTGGTATGCTTTCCCTCCTTCGTGTAGCAATTTACCAACCTTGGTTTACCAGTATACAATAAGCTAGTGACAACAGCGCTCAAATACACACCCGTAGTCCTGGAGCATCACTGTCCTTACAAGACTCTCGCGAGCGGAAAGTTGTGCGTTCAAGCTTTTCGATATTTTCTAAAAACTAATTCGTCTTCGAAGCAAAGCACCTATACAGACGCAAAAGTGGAAGACCTTGCAGAAACTCATACTTTCCTACTTTCATAATGTGATGCACTTACTCTCACAACTTACTGAAAATGACATGCTGCGGCTCGCGGTGTCAGAGAGTGCGAAATTAGTCCCTTACATTACTAGCAGCCGAAAAGCTGTGAAAGTACATCTCAAGGTGCGGAACCGTGAAACCCTCACCTCTCTGTTGTGAAAATTCACCACTGCATCGTCAGACCTGCCTGGATCTTTGGTCTACTGCAGAGGACAGCGTCCGGATAGCTGCATTTGTCGCCGTGCGAAAGCTTGCGTTAGCGACAGACGAGTCTATCATGGACATGGTGCTTAAGGTGAGCTTGTGCCATATTAATTGCTATATATCTTGCGTCTAACTTTTTGTCTCCAGAATACCTATCTCATTCTCGTGCGCTCGTGCAAATCCACAAGTGCCCATACGCTGCCGTCCATCAATCTCATGAAGAACTCGGCTTCAGAGATCTACTGCATAGACCATGCGACAGCGTATCAACACGCTTTTGGGTATATACGCCAGCTTGCTATCCATCTACGAAATAGCATGAAAGTGAAGAGCAAGGTACGTATGTTGCCAAAACGTCCCGCATTCATTGTGAGCATGAGGGTTCCTAGGATGCCTACAAGCAAGTGTATAATTGGCAATATGTGCACTGCCTTGATTTCTGGGCGATGGTCTTAGCAAGATCTTGTGACAACCAAGTACTGGTTGAAAGACGCGGAGAAGAAAGTGAACTCAAGGCACTGATCTACCCTCTTGTACAAGTGTCTCTTGGAGCTATCAAGTACGTCGTGGTCACACCATTCAGACGACCTCGTTGACCGTCATGTCCCTCGTTTTGGCAGACTCATCCGCAATGCCCGATCATATCCCTTCCACTTCCACTTGATCCGATCACTACTTCACCTGACCCGCCACACCCAAACATACGTCCCACTCGCGCCGTATCTCCTTCCCATCCTCACCTCCACCCTCTGCGGGTCCTCAAAGCCCAAAGCGTCCACATTGCGACCGTTTGACTTCGATACCAATATCCGCGCTCCACAGCAATATCTGAAGACTCGCGTGTATAACGAGGGACTCTCGGAGGAGTGCGTTTATCTCCTGGCGGAATACCTGGCAAGCGAACCGGTGCAGGGAAGCATCGCCTTTCCTGAGGTCACCGTTCCGCTCGTGATCATGCTCAAGAAAACCATTAAGACCGCGAAGTTGTCCTCGTGGAAGGCTAAAGAGGCCGGCCTGGCGAAGGGTCTCGTGGAGCGCATCGAAGAGAGTGCGAAGTGGGTGGAGCAGAAGCGGAATGGCGTGTCGTTCGCTCCGGGACGCATGGGCGAGGTGGAAGCCTGGGAACACGACGTCAAGGTTGAGGACTCGCCTTTGGCCAAGTATGTAAAAGTGCAGAGAAAAGCCCGAGAGAAGCGGCGGAAGTTGGTCGAAAAGGTACGTTGCTCAATTTCATCACGGGACTCATTGTTCATACGGACTTCCGTGCTGTAGGCTAGGGAGGGTGAGGACGAGATATTGGAAGATTGAAATTCTCCGCCATGCATAGCATACATCCTGGTGCGCTTACTCATAGTCACCTTCTCCCTGCTTCGTCCTCATGCACACGGTCTGACCGCATGTGTCTCGTATAGTCGCCGGGGAATCTTTGGAACTTCCAACGGTTCCGCTTATCGCATGCATCGATGTCGTCGGTTCGTCGACATGCCAAAGGGTTTCTCTCGCGTTCGCGAGTGCTTCTCCCGCGAAGCTTGAACTTTGCGAATGAACGAGAAGAATCCTGACAATTACATGCGTACCATTCCGGATCCTTAGTTCCCACCACCAGAGAAGAGACTGGAAATTCTGCGCTCATATTTGACCGTTCTCACACTGCACAAATCACGTACAGACATGCGTGAAATACGAGAGAACGTGGACGTTCGTTACAGATCAAGTTCGAGTCTTGCAGTGTGCTGATCTGCCTAGAAACACCGGAAGTGCACTATCAGCATATCATTTTCCAACGATGGTCCACGTCCATGTGACAACTTGCCTTGACAAGTCGCAGCTACTGCCATGAGCATTACCAGATGTTGAAGAATATCTTCCACCACGGACGGCGAATTCCCTTCGCGCTCTTGTCGAACGCTTCAAGCAGTCGAGTGTAATGATGAGGCATCGACGCAGGCTGCAGCATCTTCTCGCTCAACGAAAACTGCGCGGACATCAGGCAAATTGCTTCACGCGCATGTCTGCCAAAATCTCACCCTCTTCTGATACACATTATCTTGCAACTCACGCGCTGCCTCCACCGCCTGAGGGGTCAGATTAGGATGATCTGACAGCGACTGAAGGAATGTCTTCAGCTGAATATTCGGGCGAAATGGGTCGCCAGGCCATGCTGCAGCAATGCGGTGCAATTGCTGGCCATATTTTGTGGTGTTGCGTATCATCGAGGATTAGTATTGCGGAGTTTGAAATTGGAAGTTGTAGTCATGACGTCCAAATTGGGAAACAATTTTTCTCAGAGACTCGGCGACGGTTGCTCGACTTCCTCCTTGTTGTGTCATATCGCGGCCCTTAATTCATGCTTATTTACACCGCTCAGCTGTACATTGAGAATAACATCATGCGAGGCTACGTCGACTGAATGGTGTGCCAACGGAATCGGCAACAAGCTCAATGCAAGTGCGAAATTTTTCCAAGCCTCAGGGCGATGACGAGCAATTGCAATGGATCGCATGGATTGCTCCCACTAGGAGAAAATCGTGAAGCAAAGCGCTCCAAATTGTTTGCAAATCTATGGCCTAGCAGACGTAATGTCCGCATTCTCTGTTTGGCAGTCGTCCGAGAATCGGTCTCACAGTGGGCGACTGCCCGCTCTGCAGAATCTGCATGCGCATGCATGATTGGCAATTCTGATGTAAGTCAGCTTCAAGTAGTCCAACCCCAGGTCTCAGCAACTATGTTTTCTCCTTCCGAGAAAAAGGTTGTACATTCCTGGACAAAGAATCCTTGTGATACCGAGGGACACTGCGCGTGCGGGAGCCATTGATCTGTTGCTCATATAGCTTGGCATAGTTTCAACTCTCACAGCAAGAATCATATCGTTAGGCCCATGGTCAAAAAGTTATGCACAGGCGGCCTTTGGGCGGTGAAGAAAAAAGATCCTGATAGGTGGGACCTTACCCTTCGCATCTCGCCGGGATGCAGGGACATGGCGGACGCAAGCGGCAGATTTCGCAGTCCGCACTGTGAACGGTTCTCAATTGGAGGGGCCTATCGATATGATTCTTGCTGCAATCATTTGCTCCTCATGCAGAGACATGATTACTCCTCAAAAGGAGAAACTCTCATGACAAATGATGCTCTGGTTCGGTGGTGTTTGAAACGGAAGACACACGCGACTCCGCCATCCATCGTAGGAGTCTGATTTGTTTTCTTGTGAACTCAGGCGAAATATGTACAGCCTGTGAGGGTGAGTGCCTGCCTAGTATCCCATGCATGTCAGTGATCTCGTTCAACTGCATAACCCTGAAAGCACCAGGTAGGACATCCACATCTGTGTTTATGAAAGCAAGTTGACCTTCATGACCTAGGCGAAGCAACCGTCGCGATATTTCCGGACTCTCAACATTAACTGTCAATGTGTCACGCTTTTTTTGATGACGGGCTTCATGTTGGGGCCAACGGGTTCAGAGATCCCGGACTTCCGTGAAGGCGTGGTCGCTACTTCGAGCTTTCAATTTGACTGATGTCGCAATTTCCCAGTCTCTGGAGCATTGGATTGAATTCTAGCTGATCTCGTTCGGATTCACAGTCCACGACAACTATATCAACTCCTGCAACGATCGCTGCATTAGCATTTAAGGGTAATGTTATAGAACTTGTTTCGGGTCTGTCGATCCCATGGTGGCTCTTCAAGTGTACACGTCAGTATTCAACTTGTCTCCCCGGTCTTTATTGCTAGGCGCAATGCGGAGACTTCGGGAAGTTTCCGAAGGAGTTCCGTGCTGTGTGTGATACGCGCGGATATCGATGTGATCTGCGCTCCTCTGGAGTTTGCTTTGAATATTCTCGAGCGGACAGGATTTCTACCGGCGTACGGAAAGCCCACGGGCAAAGTACTCATCTATTGAAACAGACTATGGATTCAATTCTTTAAGGTTCCGTTCATTATCTCACTAGTTTCCGCTGTGTTTGCGTCCGTGTTCTACAGCTGAATGCCGTTGAGAAGATTTCCGCAGTCTATTTAATGTCTGGTGGGGTAGTGAACAGGCGAGAAGATCTCATACTTTTTGCTGGCCTTTGTGTCGGTTAGCCCTTCCGGAAAAACAATGCCAAGTCGTCATCAGTGTACAATTCACATGACGCCAACATCTCCTTCGCATTCTTGTAGTCATCACGGTGCGGACGTACCTCCTATCCTTCTACTAACGTCCATGGAGTGATGTTTCTTATTGACCTCCAGGCAGGAACTTCCGAACCTTCCGGCGTTCTGTGGACGTCACCTTCCCAGCCACCCGTGACAGAGAAGCTCAATGGCTGATTTTCTGCCGCATTAATTTATGGGTAGCAAACAAGATAGGTCAACAGTATCACATTCTGTTTATAGCATTTCATCCGGAAGTGACGGCCAGGCCGCCTATCTTTACTGAAGGTACGTCCTCGCGTTCACACAACGTGCATGCGCCTTCCCATGCAGGAATTTGTTTTATTTCCTCGCTGTGACCCGTGCACCGTGTGTTTTTTTCCCATCAAATACTGATGTCAGAGTTGAGATAGAAGCAATTCATTGAGAATCCGACTGAATGCAGAGAGTACTCCATGAGGCCCGACTGGTTCAGACCGATGTAGATCCTACTTTACTCGTAGACATCCTGTATCGGGGTCGCTCACCTGGTTAGACCGATTCCTCAAAGGTGCGTTGTGCCGCCCGCGGATTCGGGTGTCTTCACTTACGGATTACAGCCGCTTGATAACTCCCGGGGTAAATTGGTCATCCTGGATGTCTTCTCGCCACCTCCACCTAGTGCTCTCGTTTCCAGTATGATCAAAGATGCTGTGTAGGACCAGCTCTTTTGTCGGAGTAAGCAGGCCAATTTGTCACCTTTCATCGTCAACGCGATCGATTTAATGTAAGAGCCACAGTCCCAAGGCACCTGTCAATCATTAGAAACTGGGTGTCTGTGCTTCCTTCGCATCTCCCCCGACAGCGAAACTTCGTATAGTTGACTCACTGCAAATATTCGCATTTCGGACATAAGAGAGCTCCAATGAGATCTTATTCTCACGGATCAGTAAGCAGCGCCGTCGAGAATTACAGCCGAATTCCCTGTGGACTTAATGCGTATCTCATACACCAGACAGGGATTTTATTATGTCCGTGATACTTAAGTCATCTTCCTCACCATCCTCTGGCAGGCTTTACTCTCATAACAGGTAAGTTCTAATACCTTCCCGATCAGCTTCTGTTGATGTCCTTCATTATCAGTATGGGCAAGCACAAAGCGTTAATCCGCCGGTGTGGTGTGTCACCTTGAAGCTCGGTAGAGGCAACGACTCCAGTTCAACAAACTTTGTTTCTGCGAATCAGGCTCTTGCTTTAGATGGAACGCGACAAGATTGCCCCACATTACGAACATGAAATTCCAATTAGCCATTCATTTCACAATCGGACGACACTACTCTATCTCCATTCGATCGAGCATGGTTACTCCCACCCCAGATGCTACCCTAGGTATCCCGGAGAATTCTCACTGGCCAAGATGCCGAGCTGTAGGTTTGCCCTCCTAACTCCGGTCAATGATCTAACCTTCTACCATTAGGGCACGACTTATCGAGCTTAATGCGGTATGCACAGATTCATACCGATGCAATTTACCAGCAACTTGCACAAATTTACCCAATCGTGGCCTCGGAGTGTCCCCGAGCGCACTCCGCGATACTTCACCAGATCGATCCCTTACGTCTTCGCAGAGACATCCTTACGTTACCCGGTCTACACTACTCGGTAGTATCCGACCTCAGTGGTGAGTCGCTGGGAAGAGATCTTATCGTTTAAATCTTCCACTTACCATGAGGTCTTCACGAGACCACAGATTGAGAACTGAAGCATCTTAGGCCTAAAGGGCACTGTGGTGCAAACCCTCATCGATCATCACTGGCACCTTACGGCCTTTCGTTTCTTACAGATGGGCTGTCGGTGTGTCAATCCGTTATCCTGTGTGATGGGCTGGCCCCGGGTTTTCTAACCCTGCACTGCGGAACCATGGAATGCCGACTATGCCGCAAGACCCGTATACGTACAGCGATGGTCGTGTACATCCAGCGGGCGATCGCCACATGTCGAAAGGTGCGCTTTTATATTTTATTTCATCTCCTGTAGCTCAATGTCCCAAATTGCGCTAGATCCTGACACCACCTATTGGGAGCGAAGGCACCAGGAGCACATCACAAATCCCCGAGGTACCGACTGTCGCACAAGCCGAACACCGATGTCGTAACTCTTTGGGCATATTAATATGCTCTTCTCTTTTGGTCTTCTCCTTGTTGCCCTGAATTTGCTTTATGTGCTTAAACGTTGGAATTTCCGGGACCCTGCCATTTCCCAGGCTTGCATATTTGCTGGCTGAGGCGTCAGCAGCTGATCTTTGTTCCGTGATGCAGCCGGGTCTGCAGTCTTGTGAGGGTACTCCGGATCATAATGACCTTCGAACTCTTCTTCCACCTAATGTTCAGGCTGAAGTGCAGTCAGATGTTGACAAGGTAGCCTGCCAAGATATTGACGTCGTGCGCGTCACAATGTTGCAGTGCGGTACGGCATTGCTCATATGCAAGTGGCTCCATACGCGGAACACCAGTGGATGCAGGATGCTGTTCTCGTGAGAGATTTTTCTCTGACGTGATCCTATATAGGTTCTCATTCGTCCCAGGTGCGTGGCTGTGTCTTCCTTACGTTGAGGCGTTCCACACTAATGCAATGCATTATTACATAGGCACTGCTAGTTCCTGGATTCAGGCCACTGTAACACTCCATGCATGAGATGGCGAACTAGCTCGGCGCCTGGTCTGACACAAGTACAGAGAAGTGACTGCCACCAACATGTGCCGTCCCCCTGCTTATCTCCGGTGCATGACGGCGAAGATGCCGCCAATGGCTACTGCACACCACTGTCGGACTGCGCCCGGCCGTGGACAGTGCGAGCAGAAGGAGCTAATAACTCAGGAGAGGGGCGCTGACGTCTTGTCGTGAAAACACTCGGCAGCAGCGTCCGCCGGTGACGCGTTCGCGATGTCCTGCAGCTCAAAAAAATTGTGCAAGTCATCCGGAAGAGAAGACATGCCATTACTACTGTGCGACGATGTGAGCCTTCTCCGAGCCAGCGTTTGCGGTTTGATGTCCGGCCCGACGTGGTTGACGCCTGTAGGCTGCAGGTCGCACCAAGTCAGCGTCAGTGCGTTCTGACGTATGCATACAGGTTCCTGCATGATTTTGAAGCCGGGCTGCGATTCGCCGACTTCGAGCTCGCCTGCAAATGGGGGATGCTCGCGGTGATCGCTGTTCACCCTCGGTCCGCATGTTCGTGGAGCAGGTTCATCGCGCCGCATCTGACGCACATGGTGTGCGCTACGCCTATATCGGCTTCCTCAGCGCGGCACTGGCTAATCTGCTATGTTTGCGGATTGACGACCATGCTAAGCCATTCGAGGCTGAGTTGAGCGTTCTCCGTAGCCATACGAACACGCCTGCACTGCAGGGCCTTAGGCAATTGGATGCTAACGGCCAGGAACCTGTGACACTTGCGTCATCGGCTAATCCGCTGCCCAGAATACAGATATTCACCCACGTCGGTGTCTATCGCCAAGTGTCTCAACGATGCTTGCAGCTGAGTCTTGTTCGAAATTGGGACGCAGGGTCCCAGGAAATTTCAAAGCTTCAGTCGAGTAGCATCAGGCTAGACTGCGCACGTACATCGCTCTCCACTAAAATTATTCACCGGTGCATTTAGTTGCTGAGAGTCTGAGGGCCCGATGGCTGTGACTGAGCATGATTGAGCCCGGCTCTGCACTGTCCCGAATTCTAACTTCACTCCGCCGAACTCCGACTCCGATCAGCGACTCTTCAGTCACGCATCGCGGTTGACGTAGGCTGTCCACAACTGAACGTTCTATTTTCCGACGTAAAATTTACACTCTGGAGTGCAGATTGAAGAGGCGACTCTGACTCAATTTCTGTGAATTTGACTTACAGTGCTCGGCGAGCTGCGCACGTTTCCTGAGCGGCACATCGTCTGGGACAGACCAGACTGCGCGCTGTAGCTTGGCAATTTTTGCAAAAATCTCGTGAGTTTTGCGCGAGCCGGGGTTGGACCGTGTGGGTTGCGGAAGGTCGGGAACGGATTTCGCATCAATAGATGCGCAGTCCGGGCTTGGAGAAAATATGATCAAGTGCTACATTATTACCTGCTTATCGATTTACGCATTGGAAAAAAAGATTGACTTTCGGCGAGGAGCACATGGAATCATGGTTACCTAGGGCGATGTACACGTACCTGGCAATTTTTACCGTGATGCTCCTCTGCCGGTAACTCCTCCTACCAGACTTCTCGGCAAACGGCGTAGTTGTCCCTAACTTGGGCGACAAGGAACTGGCTCGTCCGTCTAATCCCGTGTGGGTGATTCTCAGAAGAGAAGCGGGTGCGTGCGTAAGAGAGTCGGTGAGTCGGTGCCTGTTCTGGCGTCAATGCGGTGTCGGAACAAACTCAAATCGAGAGACCGCGGAGTATACATGATGGTTCATATGTTTTTTTTTGTCCAACTCAAGCAACATACGGCGTTTGCCAGAGTGGACGCTCGGACGACTCCGCCGCTGAGCAATCGATCGGTTTGGCGGTCTTCATTCATAATATTTATCACGCCCAGGTGCATATAAAGCGTCGCATTTTCTCTGGACATGAGCTCATCCCGACTGCGCCCTCTCCACCATGGACACCCCAACAACGTCCCCTACAACGCGCCCCAGCTTGGCAGACATCTCTCTCCACACCTTGTACAAGCTCCTCGAGCCCATAACGGTGCCTGCCGGTCAACCTCGAGCCAGTTTCATCAACTGGGGACTCAGCTTCAGATGCTCTCCTTTGGCCGTGTTCGAACCTGAGAACGAGTACCAATGCGAACTCATCTTCGAGCTCGTCAGGCGGGAAGGTAAGACGGTGCGTGCCGCAGGCATCGGCCACAGTCCGAGCGACCTTGCATGCACGGCGGACTATATGCTGCGAACCGAGAAGTTAAACAAGATCATCGAGGTGCGTATCATCCTTATCTTATTTGCTGCTATTTTGCTGTCGCAATATCTCGCCGCCATGGCGAAGGAGATCTCCGCTCGCGATCCGGATGACTCGTTTTCGATCTCTTCATCTAGTCAGGCACTGCACTGACCATCCTGCGTCGGCAGATCAATACCGAGAAGAATTATGTCGTTGCCCAGGGTGGCATCATCCTCCAGTCCCTGCACGATGCCCTGGAGGCGCACAACTTAGCCATGATCAATCTCGGTTCGATATCGGACCAAAGTCTTGCGGGCGTAGTCACAACCGCGACCCATGGTTCCGGCATGTCTTACAAAGTCCTCTCGACACATGTCCTGTCATTGGTCCTCCTCCTCGCAGACGGGTCGCGTGTTCTATGCTCCCACCAGGAGCGCCCCGACCTGTTCACGGCATCGCTCTGCGGCCTGGGAAGCACTGGGCTCATCCTAGAGATCCGGCTAGAAGTTGAGCGCGCCTTCCGCTTGAAGGAGGTGCAGGAGATGCGCGCGTTCGACGAGGTCGTGTCGGACGTCGATGCTATTGCCACGGCAGCGGAGCACGTACGCCTCTGGTGGTTCCCCCAGGCGGGCGTCGTACGAGTGTGCTCTGCGAATAGAACATCAGAGGTGTGTCCCGCAGCGTTGGGACGCGCCCGGAAGGCTGACCCGGTCCGTGTGTCATAGGCGAAGAGGCCTGTCGCTACCTGGCTGTGGCATTCGATAATTGGATACCATCTGCTGCAATTTCTGTTCTTCCTTGGGCGGTACATCACGTCACTGAATCCGTGGATCGGCCGATTTGGTGCTTGGCTCGTCCGCGATAACGCAGTCGCCATCGACGACAGCTACCGCATCTTCAATGTTGATTGCAAGGCATGCACCTCAGCGCATGCTTGATGCTGTCGACTCCCGATGCTGACGACTTTGCCTGCAGTTCCCGCAATTCACAACGGAGTGGGCGATTCCATACGAGAATACGCGTGCGTGCCTTCGGGAGTTGCGAGCATGGCTGGACGAGGAGCATGCAGACCCGCATGGGCAGAGGCCTCATTTCCCTCTGGAGATCCGATTCAGTGATTCTGATGACATCTGGCTGAGCCCGAGCAGCGGCACCAAAACCTGCTGGGTAGGCATAGTTCAGTACAAGTGAGTGCCTGCAGCTCAATTACCGGTTTTGTGTGCTCATCCCTCTTCCAGACCTTATGGTCTCAATGTTCCGTATAGGAAGTTATTCGCGCGCTTCGAAGAGATCATGACGCGCCATGGGGGCAGACCACATTGGGCCAAGGCCCACGATCTCCGCCCTGATGATCTCCGCAGGCTCTACCCGCGCTTCGACGACTTCGTCAAAGTGCTCGAGGAAGTGGACCCCCGTGGAATGCTGCGCAACGCGTATGTGCAGCGTCATATCTTCGGAAAGGAGGGCCCCGAGTACGATGGAAGGGTCTTCAAACAACAACATCTTTGAGTATATCTATAAACAAGACGATGCGTTCTTTCTTGATACTTGCAGTAGCGCCCGTATAATGATACCCTTGTAATCTTTGTATAGCTGTAAGCCTTCAAGCTTTGTAATGCTGCTATCCGTTGTAGTAATGGGATAATAACGTGCCTGGCTTGCACAGTCCATTGACGGACAGTTGGAGTAAGTAATGACAACTCCGTGAAGGGCGCGCGAAAAGCGCTGACATATGAACAAGTGGACAAATGATACAGTCACCTATAATACACCTATGAGTTAACGTGCTGCTCCTTGGTTTCACAGGCCAAGCTGTTCCCTGATAATTTGCCTGACGATACGTTCATATTCCTGTGCAGTATCTGACAGTTAGGATCTCGCGGTGATGGAACGTGGATGACGTACCGCCTTATTATCACGATATAGTTTGCAACAATCAATATTTGCACCACTTTCGAGATTGGGTTCTGATAGTACTGCGCTCAGTACACAGCAGCGAACAGATCTATGATCCGTACCAGCCAACATCGAGATGACGCTCAAGATGACTTTCTCGACGCTCTGTACGGGACTCCACCGCTCTGACGCTTGCTCGTACATCGTGGGATCATCTCCAGGAGTGTGCAATATGGAAATGCAGACAGTCCCGTCAGGATAAACTGGCATAGGATCGATCAATTTCGCGGCGAAGTGTCGAAAAACCACGGCCTCTCATCGGCAGGTAGTAGGGACTCACTGTTCGGGTGGAACAGCGGGGGCTCGAACTTCATCTTGAATGGCGACAGGGGGTAGTCGGAGGGCTATCGCGCGAGAGTAAGCCCAAAGCCACCCAAATTGGGCGCGAGGCACGTACAAAAGTGAGCTTGGCAGCAAATACGCCGCCTTCGAAGGGTGTGTCCTTGGGGCCAACAATCAGCGCTTCCCAGGTAAAAAAGTCGGATTCAGAGATGGGCCCTTCGATGATAGAAATCCAGACGATCAGCGCCTTCATGGAACTAAGAACAGCTAGGCCATACCGGCGGTGAACATCCCATCCGGCGCGCCTGGCATGGCAAGTGAATAGTCAGGATGTGGCACTACAGCAGTGCAGACGAGGGCTAGAGATTACCTTGCGAAGTTAGCTGCTTGTACTCTGTCATAAGCCGCCGAAGAGCGGTAGCACTTCCGCTTCGCGCAGCCATGCTGTATCGAACAGAACGTGGAGCGAGAACAAGTCGTCGCAGGCGCCCACACTAGTTCAGGCAACTGCATCCAGCGGATCAGCGGCCCGGGTTATCTCAGCTGTCGCTCGGGACCCATATGTCAAGTCAAGATGCAACTCAACGACTCCGTGTGATCATCATCCAATTTTTCTATCTCGTGTTGCCCTATCCAGTACAAGAACCTCGAGCTCAATCAGACAAGGCGTTTTGCATGAAGCCAAGAACCCGTTACGTAGAAGGCCGTCCGCGCCCGAACGACTCTCACTCAGAAACAAAAATCGTAAATTCGGCGACTCAGCCAGTAGCCTGAGGTATGCCTTTCGTGAGGCGAAGGTTGACTGCAATGACTTGTCACTCGGAGGACAGTTTTACTATCCTCCGATCACCTTCCATGTAAGGTTATCACGCTGGGGTCTCATATCCTGTTGTCAGAAAAACTCTTTGTCGAGTGGGCATCCAGAAGCTCAGAAAGAGGATTTTAAGACACTTCCCTCTCTGCTATTTGCCTGTTGCGGCTGTTGGTAAGCCACCATTGCCTGTCGTGTCAGCACGGCCGATATCAACTTCCGAGAGTCAGCTCACCAATCTGTCACGATACAGCGACAGCTCCGTGCATTCCTTGCTTCTGAGCGTGGTTTACAGATCCGAAGAGCATGGGTCATGACAAAAATTTATCATCTTCTATTGCAAGTTCGGCAGTTTTTGTGCATGACATTGGTTTGCACATCGGAGAATTTGTAAAATTTCTTGATACATCGTGCTTCGGGTACATGGAAGATAGGCCCGTGGTCTTCGTAAAAAATGCGTAAGGGAATAAGTTACTCGAATCCTCGCAGGGCAACGTGAATCATCAGGCATCATCTAGCACCAGACGTGGAACAACATTCATCGCCATCAACTAGTGGTGAAGCCATTCGTCTTGAGAGGATAGCCAGAAAAAAAGCATAGGGGGGACTCACTTCTTGGAACAATAACTTTGCAGCATAAGGTATCGTCAGTTGTGCCATTTTCTTGGAACTCTTGCAGTACGTGCACCAGCCGTTGTAGCCCATGAGGCCGCACTCTTGACACGCATTCACCTCGAACTTATCGGACGATATCATGAGACGTTCCAATAGCAGCTGCGTCGCTCCGTAGCCGATAAGACAGTCGCGTTCCATTTCGCCAAGGCGGAGACCGCCCTCTCTTGAGCGACCTTCGGTAGGTTGTCGCGTCAAAGTTGCACGGGGCCCCCTGAGTGAATAGAAGACATGAAACATGACCGTCAGGATGAAATATGAACGCAGATACAACACGGACCTTGCGCGAGCATGCATCTTGTCCATGACCATGTGCTCTGTCATTCAATAGCGGTCAGTACGCCACGCCTACAAAACATGGCCTAGAAAACGCACTGAGTTTCTGAATGCAGGCGCCGGATGTCAGCGCTCTGAGACCGGATCCAATGCATAACACTGACCTGATAGTAGATGGGCCCGAAGTAGACATATGCCTCCATGGGCTCGCCGGTGATGCCGCTCGTAAGCATGTCTTTGCCAGCGTAGCTGAATCCCTTCTCGATCAGAATTCGAGACATGTCTTCTACCTAGAATAGGCGAGGTCGACTGAGTAAATGCTCATAGTAATTGTCGGATGCCACGGACCTTGGATCCGCCGAATGCAGTACCATACTGTAGTTGACCAGCAAGAACACCTGCCTAACACCGAGGTCGCCATCTTGCACACCGTCCGGCAGACATAGACGCACCTTTCCTGCCAACAGCTCAATCATCTTCCCGACAGTCATTCGGGACGGGAAACCGTGTGGATTCATGATAGTGTCTGCGAGGGGCACATAGATAGGATTAACATCCGATAGCCCTGCCCAAGGGACCGACTTACCAGGCACTATGCCCTGGTCATTGAACGGCATGTCTTCCTGGTTAACAATGAGGCCACAGACGCCCTTCTGGCCGTGCCTCGACGAAAACTTGTCTCCGAGTTCCGGTCGCCGCGTTTGACGGATGAGAACCTTGATGAGCGTTTGATCGTTTTCCGTATCGCTGATCATAACCTTGTCTACGTAGCCCGCGACGGGGGACTTGTAAGTCATAGGGGCGTTCTTGTATGGCACGGCCGCAGCCTGGCCAGTGAAGGAGTTGTCGTTGGCATTTGTCGGCGTCTGTTTGTTGATATACACGTCCCCCGGGTCGACACGCTCCCCCACACCTGCAAGGCCGTCCGACTGAACAATATCGTACTTCTTCTGGATTTGGCCATTCTCGTCAACCGGAGCATCGGCCAGACGATCAAACCTGCGGTGAGAAGGTTATGAGCGCTCGCAAGAAGGTTCTTGATACGCACGTGCCGTTGGGGTACTTGCGAATGAGCGTGGCATTTTTGCGCAGGACCTGACACCTACCATATCCGCGATCGAGACTAGCCTGAGTGGAGGAAAAAAAAGAGAGAGTCACTCGAAGTATAACGCGGTGACAGCACTTGGCCTACCTTGTTCAAAATCAGTGCATCCTCGATGTCGTAGCCTGAGTAACTCATTACTGCCACGGTGGCGTTCTGTCCTGCAGGCAACCGGTCGTAACCAATGAGCTCGATCGTCTTTGTCTTGACCATCGGCTGCTGCGGATAGACGGATAGATAGAGAAGAGTATCAATCCTGTTTAATTGGTTGTATCCAATCGCGCCAATGGCTTGTTTACCCATGGCACATTGATAGGTATTGCGCGGCGACTGGTTGTGATGAGGATAAGGAATAAGACCCGCTACGGCGCCAAGCAGTGTAAATGGTTCGATTTCGAGGTGTGTGGTGCTGGGAACGATATCCTGCTCGTAGAGAGCGATAAAAGAGTCATTCTCCTCGTTGACATCGAGATATTCCACCAGACCCTTGCGAAGGAAATCATCGAAGGTCAGAAGCCCCTTCTTCAGTTCCTGTGGGAGTGCAGAAGCTCAGCACGAAAACTGATTGTAAAATATCCATATTCTATACCAAGATGTGATCGGACGTCACCCGTGGCCTTCCGTTTTCCACGATGATCATAGGACGGCAGATGCGCCCACCATCGCTTGCGATGAGCACCGTCCGATGATGGTGATTGATATACACGCTCACGAACTCGCTAAATCGGCCGGCACGGCGTAGCTTGCGGAAATTATTCACGAAGCGCGCTGGATACCGAGTAAGACCGATGATCGTCCCGTTCACGTTCACCACAAAGGTGTTCGGGCCATATATCTCGGTCCCAGTCGCTAGGCTGATGTCTACCGTACAGCGTCAGACACGTTGAAGAGATGGTGAGGAAATTGAGCGACCGACCTTCCACACCAAGCATGAATGCAATCCGGATAATTGGCTCTTCCTCGACGTCGGTTGTAATATGTGTCATTAACGCGAGATTTTTCACGAGACCGCATGCTTCGCCTTCGGGCGTGTCGCTGGGGCAGAGCATACCCCACTGACTGGGTTGCAGCGCGCGAGGACCGCTGACCTTGCGCGTCTTCTCGAACTGCGACGAAATGCGCGTCATCATGCCGAGCGCAGATATGAAGGACAGCCTGCTGAGAACATGCGTGACACCTGCGCGGTCCATCTTGAAGCGTTTAAGTGACCAGTTCCCTGTCGATATAGCACGCACGAACCCAGAGGTGATATGGTCCCCTTGAAACTGCATCGTGTTGAATGCATCAAACTCGCTAGTCCGCGACGGCTTCTTCAGTACCTTGTCTATCGCAGACTTCAGATTAGTGTTAAATGTCTTAAAGAGATCCTCGAACAGCAGAGCAAGCAGCTGTCCCGCTCTGAACGTCGGCATGAGCAAATAGCCTATTCACGTGTCGAATGACTCACAATTCGAGACGCTTATTACCCACATAATCCCGGTCATCGACCATCTTCTCGTCATCCATCGCCATGAGCACGCGCCTTGTCATAGTCGCAACGAAGATCGCCTTCGAGCGGAAGTTCAAGCCGTGAACGGGTACGTGCGCGAGGACGATCGTCGCTAGCGCCTCCAGCGCCTCTTCCCATGCCGGCCGCCGTGGACCTACCACCCGTCGGTTCACCTTCACCCTCGAGCCGATATACTCCAGCGCCTGCTGCCGCGTCAAGACGCCCAGCTTCGCGGCCTCCTCGAGGTTCGGTGAAAACGCTGACTTGTACGCCTCGTGGTTCCCCGCAGTCAACAGCAGGATCTCCTTGTCCGACTGGATCCCGAGCGCCTTCAGCGCAATCACGATGGGGACGTCTTCGTGTATCGAGTTGTGCCGCAGGTAGATTTTCCCCTTCTTCGTCGCGACGTACGTCTTCGACTTCAGACCACCGTGCGTTGACGACGTGCACGACGCCTGGACAATGCCCTTCGTCGGGTCGACCTCCACAATGATACGATTCTTGCTCAGCTGCTCCTGCACGAGGATGACCTTCTCCGTGCCCCTCACGATGAAGTACCCGCCCGGGTCGAGCGGACATTCCGTCATGCGTGCCAGCTGTGCCTCGTTGCGACCGGCAAGCACGCACTTGTTGCTCCGGAGCATGATGGGCAGCCGCCCAATGTTGACGTTCGCCCGGCGCACCACGGTCTTCCCGCGCGTGTATTGAATCGTGACAAGGATCGGCGCGCCATAGGTCGTATCCCGCAGTCGGCATTCGTGCGGAGTGACGCTCTTGTCAATCGCATCTGGATCCGTGCGGTCAGGGAATCCAACGACGATGTCCGTGTATTTGAGCCAGAAGCGGGGATCCACGTCCGAGGTGACCTTGTTATTCGCCTTCAAGATGTTCTTGATGTCCACGTCCACAAAATAATTGAAAGAGTCAATGTGTTGCTTCACAAGACCCTTGACTTTGAGAAAGGCAGGTAGCAGGAGCCATTTGTCCTGCATATTATGCTGTTCAAAACCGGACGCAGGTAACAGCATTTACTGACACACCTCTACGGTCTTGATTGGATCGGTCAGGCCAAGACCGCGCCAATTTGGCTGGTTCAGCGTATCCCAATCCTGTTCGTCCTCATCATGGCCTGTCATGACAGAAGAAAACAAAACAAGGACAGCAGAGTCATCAAGTTAAAGTCGATCTAGATCTAAACTCTGTGGCGAAGAAATCCCGCAGATTTGTAATCCTCGGTTAGCAAAGTTGCAGCGGAGTCAGTACAGTATACTAATGGTCCCTTTATATTTGTTTTTCCACGGTTAGTTTGTGTTACAATCCATGTAGACTTTATGTGCACGCGTTTTGCCGGCTCTTGGCCCCGCACAATCGATTCCAGACCAACATTTCCACCCTTATCCTCGACCACCATCACCGTCAAGAATGTCTAAACCTTCTACACCCGTGCCTCACAATTTGAACACACTTCTACTGCGGAGACAGCTGGCGGAGCTGACGAAGCGACCGGTTGAAGGCTTCTCAGCAGGTCAGTGGACCTTCCGTTCAGTGCATCGATCGCGCAAACGATACTTAGCAGCGCGCCCTTTTCATTTTGGTTTGCCTTTCGTGCTTATGAATGTGCTTTGATGTCGTCTTCGAAGGTCTTGTTGAAGATAACAATTTGTATGAGTGGGAGATCATGATTATTGGGTGGGTAGCTATGATTTTTTACACCTGAATTGATCCACTCATACCAGTGTAACGCCCTTATCAGGCCTCCGGATACACTATAGTGCGTGCTTCAGGAGTTGGTCCTATTTGTGCAGTTTGAACCGACCTGTGCTTAGTGAGGGGGGCTTCTTCAAAGCTCGCCTAAGTTTCCCGGAGGATTACCCTATTCAGCCACCAAAGATGCGGTTCCTCACTCAGATGTGGCATCCGAACAGTATGTGTTATTTACATAGTTCTTTACCCACTTGCTCATTCTCCCCTTTCGCGCCTTCAGTCTATCCAGATGGTAATGTCTGCATCTCCATCCTCGTATGTATCTCCGTCCTTGCTCACGATATTGAGGTTAATGTTCTGAACCTCTGCAGCACCCGCCTGGCGAAGATCAGTATGGTTATGAGGATTCGGGCGAACGATGGTTGCCTGTCCACACAGTCGAATCGATTGTATGTCGTGATCTACGCCAGTGCCGCATGTCCTTAAAATACTTTTTTCAACAGTTGTTGAGTGTGATCTCCCTCTTGTCATCGGACAAGCCCAATTTGGACAGTCCAGCAAACGTAGATGCCGCGAAGGAGGTACGGACTGACTTTGAGTGTACGTCTTTCTGCCATACCGGCTGCATCTCTCCTTTGTGCTCATTCAGGGCAACAGCTTATAGGAAGAAAGTCCGTCGTCTGGTCCGACGAAGCGCGGAAGAGGCATACGACTGATCGACGTATTACTTTTATCCATTCTTCCGTCCGGGCTCTTGTCATCGTTGTCATGTATTCTAATCACCTGCTCACCTGTCCTCCGACTCCCACTGTCGTCTACCTCTTCCGTGTACGTTCATCATCTTTACCCTTGCCTGCAGCTGCCCCAGGAGTTGTGTATCAGCGTTGTCACTGTTCCTCGCGCATCCAATGTACTAGCTCCATACAACCGAACTTTCCTGTTTTATATACGTTCATACCAACTCGCATTACCGTCGAATCTAAACAATGACTGATGTGTGCATGATGAGTTGATTCTATAATTATGAGCTTAAGACATTCCTAGACTTGGGCCGCCTAGTAGTCGTAGGCGGCCTACCTCAATCCGAACTACGAACTTGTGAGCGACATAATTTTCAGTATAATGAATGTAGCGTTAACGTTGCAGGGCCATGTAGACGACCTCAGCTGGCTGCTGAACAACGAGCCAACCTACCGATACTGTACTCTCCACAGCCCTTGCGCACCGTTAAGTTGATTTTTTTGGCAACCAACAGTTCTTACTTACCGTCATACAGTGCCGAACTGTGGATGTAGAGGCTCACATACATATGTTGCACGCCGCAACCACTTTGAAAACTCAGCTACTTAACCACTTCGATGGTTTCGTAGCGTGACCGTCAATGCCATGGTGAATTCTGTTCGGGCATATGCATTCTGCTAAACACTGCAGTCCAAGAAGGCGCCAATCTTGCATTCCAGCTCCGTCCACAGTAGCAACATCTTGACCTGCGAGTCATATCCAATCCCTACTTTACTGTGTCTCCGTTGGTGGTTCCATCCGTTGTCTCCGTGATTTCATTTTTCTGCAGAGGTTCCATCCCCATCAGCTGTACTAATCTTGCTACAATTGCCTCCACGAAGCCCTCGTCGTTAATATCGCGCTCATCCTCCACCACTTTCAATGCCGCGCCTTTAAGCCCATCTCGGAGTCCCTTGAAGAGTGCCTCATCTGCCTCCTGATCGTCAAACGGTCCCCCTCTCACGCTTAACGAGCTAACGCCCGCTCGAGGAACCCATATCTCGGTGCGCTTAGGGTCCGCATCCTTCAGCCGTTCCGCAATTTGCCCGCCCAGGATCGCACACTCCTGCGCATTAGTCCTCAGCAGTGTCATGCTTGGGTTATGCTCGAAAAGTCTCCGCTCGGAATACCGCTCTGGTACGGTGTCGCGCGGGCCAAAGTTCGCCATGTCTAGCGCGCCGACTGAGACGATCTGCGGGATGCGGGCTTTAGCTGCTGCAGTCAGCCGCTTTTCTCCTGCACTTAGAACGCCACCAAGAAGGGCGTCTGCAAGCTCCGTAGTGGTCAAGTCCAGGATCCCCGCGAAGAAGTTGGACGCGGCAAGTTGTTCGAGAGCGCGCCCTCCCGCACCCGTCGCATGAAAGACATATGTCGTGCAGGGGTAATTGGAGAGGATTGCGCGCGCGTGCGTTACCGCGGGCGTCGTTACGCCGAACATGGTGATCGCTATGCGCTTCGTGCCGGGGGATGCAGGGGACAAACCCGCATGTAAAGAGCCGGACAACTGGCGGGAGTGCTGAGCGCGGGCCATGCCAGCGATGGCTCCCGCAGCGTTATCAAGAATAGGACAGAGGACGTCGTTCAGCCCCGCAATGTCCACGACGCTGTGCATCATAACCAAGTCGGACTCGCCAACGTACGCGCGCACGTCGCCCCCTGCCATTGTGGATACTAGGAGCTTCGGGAAGCCCAGTGGAAGCGCGCCACGCATCACCTCCGCTGCGAGCGACGAGCCGCCGCTTCCCCCCAGCGCCATTGCGGCGTGTATGGCGTGTGTCTGGTAGAGGGATGCAACTACTGGGATGGTGTGTCGGATGAGCGTCGAGATCAGCTCTCCCCGCGGGAGCGACATCAGGTCAGCAGGAGGCAGCAGCCCCGAAGACGCGAATATTTCGGGCTGGCTGATGGCGATGGAGGGGTGCGACGCGGGGATACGACCGACGTCGAGGAGCTTGACCTGCACTCCATACTCCTGTATGATGCGGTCGTGCACATATACCAGTTCGTCCAGCTTCGTGTCACACGTGCCAATGAGGGCGACAGTCGGGATGGACGCAGCGGTGTTGGTCCCTGGCATGGTCAATACCCTGCTGGCTTGTTGGGAGAGGCCGTATACTCATGAGATGTCGTTCGAAGTAAGGTCACTAGTGCGAATCGTGACCTTCTCATAACACGGAGCATTAACGGAAAGAAAATAGCGCCTCTGCCCAGCAATTCCAATATGACGTCAGTGGTCCGCTTACCCTCCCAAGCAGCTGACTTGATTTTCCAGTGTTACGCCTGATCGATATAACGTACGAGATTCTCCCACAACCACCTTTCCTCCGTGCGATATCATGCCCCGTCCGATGAACAGGGAGGAGGCTCTGCAACGCCTGCGCGAGACGATCGCCTCCAGGAGCATCATCCTGGGCGCCGGTGCAGGTATGTTAGCTATAATACCACTCCTGAACATAGCATTTACCCACAGACACATTCCAGGCATCGGCCTGTCTGCTAAATTCATCGAGAAGGGTGGCGCAGACCTCATCGTGCTCTATAACAGCGGCCGCTTCCGTATGGCAGGCCGCGGTTCTCTCGCAGGTCTTATGCCATACGGAGACGCTAATGCAATAGTTCTCGAAATGGTGAGCCTATGTCCTTGCCACCGCCCCACGCGCTGATCGCCCCCATCTCCCCCAGGCAAACGAAGTCCTGCCGGTTGTCTCGCGCGCGGGTGTGCTCGCGGGCGTGTGCGGCACGGACCCATTCCGGTCGATGCCTCGCTTCCTGCGCACGCTCGCAGACGTCGGTTTCTGCGGCGTGCAGAACTTCCCGACCGTGGGCCTAATCGACGGCGTGTTCCGTCAGAATCTCGAGGAGACAGGGATGGGATACTCCCTGGAAGTCGACATGGTCCGCGAGGCGCACTCCATCGGGCTCCTCACGACCCCATACGTCTTCAATGTCGGCGACGCCGAGGCGATGACGCACGCCGGCGCGGACGTGCTTGTCGTCCACATGGGTCTGACCACGTCTGGCAGCATCGGCGCGGTCACGAGCGTCACATTGGACGACTGCGTGAGCTCGATTCAGGCGTGCAGAGACGCGGCGGTGAAGATCAATCCAGAAATCATTGTCCTCTGCCATGGCGGACCTATCGCCCGTGCGGAGGACGCGCACTATGTGCTCAGTAGAACGAAGGGGGTCCACGGGTTCTTCGGCGCGTCCAGCATGGAGCGTCTGCCGGCTGAGGTGGCGATCGAAGAAAACACGAAGGAGTTCAAGAAATTGCGACCTGGACAATAGGTACCTTTGTTTAGAATAAAAACTTGAGTGGGTCCTATGTCGGAGAGCCTGAGAGTATTCGTAACTACAATACTAACTGCAAGGATGTGCTACACGTCGGAGAAATTATGACACGTGACAGACGCGATCACGATTGCAACGCCGACGCGTCCATGTTGAAGCCACATTAAAGCCGGTACCGCGACGTATACCTACAACATGCCGGGTCCTCGAAACGCGAAGAAGAAAAAACAAACAAGAGATAAGAAAATTTCTAGGAGAAAGGCGAGCCGCCAATTAACCACCGAGCCTGCTCCACGACCGCTGGCGCCCCAGACGCCCCAAACACCTCAACCACGACTTAAAGCATCGGATGATATCCATATTAACCACCACGACCACGAAAAAGAGGAGAGACCAATTAACCACAAGGATGATGCACCCACACCTCACGCGTTGACGAAGACACTTTTCATCCACGACCCTGGCAACGGCCCGCGGGTGCGGGACGTCGACGCATTCCTCGCGTCCTCGTTCGCTGCGCCACCATCATTCGATGACCCCCTCTGCGCCGAGTTCGCACAGGACGAAGTGCTCGAAATGCTCTGTGCCGTCCTGCCAGAGGAGACAGCCCAGGTGCGTTCTAACAAGTTCGCTCGCACAACTCCGATGTGCATGCGTTATGTAGATCCTATGGTACAACAAAAGCCGTACAACGGCGCGGATATGTCCCGCATGCCAGCGCCTGTACCGCCTGGGTGACATCCTCCCGGACCCCGTCGCCGCGCAGGGAGAGCCAGACCCCGCATCGACATACATTTCCCCGCTACTCAGCCGCGAGCAAGCGCTGAGCGGGCTCTGTGCGTCTTCTACCTTCCTGCGTAAATAATGCCACCGACGCCTGCACCCAGGTTCACCAGTTTGCTTCGTCCTCGCGGCGTACAGCTATCCGGGCGCGATCCGCTCCACGTGGGGCCGCACGGCGGACGAGCTCAACGACGCGACATGGGACACGCTCGGCGGGCCCGGCGTTCGCGCGGACGAGGACGACATGGGCCTCGGCATGCTCCTCAAGATGACGCGCTGCCACGATTTGGGGCTGGCACAGCTGCTCTTCCCTGACCTCGACACGGACTGCGGTGATACGGACGAGTTGGATCACGGCCAGGGTCAGGGCCAAGGGGGGCTGCGTATGGGGCTGGAGCGGATGCGGGTGGGTCCGTGAGCGCAGGCCACGACTTGGGTCGTGATTATGATTGGACTGAGTTGGAAACCGAGCGTTCCAATGTCTTCTTGCTTATCTATGGGATTACAGATGGACTTTTGGTGGTCAAGGGTCTGTTTGCGAAAGCGAAGCCTGCTCGCGAGCGAGAATTTGGATAATGCTGTTTGCACTCTCACCGGTCTCTTGCCAGTGCTAGCGTATCCGGCAAGGCTCCTGATAATGTCAAAGAATGTACTATTTACTGGCTGTTACTACAGATTCTGCAGACTTGGCTTCAACTTTTTCTGATGTCTCTGAGAATTTGGGGGTCACGGTGTGTGCGTCGGATGCGTCCGTAATAATGACCCGCACGGCACGATGTCCCGGCATCCTTTGCATTCTCGTTAAAATAGAGAAAATCCCATCTCTAGCCACGGCTATCAAAGTTGATTTGCTCAGCATATATACCACGATGAGCGCGTTACATCGCAACTTGCCGATTGTACCTTCTTCTTACCATATCTAGTAACCCACTTTCCCCTTACAGCAAGACTCTGCAGCCGACATCATTTCCATTAATATTCTCTTTCTAAGTTAGAAACCAGAGCCCGATCGGAGTCGGAGTCGGAGAGGGAAGCATGTATATAGGGTGCACCGCACACCTTCGATTGGTTTTCGTGTACTCTCACTCCAATGCTTGCAACCGTAAAAGTTCTTATCGACTCGATTACTAGGCACAGTTGTAGTTTGGTCCGGCCGGTAAGTCAGTTGTTGTTCTAGTCAGCTATAAGCGAGAGTGATAAGTATCAGGCCCGAAGGTTGAAACTGAAGCAGACCGTCCGTTAGCCTGTCCACGCGGGACGATGATAAGTACGCTTCCAGTTTCGACCGGTGCCCGGCGAAGGAGTACGCTTGGCAGACGCATCTAAAATGGCCGAACAAGGGCTACTTCCTTGTATTGGCAACTTGTAATGCCTCCGTCGTAGATGGTGAGGCCGTGACTTTGATAAGGCAGCCCTCAGAGTCGTTTCAAGCTGGACGGGAAAATTGCCAAGACGAGAGTACTTACACCATGGGAGGATAATTCCATGGATTCCGATAGTATCCACATTCCATGCCAGCCATGCTTCGCCGCGAAGCTTGGGAGAAAACACAAGATAGAAGAACTTCGGCACTTCCTGCCCAGGGATAGCCCAGGGACCACTCTGATGTCTGTGCTAGAGCAAAAATAAGTACCTATCTTACCTCCTGAAGTCTTTATTGAATTTTTGCAAGCACCTATCCGTTGCAATTCTCTTCAAACAGGCCTTCGGGCGTGGCGGAGGAATAACTTGAAGTTCAAGCAGAACCATGCAATCGAGATGTCCACGTGGTGTATGCTCGCCTCTGCCCAAAAACGGGCACGATACCTTATCGCGTCTGCAAAGCGGGAACGTCCTCGGTTCTGTCATGTCTGCTTCCACTGGGGAGCGACCACTCACTCACTCACTCATCGTTACTTCCGTGTTGGCAGTCCCGACGCTTGGCCGCCCCCTCACTCCCGCACTCGCCTTTGCGCGGCTTATCCGCAACAGTCTCTTCCGCCACCTTCCAACCAACTGAAGCTCTCGGCCTCGACGATTTCGTCCTTACTTTGATTCCGCGACGAGACGACGCGGCGATCCCCCTGATCTATTTTTTTACTCGCCCCACTGTGCCGCCAGCGAACCGTTGTTGCTAGCTTAGTTGGGGATCGGTGATATTTATCTGAAACAGGACACCACTTCTATACCAGAGTGTTCCAAGAGCTCAAGTGACAACTGTTGGTTACCATAAGTCCTGTTCGCAGCGGGACAGCGAGTACTGACGGCCGAGGTTCATCACTGAAAAGCTGTGCTTCTGACTGTTGGCTCGCACGACAACTGCTTGGAGGAAGCGTCTACGGCGGGATCGATATGCCCCCTCTGTCACTGGCTATGTTGAAGCTGAAGCGCAACGCCACAGAGAAAGGTGTGTAGAGTTCCGGCGCCCCTTTCTGCTCGTTCCCGTGCCCGTCGTCTCTCCGAGCCGTGTATCCGCGCTCCGCTCGCGTCAGGAGGCAACGGGTACTTTTAAGGACCTCGTTTGAAAGGGGTGCAGCTCTTTCATCTTACCATGGCCGAATCTACCCAAGTAGATGCCATTGCCGTACTTCCTGCCTTGCAGGCCGACACCACTTCTGTCGAGACACTCGTGGGGTCCACGTGCGAAAAATCTATCGTTTCTCTGGCGCCTGAAGGGAAGGGCTCGGAGCTTACTTTTCCCCCAGACGAAGGAGTCCAAGTGCGCGAGGTCGAGGAGCCCGAGCAGACGTATCGGCTGTATAAATGGCGATGGGTCGGTCTGACAGCATTGGTCAGTCTCCTCATATTACCGTCTGCGGTGATTGCAGGCTTGACTCGGCGCATACAGGTGTTGTTGAATTTGGTATCGGGGATGTCTCTGGTGTGGTTTGGCCCCATAGCCAACGACGGTACGCTCCTCCGTATCATCATCTGCATGAACTACTTCCCTGAATGGATGCATGTCTGCCCTCCAGTGGTAAATCAGTTCGGGTTCACTCTTGACGAGGTGAACTGGCTGGGTAACGCGATTAACATCACGTACATACCCGCCTCGGCCGTCGTACCTTACCTGTATTCGCGAATAGGCATCCGCAAGGCGGTACGTTCTTTATCGTACCAATGAACTCTATTTCTTGTTCACTGACTCTCTCTCGAAGTGCTTTGTGGGCGCGGCCCTGTTCATCTCGTCTGCATGGATACGCTACTGTGGGACGATTCATGGACTCAGTGTGGGCGGGGCATATGCGCTGATTCTCGTTGGACAGGTGAGTTCCCCATCACACAGGTTTTATTATGAAGCGACCAATAATTTTCTAGATTATCGCAGGAGTGGCACAGCCTGTGTTTCAAGTGCTCATCCCAAGCTACTCGGAAAAGTGGTTCGATCTCAAGGGGCGGACTACTGCAACTATGCTCATCTCGATAGGTAAGCGACGGGCCACTCCCGGTTCTCATGAATGGCTCAAACTACGAACTGGCCGGTTTTTCAGCAAACCCCATCGGAAATGCTGTGGGTCAGCTCATATCACCGCTCGTCGGAAACCCATCTCAATCTGTGAGCACTACGTCACTGCTTGGTTCTGGACGGACATGACCGAACAGCTCATCCGCAGATCCTCGTCATGGGCATCATATTCACCGCCGTGACGCCTTGTGTATTCTTCGTGAGCGATGCGCCGCCCACGCCCCCAAGTGCGTTCGCCCGTTCCCGCTGCACCATTCGATCATCTGACGGTATTGTTTCCCTCTCCCGCAGCACCCTCGGCGAGCACGACTAACCCGTCATTCATGTCCCTGGCCCGGGCGATGGTCGGACGGGAGCCGCGCGGGCTGCCGACCTACATGTTGACGCGGCAGCGCATCGATTTTATCATTCTGTCTATTGCGTTTGGGGTACTGGTCGGCTTGTGCGTTTCTTCCCTGCCTGCACCTCTTCCTGAGAGTGATCGGACTGATGGTGTCGACAGCGTCAACTCCTTCTCGATTCTCTCCGCCCAAATCATGGTATGTCCCCACTTCGATCCGCATGCGCACTCATTCACGCCGCGCAGGAGCCGTACGGGTATTCCAGTACGATATCCGGCCTGATGGGCGCGACGATCCTCCTGGTCGGCATTGTCGCCGCGGGTGTCACCGCGCCGCTCTTCGACCGCGTGCTGGCGTATCGGCTTGCGTTGAGCTGCAAGATCCTGTGTCCGATCCTTGCGGGAGGCTGGCTGTCGCTCATTTGGGCAGGTGAGCGATTCCAACTACCGGGGGGTAGATCCGCCTTATGTTGCTGACTGGTGCGGCCGGTCCAGTGCGCAGTAACGATATGGGCGGCTTGTTTGCGATCATGGCTATCATCGGGGCGGCCAGCCTAACGCTGTTGCCTGTCACGATCGAGCTTGCGGTCGAGCTGACCCGCAACGCGGACGCGAGCTCTGCGGTGCTCTGGTCGCTGTGCGTGCACATCCCTCTCTCGAACACGCACATGTCTCACCGTTTTCCTCTGGCATCCGAAGATCTAACCTCTTCGGCGTGGTCTTCGTACTCGGTGCGTCCTCCGTTCCCCGATTCTGCCGCACCGCTGATCTGGTATTTCACGGGTCCAGTGGAAGGCGCGTTACGCGCGGGCGCTTCTGCGCACCCGCCATACAACATGGAGAACGCGCTCATTTTCCAGGGCACCGTCGTCTGCGTCGTCGTCTCGTTCCTATTCTTTTTGCAGGGCCACCAAGCACGTCGCGAGAAGGACGAGCGCGAGCTCGCCGCTGCGCGCCGGCCCACGCCCCCCGTCGTCGAAGACCGCAAGGAGCCTTTGTTCGACGTCGGGTCGAGTGCGGTAGCGTAGGCGTCTGTTTTACACCTCCCTGCGCAGTCCGCTCATTCCGACACCTGGTGGACGCTGGACCTCCCTTGCTGACCTTTAAAACTGCATTATGCATGCGGTCTCTGCATTGCTGCTGTTAGATGGTTGTTGTATTCATATTTGTAGACTTTATTGTGCATGTTCTTGCTGGTACTTATTTCCTAACTATGATGACTTCTCACTCTCGTGAAGATCCCGCTTCGAAAGTACACCTGACATAGGAGGGAGATTATTTTGTTCCCAGTGTTCACAGGTCACGGGTGCCTTCTCTTCAGCATCGAGAACAGTCGGGCGCGAGGCAAGAATAGTCGATCTCTATGAATGTCATCTTAGCTGTTGAAGTTAAAAATATATTACAGTGTCAGAACATGTCGACCTTCTCCATGCGAGGAGAAATGATGGCGACCACCTTGCCCTCAAAGCTGAGTAAGTCTCCTCCAGACGTTGCCACCAGATCCCCCTCTCCGGGTCCAACGTGCACTCCAAGAAGCTTCTCGACGTTGGAACTGACAAGCGCGATGGCGGAGGCTTTCGTCAGAACATTGGGTGCTTCACCCAGAGCCTGCAATAGTATACGAGTTATAAGGGGATGCAGAGGATGCAAGGGAACTCTTACCCATGCCGCATCGAATCTCATATTGCGGACAGCCCATGCGCTGACTTCGAGGGGCACAACGGTGCCCTGAGGCCCAATGGCGACTGTGACGTTGTGTGCTATCAGATGCGCGATGGCGCTATCATGGGTGAGTGGTGGTCCCGCCATGCTAGGGGGCAACTGATAAGTTCAAAGCAACGTGGAACAAGACATTTCGGAAATGGACATACAGCCGCCTGCTATCCCACGTCAATGGCTATCGAAAATTGTTGAGGACCACTCTCGAATTCGAAGACGGAGCAGACGCACGTAAGGTCTTGGTGTCATTAGGACAATCCCCACATCCGCCTCTCTCAGCTCTTTTGCTAGTAGGTGAGCCTCACTAGCACCAACGATTGTCATCTGGATGGGAGTCCCAGTCGTAACCTCTACTTCTTTCTTCAGAACAATTAACGTCGCAATGATATCTGCACTGTGAGCATCTACTACGAGTGGTATCGCGCCCTATGTGAAAGTGACTATCAACACAGTCAGAACAGTAAAAAGAATGACGACACACCTCTGTTACTTTTCCTAACCACCGCCCGGACTCTCCAGAGGGTGGGTCCAGTAATAATCGTCTCAGGGCAGCGATCTTGGTGCTCACGCTGGGCTGTCCATCCTGCAGAATTGACACATGCACCGCCGTGACGCTCTGAACAACAGCCCCCTTCTCCAGCTTGTGCACTGAACCGAGAGAGAACGCGGTGCTAAGGCCGCCCAGGAAGGACAGGTGAGTAGGTGCGGTGACGGAGACGGTTACGCCAGACCGGTATGCTTGTCTACGGCGGAATCTACCGTTAAGAACTACGCGCGATATTGGAATAGCCAACTCACAATGCATCCCGCGTACCAAATTGCAGCCCATCGAGTGCTCTGGGAAGATAACCGTCCCCGCCCGCGATCGATGGGACACCGGTGAGCAGTGGATCGAACACGAACCCATCACGCGTGGATGGTTCGAGAGGAATCTCTTGCAAACCAAGGGTAGAGCTAATGCCTACCAAACCGGGCTGAATGGACCCTCCTCGCAAGTCGATGGTCACGGTGTCGACGAGTGCTAGGTAGGACGCACATGCAGATGGGGCCTCCGAACAGACCATCTTGCCATGCTCGACGACAACGACGCTGCCATCACTGGCTTGCCCTTGGGTATCGTGGAGATTGACAATACCGGCGCCATAGGCATCTCTCACCCAGACATTAGTGACATTAGTGAAGATAACAACGTCGGTTTTCGACTCCACGGGAAAGAGCGGAGGAAGACCTTCGTGCTTGATAACGTCAGAGGCCTCCCGGTCAAAGTCAGGCGTTTCGGGGGGGAGTTGGTGAGACGCAGGCTTGACGACTGCGTGTGGTGGATCAAACTGAAGGATTCCATCGACGATGACTTGCGTGGGCGTCGCCCCCAACGATAGAGGATGGCTGTCCCAGACGACGACGTCTACGATGACAGCATTCAGAGGCAGGCATCAAGCCACTTCATCAGGACCATACCAGCATCATAGCCTGATCAGATATAAGATCAGCATGGATGAACACTACTGCAGCAATCCTCTTCTTACCCTCTTTCAAAAAACCTATGCGATGGGCTAGTCCCAGCACGGTAGCTGGAGTGCTTATAACAGACGCGAGGGCGAGGTTATCCGCTAGGCCATAGTAATTTGCTTGTGCGGCCTCGTGCATGAGAAATCTTGAGAACAACGCAGGGTGGTCTGACTGTCCAGGGGAGGTCCCTCAGCTGAATTCCCCTTATTTGGCAATGTAAAACACCTTCATGATTATATCGATGTCGTTGTCAGCCAGTATGCGAGGGGCGAACTCCGATTGTCGGTAGAATTCCCGTTTGGCCCTGAGGCACGACTATTAGACCTTTTTCATCAAAATTGCATGAGCGATCCACCTTCCGAACGTCGCGAACGTCGCTATGGCAGGCGGGTGACCTGTAGCGGACTCGTGCATGAGCATGTATGCGCATCAGGAAGTACCTGACATGCCGTATGCTCTCTTCAGAACGTCCGGTACGAGGTAGGCCTCAGCAGCATGGTGAAATGCTGCCACAGGAAACTGGAACTCATTTGATAGCTGGTGATACATTAGGCATCAAGCATTCTATAAAATAGTGTAGAGTAAGGCGCATACCCTCACGAAGTTGTCCAGATCGAGCTCCTCGTAACAATGCGTGTGGACCTGAAGTCCAAAGGTCAGGTAACACCACGAGGTGGAGAACTCCAGCTCACCTTCACCCTACCTCTGAGGACGTCGACCAACGCTTCCCATTGCAAGCTGTCTGGGAAGGTACGCCCTGCTAAGGCCTCCCATTCTCCAGAGAGTGCTTTCTCGCAGAACTCGTCCTGAGCTAGCTTGACCTTTCGGGCGGTATCATATGCCCGACGGAACGCCCAGGTGGTGTCCATACGGGTGTCGCCATATGCGCGCGCGGGGTTCTCGCCGCATGCCTGCTTCATGTGTCTCCATCTCGGCGGGAGAGTAGTATCAACTTCGGAACCGTTCAGTCCAAACGGCGGTTCAACCAGCATCGAGGTCGGAGACCGCTCGTCTGTAGGTCGTAGCTTTATAACGAAGGCCTGTCCGCCGATGGCGTTCCCGGAGCCAGGCAGAATAAGCGTCGTGGTGACTCCGCCCGCCATGCTGTGTAGGTAGCCATCGTCATGAGTGTTGAGCCCATCCAGAGAGCGAAGCCAAGGTTGGACAGTGCCATGAGTGGAACCCCCGTCATTAGCTCCAGCCAACAGTGGACTGGGTAACACTCCGAGGTGGGCATGCGCGTCAACAAGACTGCAAATGGGTAAATGAGTAACGGTCTACGAGATTCTGTGCTGGAAACATACCCTGGAGTAACCCAAGACCTGTACACCAGTCAAATTCAAAAGGCGATGGCATATGCAATACCCAGGTAGGGACATACCCGTGAGCATCTATGACCACCGCATCCTCATACGCGTCCTGGGGAGCGACGCGTCCTACCGACTTGATCAAACCTTCGCCCAGCAACAGGTCGCCCTTGATAACTTCAAACCCTTTCCAACGACCGGTCCAAAGAGTCGCATTCCTAATGACCACCGGTCTCGTGCCAGGCTGGAATCTATCCGACTGAGAGCGTTCGTAGAATGCCTCTGGCGGCCCCGGCTTGACTTCCAAAGCACGACATTTCTGAACTATCTCCGCAGCGTGCAGAGGTATATGAGAAACCGGGCGTTCGTTGTATATAAACACAGAAAGATGTTGAGAAAGCAGTGTCAATACGCCCAGAGCAAGTAGTATGGGCAGAAAAATCCTCCGAAATCGACCTGTAGAAGCCCGAAAGCTCTTCCCTGGGTCCAACATGGCCGCTGAATATGTTCAAGAACAGTTTCTGCAAGACATCAGCTCCGGCCTAGGTGGTCTGTACACTCAAAAAGCATACAGACATGGGAAGGAGTAACACTTGATGGAAGTTGGCGGGAGCTGTCTAAACTTGAACAGACTTCCGACTATGAGCGCGACCGACCACCGGGCCCGCTCGACGTAACTAGAGTCTTGAAGGGGGAATGTGAAACGAATAGGTAGACGTCTTGAACGCAGGACACCGGTTCCAACAGCAGGTGCATCGGAATCGGAATCATCATCCGAAATACATTTTATCCAATTCGAACGAATAGAATAAATACACAAAGCGATGAATAGCGAAGGGTTATCGAATAGGTGCTGATGCGATACCAACCGACATGGTTGAACATGTACAACATGCGCAGGAACTGCAGCCCAACTGCGGGCTCCGACCGCTGGATATACCTAGTCGACGTCTATCCTGAAGCTTGTCACTTGCGGAAGGTACGCGGCACCCGCGAGCTCGAGGAGATGCACGTCGTCGTAAACTTCGTTCCCATTGAACCCGCCAAAAACAAACAGCCTGCTGTCGGAGAGGAAGGCGACGTGATAACCTCGGGGAGCTGGCGGCGTTCCAGCGGTAGGACGTATCTCAAAGTTCAGAGAAACTGGGGGGGTGAGAAGCGCAAGTAGAAATCACGGGCTGTAGTACTTACCGAGATTGAACAGGAGAAGGTCGGATGTGTACTGACTTCCATCGTGGCCTCCCATGATGAACAGATATGAGCCGACCTGGGTAGCAGTATGGGATAGCCGCCTGTACGAGACGTCTAGCGTAACGATACTCCAGAGGAGCGTATCTGTCCACAGCGGGTTAACACATGTCCGATGCACATAATGGAAGTCGCGAACCAAGGTTCAGACACCAGATATCTGAGAAGCATTCCCTCCCATCGCTGCCGCCCATGACGACCATGACGTTTCCGACTAGATTCGCAGTATGATAGCCCCTTGCCGTCGGTTTTCGCCCTCGCGTCTCTACCTGTTCCCACTTCATCTTGTCCACGTGAACACCGACATCCAACGTCCACACATCGTTCAGCGCCTCCATGCCATTTCCACCGCCAAAGACCCAGATCTTGTTCTTGTAAAGGACCGCAGTATGTGCGCGTCGCGGTGGGGGAACGGGTGCATCGGCAGGGAAGGTAGGGTGGGCCCATCGTCGGGTGAACGTGTCAAGAATGTAGACGTCGTTATAATAAGCTGGGCCTTCTCCGCCTCCAATAATGACTATCCGGCGGTCTACTAAAGTGGCAGTGTGTGCACGACATGGCGGAGGGACGTCGCCTATCGTCTCAGGATGTGACCATTCCATCGACTCTGTTGTGATCGCTCATCGTTCCCGTGTGGGGGCACTGGACAAACTGTGAACAAAACGTACCGGTGTGGAAACAAAAGACGTCCTTCCAGCATCCCCGCTCGTCGCATCCTCCGAATAGCCACGCGACACTGTCGACCAGCGTCACACTGTGAGCGCGGACACCATGCGCGGGAACCGTTCCAAACACGGGTGCAAGACTCCAGTACATCAACGTCGCCGGTGCGGGATCCACGTCCTTGGAGTGCATTAACTGCGGCGACAACCGGATCTTGTACATTGCAGAGCCCTTCTCCGTACTGGGCTCACGCTTCGAGCCCTTCCCCTCCTTGTCTCTTGCCCGCCGCTCTCTCCTTCTGTCCTTGTCCTTTTCCTTCAAGGTTGCCGGGGAGCCGGAGCGCCGCGTGCTGGACGAGCCGTTCGTCGTCGTGCTTCCTACCTCGCCGGCGGACTTCGAGGTCGCGGTGCGAGCGAGAGTCGAAGGTGTGCGTGGTGCAGAGCCATGCTGGCGTGACGACGAAGAAACGCTGGTCAGACTGCTGGAACTGGCTGCAGCAGCCTTGTTGAATGTAGACGTCGAGCCCGTCATGGAGCTGTGCAAGTACGGTGAGCGGGGACTCGGACTTGGATGGTGTAACAAGGCGTCTTCGGGGACGTCGCTGAGAGAGCTGATCTTGGGAGAATCTATCGCATTTTCCGGAAGAGGCATGGCTCTTCAGAGAGAGCTTTGATAACTATAGTGTTTTCCGCGGCCCAAGTCCATCAGCCGGTCTCTGATTTCACTGACGATAAAGTTGAAGACAACCAACCTAACAGCCGAGTTCAAGCCTCTCCTGGCGAAGTTTCAGGTTAGTTTCACAGCAGATATCTCTCAGTGGGTTTGCGAGGAACTGTACACCGTCAACACCTTCTAGTTCTCCAATCGCCTTGTGGAGGGGGGGAAAACGATCAGCGTGCGCGTGTAAGTCCTTAGTGAGGGTAATTGAACGCCATGATGCTCCTCTATAAACGCTAGTCCCGGCCCGGCGGCCCTCGTGGCGTCAAACAGCCAAACTTGGCAATTCTCTTACTTAGAACACGTCTTTAATGCCTTTTCTGGCTCAGTCACTCCACCCTCCTCCCAAGCGTGGCAGCCCAGCAGTCGAGTCCCACTGATGTCCGTTCAGTGCGATTTCTGTAGCTTTCGCGGTAAATTGACACATGTTTCTCGTGTACTCTGCGGTAAGAATCTGTTACTTATAGGCGACTCACCCAGTTTCTCGCAGGAACGCTCACCAACGCCGTGCGATGCACTCGCCGAAGTTCAGGGCAGTCACGGCAATCAAGAACGAAAGCACCAATAATCAACGTGTACCTTGCATGAGCAAACGGACTGGTCCCTCACACCAAGTCTATAGTGAGTTGCAGGAAGGAACTTTTGGCTTATTGGACAGCGACGCGAACCGTGCAGGGGCGGAAGGATATGACTTGTGGACCTACAATTCGGATCCGTTCACGTCTACACTTTCTAAACACTTCATCGCCATGCCATGGCATGCAAGTGCCTTTGCTGTTGATTCAACCCTTACCCTGTCTGCAGCATATATACAAAGTAATTATGAGGGAAGACTTTTCTTCCCGCATACTGCATGGATTATGCGCTACGAACCTTTCATGCAAACGCTACATGCCTGCTGAGTCGATGAGTCGGTGAGGTGCGTATGAGCCATAGAGAGTGGCATAATACTGACTGAGTGCAATACACCCAAAGGAAATGCATGAATTGTTGAACGGCCTGGCCGAGCAGAGTTAGGATAGGCTACATTCCCCAGACGTCGATAACCACATACTTGAAATGCAGTCGTCATTCTCCGCACACGACAGTGTCTCAACGGCCATATCTGCGACCAATGGGGACACTCTAAATCACAGAAAAAATGCAGTTGCAGCAGAGTCTACTCCTGGTAAATACAACCAGGGATGTGACCATGGATACAATGCAGCTGATTTGCATGACCAGAGGCAGACATAGGCGAAGGCCTGGTAGCCCAATCGTCGAGGACGGAACGCCCATGTTCCATGAGCACTGCACTGACTTATCTTGCGGCAGTTTCCTGACTTATGTGGTAGAGCGAAAGTATGACTCACATTACTAGTTTACTAGTTTAATCCTTAGTAGAGTTGCAACTCGTCAGTTGGAGAGAACTCACGAAAGGCAGGCTCCTTCCCACCGCTGCGGGAGTTAAGGGGGGACGATTTACGAAATAAAATTCAGTGCTTGATCCCAAACATACGCGCCACATCAATCACGTGAAAGTCACATGAATCTTTATACTCCGAAACCTTATCCCTCCTTAACTCCCCACAGCGGCTGGCACCAAACATTCGAACAAACAAACGCCACCCGGTGGCATCCTCCAAATCAGGCAGTTGCTCACGGGGGGATACTGCTCGTGAGTATTTTCCAACCAAGGCGGTGTGGCTTCCTCGCGCTCTCTGAGTTATTGCTTTTCGGGTCTGTACGGTCAGAACTCAATGTCATTTAATTGTAGAAGTACATGATTTACTCTAGCACCCTCCATGCCCTGGACAAACTTGAGATCAAGCCCCTCACCCTGTCCATCGGTCATCCACAAATGGTTGAGGAAGCACAGAAATTCAGAAAGCCGCCGTCAGCGACTGCTTGATTTGGAGGATGCCACCGGGTGGTGTTTGTTTGTTCGAATGTTTGGTGCCAGCCGCTGTGGGGAGTTAAGGAGGGATAAGGTTTCGGAGTATAAAGATTCATGTGACTTTCACGTGATTGATGTGGCGCGTATGTTTGGGATCAAGAATTTTATTTCGTAAATCGTCCCCCCTTAACTCCCGCAGCGGTGGGAAGGAGCCTGCACGAAAGGGTGCAATCGCAAACGCTGCGATCCCCACGCCAACATGCGCGAGGAACACGTCAGTGCAACTCTACGTGCTTCCGATTCGCTGCGACAATTCAATAGGTTGAACGGACTAGAGGGCAAACAACGAGAGACGTACAGAGCATCACCACGACGAATCGGAATTGTCTACTCATCTGCGGCTCATGCGCCCTTGCCTCGGCGGTCGTGCACAACGGTGCCTGATGAGCAAGGACTCGTTCGAGCAACGGTCGCGAGGTTCACATTGTTTTCGTCACGCGTACCCGGAGGCATATCTCGAGCGGGGTTTACTCACCTTAGATTATACCATGTCGGCATACCTCCCCGGCACCGCGAGGTAACCTGCGATTGGAACAAGGCAGTCGTGAGCAAGTAGGGCCTTGTTCAGTAGAAATATCGCCTGAAGAGCCGCTGAAACGCAGCCTCGGTCTATTAATGCATACGTATTATAGGCCCGCCGACGTATGCGATTTGTAGAATCAGGCTCCAGCATTCGAGAACGGGCGACGACGTCGGTTTACCTTGACAACCGGCGTCTCCAAATCTTCATTCTCATTTTGAAGACGAGCCTCCGGATCCGGCGGTTGGCACGACAATGTTCTGAGATGAAATCCATCAGAGTTGTTATCAGATAGTGTAGTATGTGCCTTCGATCTCTCATGTGCCGCCTCTCTGCCGTCTCCGGCCAATGAGGTATAGTGCTAGCGTTCAGACTGACTTGGCGGGGTGGTCCTCGCTGCACGCAACTTAGACCGACCGGGTAAGGTTAATTGTACCGGTTGCTAGCACGAGCTGCCGTACATATAAGAGGGAAACCATGTTCGACCGGTAGGCCTTCTCTCAGTTTTCTCCCTTGTCTTTACCTTCATCCTGCCTTGCTCTTGCTCGGTCGCTGCCTAGTGTTGCGTTCATCGACCCGGGGTCGTCTACCTTCATTCTTCGACTCTTTCAAGCTCACAAAGCAATTCGCTCATTTTTACGCCGTCCCAATTCTTCAACCAGATTTAAGTCGAGATGATTTTCAAAGCCGCTGCGCTCACTGTTTTCCTCTTTCTTTCTTTCTCGGCGAGCGCCGCTCCGGTACGTTCGGACGTAGATCATTGCTGAATCTGTAGTAATATTCTTGCCGTAGAGCTTTGATTTTCGTACAGTGCACTCTCCCCCTGGTGAGATAATATCCACTGCAGAATGCTAGTCGACCCACGCACTGACTGCGATCGTTCAGGTGATAGCAAGACGGATGGTAGTGCGTCAGGTATGAGTATTTTCCATGAAACCATTAACTCACCCTGATATTCATACAGCTTCGTCCTTGGTGGCGGTTGAGTCCGCGGTGTCTTGCGCCACACAAGCAGTAGCAGTAGCTATTGCCGTTTCTTCGGAGGCCGTTTCGTCGTCGATAGTGGATTCTTCGGCATCAATATCGGTTTCAGCGGCCTCAGCGACCAATACATCTTTAGGGAAGAAGTCTTCCGGCTCTGGGGGGTCAGCTTCATCCGCCGTCTCCGCGGTGGCATCTTCCTCCGCTGCCTCTTCGGTAGCATCGTCGGCTACTGCTTCTGTAGTCTCTTCGGCGTCTGCTTCCGCGAGCGGGTCATCAGAGAACGGCTCATCAAAGAACGGGTCGAAGGGTTCGAAGGGTTCGAAGGGGTCTTCGTCCTCTTCGGTCGTATCATCAGCCGCTGCCTCCGCGACAGCATCGAGCTCTTCTGGCAATAATTCCACGGAGGCAGTGTCGTCTTCCGCTTCTGTCTCTTCAACTGCGTCAGCAGCTGCTGTAAGTGTAGTCAAGAGCTTTCGCATTACAGAGGTACTCACATCGGTTTCAGGCCTCGAGCACTGCATCTGCTAGTAATAACAGTAGCGATCCCCAGTCCGCGTTGAGTGAGTAACAATCATGATGTCAACTCTGCACAACCGCTCTGAACCTCTTTTACAGCATTGCTTCCTTCTGTTATTGCGACAGGTTTCGAGGACAACGGTCAGGATGTGTAAGTTCTGTACTTGTGGATACGACGGTGTGAAGCTTACGGTCTCGGTTTCAGGCCGGCTGCTGGACAAGTCGCGTCATTGACATCGTCGAACAACTTCATCAACTTCTGTGCGACTGTCCCTCAGTTGCCGATCACCAACGGCCAGCAAATTACAACGGGTTCCTGCAACCCAGCCCCGATGGGTATTATCGCCGCCACTACCAACATGCCCTCCGCGAAATTTGTCTTCCCCGCCAACGGCGCCACCATCCCCGCGAACCAAAACTTCACCATCCAGATGGCCGTCTCGAACTTCGACACTGGGTTCTTCGTGAACGCAGAGAAGAACTACTTCGCAGGGCCCCAGGTCGTTAACAGCGCCGGGAACATCCAGGGCCACTCGCACGTCGTGATCGAGAAGCTTACGTCGCTCAACCAGACAACGCCCACGCAGCCCACCATCTTCGCATTCTTCAAGGGTATGAACGAAGCCGCGCAGAATGGCGTCCTGACCGCGACTGTGACAAACGGTCTGCCCGCAGGCGACTATCGATTGGCTTCGATAAACTCTGCCGCAAATCATCAGCCTGTGCTCGTGGCTATCGCCCAGCACGGCACTCTCGACGACATGATCTATGTAAGAAGGCTTCTCCTCTGAGACCTCTCGTACGCACGCTCACGGTCCCGCTCGCAGTTCACCGCGCAGTAATCACTCTGCAACGCGACAAGCGCGGCTGGAGCTGCTGCTGCGAAGGCGAAGAACTGCCCTCGTCCCTCCACTTGTCTGTCATCTTCTTGCTTTCGGAGTTTGGGTCGGTTTTCTTCCTTACTTTGCATTCGACTTTCTTTGTACTTGATGTAGACGCACACATGCTCGACGTCGAGCGTTGGCGCTGGTCCCTATCTGTAGCGGAGCAATTCAAATGGCATGTTGACGGTACTTTGTTGTGAACCTTGAGCCCCGCGACCAAGAACAACAACGCGGACTTCAATTTACAAGGCGCCTGCCGTGGAAGAAGCTGAAAGCCAATCATCGTAATGATGGTGGTGTACGCCAAGTTGGCGATGGAGCTTCCCATGGCGCGGATCAGCGTGTACTTGGAGACCACGACATCGCATTTTTGTTGACTGAATTGGGTAAATGAGAAGGCGTCAACCTTACAGAATCTGTCAAGTCATGGGTGCAGTCATGATGGATGTCAGCGTGAAGCAGTTTCCAGTAAAGGGTATCTGCCATCTAAACAGCAACGACGGATTTTACAAATTCACCACCTGCCACCGTTCCATGCGACTGTGCCTTTCCAACCGGACACATCGCTCCGATGGCGGAACACAATTGTGTTGTGTCCATGAAAGCTTTCGGGAACATTTGTGCCTGCGGTTCCAACGTTATCGGGACAGGAACAATGAGCAGCAGTATCCATGCGGCTTCTCAGGCGTCACTTCACCGCCAGAGACCACTTGATTGTAAGGTGAAGTCAGATGCTTGCAAGTGCCAGGTGATCAGAACAAGAAATCAGACGGAGATGTGACTTACTGCGAACAGTTTTGCATTGTCAGCATGAAAGCTACGCGCAATTTTCCCTACTCATCACCATCTTCCGGGGGTTCATCGATTCGCCGTGACGCCGTTTTCGCGTCCTTGTTCGCCTTCCATTTCTCGTTGATCTCCTCCGCAGTGGCCGCTCGAGGGCGCTGAAGCAGCGGTACATAGTTTCCTTCCTGTCGCAACGCACCCGCCCCTATAGGGAACCGCAGCACGGTCCCTGGCAGGATGGGCGAGCTGCGAGGGTGACTGACGGGGAAATATTGCGGAGGTGCAGAGTGGTATCGCGAAGCCGCGCGTAAGAAGTGGGCGTCGAGCGTAGCGTGGATTACGGAGCGCTGGTGAAGGGACTGCAGCATCTGGATGAGGTTGTTCGAGTACGACCGCTGCCCGTCCACCGCCGTCTCGTCGTCCTGCGCATCTGCACGCCATCGCACTGCGGTCTCGTCGTAACCGCACTCCCAGAGCATCAGTGGGAGCGGGTCTGCGATCTGATAGCCTGGTTTGCTCGGCACCACTGGAGGTGCCGCCTCTCCTCCCTTGGCTGCAGGAAGCGGGTTGGCAGCATCAGTGTTAAACAGCGCGTTCACCACCAGGGGACGCTCCATGCCTGTTCCTACTAGGAACAGAATCGCCATAATGTGTCGCACCTGATTGTACAGGAAGGACGCTCCAACGAGGTCCAGCACGTACACGCTATCGTTTACGACGTTGATTTCCGCCGAAAGGACATTCCTGACAAACGACGTGAGCTGCTTTGAAGCGTCAATTTTGCAGAAATTGCGAAAGTCGTGCTCTCCGACGAAGCACTGTGTCGCATCTCGCATGGCTGAGACATCAAGACCTTTGGGATCAAAGAAATATTTGTAGTGGCGATATCGACATGAAAAGCGTGCAGAGAACTCGTCCGAGACGGGCGACCACGCAATGATGCGGATAGTCGGTGGAAGAACGTTGTTGAGAGACGAGATGTAATGCAGTTCGGTGCATGGCTTTGGAGGTACAGACGACTGAGAGGTATTGCGGGGCTCGTCCCAGTCAGCCATCAGCTGGAAATCGCCTTCAAGACCAGGACCGTCACTTGCTCCTTCAAGTGCCCCATCTACATCGTACACTGCTTCCACGTTCTCGTTTGCATCATGCATGTCACTTGCCGCGTCCTGCTTGTTCTGTTCGTCCTGGTCCGACGGACGAAGAAATTCTGGCAACGCGCTTCTCACCCAGAAACTCACGACCTGGCCCGCAGCGCTGACCCCTCTATCCGTGCGCCCGCACTTCTCCCAACCACAGCCGGTGAAACCGCCCTTGGGGTCGACCAGGCGCGTACGCACGAGCGCGTCAAACAACACGCTCTCCACCGTCGGCAGTGGAGACGGTGTCTTCTGGAATTCCAACCCGCTGTAATGTGATCCATCGTAGGTGAACTTGAGCGCGATCTTCCGGCGCGGTTGAGCTGCATAGTCGAATTGCTTTGGGGGTCGAGTGGGACTTCTTCTGTGAGCGGGTTGACGATGAATGGTAGTATCGATTTGTCTGAGACGCGCAATGAGCTCTTCTCGTGTCCAGCTATCGTATGTGCTTGCCGCTGAAGGTGAAGACTGCATGATTCGCAGGTGTGCAGGCAGGAGGCGCAAGCCACCGAGCATGCGCTACGTACCCAGCCGAAGCGTCGCAACAATCAGCGACTGATCTGGGGCTAGCTTTGACTGGTCTTCGGCTCCAAACTCTCCGATAAATTGAGCTGACTAGCTGACAGTCGCGGGGGAGAAAACCGAGAGAAAACAAAAGGTTTGCGAACGCGCGAGAACAACGATGCCATGGGCGCTTACAGTCACATCGCGCAGATCATCTCACTTGCCAAATCGAGGTGTGGCAGAAAGACTAAAAGGCTGTGGTAGAACTTCATCGGTGCGCTATCTCTCTCTGAACACGATATTGCACGATGTCTGACATTTTCCGCAGCCTCGAGGATGTTTCAAATCCCGAAAATGTGCCAACCCGTCAGTGCAGATCTTGACTGGCATCCTCTGGCATGCATCGAACTGACTGACTCTCGATCATACCCACAGCCCGGCCATCGACGACTGCTCTTCCAGAAGTTGAGAGAACTCAAACCAGGAGAAGAACTGCAGACGAAGGTGAGCCCCGCGTATCACTGTTAAAATATTGCTAGCCGTGCTTGATGTCGATTTCCAATTATTTTCCAGAGTTCAGTCCCCTCACACCGTTGCGGACTTATGAATTGAACGAGGTACGAGCAGATTGTTCTTGTTGACTACAGTGTTTTATATATCCTACGGAAATGCAGAAACTAATGTCAGAGAGCATTCCCCTGCGGCCACTGATCGCGCCAATAGAGTCCATGCTAGAGCTCCGTGCAGAGTACGAAGGTGGCTCGCAGGAATTCGTACAGCAAATCGATTGGCTTGTGGCGAATGGCTGGAAGGGTGTCAGGAGAGCACGAGGAGACGGTAAGCTATTCTCGTAAATTTGAGTGTAGCTTAACCTAAATTCTCTCAGGTGACTGCTTCTACCGCTGTGAGACATGATCAGTTTGTGGCTTTGCATTCGTTCGTTTATCTTTTTTACCCAGCATTGGCCTTTGCATACGTTGAGAGGATACTTCAAAATCCGGAGCCCGTGATGGGCGTTACCAGTGCGATCTCGCTGCTTGAAGTATCCCAGCCAATGTTGGAGGTGGCCGGCTTTGAGCCAGTCGTTTTCGAGGACTTCTACGAGGTCTTTGTCTCTATAATCAACAGAATCATCATCCCGGGGCCCGACGGTGAGCTTCTCACGCCTATAACGCTACTCGAAGCTTTCAACAATGACGAGGGTGCGTATATTTCGCTCGCGTTCGTTCAGATACACTTACTACTGGTTTATTGTGGTTCTCCAGTCTCGAACTCGATCGTCGCGTATCTCCGTCTGCTCACGTCTGCTCAAATTCGCGAGGATCCGGAGTCGTATGCGGCGTTTCTGTTCCACCCCGAGTCAGGCGAGTCGATGGATGTCCGCAGCTTCTGCGAGAACTTCGTCGAATCAGTCGGGAAGGAAGCTGGTCTGTGCTCTCCCGAATCGATTTACATCTTGCATCGCACTGACTCTCCGCCAGACCACGTCCAAATCACGGCGCTCTCTCGTGTGATGAAAGTCAACATCGACGTCGCATATCTCGATGGACACACGGCGGAGAAGGTCGACTTTGTCCACTTCCACAACACGGACTACTCTGGGCTGGAGCCGATCATCTTGCTGTATAGGTATGTTCGGCTGCGATAATAACTGTCACTTCCGATCTCACGTCTGTCCTTCAGGCCCGGTCATTACGATATTCTCGACCAGCGGGAATATGAAGAGCTTTGAGTAGATGTAATGCTATGGTGTAACTTGATCCTGCTTTCGAGATATTGACAGAGGAAGTGATACCTATACAATTGTGTACGCTAGTAGTATGGTCGAATTGTCGTCGTGCAGATACCCTGCTGGAATCCATCTTCATGTTCAGTTCATTCATGGTGGAAACAAACCCCTGCAAGGATATTATTTCCCTTAGCTTCACTGGTGTCCTGAAGACTCTCAAATAATTGTGCAGTTGTGCAGTCACCAGTGATGATCACGAGCGGCTATTTCCGAGGCGAATGGTCTGTGCGTTTCACGTGATCTTCTCTTACGTAATGTTGAAGGGTGTTCTCACCGCAGGGGGCAACGCAGGCAAGGCAGCCCTCTCACCCAGAGCCAGCCAGTGTGCAGTGAGCCTGCGCCTAACCGTCCGCCACCGCTCCATTTTTTCCACCATCGTTCCACTCGCTCCCCACTTATAACTATCAAAGGTGCGTTTTAGGCTCTTATCCACGTATTCTACGACTACCGCCCCATCGATAAGGGGCTTGTCGGCGTCGAGGACGACGGCGCCGGTGTTGGCGGGCAGGTCACGCCCCCAGCGACGCGCCGCGACGCGCACCGCGTCCCACGCGCCCCTCGCCCCCTATCGCGTCGTCTGTCTTCTACGACGTGTCGAACGTTATGCTCACCCTTTTCCACCCTCCAGATGCCCAAGGAATCCACGAAATCGAGCAAGGTGACCCGATCCGCATCCAGCGCGTACCCACACTGACCCTGTCCACAGAGAAAGGCCGTCGACAAGGCCGAGAAAGCTCCCAAGGCCAAGGCCAAGAGAGACCCTAAGGCACCCAAGCGTGCGCTCTCCGCATACATGTTCTTCAGCCAGGACTGGCGAGAGCGGATCAAGGCAGAGAACCCTGACGCCGGGTTCGGTACGTCTGTGTCTCCTTCGTCGTGTCCGCTCGCTCACTGTATGGCCATCACAGGCGAGATTGGTAAGCTTCTCGGCGCAAAATGGAAGGAGCTCGACGACTCCGAGAAGAAGGTTAGTTGTGATTCATAGTTGACCATCTCATGTTGCATTGCGTCGTCCTGCACCATAACGTCTCCTGAGATTGTGGATGTTGTGGAGTTTGTTGTGCGTTGCACCGGGCATCCGCACTGTCGCGAGATATGCAGGACTATATTGTGCACTCAGATGGTTAATTGAATGCATATATGCGTCGATATTTACCCGCTTATCTGTCGTAGCCGTACATCGAGCAAGCTGCTCGCGACAAGGCACGCGCTGAGCAAGAAAAGTCCGAATACGACGTGCGTGTCACCTGCATCACTTACGACCGCGTATTGACACGTATATATGTAGAACAAGAAGGCTGACAGCGCCGGCAGCGGTGATGGTGGTGACGAGGACGACGAGTAAATCGATACCCTCACATATGCACTCTCCACTCTGCTCGCGCTGCTCCCCCGCAGACGTCTCGTCCCGCTAATTATTTCTTCGTCTTCTGTCTGCTCTCTCTGCCTCTGCGCTATACTCTACTAAACCCGCATTCCGCATTCCTCTGCTCTTCGTTCTTTTGCTGGCTCTTCTGTCTGTACTACTCTTATTTGTGCGCACTGCTACTCGTCGATCACTTACAATCTTCGGATCTGCGTATATCGTATACGTATACTGTATCTTGAACGATGTCGTGTAATACTAGACGATGGGTGCTGCTGCTGCTACCACTCTGGTCTTGTTCGTAAACATGCAGTCCGATTCCTTCGAATTCTTTCCGCGACAAAGGGATTAATGCGGCCGCCCGCGGTAGCTTGTACTGAACACGGTCACTTAGTGCGTGAGCCCTCTAACTTGTTAATATTAATCATGAGTTGCAGACACAGGATGTGTAACTTATCCGGTTAAGCGTCATGTCAGCCTCACAGTGAGAAGGCGTTGGTGCAACTACATCATGTGTATGTCACCTCCAATTCACCGAGCGATAAAGGCTTTCCCGAGGGAAAGTCTGTGACCACCAAGAGGACCCAGGAATTAGACGTCGTCCAAAAATCTTGGAATTTTGTCCGGACTTTTTTGCCATTTTTCCGGGTTTTATGTGCGGATGCTGGGACGGTTAAGGTCCACTGCCTTCCTATTTAAGAAAATCTGAGATATTTTCAACGATTTTCGGCATTTTCCGGTTTATTTCCGTCGATTACCGGCCCTCCCTGTCCGGATGGCGCCACGGCCTTCTCGAGGCGGAGGACGTGTTTGCCCGGACGCTGCGTCGACATCGTTCGGTCGATTTTCTCGAAAATTTGTCCGGATCTCGCTACGTCTGAGGAATGTCCAAAGGTCCTCCCAAGGCCCGTTGGCCGTTACCGATGCAAGGCGCCGTGAAAGACGAATCGCAAACGGTCCGCGTCAACGATATTATGGAGTCTCATTCAATCTTGTTTATATGTTGATACCGACTGCACTGGTTGATACTGCAATTGCACAGGATATCCGCGAAAACAATGGGCGTCTTCCTCAGGCTGAACGCATACATCCAGCAGCGCACACTGGCATGCAGCCCCCGGATGGATTTATCTACCTCCGATTATTCATCGTCCAACGTTGGCCTAGCTGCAGCATTTTATCTTGTCCTTTCATCTCTGTACTTCTCTGGTAATAAAATTTAAGGAATGGATGCTCTGTTAAGTATCTTCTGGAATGTCAGCGAATTTAATCAACTCCCTGTGACCTTTGGGCTGACGTCATCGATTTTGAGGTGGCACTCGAACCGTCTGCCGCCTTGCGGCACGGACATCTAGGCCCTGACTAAAATGTATTTGTGACCTTTGCATCTCCCGAATTGTCCCCCACACTCTGGTCTCCTACATTCTCGACATCGACTGTCCTATACATATTTCAGTCTGTGCCACCAAAAAAACATATCGTATTGCTGAACATACATCGTAGTGCTTTCGAATTTTGCTGTCCGTTGCTTGTTATGCCCTCATCTGTGACGTATCCGCGCTACTCTGCCGTATCATCAAACCTGCGTTCCGACCGAGTTGCGTTATTGAGCGATGCCCTTGAGACAGACGACGAGGCGGATGATAGCTCCGCGGAGTCTGAGGCGGATAGTTTTCCTGGGTCGTCCAGGAGTAGTGTCGTAATTCCTCGTGGGTCTTTTGCAAGTTTTGTGAGCTCGGAGACTGAAGTCGGGTTTAGAGAGCATCCGCAAACATGTAAAAACAGATGAAACAGAGTGTCCCACAGAGGACACTCCCCTTCTGCTACCTGTACCCGTTCGAGGTACTCGCAAGCCAAGAGAGCCTTCACGTTCCACTGGCAAGAGGAGCGTGTACTGGGAAGAACTCAGGACTCTCACGAAATATACCTTGCCAGTGTTTGGGTTCGTCGTCGCTCTTTCTTCATCACACGGACCTTGTCATACACGCTATCATGCTAATTCGTTTCCACTAGAACTCAGCTCTTCGAGTACTCACTAGTGATTGCGTCCGTCATATCAATCGGCCATCTGTCTACTACAGCGCTCGCGGCGTCGACGCTGGGATCTATGACAGAGAGCGTGACGGCGCTGAGCATCTTCATCGGATTTACCAGTGCGTTGGATACGGTACTCCCCAGTGCATGGACATCTTCGCACCCCGAGTTGGTGGGATTATGGGCCCAGCGGATGGGTTCGTTGCGCTCCGTTATGACTTAATCCAATGGCTGACTTTGGAACCGCAGTTGTCGTGTTAGCAGTAGTCCTTGTGGTATGTCTGTTTTCTCGGCGTTGATACAACTGGTGCTCATGGTGGTACTCAGCCTATAATTGGCGTCTATTTTAACTCAGAAGCCATCCTCCTCATGCTCAAGCAGGATCCGGAGGTGGCTCACCTCGCCGCAACATACCTCAAGTGGTCGACGATCGGTCTACCCGCCTACGCTTTCAACGGCGTGGCCCGGTACGTGTAACTTCGTCATTTTGAGAACCGAAGTTGACAGTCCTTCTAGCCGATATTTCCAGTCGCAAGGTAAGCCACATTCAATCCGCTCAAACACATTTTTTAGCTCAGCTCGTGTGTAGGTCTATTCAGCGTCCCGACATACATCATCCTTGTCATAGCCCCCATCAATGCCCTGCTTAACTATGTGCTAGGTGCGTTCATCACCATATAGTCTGAGTTACACCACTTACCCTTCCGTAGTTTGGGGCCCAAAACCGTTCGGCCTTGGATTCATTGGAGCGCCTATCGCTAGTTCCATTTCGTTCAATCTTATCTCGCTAGCGTCCATCGCTTATGGCGTTTTCTTCGTTCCGAGGAAGGCCTGGCACCCACTGTCATTCAGGTGCTTCACTAATCTGGGTGTTCTGGTGCGGTTGGGTTTCGCGGGAGTTGGTGCGCAATGAAAGGCGTCGAGACTTGATCTCATGCTCACCGTTGTCTGCTTCGTCTACAGGCCAGGTAGCATCTGAATGGTGGTCCTGGGAGCTCGTCAGTCGTGAGTATACCCTTTTTCTGGACATTGTGTTTGTTTCTCATGTATAATCCCAGTTGCTTCCAGTATGTGGGTTATGTTCTCATCACAGATGACGGGTGACTTGCATTACTCATGATGACTGACTTACAGGCTTGGTCCAGTGGCACTCGCAGCCCAATCTATAGTGAGTGTGTCGTCCTCGACAACCTATCAAGCGCCTTATTCCCTCGGCGTTGCTACGACTGTTCGGTATGTCTCTGCAGGCGATCTTGTGTTGCGTCACGAACTCACCGTATCGCGGAATACAGAGTGGGCAACTTACTTGGTAAAGGAAATGCCAAACGCGCAGGCGTCGCTGCGAACCTCTCCATTTACATGTCGCTCGGCATCAGTATGGTGTGGAGGTCAGCTATACTTCGTTGACGCACTCAGTACGCGGGCTGATGTCTTTTTTGTGCAGTACCATGTTCCTCGTCTTTCGGCATTCGTGGGCGTATCTCTTCAACGATGACCCAGGTTCGTCCTCCGTTCTTTGTGTTCATATAGTGTTGGCTGATGATAGCGATTGCGCGATATGTAGAGGTTGTTGCGCTTGTAGCGTCGCTGCTGCCGTTACTCGCTCTGTTCCAGGTTGTAGATGGGCTCGGTGGAGTTACTAGTGGAATACTGCGAGCACGAGGCATGCAGGTGCGTATCCCTTTTCATGAGTTCAGCTGTTGTGCTGACGGATATTCGCCCAGTCTACCGGTGCAGTGCTGAACTTCAGGTGAGCATCATCACTCATGTCGTCCATCCTCCGCTGACTGTTCACCGCAGTGCCTACTACATCCTGGGCATCCCTTTCGGGATGTGGCTCACGTTCAGGAAAGGCATGGGGCTAGCCGGGCTGTGGATCGGGTTGACCGTGGCTATGGTGTACTGTGCGATTGTTGGCGTGTGGCTGTGCGTACGGACTAACTGGGAGAAGGAGGTGGAGAAGGTCCAGTTGCGTGTTGCGGCGGACCAGAAGGCCAATGCAGGAGATGTTGAAGCGCAAAGCTAGATGCAGGCGCTACCCTCCATGCATGAGTTTCCTGGGTCGCATCGATATCATTGGACTTCGTCAGTCTTTCTCATTCATGCATGTGCCACACGCGCACACAGTGTGGAGGGTTGTGCAAGGCATTATGCACTGTGTATCCATACTAATGTATTCTAGTTGCATCGGTCCATACTCGTAACGATAGCAATTCTGGTCTGGAGTCATTCTAAAGTTCTAATATGGTTTCATCAGCTCGGCAGGCAGCTCAGTGGCAAATTCGCGAGCCTCTGCAGCACGGCGGCTTGCATGGTCAAGTTAGCGTCCATCTTCGTCGATGCGTCCACGACTGACACGCTCGCAAAACACCCCGCCGCGACGACATTGCTCTCGAGCGGCAGCGTCGTACTCCCACACGTCTCCACATCCGTTGCGAGAATATTGAGGAACACACGCGACAGCACCCACTGGTAGTCCGCCGGTGACGGGCACGCGTCCACGGAGGGGTAGTTCACGTTCAGCGTGATTCCACCTGGGAGGAGCGGGGAGATCCCGCTGGACGTGAGTGCCTGGACGAAGGTCGCGGTGAGCGCGGAGTATGTCTCCGCGGCGAGCGTGGACGTCGCGTTGGGCGTGCTCGTGAGCGTTGTGTAGGAGACTTGCGAGCCGCTTGTACCCGAGAAGGCGATGGAGGGGATGCCCTCTTTCGCGGCTTCGCAGGCGGCGCCGCTGGAGGAATCGAGTCAGAGAGAGCTTATTAATGAGCTTCGGGAACGACTTACAGCGTGCCCGAGAAGAAGACGGCTAGTCCGAGGTTACCTTCGAGTGTGATAAGAGCGTGAACTTGGGCCGGTACAATTTGCAGGCTTACTTCCGATGTTAGGCCCGCTGACGACCAACTCAGGCGGGCCGCCGAAGAATTGTGGGGCCAGGGTCTGGATGCCGTACCTAGCGGCATCCACACTATGCTCCGCCGGTCAGCCTGGATATCCCACCCACTGGTAGCATGTCCACACGTACGGGAATGCGTTCACATAGTTAAGGCGAGCTGGGAAAATACACCGAATATGAAGTCCAGTATAAGTGTTGCGAGACGGATTCACGTACGATCTGAGGCATTGAAGCCTTCTGCAGGCGATCCCGTAGGGCAGGTATCAAATTCACAGGGCTCGCCGAGAGGCGTCGGCGTCGCAGACGTCGAACCTGTGCCAGACATGTTCACCGCGGGTGCGGACAAAATGACCTACGGGACTGCCAAGGTGAGATTAATGGGTCTACAGGGAATATAGTCACTCACATCAAACCCAGTGCTGGTCAGCGCGGAGAACTGGGCACGGACCTGCGCTGTCGCCCAACCGTCATCGTTGGTGAGGATGATGTTCTGGGCGCAGCCTGCAGTGATGCACCCGAGCGCGAGGGTGGTCGTGAACAAAGTGGCGCCGTGCATCTCTACGGAGCAAAACCAGAGGGTTGCAGCTCTGGTCAACGCTCTTATGGTGACCTTTAAACCCATCAGTGCAACCCACCGGGACGAAATTGCTCCTGGAAGCGGGTGGCACGTTCGACATGGTGATCGTAAATTTGCATCCTCAGCAGCACATGGTCAGCCTGATAATTTTCAAGCGCTGTTTGGTGTTAGTCGATACGAATGAGAAGGTGATAACCATATGGCAACGTGCATGAGGCGTAATCATTCCTAGGAGATGCCGCCGCGTAACACATAGTCACCATCAAGCTGAGCACAGAGAAGGTTAGGCTAACGGCTGCGCATGCCGCAATGGTGGGCCTCCAACAACGCCTTCTGCAAACAATCATCATCATCTAGCTGCAAGAGTACTTATCTGTTCTGGGACTACCGCTCTGAGGAAAGTCTTGTATCCTCGTGCGCTGATTGCTATAATTATGATCGCCGATGCACATGCAATCGGAATTCTCTGTCCGTGGATTCTCGGCGATTTGCAGACAATCTGCCAATATGATAGGTGAGAGCAGGCTTCCTCCTCCCAAACCAGAGCATGGACTGCAGGTCTTAGGAATATGTAGGGACCGGAGATGCGTCGGAAATGAGGCGACCAGCTGCCAAATAGGCTCAGAAGCTCTGACAGGTCTTCGATGTGAAGATTTTTTTGCCTCAGATACGCTAGAACTTTTATCTGTACCACCACCATGCTGAAGTTCCGCTGGAGTCAAGCAGGAATAACACGAAATTGGCGGGACAGATGCACTTCACTGCTCGGCGCCGGCCATGGGCGCCGTCCCACAGGAGAGATGGAACTGATCAACTCAATAGATAAGATGAGATTGTGGAGATCAAGTCAGTTTTTGATCAGACTTCTTCCCTTGACTCGAATTTATTCTTCTCTCCCGCCTTCACTCCATTCTGATTGTTATTCTGACTGTCAGGCCGATCAATCGCGACACGGGTAATTTCAGAGAAAGGAACAATGACCTCCACACTTGTACACTCTAACGGTTCTGCAAATGGTAACGCTGTACCCCCCGTTTACAACAGCGATCTGGACGTAAATCTCTAGCTCTATTTTGATGGCATGAGGTCCTCATCATCAAGCCCGCATTCAGGTCTCTAAGCTCAGAATAACGTTGGCCGAGTCTTTGAAGCCTATCCCACCTGCGGACGAGCTGGTATTCGGAAAGGTGAGTACTGGGTGCATTCATTGGACCAGTCGGCATCATAGGCCGGGGCGGTTGGTGTGCCTATTGCCGCACAACGCCCGAGGGAAATTTATTATCGCAAATGAGCACCTGAGACTGTTCTATCTGATCCATTGAGCGGGCTCAGGAGAAAGCAGAGGGAGGAGAGAAGCAGGCTTCCTTATTGCTATACGTAACGACAGTCCTGACGCACTACGTCCACCAGGCCGTGGCTAGACATTTGGGCATCTACGGAAGGCTGCAGTCATTGTTTAGCAGGCTGCTCAAACCTCCCCCATGATGCCGCTTCGCCTTACGTTTCCGCGGAACTTAGCGTTCAGAAGAGCTTGGATGCTGCCCGTGCGATGTCGTATAGCCTTTCCCTGGTGTATCATTGTGTCATGGCTTCACACGCGGTCGTGTCAGTCGGCTTGTGAATATTTTTTCTGTTTCTCTGTCATTTGGCCTTCATGATGTTCTTATATTTATTGTGTTTTTATGCTTAGACCTTCACGGACCACATGTTAGTTGCTAGCTATGATCCAGTGAATGGTTGGTCTGCTCCCGAGATCAAGCCATACGGACCCCTCAGCCTTGATCCCGCCAGCTCCTGCTTCCAGTACAGTACAAATATTTTCGAGGGCATGAAGGTGAGTGACCTCCTCACTACTTGACTTGAAGTTCTTACCGAGTCTGCAGGCGTACATCGGAGTAGATGGCAAGCCGAGACTATTCCGACCGGAGATGAACATGGCGCGGATGAAGAGGTCCGCGGACCGCATTGCTTTGCCCGTGGGTCCTTCTAGTATATTTTCGCGCGCGGTTTCTGACGATGTATGAACTCACAGCCGTTCAGCGTCGACGCCGTGCTCGAGCTCATTAAGAAGATCGTGACGTTGGAACAGCGCTGGATACCCAACAAGACAGGTTGCAGTCTGTACATTCGGCCCACTGTCATCGGCACGCGCCCCAGTACGTCCTATGCTCCTCTTCTCTATGTATCATCCGCGGAGCAATTTCCCTTAGATCTCGGTGTACGTGCGTCTGACAGCGCGCTATTGTACATCATTCTTACCCCGGCGGGCCCATTTTTCCGCACTGGCCCTCGCCCAATCTCGTTGCTCGCAGTTGGCGACAGCGTACGCGCGTGGCCCGGCGGTACGGGTGGGCACAAGCTCGCGCTAAACTACGCGTCGACATTCAAGCCGCAGCAGTATGCGGAGAAGCTCGGGTATGAGCAGGTGCTCTGGCTGCTTCAGGGCACGGTCACCGAGGCCGGCGCGATGAACTTTTTTGTTGTCCTCAAGCGCGATGACGGCGGTGCGTCTTTCCTTCCTCTCCCACGGCGGCCTTACTGATTCATGTTGGCGTCGTTGTAGACTGGGACGTCATCACCGCACCGCTGGACGGGACGATCCTGCCGGGGGTCACGCGCGACTCGTGCCTCGCGCTGATTGGCGCACACCCGTCGCGTACGCACCTCCCGCACCTGCCAAGCTCGTTGCGCCTGTATCCGCAGGAGCGCTCTTTCACAATCACCGACATCTTCACTTGGCATGCCGAGGGCCGCCTGCTGGAGGCGTTCGCCGCGGGCACCGCGATGATCGTCGGGAGCGTCTGCAGAATCGGCCACGAGGGCAAGGACATTGTGCTGCCCGAGTACGAGGCGGGGCGCGGGCCCGTCGCGCAGGCACTGTATGAACGCATCCTTGATATCCAGGAGGGTCGCGTGGAGTGGGACGGGTGGTCCGTAGTGTGTGAATGAGTGGTTAATGTTGAGAAGTGAATATGGGAAACGGGTGAATCCTGTTTTCGCATCTTTTCGTGATTGCTCATGTATGCGGTTAGGTCTACGCTTGTCTTGCTATGTCTTATGTTGTCTGTGAAGCGAAACTCTACGTCGCCACTCGTTGCAGGACACTCCAGCGGCGCTTGAGATAGTCAGTAGCCTCGTGGCGTCTTTCGCACTGCTTGGAGTACACCTGCAGTTGGTGCAACCCTCTCTGACTGTCCACCGAGACTAGATTTCGCTGCTACGGTAAGTATTTCCAGAGTATACGGCTGGTTCAGGCACAGTCATGCGGCGCTCCGCTCGTGCACAGTTCGTGCACTCGGTTTGTCTCGTAACACAGCGTCTCAGTATTTATACACCGGTGCCCTCAGCTTCATCCTTGTCCCGCTCCATGAGATTGCTGACAGGCCACAGATTTCGTATACTTCATCCACTCGCGTTCAAATTGTTTCTAGCGTTCAGCCACACTGACTCTGTAAGCATCGTATTTTCCCCGTGAGATGCTCACGCAATCTTCTACGTACTATGCTGGTGCGATTCTTCGCACTACTGGAAAACGTGGCGTTCAGTGTCATGAACGACAGCATGCCGGAAGATGCGAGTCAAGTCGTGGCCCTGGGTCCTTCTGAAGCCGCATACAATAATGCAGGTAGTTCGTCGAATTCCAGTGAGACTCCGCGACGTTTTCAGATAAGTACTCATGGACCCAAGCTGCGGGCCTCGCCCATAATGCAGGCGTTCCCATCAACCAACTTCAGCCTGGAATTTTGGAAGGGATACTGCTTTGCACCAAGCACTCGGACTCAAGATACGCATGGACCGCAAAATGTGCGTGGCGCAGGGACATTGATATCGCCATGGGCATCAAGTTCTGCCTGATATGCCTGCAGAGGTCTGGCCGCTTGCCAATGGATATCTACTCTCATCCTACTACTTTGTGCCCAATGTGAAGAAACTCATTTCCATGATCCTGCCACACGCAGACCGAGAACACAGGTTTCGGCCTGGTCAGATGAAGGAGCCGGAGTTAATGCAGTTTCTATCTGTTCTGGCGGTCCCAATGCCGCGACTGGAGTCTCGACTTGTGCTTCCTCGCAATTACGACGACTTGGTCCTTCGCGTTCCTCATGATCATTTCCCTGCTCTGCGGTCTGTGAGACTTTCTCCAGTTTGTGTACCTTGGACGTCCCTCCTTCTGTCTGGTTTGACAGTTTTAAAGCTCTACTACGCCGAAGACTTCCCTACAATAGACATCCTCCTTGATATGTTGGCAGCCAAACCTGAATTGCATATTTTCACACTGGAACTGGATTCAGACTTCGTTGGACCAAGCCAGAGTTTCTCGGAGTCGGTTCGGGTTATTCAGCTCCCGCAGCTCAAGCGGGTTTCCCTGGTGGCACCCTAATAGGCATATCATCTTTGCTTGCCCACTTAGCCATTCCTGCCGACGCGGTTCACGACATTGCTGTGGTCATATCTGATGCTTCCACTTTTCGCGCCAATTGGCGAAATCTTTCGACACACGTCGCATCTGGAGAATCTCAGAACCATACGCCAAGCTGATGTATCTGCGAGAAAGAGGTCGCTTTCTATCATCTCCGCCAATGAGCAGCTCAGCCATGCACACAAGATAGACGTCTAATTATGGAGGTAGGCTACGGTGGGCATATCCAGGATGCCACCTCACACCTTGTCCACCTTAGCGAATCTTCTTGGTCACTCTGTGGAGTCTCTCAGCATCTCGGGGACAGACTCGGAAGATCTCACCTGCGACCAGTGGCACGATGTATTAGCCAGCTTACCTCTGCTCTTTGAGCTCATCGTTACGCTCCGCGGCGACACATGAATGGGCTCTTTGAAGCCCTTACCCCATTCATGGAGTCTCCGTCGGAGATCATGGCCCGGAAATTGGAGTATATGAAGATGTACGGGCAGAAAGCCGCGGAGACGCTGCTGAGAACGGCCCTCAAGTAGCTACATGGACGCGCTGCTTTCGAGTGCCGGGTCGTCGAGTTGACTTTATTTTACCATGATGCCGAACGAGAAGATTAAGCGAGAAATATCAGGATGAGATAGCCAAGTTTGTGGACGAGGTCAGTACGGGGCCTACTTTGGAGATATCGCGCGAATCTGGAATCCAGGAGATTAGGAGATTGGTCGGATCATACCCTGTCTAGTCCAGTAGGGATAGAGCAGTGAAGTGAGTAGACAGAACGCCCGCGACGAATCTCCGTTACGTACCGTTGAATGAATTCGGCCTGGGGTGCGCGATAGCACGATGATAACACGAGGTAAAGAGAATACTTAGACTAGACGAGGGATGAGTCGCTCTTCGACAGTGCTCCACTCAAGACCGTACCTAGCTTCTGCTCTCAGGCCTGGGATTGTTGGATTGGGAAAGTTGTGAGAGGAATAAAGACATGTAGGCGACGTGGTAATCACGAACCAAGAAGATCCCGCAGTGCCCGACTTTCTTACTATGAAGAGTATGAAGTACTCTTCTAGGTCACTTCAAGTGCATGGTTGAGTCAGACGATACTCTAGAGACTCGGAAGGTGGCAATCGACTCCGAGAACTGAGTCTGTCACAGTTTTTACGGCGCGTGATTCGTGACGCGTCGCGAAAACGTGCGGCACGATCATTTGCGCAGCTCAACAACTTTGCTTTGCCTTTTGGCCGGCCAGCCAAAGCGTCACCTCATTATATAAGTATCGACATGGCATTCTCTGAACAAAGCTATCCTAGTTCTTCCTCGGTCATCAGCTGGCCACTTCTCTCGGAGGAATCGGACGCATCATTGCTCTCCGACGACGATCCATCTTTACCTGTCAAACGTAGAAAAATGGCACGGAGAAGTGTCTCTCATTCATACCATATCACCAACACGAAGCCTTTCTGGTACAGTGATGGCGACATTGTTCTGGAGATCGAGCAGCAATGCTTCAAGATACACCAGAGCCGTCTGAAATGCTCTGTCATATTCTCGGACATGTTAGAGGTTCCTCAGCCAGCAGACGCAGAGAGCGTAGATGGATGCCCTCTCGTGCAGCTGGCTGATGCGGTTGACGACTGGATTATGACCATGAAGTGGTTGTATGATCGCAGGTCGGTCCACAGCCTCTTGTAATCCGTCCATGTTCATCCTTGCAATTGCAGAATCTTCCAGTCCTTGCCCCATCCCATTCCCTTCCAACTCCTTCAAGGAGCCCTCCGCATATCAACCAAATATGACATTGCAGATCTCCGCAAGACCACAATCAAACAATTGCGTGCTCGGTGGCCATCCGAACTGGAGCGAATGGACACGAATTCTCTACCCCATGCAGCAGGTAAGTGCAATGCCGGTCGCTTCATCTTCTTCTGATGATCGCTCGTCGAGTAGAGGCTATATCACTTGCACGCGAGTGTGACGTCCTGGAGATACTCCCGGCGGCTTTCTACGCGCTCTCTATCCAGAGATGGGGCTGCAATGCTGATGGCGGGCAGTCCCATCAGGTGCTCACACCTGGAGACTTACGACGACTGGTCATAGGCCGCGAGCGCCTGTCCAGTATCTGTGCCGGGATTCTGTTCGACCCTCTCCTCACGGAGGATCTACCAATTGATGCACCATCTCCATTTGACGCATGTGCGAAATGCAGGGACGTCCTGCAGCGCTACTGGCGGGAGAAGGTGTGCTCGAGCCCATCGTCGCCGTTTGAGTGCTGGCTCCTGCGCGAACTGCACAAGCTCATGGTGGAAGGCGACGCTCGGTTCGAGCGTACGCTTTGTGCGCGTTGCTTAGCTTGGCATAAAAGCGCAGTGATCATGAGATTATTTCATCTCAAGACTTCCATCCCGCGCATCTTTCACCTGTCCTTCGACAATTGAGTGATGCTAGCGCTCTGCTTTCGTCGCTTCCCTTCGCTCTGTGTCCAGTAATCCCTCTTCGCGGTAGCTATCTATCCTTGCGTTTCGTATTCGGTGTTTATACCTTCGATCTTGTATACCTCAATCGTGCATTGTAATTCAAACTCGCCGCTGAGGCGCCACTGCCATGACGATGGTCTTGGTTCAAATCGCACCCGATCTGGTGCCATCACTGTGACGAGTCGTGTCAAGAACAAAGGCGCTCAGCCTGCGGACTGAGCCCAGAGGTTCCATACGCTCCTGTAGTACTAGTTCCCGGGAAGCAAGCGACTCATACTGGGGAGAAAAACGTTGCAAAAGTTGTCATAAATGTTACTCAGAATTCACCGTCACGCTTTGGACCGGAACGTGACGTAAGATTGTGTGACCGAGGAGGGTCACAAATCGCTGAGATGAATCGGGTGGCAGCATCGGTTGACTTCTGACTAACAACTCGAACCAAATTTCAACATCACCTCTCCCGCCACACCCTCGCATCCGTCGCTCTACCATGGTATGGCCTGTCACGCGACTTTTTTTCGCTGATCTGACGGTCATGTCACTCTTTTCTGATAGTCCGTCTCACCTGCTGTGCTGCGCCGCTTGATGCGCGAGCTGAACGAACTCCGAACTAACCCTCCGGAAGGGATCCGCGTGGTCACCAATGAGGACAATATGCTCGACGTGACGGGCATCATCGAGGGACCTGGTATGTGCTGTCCATGCACTTTTATATGTCTTTGCACTCTTTGGAGGCGATCTGACACGCTGCTGACGCGTCTTTGAGCAGAAGGGACACCATACGAGGGGGGCTACTTCAGAGTGAAGTTCAAGTTTACCGAGGAGTTCCCTGCAGCTCCACCCAAGTGTGCGTTCCCATTTCGTTTTTGTGTAGTGTTTTGAGAGTTGACATTCTTCCACAGGTTGGTTTGCCACTAAAATCTTCCACCCGAATGTGTCTTCTGCAGGAGAGATCTGTGTCAACACCCTGAAGAAAGACTGGAAGTCAACATATGGAATTGGGCATATATTGGTTACCGTCAAGTGTCTCTTGATCTACCCAAACCCCGAGTCTGCGTTGGACGAAGAGGCGGGTAAACTCTTGCTCGAAAACTATGACAGCTACTGCGAGAGGGCGAAGTTGATCACCAGTGTTCATGCTACTCCAAGGGTACGTCGATCTATCTGTGTCTCGTGCCGTCGTGTGAATTCACACCTTTTCAGGTGCGTCCAACAGAGTTCAACACTCCCTCTTCCTCCTCAACGGCAGACTCAGTGGTTGTTTCAACATCGAAGCCGACACCCTCCAAACTTGCGACAACGTCTGTGGTAACTCCCGTCCCACCTCCACCAAACGTTGCGCACAAGTCATCGTCTCCCGAAAATACCGTCCCTTCGCGTGCCATGCATTCCTCCACCCCGAACACCTGCCCATCACTGGACTCCGAAAAGGGCGTGAACAAGGAGCGGCTCACCTCGCCCTCGCCTCTTGGCACGGCGGACTCCAATGTTGCCGCGGTAAACGCCACGCCGGCGACGAAAGCGGTCAAGCGATCTGCAGTGACGAGCGGGGCGGGGGGCGAGAAACGGAAGAAGGCACTCAAGCGCCTGTGATGGCGAGGTAAGGGGACATATCTCAGTGCTTTGACCAGACTGTTGGGTGGACGGAGCGCCAGTTGTAGTGATGAGGACCTCTGTTCTATAGGTTGTATCTTGTGCTATCGTTATCTCGAATCGCTATCTCGTAGTTTTACTATCACTCTGTGCAGCAGTCATTGATGCCGTAAGGCCATCATGAATTTGCATGGGAAGCATCCACGAAGGTAACGTTGTCGCATGAAGCTGGAACACACTGTACATATGCTTCTGGAAAACGTTGCGGAGGACAGTGTCAGTTTGCTGTATTCAGTCAAGAAAGATTGATGATCCTCTGACGGCTGCGAAGTAAAAGCCTGTGCAACACGGCTGTAGGCGTGAACGAATAGACCTAGTAACACATCCATCCATACACTGGCATATTACAATGAGAACACAGCATGCTCGGCTTGGGACATCGGAACCGCACATACCAGACAGCTCCATCGACTTGCGAAGTAAGACAAGACCAGCTCGCCATTTCTACTTCTTTTTCTTTGGCTTCTTCTTCTTCACCCCGCCGCCTGCTACCCCTGCTGTACCGGGAACGATGGTGGGAGATGTGACCTCTTTCGTCACAGCATCGGAAGCATCAGCTTGCGATGCCTCCGTAGAAGGCTGTGCGGGTCGTCGATTCTGCATCTTCTGCATCAAGGAGAGATTCAAAGCCTCGAATCGGTTGAGGAACATGGAGGAATAAGTCTTGAATTTAAGGCACTTTCACCATGCAAAAACATTAGCTATCGGTCGCATTATGATGGGCGAACGACTCACTGTCGTGTTGTCCGTGATCTTTAGGACTAACTTTCCCTTATTCGCTCTCCATTTCACGCAATAGCGTGTCTATAACAGCGATCGGGATGATCGACAATATTCCTACGAAAGTAAAGCGACATACGCACTGTGTTTGGGGATTTTTCATAGAGTGCCTCCGCCGCCTCTTGATACTCCTGCCAGGACGAGATGTACACCATGGCAGGATCGAGGCGGACCACAGACACAAGGGAGCTGAGTCACGATTCGCGTGCAGTTTGGATCGGTTCTACCCTGAAGTTCTCACGGATTTACGGTCGACTGACTCGAGTCACGCAGCCACGAGGGATTAGAACGGGTTTTAACCGGCGGCAAGTTACACCACATCCAGTCTGGTGCTGTGGCCTCTCTTCCCTCGTCCCTCCTTGTCCTTTGTAGATATAGAGACATGGCTGTTTCTGAGCGGAAGCGTGAGCCTGATTTTTAGAATTTTTAACAAACCTGTTGACAACTAACTGGTGTGACCCAGCTCTACCCTTCATCGCGAACTTCACCGCGGGTGCCATCGCTGGTATTTCCGAGATTCTCATATTTTATCCGCTCGGTAGGTGCTCGTGTCGCGTGCTATCACTTTTGTGTGCTAAGCGTGTATGTGTGCGACGTCACAGATGTCGTGAGTCCCGCGCTCCTTTCTTCGCCGCGCTTGCTAACGTGTGCAGCGTTATGAGTGCCATAGGTGAAGACGCGCATGCAGTTGGAGACGGGCAAGGCCAAACACGGGTTATTGGGCAGCTTCCAATCAATCATTAAGGAAGAAGGGTTCGTCAAGATCTTTAGGACTGACTGACTGTCGAACTGACATTCATCGCTTCACCTCAGATTTGGGAAGTTGTATAGAGGTATGATCCATGTAGCGTCAATTGAGAACGTACTAAGATTGTGTGACGCAGGACTCGTTCCTCCGCTACTGCTAGAAGCACCTAAGCGTGCTACGAAATTGTAGGTCCAATTCTACATCTTCGTGTCAATTGCGTCATTTTTCTGTGATAGTGCCTCCAACGAATTTTGGGGCAAGACATACATGCAGTTGGCTGGTGCAGCTAATATGACGCAACAGTTGTCGATCTTAACCGGTTGCAGTGCTGGTGCAACTGAAAGTTTCGTCGTCGTTCCTTTCGAACTTGTGAAGATCAAGTACGGTTTCGTCTCGTTCTGCTTTCTGTCCTGACTCATTCCATATCAGGCTTCAGGATAAGACAAGTCCATACGCCGGTCCTATGGATGTCGTGAAACAGATTGTCAGAAAGGACGGTCTACTTGGTCTGTACGCCGGTATGGAAGCCACATTTTGGAGGTGCGTCGCTGTTGTCAGCTCTTGCACAACTGTACTGAGGATATTTTTCAGGCATGTGTGGTGGAACGGCGGGTACTTCGGTAGCATTTTCCAGGTTCGGTCACTACTGCCCAAGCCCGAAGTATGTCTTTTTTACGACGTCTTGGACTTACTAGCTAAATGAAGTTACGTTTCCAGACTAAGCAGGCCCGACTCGCGAACGATCTTGTCGCAGGAACAGTCGGTGGATTTATTGGAACCGCGATAAACACGCCGTAAGTCTTGCGACATAACGCGGTTTGCAAGGGACTGTGCATGCCTTGCTTTGACGCCGTTTCTTGCTTTGCGACTTGTTCGGACATTGTTATTGACGATATCTGTGATATTTTCCCCCAGGTTTGATGTGAGTTTGCATGGGGTAGAATTTTCCACTAACTACCAGCTGACACCGTGTCGCATGTAGGTTGTAAAGTCTCGCATACAGGGAGCCACAAAGGCGCCCGGAGTGGTACCGAAATACAACTGGACGTATCCTGCGTATGTCCCCGCACTGTGCTCTTCTCCCTCGTACCATCAAACTGATCATCGACCGCTTAGTTTGGTAACGATATTCCGAGAGGAGGGCGCGTCTGCGTTGTATAAGGGCTTCGTGCCGAAGGTGCTCCGTCTCGCTCCTGGTGGCGGTGTACTTTTACTGGTGGTAGAATTCACTCTTGGCCTTTTCCGTCAAGGTAATTACACAGTCTCTGCGTGGCATCGTCATGCTAATCCATTTCGGCAGCTCTTGGTCCACCATATATCTAGAGCGTAGCACTACTGTACTTAGCCTTCGGACAAGAGGTTTGTAGAATATGGCTATACAGACTACTGTAACCGCCATGGAAAGTGACGAGTGTACGACGATCCTAAGCAGTGATCTTGTGCGGGTTAATGTCTGAGTAGTACATAATGAGCTTCCAATGGTTCAAAAGCTCCTGGTGTCGGATGCGCGCGGCGCCGCGCGCGTCTCACGTGGGACGCGTTCGCCCTGGGCCTGCGTCGCCTCAAGGGCAGGTTCATCTCCGACAAACACTTCTAGTTCTGCGCGTCCGTGCTGAGGGACCTGTTGCATGCCGTTAATAGTCTGGTAGCCATCGATTAGGCTATTCTCTATGGGTTCCCGGCGGCATTCTATATTTCAGCTGCTGGTCATCGGCCTTGTCTTCCATCTTGTATACATCGGCACCGTGTTTGACTGCTACTTCACGAGCCCGGTCGTTCATGGCATGCAAAGTTACAATGTTGAACGCGCAGAGGCCAAACGTCTTGTCCTCATTGTGGGTGAGATTTGTATAACACCCGATCATGTGTGCGCTTCTCACAGTATCCTATAGCCGACGGTCTGCGTGCGGACCTTGCGCTCGCATTGAACGCGTTTCCCTCGGTACCAAATTCACCCGAAGTGGTTGCGCCTTACTTGCGCTCAATAATACAGGAGAAGGGGGCATTTGGGATCTCGCACACTCATGTACCCACGGAAAGCCGTCCGGGACATGTCGCTCTCATCGGTACATACACGTTTTCTGTGCATCGTGGAAGGCACCTAATTCCATGTCCATAGGCGGCATGTACGAAGATGTATCTGCAGTCACCAAAGTAACGAACGTCCTGTTTTATGTGCTGTCGGTTCTCACCGTGATTATTGCAGGGATGGAAGACCAATCCGGTAGCTCGCACTCAGTTTTCACTTTGGGCGATCACGCTGACCACGAAATACACAGGTCGACTTTGACTCGGTATTCAATCGCTCCAGTCATACCTATTCATTTGGCTCTCCGGACATCTTGCCGATGTTTTCTCGGGGCGCCACACCCGGAAAGGTAGAGACATGGTGTTATCATGAAGACGAAGAAGACTTCACGAAAGGTGCGGCATTTGCTGATCATGTAGAGGGCGGTAGGCTTACAGAACATTCGTGCAGATGCTACCGCTCTGGATGTCTGGGTACTCGATCACTTGCGCACGCTCTTTCACAATGCTACCCAGAACTCGGCATTGAACACGCAACTTCGCAATGATCGGACTGTCTTTTTTCTTCATCTGCTCGGTCTAGATACTACGGGACATTCCTACCGGCCGCATTCCCGAGTTCGTGGCACAGTCACGGTTGAATGCGCCCGTTGTCTCACGCATCATTACAGGAATACATGGTTAATATCCAGGTCGTGGATGAGATTGTGCGGCAGGCAGAAGAGTTATTCGCAGAGTTCTACAGAGATCAGGATACCGCTTTTGTCTTTACTGCGGATCACGGTATGTCGAAAATCGGCAACCATGGAGACGGTGGTAAGATATCCCACATAATTATATCGCGCTATCGCTGACCCGAGTAAAACATATCAGATCCGGACAGCACTCGCACTCCGCTCATCGTATGGGGTAAGGGCGTCCGAGGGCCGCTGCCTGACAGTACCCCTTCCTCTCATGATGCCTACTCTGCGCCTTGGGGGCTCTCTCATCTCTTGCGTCGTGATGTCGAACAGGCAGATGTCGCGGCGCTTATGGCTGCTCTCATAGGCATCGACTGGCCTGTAAATTCTGTCGGCGTTCTACCTGATGTGGATGCATCACGTCCTGGGTACATGCACTCCAGGGACGGTGAAAAGACACAAGCATACGCATCACTCGTCAATGCGAAGGTATAGTCGCTGTTCTCTCTACGGTGGTGGTGCTGCATAACTTTCAGGTCATCTTGGAACACTATCGGGTCAAGCATGGTAGGCATTTACGAGATTGTATCACTAGTTGAGCTAATTATATTTGAATGAAGAGGAGAAGAAGGCGCATGCGTTGTTCTTTAAGCCTTATCCATACTTCGTGCACTCACATGGCGCGGAGGGCCGTCCAGGGATCGGTGCAGTCGCTGAGATAGAGGATCTAATGCACGCCGAGAAGTACACTCAAGTGCGAACCCTCTCTTCAGAGCTCATCAAGGCTACACTGGAGGGACTGCGCTATCTCCAGACGTGAGTTCAGGCCCTTGGCAAATAAATGCTGCTAAGTTAACCTTGCAGTTACGACCGCACGCTAATCCGAGTCGTTGTCACTTTCGCGTACCTTGGCTGGATTGCCTTTGGCGCTGTCTCCATTTTTCCACCGGAAGATCAGGAAGCGAATACTGATCGAGCGGATTCACTGGTTTTGGACTTGACGGCTGCTCTCTTTCTGTTTGGCTCTTGGTTTTTGTTTGCCCTACAGCGTTCGCCATGGTCGTTTTACCTGTACATATGTTTCCCATGTTATTTCTGGTATCAGGTGCTTGGAGCTAGGACGCAGTTCCCGCGTGCTCTTTCGACAAGAAACGTGCTGAAGTCCTCAGTCATCAACCCTATTTTCAGCGGCGTTGTGGTTGTGGCGGCGTTGCAGGGTATGGTGGTATGTTATCCCTAGGGTTGTCCTTGATGAAATCTGACGAGGCTTCTAGATGGGGTATACTCACCGTTCAGTGTGGAGTGCAGGGTTCGCAGCGATAGGACTTATCTGGCCTTTAGCTTTCTGGCGAAGAGACATTCTTCGGGAAAACATTTTGCTATTCCTATCGTGGTCAGCTGCTTGCTTGACCACTGCTGTGTTCCCTCTTCTTGGAGTGGATAAACATGAGAATTTGGCTGCCATGTACGTCTCTACTGATTATTCTCCCCTTTGTTCCGATGGCTTCATCTTCGTGCAGAATGTCAGGTGGTCTATGCATGCTGGCAGCGGGCATTGTTGGGGGAATAATGATACCCATTCAGAAGATAGAAGATAGACGTGCTTTCAGAAGCACCGTAATTTTCCAGGTATGGTGACCATTTGCACATTTATGCAGCATTCATGACACGGGTTCGTAGTGCCTCTTAATAATTGCGAGTATGATTATCACGACTAGCTCTGCCTCAAATCTCCGTGCAAAGTCAGGGTTGCCTCCTCTCAATCAGATTTCTGGATGGCTTATATTCCGTGAGTTCCCCAGCCATGATTTGGGAAATTGTTTGATTTGTGCTCCGAGCAGTGGTTGCATCAGTCTTCCCCTTCACCCGACTGGCCCAAACCTATCACAATCCTGTCGCAAAAATCCTGACGTTCTTCCTGGCTTTCTCTGTTTGTTTCGTGATCTTGTCAATCAGCGTAGAAGGACTGTTCTACTGCGCATTCTCCGCGACTTTGCTTCTATGGATAGAAGTGGAAGCAGCTGTCCGACAGTCGCACACTGATACCATTCCCCAAGATGCGGGTTCCTATCGTCCGCGGGCGGATGATCTGCGAATTGCTGTGTTCTTTTTGTTCTTTGTCCAGGTTGCTTTCTTTGGTACCGGCAAGTGAGTATACGGTGCTGTTTGTGTTCCAAAACATTGTCTGATTTTGACGTAAACAGTGTTGCTTCCATATCGTCAGTCTGCTCTTTGCTTCGAAACTCACCGCAATTCTCCCGCTGATGAGCTGTCCAGGTCATTCTACCTGGAACCTGTATACCGTCTAGTTCCTGTATTCAATCCCTTCCTCATGGCTGTTCTTTTGGTAAGCATTGCGATGCCTCACATCATTCTCCTGCTCATCAGAAAACTTCCGACAGATGTTCAAAATCGTAGTACCTTACATCATACTAGCGACCTCATTCCATCTACTCAACACGCGACTTCACTTGCCTCCATTCAGTCTGTTCCTTGTTGCATTGACCCTCACGGATGGTACGCTGCTATACTCGTCACGTCCAGCTACCGCTGAGACGCTTGCACAGTGATGACTATGACTTTCTTTTTCAACGTCACGGACACCGGTATGAGCCATTATACTGTTCGGCATGGTTGTGCACCTGAATCAATGGTTGACAGGCTCGTGGTTGGAGATCGGACAGTCGATCAGCTTCTTCTGCATTAGCTCGCTGCTCTTGGTTTGGGCCGCCGGTACATGTGCTGTCGGGGAGCTGTTAATGGCGGATACTACTTTGCCAGTACCGAAGGAGAAGAATAAATGACATATTGGGCCGCAGCAGGTCATATCTCTGGGTTCTTTTGCATGGACGAGTTCAGGTTGAACCACTAATCCACCAGCCCAAATTGGCTGCAGGTGCCATTCGAGGACATTGTCATCCTGTTGCATCTGCTTCAAATACATGGTGTGCATGATCGATCTGTGCGCTGGCATTTTGGGCAACGCTTCCGTGTCGTACTTCGGGATGTCCCGTTCACACGAACGCGGATCCAGATGTTCTGACTTCTCGGAGCCCTGTAGCAGTTTGGCAATCTGGTAGCTCCTCTGCATCCGTGGCATCGGACTACCACACGCAGGTGAACATCCATCGAGGGGCGTGGTGACTGTCAATGCTGGGTGGTTCTCCTTCAATGCTGGGTGGTTCTCCTACATCGCAGCTGCAGAAACTCGCATATACTCAGTGAGGTCAGGCAAACCAGGAATTTCTGCCTGATGGGTCTAGACGTGTTGTGGGACATTTTTATCTGATGACACACAGGTTCTGCTGTTTATTACGGCATTTTTTTAATTTACGCTGATGAACATTGCAGCTACTCTTGACACCTAGGTGAGATCTTCCCTGACAGTGGGAGATTCTGCGTACACGTGACACGCGTCTTCATTGAACGGGCCGCGGGTTTCCTCTTCGGGCGATCCACCCTCGCTCCATCACCAGTAAGTATCAAAACTGTCATGATGTCCCGCCTCCAGCGTCCTCAGCTTCGTCGAGCTCGGCTCGCGGTTCGATATACGCGCTGGTGTGCTGTGCGCTTTCGGTCGCTCCCTTGGTGGCTGATCTTAACTACACTACTCTCATATCACCTGGCAACGGACGCCCTATGATGACAACAAAGAGCGTAAAGGTATGCAGGCTCCTTCACATTGGAGTAGGCTAGCAAAGTCCCATGCTAGGTACCACGTGGCGTTCTGAGATTCATGCAGCTGAGAACTGAATCTGGACGAAGTGCTCGCAGTACGGCGCAGTACTATACGTCTTGGCACCGTTCAGCCGACGGGCGTCTGGCAGCGCTCTGGGCCGACGAGGTCCTCGAGAGACTGGACTGGTACTAGCAACGGTTGCGCTGTCGTCTTTGTTATTCTGAGAATTTGTCATCGTCTCCCCGACCAGGGCTGACCTATGCCTCCCCGTCGGCGGTTCAAGTCCTCCTACATACATGCCGCACCCTGGCCGCGGCACTTCGGCAAACGCTCGTGATGCGGCGCGGCTTGGCTAGTGATGATGAAGAAAATCTGTGTATTTATACTGCAAGCAGGCGATCAAATGCGCCAAGGAACAGTCTCTAACGTAGCGACTTGGCTAGAAACTTTGCTTGCAGCCAGTCTGCCGCAACGGACGACGATTTATCAACCGATTGCACAGCGGGGTTGTGCGTTCCGTCGCTCCATGCTGGACTCCGTGAACGTCTGTACTCCGGCTATCCTCTGGTGTCCGTCGAGACCGGCGTTAGTGCAGCGCCCTTGTGCCCGTGAAGGTAATCTCCTCGAGACTCGCATATATCGCGTGGCAGGACTCTTCTCAAAATCCGTACTCGTGAGTTAGACCGCATGATCGAGATCCAAGGTCGGGCCAATGATGGACCTCTGGAGGTCAGAGTCTCTCATTCGCTCGACTATCTTGCCGTGTTTTCACAATTATACGAAATGCACTAACCAGATCCGTTGGGTAGTCAGCACTGAGCGCCAATATGACGAATCTTCCAGTCGGTGAAGTGACCTATGGAAAGACCCCGACGTACGTACTTTACTTACGAGCCTTTCATGTTTTCCGTCCTCACTTCGCATTGCAGTTAACAGCTGTTCACTCACCCGGGACTTCGTGATAACGCTGACCATATCATTTTCGGCTCCCCACACTGGTTCCTTTATCCGACGCGTATAGGCTTCTCTTTTCCACTCATTTCACTCGTTGGGCTTCCACAGATCGTTGCTCCAAGGGGTTAAGCCGGCCGTCGCGGCCGTTGGGAGATGCGCAGGCCAGTGCCCGAGTTGCGCCCTCACAATCCCGAACATTGCGGTGCAAGAGACGCGCCTCCTCCATCCGCTCTGCGCGGCGTACGGCGTCACAAGTAGCGCGCGACGCCGCCGACGCCCGACGAGTCTCAGACGGCGGATATACTTCACACCCTCCGAGCATTCCTGTGAGCTCCTATTCGTGATATGAAATCGTGCTCGTGCATGTGGACTCGGCCTGAGCGGACGCAGGTTTCGGCACTCCGGGCCCGCCAGAGCGCCTCCAGACGAACGCGCCTGGAAGTCGAGGGATGATGATTGGAGGGAAGTCCCGGAAGTGTTGTCTACTTCTTACGTCGTCTCGACCCTGATGGACATTGCAGCTTCTATTATCCCCAAGCGAGCTGTCGTCAAGACTGGAACTCAGACATGCGTTTATAGGTGCGCCCCGATGGGATCTTATATTGTTCTGATTGATCTCCGCTCAGGCACTCGCATCTGGTCTTCTTGGAGATCGGATGAGTCGCATATATGGGGAAAGGCTGAGAAAGGCTGTCGGTGAACAAATGCGACTGCGAGAGGAGGATCGAGGACGGCTCACGCTTCTCCGTTCGCGTGCAGATGGGGGTAGGACAGATCCTTGAGCTTACAGCTCACGTCTCCAGCACTCCGAGGCTGGATGCGTGCGCCATTGGAGGAGGTTCACCGGATCACACATCTCTGTGGGGTTGGTCAGCAGGGCAAGCTGTGCGGGGTGAGACGACGTCGCCGTCGAATGTCCAGCTGCCCCTGCGGATCGTGAGTACTGGTTGGTGGTCAGATCAACGGCGTACTAGACGCACGCGAGCTATTGGAATTGTGCTATAGCGTACCTAATAAACACTGGTGGCCAGAGGCGTGGCTATCTGTCTGTGTGCAGTCTACCGCCTGTCGCCTGGGGCTGTGGAATGATGCAGCCATCGTGATGGGCAGCACTGTGGTGGCAGAGCTTTTGACGGTGATATCCCGGCCACTCGGGCTTGGCACAATGTGGGCTCAGAATATCTGTCCGTCGAGAGAAAATGTCAGCCGCGTCGGGCCCATGTGAGTCAAAAAAAAAGGAAAGCGACTGGAGGAAGCTGCGATCAATGGATGGACAGAAGGCTGTGCCGAGATATAATATATTGTAGAGAGGATCACCATATGCGGAGGGTCGGGCGCTCGGCGCGCTTTCCGGCCGGCGGGGCGCCGAGCTCACGGGTCGGTTCAGCCATCGGACTCGGAGCGCCACCTCGTGCTCAGGTATTTTCGTCTTCTCCTCATCCTCTATATTATTCTTCACCATCTCCGACCAGCCCTGCTTTCTCCTCTTCCTCTTCTGGTCCCTCGCAACCACTGTCTCCCCCAGGATCGTCTCTTCGTTCGCCGTTATCCCGCTATCTTACTTGGAATTCTAGTAGTGCCCGCAGGGAGGTGCGTATATCATCTCCTCGTGCTCCGTGCGTTTCGTTGACCCTATTGTCTCCATCATCAGCATAACGTGAGCGCATGCGCCGCGGGCCTCTTTCTGCGCCGCGTCACTGACGGCGTGCCCAGTTATAGGATAACGACCGTACTAGCGCAATACACTCGCTTGCATCACCTCAGACCTTGAACATACACCTCGGTATAATGGACACCCTCGTGTCTCAGCATCCCCTGCAGCATCCCTTGCAGAATCACACAATTCTCGAGTCCATGCCCTACTCACAGTCCCCTGGTCCATCCGCCCAGTCATCGCCCAATCCATATCAGCAGCAGATGCAGTATTCCGCGCACGACGACCAAGGGCTGCGGCATCGCTACGAACAGCATTTGCTGTTCGACGGTCCGCATCCAGGTTCGTCCCTGCAGATATCCACAGGAGCCGTGTCGCATGCGCACGAGCCAGAGGAGGAGACTGCGCACCCACTGCGATCAAAGCCGACCCTGCTGAATCACCAAGAGAGCCACACACTCACCGGCCACAGTGACCAGGAACCTGCCCACCCATCCATCGCTGACTCGATCACCATGGGACAGCCAGGCCCGTTTGGCGGGCTTACGCGCCTGTTGACGCATCAAGAGCGCGAACTGCTCAATCATCTCGATCGGCTCAAGTTCTTCCTCGCCACCGCCCCGTCGCGGTGGAGTTCCGACGACGACGGTATGATGACTTCAGCTACGTCTGGGCTACCTGTTGGCCACCCCAACTCAGCGCATCCTGCGCTCAACCGTTTCCTCCTGCCCAATGCTGAATACGTGTCGTGCGTTCTATGGGGCGGTCTGTATCACATAACGGGCACCGATATTGTCCGAGCGCTCGTCTTTCGCTTTGAAGCATTTGGCAGGCCTGTCAGAAATATGAAGAAGTTTGAGGAGGGAGTATTCAGTGACCTGCGGAATCTGAAGCCAGGTGTTGATGCTTGTCTTGAGGAACCGAAAGTAGGTGTCTACACTTCTCGTTCAAGAAGCTGTCTCACGTCCATTATTTATCTCGCTGATCTTCTGCAGTCACCTTTCCTTGATTTACTGTTCAAGTATCAGTGTATCCGCACCCAGAAAAAGCAGAAAGTGTTCTATTGGTACGTTCCCTGAGGCTGTGTGCATGCACGATCTCACGGTGCCTTCCCCAGGTTTTCGGTACCTCATGATCGTCTCTTCCTGGACGCGCTCGAGCGCGATCTGAAGCGTGAGAAGATGGGGCTGGAATCTACAACCGTCGTCACAGGCGAGCCAGCATTGTCGTTCACGTACGACCCAAAGCGTTCTTTGTATGACCAGTTCAGCAAGGCACAGGGTGGCGTCGAGGGAGAGGGCGAACTTGAAGCCGCCGTGCGAAGAGCGGATGATTCGCACAGCGAGAGCGAACACTCTAATGACAGTCCCAGCGGATCGCAGAAGGCCATGTCCGATGTCGATACCTCTACTGATGAGATGAATGCCGAAGAGGGCCCCTCTACGAAACGGAACAAAACTCTCCCTCCTGCGCTGCAGGGCCCGAACTCTGCATTTTTCTCGATGTTCTCGTTATTCGAGGGGTCTCCCACATACAAACAGCGCCGCAAGAAGATACACAAGGGCTCGCGGAAGAGCCCGAACGCGACTGAGGGCGTGGACGATGGTGCGGGCGTGCAGGAAATGCGTACGCCGGAACCACACATCGACCGCTTCGGACGAGATACCACGCGCATGAGCGCGGCGGAGATGTTCATGGCGCAGGCGCGCGGTGACTTTGGGGGACAATCGAACCCCGATTTATTAGCGACGCAGCGGGACAGGCAGCGACGTCTGGAGGCTCACGCCAGCTCTACTTTGGGCAGCCGCCAGAGTCGACCCCCGTACCTAGCCGACCTCACCGGCCCCGGTGTCGCCGGCTCAGCAATTGCTCAGGCGCCCTCATCGGCCCCTGCACAGTATCCCCCAACGTCGAACGTGCATCCATCTCTGCTTGCTCAGAGCCCGATGTCCATTAACCGTCCACATGTAGAGCAGAGGCATACGTATCCGGCGATGGCCTTCCAACAGCCGCAGCTGCGGTCGAACACGCAGCCATACCCGGCCGACGCTATTGGAATGTCGACCTCCTGGCAACTCGCGTCTGACGGTGGCATGCCGTTCCCGCGGACGAAGGCGTTTGTGTGCCCCCTCTTCTCGTGCGGCCGGATGTTTAAGCGCACGGAGCACCTCAAGCGCCACCTGCGTACGCACACGCTCGAGCGGCCGTACCAGTGCCAGCGGTGCAGGAAGCGGTTCTCGCGGTCGGACAACCTCAACCAGCACTATCGCGTGCATCTGCGCGATGGCGGATCGCTTGTACCGCTCGAGGACGAAGCGGGCAACGCGGACGTGGACAGCGAGGAGATCGACGAGCTCGAGGGTGACGAGGACTCGCTGGACGGCACCATGGAATACCTTGGCGGGATCGCGAGCATGCCGAGTGTGCACATGTGCGAAGTCGAGGTGCAGGGGCAGGTGACTGAGGTGCAGGGCGACGAAGAGGGTCTCGTGATGGCCACGGGCGCGGTCAACCCCACTGTGACTCCAGATGCGAGGATGGACGGCGCGGACGGCCAGGAGGCGTATTACAGCGACAGCATGGCGCATGTCGTGCGCGGATCACCCGACCAGAGCTCGTATCTGGCGATGAACGCGTCCCCGGGCGTGCAGTGGGCGACGGTCAGACAGGATCCAGGGTCATCATTCACCTCGGGTGCTATGGCGTCTCATCACGCTCGGGCGAACTCGTACTCTGCGCCTGGTGCGGAGTATGTTACGTCAATATCTGCTCCTTCGCAGAAGGCGACATTCGACCACTCCTCGTTGTACCCTGCAGACCTGGATATGAGCGGCCCTGGACCCATCAGGAGGCACCGGAGCGCCACGCCGACGATATCAAAATACGGGGAGTCAATCAGGAGGCCGTACTCGGCAGCTGTCTCCGAGCATGGATCCCCAGCACCCGCCAGCCGGTCGTATCATCCGTACGCCCTCGCTGCGCAGATTCATTCCGCCGAGTCGAGTCCCATGGTGTACACCGTTCCTCTGGGTTATTCTGCTTCGCAACGCTTAGTCAATCGCTCCGGCTCACATTCGCGCTCAAACTCTGGGTGTCAGCTCCAGGATCAGATGCAGCAGATGCTCAATCTCGAACAGATGGATGCGGAAACGATGGCCTTCGCCGAGGAGGCCGTCTCTACCCACGCTGTTCCATTCAACAACGCTACCTATTGCACGGACTCTCCGATGCAATATGCGGCAGTCGGCGGGTCGTTCGAGCTGGAGTTGGCACCGGACCCGCAAAACATGCAGGCGATATACAACGATCTAGACATGTCCAATGCCCAGGACGCACAATTCCCACCATCGCTCGGCGTTGGCTACTACTCTACTCTGCCGCATGGCGAGATCTCCATGTGAACGCTGCTTCCCATTGTTCGACTGCAAGAGAGCATAATCTAACTTCTATGTCAATCGCTAATTGATACTCACCTCGTCCCCCCCCGGAATGTCTCTAATGTATTAACACATCTCCACTGACTTGCTATCTTTCACCTTCATCGTTGCGTTGTCTCGTCACACTCGCGGTCACTTGTGATTTCCCGATCCACATACTGTGCCCTCTGTTGAACCCTGTGCTCTCCCGGCCTATTGCTCGCCATAATTATATACGCTAGACGCGTCCTTCGTCTGGATCTTTTCTCTGTACTTACTTTTCGTCCTATTCGTTGTGATGCCATCATCCTATCTATAGCCTATAGTCCCTTGCAAGACGCACCCGTTTATTGCTGTCTGCTATCATCCTAATCTGCGCTCATCAGTAAATTCGTCGTCGTAGTCCGCTCTGTTTCTTTCGCTTAGCCTGCTGCGGCAGATGTGTAGCTATAAACTATGTTATCATTCGGACAGTATTGGTTCCAGGAATCTAATTTCAGTTCTTGGATTGGTATGGACGGAATCTTGGCCGACGATCATCATTCGAATTCAGGCCTTGTGGCGTGCTGATCTGCATGGCAGTGCAACTTACTGGAATTGACCATTGTACGTCTACTTCTGGTGGGTCACCGCGTTTAGGGAAAGTTCGCCATGTCCTCTATCTTGAGAATACAGCATGGGGCTTGCTTGCTATGCTCTGCGAGATAACCTGGAAACACCTCCGTTGTCTCGCAAATAAGGAGACCCTCCATCCTTATCGGATCACGCACCATCCATCCATGCGGCATCACCAGCTGATCACCACCGGGACTTGATCCTGCACACCGCCGTGCTCGCGCAGACGATCCCGACAGATTCAAAGTCCTTTTTATAGGTCGACGGTAGGCATCTAGCTCCGGGGCGTCTATAGCCCATGGAAGTAGCCGCATTCTATCTGAAGAAGGACCTTATAAGAACTAGGCACTGCTTCTGTGTAGTGGAAGAAGCATCCATGCCACGTTCTGTCGATCCACAAGGATCTCCATTTAGGCCTCTCAAGTGCTACTACTCACCTTTTCGTCTCGTTCATCAATGACTGATATGTGTCGGGGCTGTGTGCATGCCGATTTCCATCGAAGCTTGTCGGCGCAGCAAGTAGAAGTCCCAGAAGAACAAATAGAAGCAGATCAAGGCGACGCTTGGGACGAAGTTCTAAATGGACCGATACAGGACTACCCGTCAGCTCTGTCGCTTGAACCCAAGATGACATTAACAACCATCTCATGCATCGTCTAAGTGAACAGTTTCAGTGCACACCATGGTATGTCGATCTGCGGGGCACAGAGAAATTACGGTGAGCGAACTATTTAAAAATCGATAATTCTTTGCTTGGCATATAATTCACTGATGCTCGGTAGAAAAAAAAATAACGACTCAATTTCATATCTTCTATGATCAAGAGCGCATTCTACGCACCTCAAGCTACATCTCGATCAACTTGCCTGCCCATCCCACTCATACCCTTGGAATATGTTTACCCACCACGTTACCTCACCGCCCCATCCTTGGTCTCCGACGGCAGAGAAGCTAATGCCAGCGCCCCCTTCGTCTCGGCAGATCTCGCCCTCGTGCTCTACTTCAGTAACCATCTCATCGACTAGTCCGATTGGGAGCCCCTCTTCTTGCGCAACCTCCACGGTAGTCTTCGGTCCGGCTAATGTAAAAAAGTATCAGCGAGCACGCTCAGAAAATTGAAATATCCGTAGACAGAGTAACAAAACATCGACTTCTACGATATCTTTGAAAACATATAACTCACCTAGTGTGAGCAACCCCACTAGCCGTGATGCAAATGCAGCTTTCGTATACGGCGGAGTATGTAACACAGACAGGCCCGACGACGGGAATGTGCGCATGTGTATTGGCGGTGAAGTATGTTGCGGCAACTGAGGGAGAACCTGCAGAAATGTATCAGGCGGTATCAAGGCTATGTACAGGTCAGGCTATAATTAGTATAGACGGTACGGCGGGAAGATGCGCACCGACGCCTCTCGCACGATTCCATCCTCCCCACACTTCATCCAGCCCGACAATTCCCCGCTTGCGCATCATGCCTTCATCTCTATCTCGACCTTGAAGTATTCCCGCGAGCTCTCGTGCTAATTCTTCCACCCATTTGCGCTCGTCGTGGATCATATCCAGTGTCACCGGCGCATTGGCCATCTGCAGCCCGAGCTGGGCCAGTGACGAGCGGATGAAGGTTGCTTCCTCTGGTTCGACGGCTTCTGTCGTCATCGGAGGTCCTAAGGAGCTTACAGCTGTGACGTTAGACGGACTGAGGGCGGCAGAGGCGCTAGAGCTGGCTACAGGGGACGTAGATGTAACAGCGGTGATATTACTTGCGGTAAACGAAGCGGCAGTGAGCCGCTCGTTCAGGTCCTGGGCGAGCCGCACCATATCCTTCCATTTGACCATAAGAGCCTCCAGGTCTTGCAGAGCATCTTCCAGGTCCGTCTGCGCTGTGGCCGCAGTGGTTTCCACAGTGCGAAGAATACCGTCTGCAGAAAGATGAGCATTATAACTCACAACTAAGCAGTCCCAAAGAGGACACTCACTAATTCCCGAGGTCCCAGTTGTAGTACTAGTACCCGACTCAGCAAAGCGAGAGCTTGCAGAGATATTGCCGAACCCCTTTGTCTATGTTGTGAGGAGATTGAACAAAGTGGAGACGAAAATTAGTTGGTGTTTTATCAATGCTTACCTCCCAACCCTTGCCAAGCAGGCTTCGCCGCAGGATACTGTAGAATGCTTTGTCTCCGCCCTTGCGGAAACTGACACGAATGATCCGCGACTCAGGTGAATCTGTATCATTTTCATCGGTTGGATCGACCATGGGAGTCGTAGAACGTGAGGCTGGGGCGGACTTCGCCGGAAAGTGAGGTGCAAGGACTGAGGATGACCTCGTCGGCAACGGGGTTCCACATATCTCGCAGGTCGAAAGGGAAGGATGATTAAAAAATGTACATGCGGGGCATGCCACTTCTTCCTGCTTGGAATCACCGTGGGTTGGGGGGGAACTCGACGGAAGAGGCGAAGACGCCGACGACATAGTCAATTTGGACAAATTTAACGAGGACGATGGCAGCGAGGACGAGACGTAGGGAGAAATAGACGAGAGCGCGGACTTCGCAGGACTGCCGTTTGATGGCTTCACGGAAGCGCGCGGGACTCCACAGAGAGCACATACCCGCGATGCAGCAGGACTGAGCCCTGGCGGATTACGGTAGCTACAGACCTCACACTCCCACGAGTCGAAGGCCGGGTCGATAGCGACAAAGCTTGTTCCAGCTGTCATTACAGGGTCATCTGCGGCTGAACCATCCCCATTCGCTGTAGGAAGGGAATTCAAATACAGTGTGACTTTCGGCGAGCTGGTGAAGAGGCCGGCATAATATTCAGTCTTCGCGACGTGCGCTAGATCTAACCAGAAAGAGCGCCTGTATGGATGGGGTCCGTCTATGTAGAAGATACGGTGAGTTGTAGTGTAGATGGTGCCGGATTGATGAGGGGCAGATTTCTGAGTGCTGTAATGAGAGAGAATGAGAACGAGAGAAGCAAATAGGAATGCATGCAGAAGTGGCAAAGACGTGAATCCAAAAAATGGATGGAAATGAGCTACAGAATATTCCGTATTCAACAGTATCAATAACACCTGCACACCTCGGAACGTGTCCAACCAAGTGCTCAATAACACCGGTTTAAGTCCACGCTCCCGCGCAATGCAGCTACCACCATCTGCATCCACTAAGTTACATCACATGTTGTAATCATTCAGTGATGTGAAGCCAACGTATGGACATCGAGAGCTTCGTTACCAGGAATCAGTGAGCAAGGAGTTTTTCTGCAGTGACAATTCCAGTCACAGCATCATCGACCGATGATTGTTGCTGCAGACATGTACGCCGGGTAAGGATTCACTATGCGCCTCAAGGTACATAGCATTGTCTTCATGCGTGAAGTATCCGACCAATGAAAGTAACGTACCCATCGTATATACCAACACCTTCCTGGGATGCAAGCAAATCTTCGTCTTCGTAGAGTAAGGCTGGCACAGGGATGGTACCATCCACACTTTTAGCATATCGTTTCAGACTCATGTCGGGCGAGTCAAGAGAGTTTATTGTGTGCAGTCAACACGTAGTTGGCCGTTTCGCAACACCAGTCTAGTGCACCAAGGAGACAACACCAAGCTAGAAAGTCAGATCTCGACTAGTAGCATGCATTACAGTTGCGTAGGTCGGCGCGAACCAGTGAGGGTAGGTTAAAGATTAGATTAGATCATCCTGGGATTGGAGGCGCCGGTAGGCGCCGGTGCCTCCAATTCAAGGCCGGAGTTGCGAAGAGTTGTGTCCGTGCTACCACTACCTTTGAGGAGGTCAAACAAATTTTGTACTGATATCTGCACTTTACGGTCGAACAGGGATGGCCTCTACGGTTGCTCAAAATCAAGAGAAGAATCCCCGTGGCATTCCGAAGGCGCCTTTCATCGTACGTCCGAGGTCCGTACCTTGTCGCACGAAGAGAGTTGACATCCAGTGTTCAGGCTGATGTAGACGAATACCTAGGTCCGCATCCGGACCCAGAGACCTCTCTAAAAGAGTTCCAAGCAGCCCTTGCGTGCGTTCGATCCTCCTGAGTGCGTGGAGCACATAGTTGAATATCGGATGATCAGAAAATATCGGTACATGGATCATAATCTTGCCCAGCGTCGGCGTGGTCTGGAAGAGAAGATTCCTGATATCAAGAAGACCTTGACCATGGTGGAATTTCTGCATGAGAGGAGAGTAAGCCGTGTCATGCATTGACTGCGTGATCACCGATGTCTGATTGGGGCTAAATGATCAAGGAAGGCAAGGGAAGGCCTGGTGAAGAATGCGACGAGGACGACGACCTGGAAGATGATGAGGACACATCCTCAAAGAAGCTCACGCGAACTACTTTCGAGTTGAATGATACCCTGTTTGCAGAGGCGGAGTTAGAAGACACGGATACAGTCTATCTCTGGCTCGGGGTACGTCTTATTCTACTCACAATCCGCCTTCATACATCACACCGATCCTGAGGTGAAACTAATGGCATTAAACCTCTCGTTAGGCGAATGTAATGCTATCTTACAAGCTTCCAGCTGCGATAGCACTATTATACGATAAGCTGAAGGCTGCAGAAGGCAGTTTGGAGGGTGTGGTAGAGGATCTGGAGTTCTTGCGAGAGCAAATCACAGTAATGGAAGTGAACACAGCAAGGGTGTATAATTGGGATGTAAAGCGGAGGAGGGAAGTGAGAGAAAGGGAAGTGAGAGAAGGGAAAACAGACGACAAGGTTGGGTGAAATATGTTACTCTACATCTTCTCTCTAGGTAAATCTGCATATTTTGGACGCGATTTCGATGTTAATCTCCTGGGCAGTAACTTGAAGGGTCAACGTTCAACGTTAACGTTAGGCGCTCCGAGTTATTTCTTCCGAGTCAAACCGGACTCTCCGGAAAGCAAACCGATCTGGCCAAAAATTGCGATCATGTGACTGTGACTGGAAACGCTATTAGGTGAGGCGTCTATTGCGCGCCTTGGTTTCACCCCCTACCACCATTGCCGCTTACCCCTCCTGCCATAACAGGGTTGACACAAGATCACTGACATACGAGAAGTAACTGGACACTAGTAGCACCTAATGTTTTCCCAAACGACTTACCATTCGTTGTCACTTCGTCGCAAATCGTATGCTCAGCCAGTACTGGAGGCTACGACTCTCTTGGCTCTCCTCGAGGCGATCGCGGATGAAATTAGTGCACCACCAAAGATAGGGAAGGGAAAGAAACGAGCCCCATCTGAGACTGCAATTGCTCAGGGACGACGCAAGCGAACCAAGCTTTCGCCTTCAGGTGCCGATGAAGGAGAATCCGTACAGCAGACCATTCGTGTATATCATCACATCATGGAGATTGAATACACGACATTTGTTGATCCGTCCACACCAGACCAGTATGTTGACGAGGAGACCGCGGATCAGTATGGCTGGCGAGAAGACGAAGAAGCGGTCGCGTCGTGGCTGAAGACTCATATATCTGATCAAGACCAAACGACTGCCATAGATCTCGGTCTCGTGGTTCTCGAATTGGACAAGTCAACTGGCGGAAAGACTTTGGTTGCATACTCAAAGGAGTCCCTCCGATTACTCGAACTCCCACCCATAGACAATGCCTTTGACGCAGACGCGCATGACATCCGTCTCCCTCATCTTCGCAACCCATTAGTCGCATGCCAGATTCTACACACTTCTGGTCGTGCTGACATGTCCGCGCACCTGTATCTTGTCCCGAATGCGACAGAGACCGAGTCGTCAATACTTCCGTTTCTTTTGCGCATCGAGATAGAGGTATCCCTCGTCTTTCCCACAATATTTGCGCCTGTGCAACATAAAACAAAATGCGGTGCAAATGAAGTCGAGGAAGCACAACGACGCGCCCTCCTGTATATGTTTCCCTCCCGTATGCTGCCAATAGAGTCCTTTCATGGGGCCGTCGACATTCCCCTTCTCTATTCAGTTGTTGGCCCTGCGCCTCGTCTTCACTCAGATTCTACGGAAGAAGAACTTCAGCCTGAGAAGCTGGTTCCGACGCTGCTCCCGTTCCAGCGCCGCAGTGCAGCATGGATGCTGGTACGCGAAGGCAAGCACGTGTTGGAATCTGGTGGTATCGTTTCCAAGTCGTCTGCATCCGAAGGGTTGCCCCTGTTCTGGGAAGAAGTGCAAGTGGACGACGATGTGCGCTGGTATCTCAACCGACTCCGTGGCATCCTGTCACCCGAAAGGCCGGAGAAAAATGAGGCCCTCGGAGGGATCCTCGCTGAGGAACCGGGGCTTGGAAAGACCCTGGAGTGCATTGCAGTCGTCATGCTCAACCCTGCCGTCGGTCGCGGGCCGAGTGTCAAAAGGTGGGACCCTGAGGCGAAGGTACATGTGAAGGAGATTAAGGTTCGTGTTTCTCTCTCTGGGTTTCAAGAAGACAATCACAAAATTGGCTTTAGACCACGCTCATCGTAACTCCCGCATCTCTTGCTACACAGTGGGCAGATGAGTTCGCCCTGCACGCGCCTTCTCTCAAAGTGCTAGTGTACGAGGGTTGGACGAAGGTCCCAGTACCAATCACTCCTACCGACATTGCGATATCGCGTGCCAGAAGGCAGCAATCGAAGAGTAAAGGAAGGAACGTAACAGCCGAGAGTCAAAGCAACGACAAGGGGAAAGACAAGCTCCTTGATGTCATCGAAGTCGACGAAGATGAGGTGGACAATGACGACGATCTTATCGACTGGTGCATACACGTGAATACGTTTGATGTGTGCATCACGACATACAACGTATTGCAGCAGGACCTTGATGTCGCGCGTGCACCTCCGACACGGCCTCACCGTACGAATGTGCGATACCACGAGAACGTGCGTACCCGCAGTCCGTTGGTGGTGTGTGAATGGTACAGGGTCATCATGGACGAAGTGCAGATGGGTGGTGGTAAAAAATCTGAGTAAGATTGTTCTTCTAGTGCTGCGATTCTTTTCTTCGATTGCGCATAGTCACTGACATCCGCAATTTGATAGAGAAATGGTGTCGCTCATTCCGCGCCTCTCCTCTTTCGCAGTGTCCGGTACTCCTGCTCGTGCACACGTCGGTGATCTCATTCATGTGCTTAAGTAAGTTGTCATGTAAAATTATGTATACTCCATGTGAAACTAACTCCTGCAGATTTCTACGGGTCACTGACATTGATCGGCCTCGTTCTTGGTTACGCCTCCTTAAGCCAGGATATGTGAACGAGTTTGTGTCGTTGTTCCGCAAATATACGGTCAGGTGCGTGTAGATATTCACAGGTCCCTATTCAGTACGTTCAGTTAGTTCCTCAGGACTGTGAAGGCTGCCGTCAAGGACGAGCTGACAATCCCGCGTCAAACGCGCTTCCTCGTTCCTATCGAGCTAGGAAGAGTGGAACGTCATGTGAGTCGCACTTACCCTGGAGTATTACAAGCTAACACCTTGTTACACAGGTGTATGATCAGAACATGGAAAAGGCACTACTCGAGCTTGGCCTAGACATGCGCGGAGTAGCCGTAAGAGAAGGGTGGGAAGTTAATACTTCCGTCCTGCGAACGTGGCTGCGCAAGCTGCGGGGCATATGTACACATCCGCAAGTCGGTCAGCTGCAGAACCAGGCGGATAGATTGCATAAGCCTGGCGTGCTGAAGACTATTGGAGAAGTCCTTGAGGTACTTATCGTACCGGTAGTTCCCTGCATAACGAACTTCCAATGACCTAAACCTACAGGGTATGAAAGATCAGAACTGGCGAAATTTATCCGACGATCGCAAGGAAAAGGTCAGCCGCCGTGGGGATTGGCCTACAGTGACGTGCGACTGAATTCTACGTTAGATCCAAGTAACGACTAGGATCGCACAAATGCTTCAGCGGAACGATGACAATCCCACTAAATACCAGAATGCTTTGGATACCCTGTTGTCTGCAGAGAAAGAAGCACGTCAACTGATAGCTGACATAGAGGACGTAATAACGGAGCACAACAAGAAGGGCGAGATCCTCAAAGAAGAGACAAAGAAGCTTAGAGAGGCCCGTGGCCAAGGTGTTGCAGAACGTGAACTTGCGGCGACCCCAAGCAGCAAGGGCAAGGGAAGAGCTCGTGCCCGGAGCGAAGATATAACAATGGAAGATGACACGGACTCCGATGACGAGGATCTCCCTCACAATCCCGCAGGCGAGGAGCACAAAACAAAGAAATCCGCCCTGCAGCACCGTTTAAGAGAATGCCGCATCGCGCTGCACAAGGCGTTATTCCTGATGGGAGATGTCTACCATGTCTTGGGTGTTTCATTTGCAGACAAAGAGAATGAAGCCTACGCTGCTGCAGAGGAGCTGAGGCGGTTATTGCTGAAGAGTACGTGCTTTCACGTCGCTAGTGACCACTTCGTGACGAAATGCTTGCCTTTCGCAGGCACAGAGAATGCTGCCCAGCGTGCCATGGATCATGTAAATTGCAGTCCTACTACTAAGGCACTCAAAGAAGAAGATTTGTATATAGAAGTTCCGTATCTTGGACAAGGAGGAATCCGATCGGCCGCACTTGTGAGTGGCTATTATATTAACTTTCACACAACGCCATTCACAATTATGCAGATGGAGGAAGCAAATAGAATCATAGAAGACTTACTCAACGAACAGTCTGCTCTCCTCTGGAAGTGGAGAGAGAAACTGATCTCTTTGCTCACCAAATCCTTGACTTCCGGCGAAGAGGCTGCTGACGGAGAAGAATATGCGCGCAGTCTTGAGACCCAGGGAGAGGCCGAAGCGTATCTGCAAGTCTATGCAGCGCTGTTGGCTGATCGCAGAGAGGCGTTGATGTCGGAACGCACGTTGCTGGATGTTCATGACGTGCAGGAAACCAAGAAGCGCAAGACCAGAGTGGCTCAACGGATAGCCATAATGGATCTGCTGCACGACGTCGAAGAAGCCGACTTCGTCCCACTCGAGAAGCTTCCTGAGGCTCTCCCTGAGCACGAGGTGTTGTATAAGGAGCTCAACGACGAGCGAAAGACTCTTCTTGAGGACTTCGACTCGAATAGAGCGATTAAGTCTGTCATGGTAGACCTCAACAATGTCGCAGCACGGTTACCCCGGCAGGACGACCCAGAGAAGATCCTAGCAAAAGACGGTGCTACGGAACTGCGTGGACTGATTGCAGACCAAAGTATGTTAGCCCCTCGACACCAGCTTCCTCTTGTTCTGATTATGCTACAGCCAAACTAATGGAAAAACTGAGAACCGACCTGGCCCACTTGCGAAAGACTTTCAACGAGCGAATTTCGTGCGTAGCCCGAATCATGCGTCATGATTATGACCAGCCACTCAACCATTGTTTCTTCTTTGTTTCTTCTTTCACCTGTAGCTATTTTCGACAGCTGCAAGAGATCTCCGATACTGTCGCCGAAGCAAATTGGAACGGAAGCGTTGCCGTTGCGATTGCGGTAGCTCGAGGCGAACAAGCTGCCTTGGAGGCCAAAATCAACACCGGTCGTGCACGTCATCGATATCTCCAGTATCTCGCTCAATCTCAGGAAGAAGGCAACGTGGACGAGGATCAACGAGCTTGCGTATTGTGCAGATGTGAATTCACGCGTGGATACATAACACCTTGGTACGTCCTAACGCGATTGGATTTGCCATTTCGAGTCTGACTGTTTCCTCCAGTGCTCACGTTTTCTGTGAGGTTCGCTTCTGTTAGCTTGTCATTCATTGGTGCACGTGCTCATCGTCGTTACATCTTTTTCCAGGAGTGTCTGCGAGCTTGGCTGGGGCGACCAGAGGGTAAAGCCTGTCCAGTTTGCAGGGTGGCGCTCAAAGCGGATCAGCTTCAGCGTTTCTCACTAGACCAGGAATGCGAGCCCGTTCCGGAGGCGCCTCCGCGGCTTGTGAACAATGAGCCGGCGCCCAAGTCCCGACGACAGATACAGTATAACTTGATCGATCCCAAGGTATTTGAAGAAATACAGGCAGTGGAGTCGCTGGGCAGCTATGGGAGTAAGATTCAGACGCTTGTGCGACATCTGCTGTATCTCGAGACTGTAGAACCTGGCACAAAGAGTATTATATTCTCGGCTTGGGCGGACTCTCTGCACAGTGAGTCGCGATCATGGAGTATTTATACCCTCGATCTGATTTCCTATTTCGCCAGTCATCCAGCACGCGTTGGCGAGAAACAGTGAGATTTTTAATTCCTTTGTCCTTCTATCGGACATTGAACTTTGCACTTCAGGTATCTCTTGCATTAGGATTGACCAGAGCCACGCCAAGAAAAGTGCAGCCAAGAAATTCCGTGATGACCCCAATATCTCTGTACTGCTATTGCACGGGTGCGTTTATGTTGATTAATGTTGCATGGCGTGAAATCGATCCCGCAATACCTCCAGAGAACGTGAGAACGCAGGACTGAACGTGACGTGCGCGTCCCGCGTCTTCCTGGTTGAAAGCGTCGTGCATCATGCATTCGAGCTGCAAGGTGAGAGTTTTTGTCAAGCTCTGCACAAGCCCGAATTAACACCAGTCGTTTCAGCTATCGCGCGCATTGACAGAATGGGCCAGACAAGGCCAACTGAAGGTGAGCCTTTGTGTACGCCTGTATGACTGCTCTCGTACGACGTTCCTCCAGTGTACTGCTATTATGCAGAAGAAACCGTCGAGCGAAACATTCTGGATCTCGCAGCAAGGCAGGGTCAATCTCTGTACACCAAGGACAATTCGGGTGGGACGGTTAACGTGACTCCTTTCGCAATGGCGTCTTCGGAAGACAAGACTGTCATTGACTCGCCGGCAAAGAGGGGGCAGAAGGGTGACTTTGTCTTCAAGTGTGTATCCTTTCTTGCTGTCACAAATATCGCCTACACTCATTCATATTGCATCTACCCCCCTGTGCTGTCAATCACAGGACTGATGATATGCTGGCAATTTTTTTCCCGCACCTATTCGAGGAGGTCGAATATCTGCTGCCTCCGGAAGACCTTTCTGATTCGATCGCCGGTGAGCAGGTCGAAGACGCGGTTCGGCACCCTGCGGTATCTGTCAATGCTGAAGCAGGGCCTTCGCGTCTTGTTGATTAGTAGTCTTATGCAATTGGTACAACCCGATGTGTTGTTATAGCTGCCATATTTTTCTCTCCGGATGACTGCTTGCTGGGACACTGTCGCTGTTGTTTGTCACAATATATATGAGTGTGTGGTGTGCATGTTTTCCTGGTATGGATTCTCTCGTTTACTGAGAGTTGGTTGTGCTGTCTTCCCAAGGCTATGAGTAGATATAATATGGATTTGCAATAATTAGTGTGATTGTGGACACCTACTACTCTCGCATTGTATGGAGTCAGCCTCAGTCAAACTTGTGCTCATCGCTCAGATGTATCATTTGTGAGCCTGTGCGCCGCTATGCACCACATATATTTCGCGATAACAGCCATTATCATCACTCCTTCGGCAAATGCTCCAGTGCCAGGCTCGCCACTCCCAATTATTTCCTTTCCGGGTATTTCTTCTTCCCTTTGCGGAAAGGCGTGTTTTGTCCTTGACGTCATGCCTCTTCTCTGCGATTGGGGACCAGTATACGAGCCCGAGGAGTGTACCAAGATGAATCGACAATACTTAAGGGCAGGGAATATTTACAGTATATATGACTTCAGGTGCACGAATACCTTAATTAATGTGGGACCAGCTATTTTCCCTCTCAACTTCCCCATTCCCCTCGAATACCCAACACTGTGGCTTTTCCTGGGCCACCTTTGAATTCACAGACACAAGGGGTAAGAAAGAAAGTAGAGCTCGCGGCGGTGTTGCGGTGCATCGCCCCCCATCGTCATATATACCATCGAATATGGCATCTAAGATGTCACATTCAAGCCGCATTGTACGAAAAGCAAAACAGGATAGAAGACGAACGCAGATCCCCGAGTCATATCACAACTGTTCCTTCCGGTCTAGAGAAGTTTGCACAAAAGCCTGAGTCGACCGGTCGACCGATATCTTTCATGAATGGACTCAGATGAGTCGGGTTTGAGCGATATTTAGCCTACCCTAAATGATGAAGCTTCAGAGAACCAGGTTTCTGTAGATTAAGTACTACGGCGTGATAGATCCACCCAGATCTCTCGAGTCTGACGACAAGAGAGTGACAAGAGATGTTCGTTCAACTTCATTGTACGCACTTAAGTAAGCGCGTCGCGTCGCGTCTACACGTGACCGTGTGTCTTGAGAGGTCCCACTGCCAGCCGACTCCGAGCTCTCTACGAGTTCTGCCAGGGAAACAACGGACGACCCGCAGGTGACTGCGCAACTATGATTCTCGATCCTTTCGCGCAGTTCTTGCGTGCTACCGCGTGGAGTGCTACAAGAACTGTGATGGAATCATTTCCGCAGCTACAGTGGCGCAGGCCACAACTGGGCGCACCTTCGGCACCGGCGGTCTCGAACGGCATAGGTTGTGCGTAGACAGTCATACCAACTGAATTCTATCCAGGTTCTGTCAGCGTCATCTGCGCAGCTTTTCCCACTGGGTGCAGAAACCCGCAGTCTCCGCGTTCACCAGTGGTACGTCTGTCCCTGGACAAGTCACTTGGCGCGGTATTCACACGATTATGATCGCATGTGCGTGCAGACATGAGACTCGCACCAGGCTCACAACCCGCAGTGCGCAGCAGCATAGCGAACGAGTATAATATGCCGTGTCCTGCGATCGGCCTGGCATCGTCTGAGACTGACAGCACAATGGATCCTAACACTGACATTCGAGACGCTACGCAGACCGCATTTCCGGTCGAGAAGGGCGCGTCGGCCCCGCTCTTGCCTGCTCCTTGCACCACAGCTGTATACTGTGTTAACTCACCGTCTGGTCTGCGGCCTTTGCCAAAGCGATCAGGTTTCAAGCGCTTCCTGCGAGCCTTTCTTTTCATTTCTGTGGCAATTATCCTGTTCGGCCACCTTGCGAAGCTAGTGCCACATGTCGCTCGCATGGTGAGTGGCCCTAAGCCTCGTTTTCCTAGCCATCCTGACTGTCGTGCTAGTTCCACGATAGGAGACACCACCTGGGCCCCGACATGCCTCCAGCAGACGTCCCCGAGCATTGTGTGCGCGACGCAAACTGGTCCATCGATGAGGACTTCCACCGCCATCCCGACCATCTGGGACACCCTCTGCATATCGCGACGACCTCGTTCGAGCTGCCGGTCTCATCAGACGTGCTGTATCTCGTCTCCCACGGGAGTCCGTCCTTTGCGAGCGGTTCTGTTGAGATCACTGACGAAGGGAGCGTCGGCTCTGATGTTGCGGGTGTTGAAATCACCGCTTTCTTCCAGCATGAGCACGGGTTTGCCTTGACAAGGGTCTGTGTCCTGCAGCCTGCGGAGGGGGTGAACGGCGTCGGTATATTCGTGAGTAAATCCTGCTGTCGATTGTGTTGACCTTGAGAGAATCATCGTGCTTGTTGCAGGCACCTACTTTTACTCGCTGGCGGCACCAACAAGTCCGATTTGAGATCAAGGTTAAGCTGCCCGCCGCACCCGTCGGCTCCCCTCTCTTCATCAACAAATTTGAAACACATTTGCCCTGGTTTGCACACCATGTTGGGGACCTGAAGGATAGCGTGTACTTCGGCAGAGTCTCCCTCCGCGGCGCGTTCATGGGTATCGACGTTTCCGTGAGTTCCCCTACCTCTTGCCTCTCCCGCTGAAATCTGAATGCTGGGCAATAACGCCGCAGTCTCTGTTCGGAGAACACATCGACGTCACGACGACCCTCAGCGCGATCAAAGGCTCGTTCAACACCTCGTCCTACCTCACGCTGCGCACCTCCAATGCGCCCATCTCCGTCGAGGTCGGAATGTTGAACGACCCTGAAGGAAACCACACCGTGGTCGAGATGCACACCAGCAATGGGTACGTTCTCTTCACCCATCTCTTCCCAATCCCCACCTGTCATACCATCGCTAACACCCCTCCCGCGCAGCCCAATAAATGCGAACATCAATCTCCTGTCCGCGGCATCCTCCGGCACGGGCGGAAACTTCTCCGTCGACGCCCGCACGTCCAACAGCCCCGTGACGGTCGTATACCCGCACGCCGCAGTCGACTCCGTGTTGCGCCTCGTCGCGCTAACGTCGAACTCGGCCGCACGCGCGGTTCTGCACCCAACATTCGAGGGCGCGTTCGCGCTTGCGTCGTCGTTCCCGTTCACGCCTGCAGTCGACCGCAACACGGACGTGGTGGACCCCGCGGGGCGCGGGCGCCAGCGCAGCGTTGCGATCACGCGTTCTGTGCTCGGTACGGTCGAGGGCGAGGCGCGCTGGGTGCCTGCGGAGGCGCGTGAGCTGGGATATGTGCGCTTGGGGACGTCGAATTCGCCCGTGCATCTAGTTGTGTGACGAATGTTGTCTGTCGTGTGTAAAATGGTTGTACCTATGCGTTTCTTTTTCGAAGTTTCCTGCACGGCCGTTGTATTCAGATTTTGTTCGAGAAACGTTATTGGAATAGCAGGCGGTGGTTAACGGATGTACGAGATGATACAAAACGAGACGATATACAGGAGGCAATAAATGGAGGGTGAAAATGGATGTAGGTTGGTTTTACATGATGATATCACAGGAAGATTTGAAGGGAAAAAACTGGAACGATACCGAGTGCATCGAGGAATCCGTCAGACCGAAGTAGTCCAGGGTGAGGAAAAGATCGTGCAAATATGTAAGTCACAAGAGAAGGGTGAAAGCGAAGTATACAAGCACACCTTATGCGGGCGGGGTCGTCCAGGTCACGAGCGGAAAATCGGTCACATCCTACTCGCGCCCTTCGCCATCTGCCGCTCGTACCCCACTACCTTCGACCACGGGCGCACGCTCTCGACGTTCTCGTCCCCACGCTCCGCACACGTCTGCACCAACGCAGCTAGCACTTCCGCATGCTCACGCTTCATTCCTGGAGGGTTGACACCGACTTCGGCTGTGCCACTGGGTACCGCGAGGATGGGAACGGCTTGTGCGCCCTCGGGCTTCGTATGGGCAGAGAGAACACTATCCCGCACATATTGGGCAGTCAAGTGGGCAAAGGCGGGGGGCGGCATACAGTCGCCAGTGGCGCTCTCGTGCCTCTCGTGCGCGGCAAAAGAGGTAGGCAAAGGTACGGACGCTGATGGCATCGGGTGACGATGTTCCATGGAGCGGTGCGTTTCCGTCGGCGCTGGCGGCGGGGCGGGAATAGAAACCAAGAGACTGCGCATGTTGGAGTTGAGTGCCGGCGCAGGGTGCACTGGCGGGCGGTGTTGTGAGAGTGGCGACTGCAGAAGAGCATGCATGCCGGGGCGGATTGGCACAGGCGAAATATTAACAGGTGGGAGCGCCGTGAAGGAGGGCACCCCCGCGGTTACCCTTGCGATGTGCGCAGCGATGGTTACGTCGACAACCCTTCCCAAGGAGATCGAAGGCTTGAGGTCCGACGTGGGAGCATCAGGAGCATTCTGGTCGCCACAGACGCGCGCGATGAGGTGGTCGACAGTATCGCCAGATGGAACAGCGCACACACGTGCGATCGCATCGTCGAGCTTCTCTTGGATGTCGCCACAGTCCGATGACTTGGTGTCACAGTTGGGTGCGGTGTGAGACGTCGTTCCAGAGGTAGTTCTCGTAGACGCCACAGCGACTGAAAGAGAGAAACCACTGAGCTCGGTCAAGGGGGGCGAGTTAGACATGGTGACCAAGGGGTTAGCAACCGAGGAATCTGAGATGATGATCAAGGGGTTCGCTGCGGTAGCTGGAGTGCCCAGTTCATTTTCATCAGCGGTGGGTATATCTGTGTCGACCAAAGTATTCAACGCATTCGAATTATCGTCCAGATCCATTGGAGCAACAGCAGCACAAGCAGTAGCAGGATCAAGAGGGGCCGCAATCGCATTAGACAAGGTTTCGTCAGAGAGTGTCCTCGCGGTCACAAGATCCTCGACGGCAGTATCAACTTGAGGGAGCGCGCCCGTACTCGCAGAGTTCGTTTTCCTTTCCAGAACGTCATGCGGTGCAGAGTCAAGATTTGTGGCTCCGACATCAAGGTTCGCCGCTCGGATTTCGGGTTGGACAATCGTGTTCGCATCGGCCACTGTATCCGCGCTGGCTCGGGCACAAGCCGCCGAATGCTGGGTTCGATCCGACGCTGTCAGTTTGGACTGGCGCTAATGATCGTTAACATAGTTGCAACCGGCCACCACAGGAAAATAACCACCCACTTTGGGCACCATCGGGCAAACGACGCGCGTACGAGTATCCAAAGGTGATGCCTCGGTAGCGATGCCACCCCGAACGTACCTCGTTATAATGCCACTTAACAGTGGGACGAGGAAGTACATCACACCGAGAATGAGGAGAGGGACCAAGACGCTGCAAACATAACTAGTGCATGTAGCGGCATTGTCGTCGAGGACAGCCACTGCAGGAGAAGGTACGGAAGTCAGAGCGGGAAGCATTTGTAGCGGAGAGGCAGGCTGTGGCAGGGTAGATGAAAGAGAGGGGGAAAGAGAAAAGCCGAGAGATCGAATAGTAGAAGAAAAGGGAAGAACACGAGATGATGGTGGTGGCAGGGTTGATGGGTGAAGATGTGGCGCATGAGGGGAAGAGAGGCTGCCGGGGGATGAAGTAGACGAGCATGAGGTCGCGGAATCATCAGCTTTTGACGGTCCCGGAATTGGATCACGGGCAGCGTCGAAGGCTCGCCTCAGCAAGGCATTTATTGCAGCTGCATAAACCAGAGGAGATAAATTCCACATCGCCAACCAGCTTAGCTCCTTCACACTTCCGCTGCCGCTCTAGAGATGGAGATGGAGAAGTACTACTACTTTCGAACCTCAGCGCGTGTGTCATCACGTGCTGGGAGACTTTGGCCCGATCCTTGATCGATATCGTTCAAAGGATCGATGGCGACCGTGTTCGACGTCGACGACACCACTGCAGGGGGCTCACTCCCCTTACCTTCCAATGCCGCGGGCCAGTGCGAGTGACGTCTACGCAGAGCTATTGTGGTCTAAGGACCGTGGCCACCCCTTGTGGGATCCGGAGCTTGCGCCAGGAGGCGAAGTGCGCCTCGGCGATGTTGGCTTTATTCGCGAGGGTGCCTTTCATCGGCTGTTCAACGCATATCCTCACGAGTTGTGGGCTAGCGCATTCGGTCACACTGACCAGGAGAGCGAAGTGAATCCTTTTGGTGTGCCGGAGGGGTTCGAACCATTCAGCTCGAGGGGGAGAGACAACTTCGGGTACAGGCCGCGCTCTCCGGGTCTATGCCATTCTCGTATGAGCACAGACGTTACGGTAACGAATCTGTGTCGCCCAAGTTTTGGCGGAATGTTACCAATGTGGGTGTCTACCCCTTATGCTAGATGTATATTGACACACCATTGGACCCAGGATTGATACAGGAGTGTTGTCACTCGAGTACAATGGAAACCAGCATGGTGCAGCTCTTCTCATTGAAGCTGGGGATAGCAAATTCGTGAAATTCACTCGTAGACTCTCTGACTACATGAAGAAGAACCACGACAGCTGGGTTCTATTTGCCAATGACACCATGGATATAGACATGGCATCGGAGGACATTGTTCTTGTGATTGGATGGGGGAAGACAGCAAGATGGGCTACGGTTGTGATGGATGAGGGAGCACCTCCCCTGATATTTACAGGAGCATTTGGCTGTCCTGAAGCTTTTCGTTCTTCAGAGTCTGCAATCACTCACTCAAACCTCAAGTACAAGTCAGGTCCACGTCTAGCTGTTGATCCTCCACAGTCATTGGATGATCCCATGTGGAAGCATAATCAATGCATATTTGTGGACTACCTTAAAGTGCGACGACGTGGTCTCCTGAAGCAAGTGATAAAAGCTGCTGCCAAACCAAGAGATTCATCTAATCCCAGAGACAATGACAGTAATGTCTTAGAAAGCAAACAGGTGCATTGAGGTCAACTTTATTATGATTGCTTCTCACTGAAATCTATGAAAGCCATTTGATCCGGCAGGATATGTCCTTGATTACATTTTGAAGGTATGCTCTAAGGTCCTATATTATGCATTATTACACATTAATATCATCATACTTTTAGCATTCTGAAGCGGAGATGGCCATAGCAAGTAGTTTAGACATACATATGCTGTGCAAGGTACATGATTGTCACAATGTTTTTAGTGTGCTGTTCTAACTGACAGATTTAAGGATGAAGAGATCCCAGACAACATCCCAGAGTTTCTAGAGCAAGTTCAACCTGTAATTGAGCTTACTGAGGATGGTCGTCAGTCAAGTTTCTTTGATATTTCTTGACTTAGCTGACTACTCTGTAGTTGGCATTCTGTCTCTTCATAAATATATGCTGCATGATTTGGAGATCAGTGCTACCATTCCTCCAGAAGGGGTCCCGATGTCTGCAGTTGATGTGAAAGGCCATGATAACACAACTGGCAGACAGTCTGCCTTAGAAGAACATCAAGATGGCAATCTTCTCCTAAGTGATATCACATCTTCTGAAAACAGTTTTTTCTTGTTAATATAAGGCATGTAGATCATGATGATGGTGGAGACTATGATACCTCCACAAAGGAGGATATAATGACCTGCGGAAAAGGCTCTTCACTGGTTCTGCAGACTGAAGATAACATGGATGAAACTCCTTCCCACTTGCCTCACATGGGTTTGCATTTGCTGCAGAGTGTTACATGCAAATCTAGTCTGAACTATCCAGTGATGACACATCATATGTTCTCTGCAGATTTACAGGAGACACATACACTCTTGCCTTCTCAACCAACAGTTCTCGCATTGTAACAGGCTATAATCCTTGTCACTTTGATTTTGCTCTGTTCATTCCTACTATTTGTTGCTGCTTTTCTGCCATCCTTGCTGTTTGTTTCTGTTGCCATTCCTGCTGTCCCATTCCGTTGCCATTCCTGCTGTCCCATTCTGTTATCTTTCTCACCAACCATTTCTACAGTCCATTCTTGCTATTCAGTTGCTACTGTTTACAGATACTTGTTGTGCATACTGCTTCGCTTTTGTCTGACCAATTGCTAGATCTATGTAGCCTCTGACTCTATTGGCTATTTCTACTCAGTTTGATCTCTGCTACCACTGTATATTCTATGTACTGTCATGTGTCTCTCTATCCAGCAGTGATGTATAAAGAGTGCCTCGCCAACCTTATTGCTGTCTGCCAACCCTTCTCCTCTGGACATACTTGATCATCATGATCACACTATGATTGATCTCTTGCAATACCGTATCAGCATATAACATGGGGCAATACTAGAGTGCTCCAATTGAACTTAGAGAATTGTAACAGGCTGAGGTTCAAAGTCAGCTCCTATCTCAGGATACGCTGTTGATCATAGCCTGCAGATCGTATCCAATTAGCCACTGGAAGCTCAACACTGTCATGCATGCACTTACAATCAAAGTAATAGTGATAATGCTAGCCATGCCAAAACCTTGCAGAACAATGTCAAACCACAAGTGAAACACGGGTGTGATATCATTCCAGAAGACGATAAGACCGCATGATACCAGCATCATAGCATCTACGGTATGCACCAGCCGGCAAATATGCTCCCTGTAGATATCGTGACCTATGGTGTGAAGTGAATTCAAGCAGTGCATTTCTCAACATCAAGACAAGCATACTGAGTGGGGTAGTAAGTGCAATCCTGTGAGATAAAATGAGCCACCGGAATGAGTTAAACCAAAATTTTACCGACCTGCATCTGTTGATGAATTTAATCTAACAGCAGAGAAATACTGGATAGATGTGATCATCAGGAAAAAAATGCTTGCTTAATAAGGTGAGACTGACCAATGGTACATTATACAACTAATTGAAGGACATCAGTGCTTCTACAGGAACTAATTTATGGTCGGACATACCAAAGAGAACGTGGCAAACTGCCGAAGAAACACAGTAAATATACAGCAAGAGGCGTTCACTCCTTAACAAGCCTCGTGGGCACGACAGGATAGGGCGAGAAACGGGTATCCACAAGGATGAACAGCGCACACCATACGACGCTCGCAGCCAGCAGACCCCAGATTAGCGGGTGCGACCATGGAAGCTCCTCCGTAGACTTCAAGCTGAGGCCAAGCAGCAGACAGCTGACAGTTCCAATGAGGGTCAAAGAACCGAAAACGTCAATCTGTCGCAATTTGGAGCATACACTCTGGTTCTGGACTTTGTCGGGCAACCTGATGCGGACCTTCGCGGTGACGAGCAGGAAGGAGAAAAGGAGTGACCGGTTAGCTTCCTAAAACAGTAATCACTCGTGATAATGATGGTCCTACCTGCACTGAAAGGAACCGTGACGCGGATCTCCTGCAAAAAGGGATCGTAAGCTTGAGAACGCTCTATCTTCCGACATGTCCAGTGCTGCTGGCAAGTTTGATGGGTGCGCCACAATGGCTTCAATCTTCATAACCATCCTTCAGAACGAGGCTTTAACTGCCCGGCTGCTTGAGGCTGTTCTTCATGCAGATCGGGGCCTTGGTTCTCTTTCTTGGCTTGCACGTACTTGCAAGGCATTGAGGGACCCCGCGCTCACACTGCTGTGGCGCGATCTCAACTCTTTTGAGCCATTAGTCACCCTCTTTCCGCAAACCAAATCACGAGTATTCGGTTCGGTACGATCTCTCTTCCAATATCTACACCGCGTTCATCAGTGACACAGTCATTCACTAGATGAGACAGAAGGATTGGGACCGTATCCTAGGTTATGGATCCCGCGTTCGTAGCATCTCGTACATCGACAGCGGCACACCGTCCACCCTTTTTGATCTGCTAGAGAAGCACACCAATGGACCTGATCACATCATGCCCAACCTGACATCATTGTCATACCAGTCAACTTACCCCCCCAAATCCAAGCATTGCACTTTGTTATTGGGTCCCAAAGTGCAGACCCTCAATGTAAAGGTGCAGTGGATGAGATATTCCACACTCGTTGCATGGCGCAATGTCTCGGCGAGTGCGCCAGCGCACAATTTGAAGTCACTCTCTTCATTGTCGATTGAAGTGAGCGGCCTCTATAACTTCTACGCATTAATCAAGGATGTACCTCCGTCCGAGGTTGCTTTGGAGCACTTGTCTTTGGTCTCAGCAAAGGGTATCGAGCCTGATCCTCTTTTCATGTTATGGGTAGCGGATCTTCCCAAGCTACATACTTTGGGATTGGCGGTGAAGTATGGAAATGTATCCGCCAGCGCAGCGGTGGAGTACCATCGCAACACCTACGACACCATTCCTGAGCCAACCTCTTCCATGCGCACCTCTGAAAGTCATGTACCGGATGTAAAAATACCAAAATTCGGACGATTGCGCAAGGTTCGACTCATAGGGACGCGTACGGATTGTCTTGTGTTTCTTAGGGATCTGTCGGGCCCCCAGCTTCATCATGTCGAGCTCGAGCTTGTCCCTGCGGAGTCCGACCTGGACTGGCATCGTATGTGTATTGCTCTCCGGATGCACTGCTCCAGTTCTTTGCACACGCTGCGCATCCATTCTCCGCATGTCGGCTATGTGCAGGAACCCATCCAACTGGAGATATGGCAGCTTGGGCCATTGCCCCATCTTCGGTGCCTTGAGATTGACCTTCCTGACGTTATATTCAACGACTCGAGTATCGTGGACCTGACGGTGGCCATCCCTTCTTTGGAGGAAATAAGGCTGGCTCCGTTCATGCGCTTTCCCCATCAAGGGACGGAAATGTATCGGTTCACTTGGTTATATTCCGAGCGGGATTCCCTGACTCCCTCGGAGATGTACAAGGCGATCAAAGATTAGGCTGTATCTGCTGGCCTAGTATCCATAATGCTCGTCTCTACATTCCACCGTCATCCTCAGAGCCATTCCTTCATACATCCCATTCCCATTTTCACATACACTGCACCGGTATTCGATTATCGACGTCTGCAATTTCCAAACACCGGAGATGTTCTATCCTGGACTTCGTGCTGTATGCATTTACAACCTTTCCACATCTGTTGCTGCCCTCGAGCTCTGCGGATGTTAGCGGCATCATTCGCGTTCAAATGTTCATGTCTGTCGCCACATTAATAGTGCGGTTGACCAAAGGATATATATCCTTGACAACCACGTCTTGCTTCACAGTTCCCCTGTATGGCACTTCACGACAATACATATGTATCCCGTACACGGCTCCAGAGGTGTTGCTCCAAGGTATACCGCAGTATGCGTGACAGAGATAGGCATTTAGTATACTGACAGCTTGAGCAAGAGGCGGCTTCGCGGGGGGCGTCAGTTGCCGTCGGGCCTATGGTGACCGCCGCTCACACTTTGCCCACTTTGATGATTCTCTCCCAAGTAACAGCACATGAGTCGATGAAACCGAGACCATGGTACTATTCATCGCCCCAGTACTACAGTGGTATCTTCAATCGCATGTTGAAGACTCGAACTACAGTGATCTTGCGGCGCTTGTGATCACGTGCTGGAAGAGTTACGTCCATATATAGCGGAGAATTTTTCTTCACTTTATCTCGACGGAGTCTGTCTCCCACTCCTTCGCCTCCAATCAATTGATGAGTTTATAAACATTCTAGTCGACCTCACCACAGATTTTGTCGGGCGCTGAGAAATGTCTCGCCTAATTGTCAAGAATTTGCCGGCATATCTCAGCCAAGAGCGGTTTCGGGCGCACTTTGAAGCGACCGACGGTCCTGGTGGTACACTTACTGATGTGAAGCTTGTATCAAGGTCCGACGGCATTTCTCGTCGTTTTGGGTTTGTTGGTTACAAGACTTCGGCTGAGGCAGAACGCGCGAAGAAGTGGTTCAACAGGACATTTGTCGACGCTTCGCGCATTACGGTTGACGTTGTTGATGTAAGTTGCTCTCCAAGCTTCCTGGTGATGCAAATCCCTGACGATATCTGTTCGACCGTAGGGTGCGAAGGATGCTCCTCCTCCGCGTCCAAACAAGCGGCCACGGCTTGGTCCGTCGCCTGCCGAAGGAGAAACGAGTGCAGCTGGTGCGGAGGGTAGCAAGCCGTTGAAGAAAACATCTAGTGATGCACAATTGGAGGAGTTTATGCAGGTTATGCGACCTCGCACCAAGAAGGGGCCATCTTGGTCGAACGAAGATGCGGTATTACAACCTGGTGTCACTGCCGCTATTGATAGTCATGGTGCCTCTTCTGTTGTCGGCTCAAAGGAGTTCCCGAACACGGCGGATGCCTCGCATGATGTGCCTCATACTGATAAAGACGAGGCCAGGACGGATACCATCTCCGACATGGACTGGTCGAAACGACGTACGATGCATGCTGTAGAAGCCGATACAGACGCCCATTCAGAGCGTGTCTTTGAACAATCTGACGACGAGGATGGCAACAGGGAACAACATGAACCTGATGCTGAGGAAACTCATGATACAGTAAGTTCATCTGCTTTATCTCGTCATCTGCCTTTTTGAGACGGTATATCTCTTACACTAGGAGAAGGAAGAGTCAGCAGCTGATCCAGTCAAGACAACCATTCTACAAACATCGCGTTTGTTTCTTCGTAATTTGTCGTTCAGCTGTACAGAAGACGAGCTACAAGATTTGTTCAAGGAGTATGATGTGTCCCAGGTTAGTTCATCATGATTTATGGATTTCATACATCTACGTTGCGTCTTGTCTCGGCTTATTCGAGATAAGAGAACTGTTATAAGGATGACAAACCTATATAGGGACATCAGACTCGTTTCTAACGAGGGTGCTGATTCCAGGGAAATCGATAGTAGAATTTTTACGCTGATTCACCGCTCTCTTCTTATCTTCTCGTCTGTCCCATGTCTTCTAACTCACGTCACCTTTTCCTAGGTTCGCATCCCGCTAGACCCGGTGACGAAACAGCCAAAGGGGCTTGCATACGTCTCCTTTCTGCAGCCGGCAAGTGCTCTTGCGGCGTACGAGGTGTTGGACAAGACGTCATTTCAGGGTCGCTTATTGCACATCCTGCCTGCAGTGGACCGCAAGGCAAAGATAGAGGGCGAGGGCGATGGGATCCAGAAGACTGTCAAGGAGCAGAGAGACGCCAAGCGGAAAGCAGGTGCTGGGAAGGAGTTCAATTGGGCAATGTTGTACATGAACGTACGTACGTCCATGTTAGCGATGTATTCTAATCCATTGTTTCTCACGGAATGCAATGTAGAGCGATGCTGTAGCCTCGTCTATTGCGGATCGTATGAATATACCCAAGGCGGATATTTTGAATCCCGAGTCCGATAACGCGGCAGTGAAGCTGGCCCTCGCAGAGACGCACATCATAAACGAAACGAAGTCCTTCCTGGAGTCTCACGGCGTGATTCTCTCCTCGCTCTCCGGCTCGACGCGACTAAAGCGTTCAGATACGGCTATCCTCGTCAAGAATATACCTTATGGCACCTCCACAGATACCCTTCGTTCACTCTTTGGCTCACATGGGGAGCTGCGTCGTGTGCTCGTACCACCTGCAGGCACGCTCGCCGTCATCGAATTTACGCACGCGGCTGACGCGCGAACTGCATTCCGTTCACTCGCATACCGCCGTCTCGGGAACACCGTCATATACCTCGAGAAGGCGCCTGTTGGTATATTTTCTGACTCTTCCCCGCTGGACAGTGGCGGACGGGCGAAGGAGCCGGTGGTTGCGACGGGTGTAGTGCCAGTGAAGGCACCTGAGAATCTTGCTCTGGCTGCTGCGGATACGGTAACTGATGCAGACGAGGCTGACCTGCCGCTGTCCGCCGGCACCACGCTCTTCGTAAAGAACCTTGCGTTCAGCACCACGTCTGCGGGCCTCGCTCATGCCGTGCGCCACCTGCCTGGCTATGCGTTTGCGCGCGTGCAGACGAAGAACGATCCTGCGCGCCCGCAGGTACACCTGAGCATGGGCTACGGCTTCGTGGGCTTCCGCACCAAGGAGGAGGCGAAGCGCGGGATGAAGAGCCTCGATGGCTTCGTGCTCGACGGGCATGTGCTCAGCGTGAAGTGGGCCGGGCGAGGTGCGGAGGGAGAAGGCGCAGAGACGAAGGGCAAGGCGCGCTCGGCGAAGATGGTCGTGAAGAACGTGCCGTTCGAAGCGACGAAAAAGGATATTCGGGAGCTCTTCGGGTGCGTGGTGTCATTTCCTTTGAATTGTGTTCTAGCATTAATAGTATGTGGTTCAGCGCCCATGCACAGCTCAAATCCGTACGTCTTCCTCGCAAGTTTGACCACCGCACACGGGGCTTCGCGTTTCTGGAGTTCATTTCGCCTCACGAGGCCGAGCGCGCATATTCTATGCTACGCCATACGCATCTGCTCGGCCGTCATCTTGTTTTGGAATGGGCTGAGGATGGCGCCGCAGACGTTGAGGAGCTGCGAAAGAAAGCTGGCGTCGGATTTGGTGGGGGCAAGGAAATGCCTGGTAAGAAGAGGAAGCTGGAGTTCGCAGAGGGCGAGGGGCAGGAGGGGGCAGATGACGATTGAGGGTATCCGTAGATCAGGTATGTATTGAATTTGTATGAGTGACACGACGTCTAATTGTTAAGGTATGTATTTTCAGAAGTCTTTTCATAAACACGGTTGACAGAGCGGTGTCAGTGGCTATTATCAGTATCTGCATACTGTCTCGAATCTAAGTCTTTCATTCGGTAGACTGCAAACATGTTGGTGGCAGCACCCCGGGCCTATGTTGAGCGCTCCCCACCCTTCACTGAGATCCTACGACGTCCCTGCAAATTCAAGTTCGGAATGGCACATTTACAAGCATGCTGGAGTCGACCGCGGGATTCTGGAAGCTTCAATTTAAATCCTCATCATGAGGCACTACAAGGTTTATCGGATGCTGTTCAGTGTTCAGCGCCCTTTTATCGATAGAACGGCGCTTCTTGTACTGGCCCACAGGTTCTAGTCTGACAGCTCAGCCATGCTGTGATAGAGGCCCCCAATACCCGCGAAGCTGCATCGCCTCTTGTACTTGGTGGTGGTAGCATACATGATACCGCCACGAGGCGTCGAGGTATATATGACCCAGAACTAACCCACTTGTTCAGAGAATCTCGCCTTCTACCCTAGTTACCCTAGGCCTACCCACGTGATGGAACTGGCCGGTGCATGCGATGTTTACACACAGGAACTGTGGCGTCTCCGCTATGGCTACCCTTTGTGGGATCCGGAACTTGCGCCAGGAGGAGAAGTGCGCATTGGCGATGTCGGATTCATCCACGAGGGTGCTTTCCATCGATTCTTCAATACGTTGCCAGACGATATGCGGGACGCCGTAGGAGGACACAACGACGAGAGCGATGTAAATCCTTTCGGTCTGCCTGACAATTTCGAACCCTTTTACTTCGGTGGCAGAGGGTATCCGTTCATCGACAAAAGGGGTGCCTTTCTAGCAGGTCCAATCTGTAGCAGGAGTGTGAAGAAGTTGAACATATCTACACAGGTTTCAGTGTGGGTGTTTCAAACATATCTGATTCTGGAGACATATTGACACTCTACCAGGAACGGGGTTGGTGGAGGTTTGAAACTCGAATGTTCAGATAACCGTGGCGCAGCTCTCATCATCAAAGAGGGTGCTGATAAAAAAGAATGGATGTCCGGTCGTAGATTGACCAACTATATACGGAAAAACCACAACAGCTGGTACGACCATACCATCGGTCATCTGGATCTTAAAGTTCCAAGGGAAGATATCGTATTTGTCACTGGTTGGGTAAAAACCGCAGAATGGGCTATGGCAGCGTTCGTTCAGGGTGGGCGATCTGCCCAACTGACGCTCAGTGGGTCGTTTGGCTCGAATGGAGCATTTCTTTCCAGCGGGATATCGTCAGATATCTCCGTATCGCCGGCGTACAAAATGGGGCCGAGTGATGCAATTCAGCAGTCGTCGTCGGTTCAGGGTTCCTCCGCACATCGACATAGTGTGAAGCGCAACCAATGCATCTTTCTAAGGTACTACAAAACAAAACGGCGTTTTTTACGGACCTATGTGATGCAAGGCGCTGCCGAACCACGGGACCCATCTTCTCCCAGAGACGATGACAACAGCGACATAGAAGTCGAACATGTGCCTTCAGTTTCAAAGGTGCGTTGAGGTCAACTTCACTGCGTCTACACTCCGTTGAAACTGTACGTAAGCCGTTTGACCCTGCAGGATATGTCCTCGATTACATCTTGAAGGTACGTTGTCAGGACCCACCGTCAAGTACAAACTGTACTGAACATGCAACCCAGCATTCCGAAGCAGAGATAGCCATAGCGAGCGATTCGGACATATATGCACTATGCAAGGTATCTTGATGTCGTAGTTCGTTTAGCAAGCTGTGCTGACCCATCCTTTTAAGGACGAAGAGATTCCAGACGACATCCCGGAATTTTTAGAACGAGTTCAGCCTCAGATTGAGATTACCGAGGATGGCCGTTAGTAGCGTTTCCTACGCCCTCGGAGTCCTGACTAATTACTTTATAGTTGGTATTCTATCTTTTGACGAACTTGCTCACCATGAGAGCCACGCCGTTCCTCCGGCAGAAGGAGTCCCTACTTCCGCTGATGATATTGAATGCCATGACACAGCTGGGAGAGGACTGGCCTCAGAACACCTCAATGACCATGCACCGGACGCTCCACTGGGAGAGGATACTTCCACTCCTGAAACCGAACCCCATGATGTAGCTGAAGACAAGTCTGATTCGGCGACGGGCCGCGTTGACGCTGAAGTCATCGAAGACCCTGCGAAAGTACAACTGATCCGCCGACAGAGTAGTAATACCGCTTCCCTGATTCTGCGAAACGACGACAACACAGGCGGTGTTCGTGCACTGGCGTATTCTGGCGATGGGAAGTATGTCGCCACAGGTTCAGCACAGTTCGTGGTTGTTCTCTGGAATGCAATAAATGGAGAGAACTTGAGGACTTGTGTTGGTCACAACGATGGCATATGCGCCGTTGCATTCTCTCCGGACAGCAAGGAGCTCGCCTCTGGTTCGCGCGACAAGCAAGTTATGATCTGGGATATCGAGACAGGGAGTCGGCGTGCGACCCTCATCGGCCATGATGGAGTAGTGAACAGTGTCATCTACTCACCCGATGGCCGCATCCTTGCTTCCGCATCAATTGACTGCACCATCCGGCTCTGGGATGCTGCCACCGGTGCTGCGAAGTCTGTGTTGGAGGGACACAATGCTATGGTGATGCACGTCGCTTTCTCTCCTGACAGCAGGCGGGTTGCGTCTGCCGGCGCAGACTACAGTGCGCGTATCTGGTCAACAGTGTCGGGCGACGATACGTCACATGTTCTCCATGGACACACGGGTGTCATTTACTCCATCGCCTTCTCGCCCGACAATCGTCGCCTCGTAACAGGCTCTGAGGATGGATCCAGCCGAATTTGGAGCGCGGAGAGTGGTGCTGAGCTTGTGATCTTACACGAGCACACTGGTTGTGTATGGTCGGCGGTGTTCTCTCCGGATGGCAAACGTGTGCTGTCGGTGGCGAGCGACGGGGTCATCAAGGTGTGCGACTCGTTCAGCGGGGACTCAATGCTCACGCAAGAAGTAAACGAGGGCTTCAGCACGAACACCAGCGCTGGTGCATTCTCGGTTGACACATCCCTCTGCGCGACTGCAACCGATACAACGGTCCGCCTTTGGAGCACGGAGACGGGCACCGCCCTTACTACGTTCGAGGGGCATTCAGACAATATCAACCATCTGTGGTTCTCTCCGGATGGCGACCGTGTTGTCTCCTCTTCGGACGACAGCACGTTCCGACTCTGGAGCTTACGCGGCATACGAGCATAGTGACGCTTTTGTTGTCGGCATTTTTAGATGAAGGTGTTCCTGTTTCCTGGGTGAGTGCACCGCGCGGAGACTTCTGGCGGTGCACACGGAGATACCAAGGACTACAATAACTTCTACACATCGGCGTTCGGAAAATGGATCTACTTGTGTATTACCGACTGACCTGACCTCGACGGGGAGCTAGTAGTTGTTCCTTCCACGACTCGATGCGATTGTTGTATTTACTGTAAATTCTACATGAGGCCTCATGCCACTGTATGCTCTTTTCGATCCCTCGCAATGTGACGTCACGTGAGTGCGTTGAGACTGATCCGAGTTAGGAAGTGGGAAGTTTTTGACATTGCCCTGACATAATTGATTTACTTATTGTGTTGCAAAACGCCCTGGGACCCAGCTAGCCAAGACACGGGACATAGCATTAATCAATGTTCCATCCTCGTTCTATACATTGGACAGACTCGTGTCCGATACGACTCGGACAGACTGAAGTAGCGGCGCTGCTCCCACGACGGATATGCCACGTAGTACTGACCGACGTCTGCAGATGAAAATAGGCTATCGGTATAGCTATAAGACGTGCCGTGCCTGTCCGTGTACCTCAGGTTTGTCATGCAACATACTGCTTTGGATTGCTTATTGTGTAGGCGTTGCTCGTAATGTGTCTCGACGAATCCAGTCGGCGTGAGGGCGCATGTCCGTTTTGCCCCTGGGTTCTTCCGCCTCATAAGATGATGCATACAGGCCGTTCGGTGAATGGATGTGGTCAGAGCAACTGCTGCAGGTGTGCTCAAACCGTAATCTTACCTATTCCGAATTAACTCATCCAGAACTCATCCAGTATACTTGTGCCAGCCCGATGGAGGTAGATTCGGATCTGGTAAGATCAATCCCGAGGGTCTCACCGGTTCGACAGGTTGTCTGAGGACAATAAGACGGCGACAAGATGGTCACTGCGTCTAGAGCGACATTGCGCCGGTTGACCCGAGCTCGTATCACAGATTGAAAGGTTGCGAAATACTGCCGAACCGAGTCCGTTCATCCGTTATTGTTTGTGAATGCCGCACCGCAGTGGTCAGAGGTGCCGCAGAATCTGTCAAAACAAATGTACGAACACATAAATACAGGCTCAAGCTTGAGGATTCAACAGTGCGCCCTCTGTGTTCAACGCCTCCACTCCCCAGAGATTATCCCTCCTCTCTCATACCCATCCTTGGAAATGGACGCGCTCTTCACTATCGCTGCTCCCGTTCCCGCCGAGGAAGTAGAGACTTCCGTCACAGCTCCGATGGATTTTGACACCTCGGGCAGTGGCTCAGGCGTAAACGGCGGCAATGGGTGGTCCACCTCCGGAGGCTGCATCATCGCCTGAACACCTTTATCCTAGCGGTGCGCATCTGCTGCAGCCTAGCATTGGGATCACGTACTGACATCCTGCTATCCAGGCATTATTTCTGCTATATCTTGCGACGCAATCCTCCCCGTCACCACATTACTAGCCATCACATCCACACATCCCGACGACTACTTCGTATTTCCGCACATTTCGTTCACGCGGACATTGCTTTCGACATTTTATTCCTTCGCATTCCTTCACGCTAAATTATCCGATTGATATCACGCGATTGTACTTCGGCCGAAAGGACAGGGTTGAGGACGGGTGGTTGGGTCCCTCTCGCTACATATATGGTCTTAGGCTGTTTGCAATGGCCCTGTTACCCACTTTGGTTCGTGCTACTACAGTAGTGTACGATTTCTAGCCTGGACGCAATTGTTGTTGTACTTGTTCCTATCTGAAATGCTACTTCAACGCGAGAAACGACTATAGAGCTGAGCCACTACTAGTACGAAACTTCGGAGTCTTACCACTCGACAAATGTCTGAAGACTCTTGTACTACAAGGGGATCGGCGCGTCCCGTCCCTTCTTTGCAAAGTTCTGGCTGGTTTGTTAGATAATCTTGGAGGAAATGAAAGGGCAGGTTTTGTTATTACTGTGACCGATATAGACCAGGACCAAAAGAGCTATCGCTACATGGGCTATGGTATTAATATAACTCTACATGTATAAAGTCCAAGGGAAGGATTCTGAGTTTGCGCTACAGAACTACAGAAACAACTCACGAAGGCACAGTGTCCTCATATTACCAAACAATGGTACCGCGGGTCCAATCGACAAGATACATCCAAGTTAAGCGGGTACCGCCCGACGCCATTCTCCGCTCACCAATCGAAGTCCACGAGCACTGCGTGCCCGTCCTCGCGAACAATGACATTCTCGCGGTGAAGGTCACCGTGGACGAGGCCCACCTCCTGCAACGCCTCCACCGCCGCCTTAACGTCAGCACGCGCGACTTCGCTGAGACACGTAGAGGCGGGCATGCCAAGGACGAGCGCCATCACGACCATGTGAAGGTGTAAAGGCCACCGGGCGTAGGAGCATCGGGATCCTCTGTCCCAGCATAGAGGAGTGCAGGTGAAGGGCCAGAGCGGAAAGCAACCGGTGCGCACGTGCATTGTAGCTCGGCACAAACTTGATTGCAATGGGCTTTCCATCGGCAAGTTCTCCCCCGAAAAGCAGCGCACTGTCACTGCTGCTTGGCATCCGACGCGCGGTCGGAGGTGGGATATGAGCGGATATAGGGGAATAACACGCTCCTCAGGGGAGAATGTGGGGTGAGAGGAGGGATTGGTGAGATACATCTCGCGGAGAACTCTGAATCCCTCCTGGAGAGCAGTGGCGACATTAACGGCTGGACGATATTATGCTCGAGGTGAATCGCCCCATATACGCACAACGACTGATCGTTGATGATATTGATGATGGACATGGGAGCACGATACCGATCCTGATATGTGAGTCAGTTCGGGAGAATATGAGATCTTTTCTAGGAGTACTCACTACGAAATCTTTACGAAAACGGTCGTAGAGCGCGCTGGCCTTCAGCGGAGATTTGGAAAAATTCGATGAATCCGAGGCAGATCAGGCTGCCACTGTTATCGTTCTCGCTGGAAATGAAGGTTGTACCCTCGCACCGTGATTCATCTCCCCAGGTGATGTCAGTTATCATGTGTATCTTGATCGCTTCACCAAGCTCCCCGGCCAGCTGTTCTCGGTATGAATATTCCTGTGACTTCTCGCAAGTAACTTGAGACAATGCTCAACAGCAGCCGTTCGATCGTCGTCGAGCTCGAAATCCATTCTGTTTAAAGCACCTCGAAATGTGGAAAAAACTGGATGGTAAACTGCAATTGGAGGTTCAGGGAGATCCGCAATCACCACAGAGCTGGGAGGAGAATTAGGAGCTATATAGTCACTTGCGCTCACATTTTGGTACCATGAATGGTGATGATTTCTTTGCTCCATTACGGCCCAAGAATCCAGCACTGCTGTAGGACACAATATATATCTGGGTGAGAGTATGACCAGGTGGAATGAGGTCATCACCACGGGGCTGGGAGTATATTTGGCTTTGTTAGATCCAGAGGCTCTTGTCACACATGCACAAACAACACCTTGTACGCGTCCTCTTACGCGTCCCGCTCAGTACAAACTTTTTAAGACAGAGCTTTATCAAACACCTCACTTCATCAGGCGGTTTCTGACTAGCTTCATCCAGCATGGCAGCCAAACCCCTTAGAATAGATGTCGACGAATACATGACTATGGCGCTCGCCGCTACCCCGCCAGAGCTGCACCCGTTCTTTGAGTCGTTCCGGACGCTGCACAGTCGTAAGTGCGTAAACAGTTTGACGTATGTAGGCGGTGTGCTAAAGGATATATCTCTTAGGCTGTGGCACCAACTGACACTTAAGCTGTTCGAGTTCTTTGACCATCCTCTTTCAAGGCCATACCGGGTGGATGTATTCGACAAGTTCGTGCGAGATTTTGAAGGCCGGTTGAACCAATTACGGTTGGTGGAGATGGGCGTGAAGGTGTCTAAGGAGCTCGATAGTGCGTATTCTGCTGCATCTTCTCTAGCAATAAGCTCATTTGCCTTTGAAGACCCTGCAGTGCATCTGGCGTTCCTCACCGACCTGCTGTCGCGTGTAAACACCGAGAAGTCACCAGAGGCGCACGTGCTGCTCCTCGCTACACTCGCGCACGCCAAGCTGCTATATGGCGACCTTGAGGGCACCAAGACAGACATTGACGGTGCATGGAAAATTCTCGACGAGTTGTCAGGCGTCGACAGCATGGTAAACGCCGCCTATTACGGCGTCGCTGCGGATTATTACAAGGCAAGTGAACTCATTTCTGTTCCTGACATGAAAAATGACATCTGTGATCTGTGCAAAGGCGAAGGCTGAATACGCACCGTACTACAAGAACTCGCTGCTGTACTTGGCATGCATCGACCTAGCGAAGGATCTGACAGAAGAGGAGCGTCTCGTGCGCGCGCACGATCTGGGCCTCTCTGCTTTCCTCGGAGAGACGATCTACAATTTCGGCGAGCTGGTAAGTCGCGCAGATCTTTCCGCTTGCGGTGCGCGCTGATCGCCACGCGGCGCAGCTCATGCACCCCATCCTCGACGCGCTGGACAACACGCCTCACGAGTGGATCAAGAAGCTGCTCTTCACGTTCAACGAGGGCAATATCGGCAAGTTCGAAGCGCTCGCGCCGCTGTTCCCGAAGGAGGTGCGTCGTTTATGTTCACGCGTACACACTTTCCGCGGCCGCTCACCGCAGCCTGGACAGCCGATCTTGCAGGAGAACTACCCGTTCCTCCGGCAGAAGATCTGTCTCATGGCGCTGATCGAGTCTGTCTTCAAGCGCGGCGCGTACGACCGCACAATGTCGTTTCAGACGATCGCGGCGGAGACGCGCTTGCCGCTCGACGAGGTTGAACATCTCGTCATGAAAGCTCTGAGGTATGCTGTGCGCGTGGTTTTCATGTGGGACCCTCGCTGACTGTGATTGCACCTCGCCTAACAGCTTGAAGCTGATTCGGGGTTCGATCGACCAGGTGGACCAAAAGGCACATATGACGTGGGTGCAGCCGCGCGTGCTGTCCACGGAGCAGATCGGGCTGCTCGCGCAGAGGCTGGGTGGGTGGGGAGAGAAACTGCACAAGGTGGAGGAGCGTATCGCACCGGAGGTATTGGTGAATGGCTGACATTCCTGCGCTCGGCCGTGTTGTATGCTAGCCTTCCTCGTTGATGTCATGCTAATGATCACATTGAAAAAGCAAGCTACGTCAAGAAGATAAGCCTCAAGATTTGTCTACCCTTGAGATGCGACGCCTTCTTTCGAGCGTTTCCCTACACAAGTGGACTCCTTGCCGTTCGGTGAACAGACGATAATAAGCTTGTTGACTGCTGGGATTCAAATGCCTACTACGTACATACTTGCATGGAAAAACCCATCGCATTGCACAATATTGCATTTTGGCGGGCGACTTACGCCGTCCACCGTCTCAATGTAAAGCAATGTCCAAATTCTGCAGAGACCTCTCGATTGAAGTTGTTTGTTGCACATTCAGCTGCATTCGGAAGCTAGTATTGTCATGTTCGAACGTTAACGTTAACGTTCATCGATGCTTCCGTGGTAAATAAATTCGTGTGCTGTATCCGATGAAAGTGATCACGAAATCAAAGTGTACCTTGCAAGCGGGCCGTATTTGGACGGGGGTGGCAAGTTCAGCGTGGACTCAGCCTGTTCCGCGACACTTGCCTCCTGTTCACCACGTTTCTTCGAGTGGTCTCTTTGTCTACTTCACGAGCTGCTGCTCGTCAACGTGTCCTTCGGGATCATCGCAGCTCGCTGAGATTAATATTCGCAGCACCACGAGGGCAATCCGAGGCCAGGAGACCACTACATCATCCCAATTGACCCCATTACTTCGCTCACTGACGACGTTGACTTTCACCCTTGACCACCATGGCGGAAACACCAGAGCGGACCAATAAGCTGCCTACGTCGTCGACCTTCTCGTTTACCGCACCCTTTCCAACGTCTCAGGCCTCATCATCGGGCGCCAGTCCGTCTCTGAAGCAGCGCCGGGTCTCACTCGCTCTACCGTCTTCGCCACGTCAATTTCCTGCCTGGAGCTTCCGCGATGATACAGGTCTGGGCGTGCACACAGCAGAATCTGTCCCAGAGAAGAAGGGGAAGATGAGGAGGATTGACAACGGTGCGGACCGCGGTGAGGACGAGCCTGCACCGCTTCCAATGGAGAAGAAGCAGCGGAAGAAATGGTCAATGGAGGAGACTCAGATGCTTGTCGCGGGATGCAACAAGGTATGGGCATCCTGTGTATTCCAGTGCGTCTATCGACTGACGATTACCGTGTCAGTGGGGGGTCGGTAATTGGAAGTCCATCCTGAATGACCCCGACTTCAAGTTTGACAATCGTTCGCCTGTAGACTTGAAGGACAGGTACGTGCATTCTGACCATCTACTCATGCACTCATACTCACGATGCGCGCAGATTTCGGACCTATTTCCCGGACGCGTACAAACAACATTATCCCAATGCAAAGACCCATCTCTCGTCCAAAATACGGTCGTCACTTCCGGATGGCACGTCCATTTTCGAGAAGACGCGAAGCAAGAAGCGAAGACCTTTCACGGAGGAGGAAGACCGGGCGCTGAAGGCAGGATACGACAAGCACGGGACGGTGTGGGCAACCATCGTGAAGGATCCTGTGTTCCAGGAGCAGAATAGGCGCTCGACGGACCTACGTGATAGATTCCGGAATGCGTTCCCTGACCTGTACCAGGCTGCGGGATACAAGCCTAGGACCACCACGAAGAAGAAGAAGGACCAGCCTGTCCACCCTGTGCGTGCCGCTACCGACGACCAACTGGGGTCTAGTAGTGTACCAGGTCCAGTTCGCCGCAAGCGGAGGCACACAACCCAGGGTCTGTTCCGAGGCGGAACCAAGAGCGTTCCGGAGAGTACGACCTGTTCCGAAGACGAGGACAGCTCGGAGGGCGAGGACGACCAGTCCTCGATGCTGATGGAAGGCGCGATGTCTCTGACACCCGAAGATTCCACCCCCTTCTCAGACCCATTCACAGGAGAAGTCGACATGCAGACACTCGACTCGCTCGCCATCCCAGATTTCAATTCCAGCTCCTCTCTGTCTGAGATGACGGACTCGTCGCAGTCTCAGACGTGGTCCTCTGCGCTCGACACGCCGCTCCATTCTGGTGCCTGGTCAGCTGCGACCAACGCCACCTCACCGACCTCACCGCATCTCACCGCAGACTTTTTCCTTAACCAGTCACCCTTCGAGCGTCGGAATGAGGGCTCGAGCAACATCATGATTGGCAAGTCCGCGTGGGGCCCTCAGGACTGGCTTTCGCCTAACCCGCGGCTCGAGCCATCGGTGGCATCGAGCAGCAACTCTTCGTACGTGGGTGGGCTCTCGCCCACCCCATCGTCCCCCTTTTCCTTTGCGAACCTTAACCATGGCGTGCTTGACCGTTACGACCTCTTCCCGGCCTCCCTTTCGCACGACTTCGCGTCCGAAGTTGGCGTGAGCGACACACACTCGACTTTCTCCGATCCCGAGATGTTCGCACCGAACACGTTCCGTGGGTTCACACACCACCACTACGCGGGCGACCTCATCTTTGGCGCGCGTACTCACCAGCCGATTCACCCGGTTGACTACGGTCCTGGCTTCGGCTTCGGGAACGCAGGACTGGGTCTCTCTGGCTTGCAACAGCTGCCCCCTCCGCCGCAGAACACTGGTCTACATCCCATGCAACTGCACACACCAGCACTGCCTGGGATAGACGAGATCGAGTTGACGTCGATCACGTTGGATGATCACGCCGAACCGATGGGGCAGACGATGGACAACGCCATACCCAAGACGAAGCACGACTCTGCGCTCACGCTGGCGGAGCTCGCGGGGTACAGCCTTCCGACGCAGACGCTCGAGGAGATCGTTGGCCTAACACAGGAGATGCGCACGACCCCCCCGGGTACGCCGCACATGTCGCGTTCCGTGCGCCCGCATACCGCCGGCGTGCTCTCCGCTGCGCATAACCGCTCCATCTCGGTCCCACCCTCGGAACATCGGGCGTTCGTGCCCCGCGCGGCGCAGACGCAGATGCTCCGTCCAAAGCCGCTGCTCACGCCCACGCGCTCCACGTCACTCATGGACCTCCTGCCGCTGCACCCTTCTGAATTCGACGCGCAGTCGCTTGCCCCGTCCTCTCCGTTCGACACGGACGGCTGGTGCTCTCCAGGAGAGTACGATTTGCCCTTCCTCGACCTCCACTACTACAAGTCTGGCGCGGCAGAGAGTGGCTATGGCGAAGAGAGTGCGGAGCAGGCGCGCCAGGGCCTCGCGCTCGACCTTGCGGAGACGTTCGTGTCCCCACCGAAGACGTTTGGCGTACCGCCGTCGCTCACTCAGCACATCCCGGCGATGTCACATAGCGTGGGCGGGACCCCGCCGATGCACGCACGTGTGCTTGCGGGCCACCACCGGGGGCAGAGCGTGGTGTCCCCGCAGGACCTGTTGCTGCACAAGGGGAATGACAATAAGAGGAAGCGCTCGAGCTGGGATGGCGGGGCCTCCTGAGGATCCCACGCGAAGGGATGTGGGTTGGTGATGGTTTAGGAACAAGGAATTCGCCGAGGACGTTACCGTTTCTCTATTTGTTTTTGCCGCTGAAGAGTAGATTCATACCGTCCGACCGTTTTCTGCATTGCATCTCACATCGCATTTCCTCATCGTTCGGATAAGTATTGTCGTGGATAAGTTCCGTTATGATATGCATTCTCGAATTGAATTCGTAGAAGCTGTGATGGCCCGAACTATGCACTGTGCGACCAAGCGTTGTTCGATGTTACTTCCTGCTCCAAGAGGCCGGACAAATAGCAAATTATATATATATGGTATAAATACATCGCTATCGGTACATGGATGCAAATATCTCACAGCAAATCCACCAGCGGAAAATAGGACCAATAAACATATGCGGAAGCTGTAACCGAAGACTGCGTGCCGCCGGTTTAGACTGAAGGGGAGCTACACGGAGGCGAAGACACGTCGGTCAATAGCCAACTTGGCCCACATCATGAACGCGGATCCCACGACGACGCTGGTACCGCTGAGCATGATCAGGCCCGTGTACGAATTTCCCGCCTTAAGCAGCGCGCCCGCCACAGGGCCGCCGGCGAGCGACCTGCCACAAAGCGTTCACAGGCGATGTTAACGTCGTTGTGCTGGAGAGAAGATAGAAAGGACGCACGGGAAGGAAATCACGCTGTACAACAGGCCAATCCTGCTCCCGACCGCCCTGACGTCGGAGATCTGGGCGACACAGGGGACGATGAGCGCATTGAACGCGCCGGAGAACACGCCGTAGAGCGCGGCGTACACCACCAGAGGCGCGAGTGTGTGCGCGAGTGACCACAGCACGAGTGTAGTAAGCCCTGCGAGGAACGTGCATGGGACGAGGAGAGCAAGCCGCCCGTAAGTATCCGCGAGCGGGGTTGGGGCAAGACGTCCGAGGACACTGCCGCCGTTAAGGATAGCGAGGAGGGAGAAGGCGGTGGCGGTTGGGACGCCGTGCGCCGTTGCATAGGAGACGAGGTAGAAGGAGGGCGTAAATAACCCTTCGGAGAAGGAGTTAGCCGGTGAGAGCGGTCAGCATGCAGGCAGGTGGTGCGCACCGAGGGCGATGAAGCAACTGCCGCATATGAGCAGTATGAAGGGCTTGTCATGCAACATTTTGACATCGAACCACGAGCGAGCTGAGCGGTTGCGCGGCTGTGGGCGGGGATGGCTCGTTATAGTGCATACAGAGACGGCGCACAGTGCGAGACATATAAATCCTGATATGCGCACGCCCCACGCGAAGTTGAGCCGGACGAACAGGCGCTGCAGTAAGATAGGGTAGACGGTCCCACCTAGGAAGACATTTAGTTCGTTAGCTGACTGCAGGGTAACAGCGGAAACTGACCTATGCCTGACCCAACCGATGCTATCCCAAGCGCTGTGGCTCTGCGTTTACTGAAGTGCGTCGAGATAGCGGCGAGCGCGGGGTAGAATCTGCAGCTTCTTTAGACAAGGACGACCAACACAGGAGAGGAGAGACACATACAACAATCCAACACCCAAACCGAATAAGATACCTTGAGTGAGAATAAACTGATAATATTTCGTGGCTACACTTGTCGCCATGAGACTGCAGACGTAGATTAGGGTGCCCAATGACATCATAACGCGCGAACCACACAAATCGAAAATCCGTCCGATGAATCCACCCTAACAGGATCATTCTAACGTCAGTGCACGCTCGCACCACAATGAATCCGCGTCTCTCTTACCGAGAAGAAAAATACCCAGAGCTGTATCGACCCGATCCACGAGATCGCGTCCGCGTTCATGTGCTGCAGCTGATGCGCCGCGTACCACGACTGGAACGTACCGAATGCGCTCATCTGTCCAAATGAACTGAATAAGGCCAGGAAAGCACCAAACACGGTGAGCCATGCTGTCAGCCCTCCGTCGGGAAAGGCATCGTCAGAGACCATTTCGTCCACGCCCAGAGTCTCTGCAGGTGAGGCAGCCGCATTTTCACGGCCGACAGTAGAGATAGATACTGGTAGGGAGATGGCAGATTGTGCCTCCAGAATGGACCCTGAGTCATTGCCCATCTTGCCTGTGTCGGTTCGGCAGCAAAGGTCCGAGAGATGTGTTGAACCATACTGCAGGATGGCTTCCTTTTGTACTCTTTGTACTCTCATGTCGTGTCGTCTGCCTTGAATAAATTCTCTCGGAAAATGCAGAGGGACACGATGGCGGATGCATTTTGGTAATTTCCATAGTGCACGGATGTGAAATATTGGAGGGGTGGACGGAGTGCCGTCACCTCGAGGACTAATTATCCGAGAGAGCATCGGAGCCTCTGTATGATGCATTACCTGTGTAAGTCAATGCAAAAGCAACGTGAAAGAAGGTGAGACTTACTCCGGAGCCGACAGAGCACTCGGGCCTGTGCTCCTACTTTCGGGACCTGCAGTTCGTCCGATTATCGTTCTCCCAACAAAGAACCTGAACTGCTATTCAAAGTTGGAATAAATTTTCCGCCAAGGCCATGCTGCATACAATCTCGGGCTCGTGTAGAGTGTGCTGTACCTGAGTGTGAAGCTGGAGGTCCCGGTCGGATATTGCCAGTGGTGACGGTGTAACATCCGTTTTATGGGGCCCTTCAACAAGTCTCTGGATCCAGTCTCAAGTCCAAGATATGGCCATATATTTGCTTGCGGGATGGCCGCACTGCCGCCGTAGGGAGATCTCGTCCTTACCATCAGAGTCACAATAAGCGCCGAAACGTACGCGAGCGGTACGACGCGCCCGTCACTGGGCACGTGGTTTTCACGTGGTGTGACCAAGGCGCATATCACCCGCGCGACTTGCCAAAGTAGCAGATATTGAAGTCCAAGAAAATCAAATTGCTCATCGGATGTACGGTAGAAATTCACATCACAGCACAGACTGTACGACATTCGAGTTTGACATCTATCGGAATGCCCTACTTACCTTCTTCAGAGCGGCTCACACCGACGCCTTCCCGCGAGGTTCGTACGGGAGGAGCAGCGCAAGCGCGCCGCTACCTATGATCAGTGCGCCCGAGACGTATACAGAAACAGCTGTCGAGAGATTGGCGTACAGTGCGATTACCGGAGCCTGTGCATTTCGTCAGGGAGGGATGGAATGGGAAGAGAGGTTGGGTGCGTACGATGATCCCGAAGGTGCGTGTGGCCGTTGCAGTGAGGCCATTGCCAGTGCCGCGGTCCTTGGCGGGGAACACCTCGGGGGAAATGGCGTACAGGACCCCGTACATGATCTAGTTCAACCGTGTAGTGAGTCTATGATACTTACAACGTACGCAGACGGCACTTACATTACTAAAGAAAGCGTAGCTGCACCACACGAACCAAAATAGAGCACGTCAGCAAACGCCCTACACACACCAGCACCACAGCACGTACCCGCAGTTCCAGCCGAGTAGCGCGTCCGAATTCCTTGCGGTGGTACTCGCGAAGAGAAACACACTAGTGAGCCCTGTCTTTCGCGAGGGGTCGTTGAGTAATGTCACAGCGTGCGAGCAACGAGCTACTTGCCCGCCGAGATCGCCAGCGTGCCGCGCCGCCCGATGTACCGCTGCTCCACCGACCAGCCTGCCAGGAATGCACAAGGCACGCCGATCGCGCCTAGGATGACTTCCTGCGCGGATCAAGAGTGTCATCGTCAGTCAAAGCGAAAACCTGAGGATGTGAAGAGGACTGACGTTGCGGTACGTGGTGTAATACGTGCTGTCGCCGAATCGCGCACCGCGGCTTGCGAGCCTGCAGAAGAGTGAGTGTGGGCACGACATGGAAGAATGCGGTCACTGACAGGTAAGGCAGGAAGCTATTGTACAGCGTCGACGCAAGACCGATAATACCTAGATGCACGGAATCAGCTCAAAATACTTCCACCGGCGCAGATAACTCACCCCACAACGCTATGAGCAGACTCGTCGACCACGCCAGCCTCCTGGTTACGAACAACGCCTTGATGTGCCCCATGCTAAACATCGAGCTCTGACTCAACAACTTCCGCCCACCCGCCGCACGCTCGCCTGCACCCGCCTTCTCTCCCGCGAGCTCGACCTGCTCCACCATAAGGCTCGATACGCGCCCATTGAACCGAGCAATCCGATGAACTACAGCGACCGCCTCCTCATCGCGCCCAAGACCAACGAGGAACCGGGGGCTCTCCTCGAGGTGGAACAAAAAGAAACGCGCCGCCCAGAGAACGAGCGTTATCCCGCCGAGCGTGTACAACAGATATCTCCAGCCCATGTTTTCTGAGCGAGAGCAGGAAGTTGACCCCTCAGGGCAGGAGAAGTTTGCGATGAGCGGCCACGCGATCTAGGAGAATATTGAGGTGATGAGGCGTGGTTAAGGGGAGGAGGGGGCCTTACCAGGGATGCGACCAGTTGCCCAATAGACCACCATATCGACAGGATTGTTAGGAGGAACTGATGGCTGCCTGGAACGAAATCTGAGCGTCGAGCATCAGTATATGCCTAGATAAAAATAGTCTTGTGCTTTACCAAGAAACACCGCAGAATCAACAGGCATATTCCCGCCCACGCCCACCCCAACGACCGCAAGGAGGGATGCCAGTGTAACAAAATTCGGGGATCCACCCGCAGCGAGGCCAAAGATCCCAGCGATCAGCAGCGTGAGGTTGAAGGACCACCTGCAATCCTTCTGAATCAGACGTGGTAAACGCTCACTGGACGAGATCGTACCGTCTACCCCAGATGTCGCATCCCAAACCCCAGAACACCGCGCCGACGAAGAGACCGACATTCAGCGCCAGTGAAAGGAATGGGCCGTTGAAGTGAAATTCGTTCACCACCGGACTGAGGATCAGGCCCCCGATGAGCTGTGACATCACAATTCAGCACCGGAGATCATGCGAGGCTAGAATAGAGGTACTCACCGGCCAGACGCTGTCACTTAGGCATTGAGGAAAAGGATCAGCTGCAAGTCGCGTGGAGTACGCGCAGCAGGACGTACGCGAACCACCCGAAGCCAGCTACGGCGAAAAGACACCACTGTATGACGAGTTCAACACTCATTTTATTTTTTGAAAGGGATGGAAAGAGAGCTCACCTGATATTTGCCCATTCCGATCTCCTGGATGGCGCGGTTCAGTACACGGGCCTTCGCCTGGTACACAGGATCGATCGCCCCGCTCTCGAAGAGATCGTCCGTTGCGTCATGTACGTCCACCGATGCCGCTAGATCTTCGCCTTTTGAGTTCGTCTTCTCCATCTCTTCCGATGTCATGGCTCTTCAGTGTTCAGCAAAGATAGGTCGTGTGCGAGAGCTCTGTTAGTTTGCTACCAGCTAAAGCAGATATGAAAATGCGAAGCTTTGACTGAAATGAGTCGATGCCGTACCGTAGTGAAAATGACGACAAAATTCGCGATGGGGGCGGGGCGGGGTATCCACTGCCAGAATAGCGTTCGCCGCTCTGCATGCGCATGCTAGCGTCTTAAGGCACTGGAGAAGCCGCCTCGGAATGAAAGCACACAGCGGCATGTCAGCGTCGACATTTCCGGCACCTTCTCGGAATATCTTTCTCACACCGACACGTTGAGCGAGGTCATTGGCGCAGCGATCGCGTCTAAAGTCATCCTGTCGTAGGACCTCGTGAGACGATGGTGGGATATTGTACCTCGCAAATACGCAGGAGGGTAAGGACTTGAAGAGACGCGGAGTGTCTCGTCCGATTCAGAAGCGGGAAAATTTGGCAGTAGTCACCCGAAGACATCACAAACGATGGATATCACAACGCCGTGGTGGGGATGAACAACATCGATTAGTTTTCAGGAGGCTACACGATCCAACATATCCAAGTTCCGAGTCTATAAGCTAAGAATACATAGCATCCGATGGTGCACCGCTGACCGGCGCAAGCGAAAGAATGAGAAGACGCCCTGACGGCGACTTTACCTAGGAATACAAAACGTGCGACAACCCGATAAGAGATAGGACGACAGAGTGAGTGGGGTATTGCGATGGGAATATGGCACAACGAAGTGGGCAGATAAGGAGAGTAAGGCAGAGGTAGCACGGAGGGTTTGCGGAGAGCCAGGAGCACGTTAGACCATGTGGGACACGTCGTTCGTCGCAGTCGCAGGCGCGGAATCGGAGTCAGAGTCGGGCGAGTCTGGCGACGGCTGCATGACGGCGCACAGGTCCGCCACACGCTCCTCGTACACCTCCTCGATAGCGATCTCCAAGACGGGCTTCTCGCTGAGCGGGGACACTTTCGCGTCGAGGGGCGACGGGAAATATGTGCTCGACCCGGCCGAGTGTTCCGACACGGGGTACGCCGCTTTGCCCTCGCTGCCCTCCACATCTCCCAGCGAGATCGAGGAGGAGAGGCGGTCGGAGAACGAAGAAATCGAGTCCCGCTGCAGCGTCGTCGAGAGGCCGATCGTCGCTGGCTTGTGCCGCACGAACGACGGCATCGTGATCCGCCCGAAGCCGCTCCCGCTGGGCTTGGATGAGCCCGATCTGCATCGCCAAAGTCAGTCTCGCGCAACACGCAGACAAAGTTTACGACGACATACCCAGACCCGGCGTTCTGTGAGCGCTGCAGGAAGGACGTTGAGATCCCGAGCCGCCGCACGATGCTCGTCGCCGCAGAGTGGTAGTGCTTGCGCGCCTCCTCCGCGAGGCCGAAGAACGCGAAGAACACGAACGGGCAGACGATGGTCACCCAGATCTCCAGCATGTAGCCGCTGCCCTGCTGGGTGCCCCACCAGGTCACGACCGGCCACTGCGGGATGCGCGAGAACTGGAAGTGCATGTCGTGCAGGCCCATCCATTTGTACTGCGGCATTCGCCAGTACGTCGTCATCCCCCACACCCCGATCGGCACCGTCCCGAGGATCTCAATGAGCGCGAGGCCCATGAGCCGGAAGTAGCGGTTGTACGAGATCATGTTCGAAGAGGACATGAGCTCGTTGAATTGCCGCCGCCGGACGAGGAACGCGCGGATCGTCAGGCCTGCGAAAGAACCGTCAGATATCTATTGGGTCTTCGGACGATTCGTACTCACTGCCGTAGACCATCGAGATCAATCCGATGACGACTGGCCAACTTGACCACAGTATTACAGCCAACCAAGTATTTGGCATGTCCCGCAAGCAGCCGAGGCCCTCGATGAGGTCATACCGCTGTCCCTCATAAAACCAGTCTACAACACTTCGATAAGGCCATCGACCTCTGGATGACAAGAAAAATACGTACATAGCGCCACGCAAATCACGGGGATACCCAGGCCTATAACGCAGTCAACCAGGACCATGCGCCGCTTGTCGGCCTTGGTAACGGAGACAGTGGAGATGCTCGCGATCTTGTACAACCTTCGGTTTATGCACAAGGACGAGCAACAAATACCGATGGCAGACGCAATTTTCCACCGTGAAGCTGTATGGCGAGCTTAGGCTTCACTGCCGATACAACTCAAAATTAAAGACATACTAATGTCGCACCACACTGGTGCCCAGTCAATGACGTTATCTCTCCAGATAGTCATGTTAATCCCTTGGATAAGGGCTTGACTACCGCTCCAGAAGATATATAGGACACAACCCATATTCCATGCTACGGGTGACAATTGAATAAGTCACGACTGCGGATAAATTTCACACATACCTTCGATGTGCCACCACAGGGGGATGCACACCAGGACAGACCCCAGGAAAGAGAAGAAGATCCCAGCGTCGGTGACGGAGTAGAACTTCTGGAGGTTCATGTCGATTATTTGGCACCGACAGCGAGGGACTGGAATGGGCGTTCGGGAGACGACACGACCTCGAAAAAAAGAGCATCTAGCAGTTTAAATCCATCATCACTAGTCCTCCGCCTTGTCCACGATTTCGGGTGCATTTGCGCGATACGGGCATTGACTTGAAGCTGCCATATCCGGATGTCTCTTTGTATGCGTCCGCTTTAGGAAGGTCCGAGAAGGCGCGCCCGCGTGCTGCACCAGAAAATCCCCCTAGATTTCGCATCACCTGAGGCCTTCCGACCAGGCGAGCCTCTAAACCATTCTCGCTTCAAAGCAAGTCCCTCAGACGGGGGTCAAGTGGCCTTCCGAGGATTGGCACATTTCGCTACTAGATGCGTCAACTTGAACCTCCGGCCATGGATTCCAGCTGGCAAGATAAGTAAACAAGACCACCCAGAATTCCACAGCTAGAGAAGGACTTCCTCCGAGACGGTGAAAGTAGTCAGGGCCCATGAAGAAGTTGTATCAAGCGACAGGGTTGCCGTGTCTAACCAGCCCTATTCCGGGCTTGGATAATTGGTACGCCTGTGTTCAAGAATGGAACCTTTCGAAATGCTGAAGGTGCGTACGTTGTAATCAAGGATCATGAACGCAACTAAACCGCATACATACAAGAGTTTTCTTCAGTAATCAGGCACTTAGCTACCGTCGCATTTCTGATCAGAGAGATGAAAACACAAGGCCCAGATGATTAATATGCGCTGTAAGATGCAGTCGACGAGCACAGCAGGCGAGTTACGGCAGTCATTGTAAAGTCTCTGGGCTGAGATTATCTGTAGTTCATCACGGAGAGATGAGTGTCCAGAAGACCTCAGGAAACTATATCCGGTTACTCCTGCTTGTGCCACGATGCCGGTGCCTGGCGGAAGCAAAGTGTGGGAGGAACGCTTGGGAAGGTGCAGAGATGCGAGATGGCACGGGTGGGTACGGTACTCTACCGGCGCTTCTAATCATGTCACAGCCCTGCAAGTAATAACTGAGGGGATAAGAATTGTCGTAATTCAAGTTCAAACTAATTAATCGTTGGCGATTGAAGGAATTAGCCCACGAGAACGCGCACACGCACCGCGCTCATCCCATGCAACAGCGACGAGCAGTTTGGCAGTGGCTAGTGACTGCCACAGCACCCGTCCTGGACACGGCGCTCGCTGCTGCTCTCGGCCACTTGTTCAAGGGTGGCGGGAGTTTGAGGAGTGTGGATTGTTCTATTACATGGAGCTGCATGGATTAGAGTGCCTTCTTACAATGCAATAGAAGCTACAAACTGCAGTTCTTACTGACCGGAGCTAAGGTGAGGGAAGAGGATATACATGCCAACTGCCCGACACAGGCTCAGCTTGGGACTTTCCAAGTACTAGTAGGCTCTGGTTTGTGTGACACGAGAAGGGAGAAGAGGCGCAGTAAGCCTGTGAGATGACGAAGAGTTCTCAGTGGACATCCGAATGGGGAAGGAGGGATACTAAGAAAGGAAATTTTGTAACAGAGAGCCTCGTCCAAGATTAAGTACTCATAAGTACTTCTGCGCTTTCCTCCAGCCTCCCTATGATGGCTTTGGCATGGACGCAGGAGTTCACTAGCTATTTTTCAGATACAATAACATGCCAGGACCACAGCGGAAGCAGGGATCTCGACCGCACTAGTGCTTCAAGTTCGCGTGTCAGAGTTTGTGGTAGAGGAAGTACTGCATACATGGAGTAACTCTGGAAAATAAATATTCTTTGACCTCGAGTTTGCGGTCTGCGGTCTAAAACAGCTTCCCCGCGGAATATCTGTTTGGATTCAAATTGGATGTGTAAGACAAATGACTGGTTGGACTGAGCATTTTTTGGACCGAGCAGTTATTTTGACCGACTTTTTTCACGTGTATGTTTCGCGCCGCTTAGGAGCCTCTATATCTTCAAGTTCAATTTGCCCTAGAAGACCTACTTTAGGCTGAGTTCGACAAAAAGTACGTCCCACTGTCGTATGTAGGCGAGGCTCACAGCTTTCGTAAATTCCACTTTTTATTGCCCAACCGAATAGTGTTCGCGCTCCAAAGGTGGTTGTCTTGGGACGCAACAGTTACTCATCATAGCAGCTTCGGTGAAATAAGAAAACAAGTCAGTCCTGTGCTGACGGCCTGGCAGCCTGACACAATCTCTTCAGAAGATTAAAAATAAGAAATATGGAAGTGATCAGTGAGTTTCCCCGTGATCTCGCTGAGACTAAGCTGAGACACCAACGACCCACCACCATCAGCAACGTCATCTGGTGCCAGATGTTCCTCATGCACACTCGGTTCGGATATCCAGCCGTTGCAGTCCAAGAACGTCCAGCCCTCGTTCAGACATGTACTAGAGACCGCCAACACGTTTCGGAATGCCCGCCTCTACGCTCTTTTGACGCATGACATCGTGCTCACGGTCCTACATCTGCCAAGCTATACGCCAAAGTTTAACTGACAGAACAGGTGATTCCCAGCCTACACCGCAGCCGCGATCACCACGGCACCGATGCTTACAGACGAGGAGCCATTTCGAGACGGCGTATCATCTCCTCATCATAACTTTGCACCAAGCTGTACAGCGTCAATTCGTATGCAGTGACCATCTCCTCTCCCGTCTTCGGTAGTGCTCTTCCGTCCCCTTCCTTTCTCTGTCTCCAGAGATCGATAGGCCCCACCGGGCGGCGAGATGGGAGTGTCGTTCGTCAGGCCCTTCGAGCTGGTTCTGTCCAAGCTTGACGCCTCGGATAAAGGTGTGTGTTTAGAGGCCTGTGCAGTGATCACTTGTCTTCCCGCTAGCAACGTCTGCCAAACCCATACCTGCATAGCGAGAAGAATGGGCGCCAAGTGTTGCTATGCGCGCCGCTCAGCGTCTGTCGTTGCGTGCGGGATTGGTGTCGCGTTTATTCGCTGACATCGCTAGAATGCTGATTTTCCTGGCTCAGCGGTGAGGATCGAGGAGGTGGAGCAGGTCGAATATCGGTTGTACAGACGAAGATGGGTCGGGCTCGTCGCGATCGTACGTTTTCCTCACCGCTGTGGATATTAGGCGAAGTTGAGGCAATAGACAGATGATACTGAACGTGGTCGCGGGTATGCCTCTCGTATGGTTTGGCCCCATCGCGGACGACGGTATGTTCGTGACTTGTCACTTGTGCAGGATTTAAGCTCATACGTCATACCCCCAAACTCAGTGGTCAACCAATTCGGCATCACCCTCGACCAGGTAAATTGGCTGGGCAATGTCGTGAACGTCATCTACGTACCCTGCGCGTGCGTGATACCCACCCTATATTCATGTATCGGCCTCAAAAGATCGGTACGCGCGAGAATTTAGTGCATTCTGTCCTCCGTGATTTTATCTGATCCCGATGTGCAGTGCTATGTGGGCGCGATCTGTTTCATCGTTTCTGGTTGGATACGCTACGCCGCAACGGCGAAGCCGCTGTCGATGAATGGTGCCTTCGCTCTGATGCTCCTGGGACAAGTGAGATGTCTCCTTGCTCCATGGGCGCGTCTCAATCTGAAGCGTCTGTCTGTGACATAGGTACTTGCCGGATTCGCACAACCGATATTCCAGGTGCTGATCCCGAGATATTCGGAAAAGTGGTTTGACCTCAGAGGTCGCACTACCGCGACCATGCTTATGTCGATAGGTCCGTGGTATTTCGCTTCCATTCACGCAAATATTCTGAGTTACCTAGCCAATCCAATTGGGACCGGTTTGTCTCAATTGATATCGCCCTTGTGCGGGACCCCTAGTCAGTCGGTTAGTGCTCACCGCTCTTGTTTTGTGATCTTGTTAACTGAACAGTGGTTGACTTTGCGTAGCTCCTCATTCTGGGCATTGTATTCAGCGCTGCGACGCCGCTTGTATTCTTCATCGAGGATGCACCCCCCACCCCTCCGAGTATGTGTTAGGTCATCATGTCCACATACCTGTCTTTTGACCGCATGGTCGCCTCTTCTGTGCAGCACCTTCCGCTGCCGAACAGAACCCATCTTTCAGGTCGCTCGTCATTGCCCTGATAGGGAAGACACCACATGATGCACCGACGTACATGACTTTCCGACAACGCATCGACTTTGTCGTGATGGCGCTCATTTTTGGGGTGTTGGTCGGAATGTGAGCGTGCACTCCCAGTTTTCCCTCTTTCGCTCTCACGTCTTGCGCAGCACCACGTCCTTCTCCATCCTTACGGCACAAGACTTTGTGAGCCCACTCCCGATACCAGCTTCGCATGATGTTGACCCCCCCGTAGGAGCCGTACGGCTACGGCGATTTGATCTCTGGCCTGATGGGCGCAACTATCCTCCTCGTTGGTATCGTCGCGGCGGTGATCAGCGCCCCGCTCTTCGACCGCGTTCTGTCGCACCACCTTGCACTCAGCTGCAAGTGTTTGTGCCCCATACTCGGGGCAAGCTGGCTGAGTCTGATCTGGGCAGGTACGCGTGTGTCCCTTCTCTTCCCCGCGCATACATGGGTTCCGTCGTGTGGGGGCCGCGGCTAACGCGTCGTCGCAGTGCGCGCGAACAACACTGGTGCGCTCTTCGCCGTCATGGCCATCATCGGCGCGTCGAGCCTGACGCTGCTCCCGGTCGCGCTCGAGCTCGCGGTAGAGCTCACGCGCAACGCGGATGGGAGCTCCGCCGTGCTCTGGGGATCGTACGCGCCCTCTTTCGCGTATCGCCGCGTGTTTATGTCTCTGACCCTTTCTCGAAGGGCTAACCTGTTTGCTGTGATCTTTGTCGTCGGTGCGTACACCCTTCTCACCTGGAGATCATGCGCGCTGACATGAGTTGCAGTCGAGGGCGCACTGCGCGCAGGGCCAGATGCGCGCCCGCCGTACAACATGTCGCGTGCGCTCATCTTCCAGGGCGTCCTCGCGTGCACCATCGTCGTCGCGTTGGCGCTCGAGGGCAAGCAGCAGCGGCGCGCGGAGGACGAACGCAGGATAGCTGCTGCTCGTGCGGTTACGGGTGATGCGCTGCGGCTTGCAGAGATTGTACGACGCAGCGATGGGAAGTCGGACGCGGGGACGGGGAGTGGGCTCGACGTGTAGGCTCGCGGGTTGGTGTCTGTGCTGTTAAATGGGATTGTTGTATTCATAGATGTGTTGTAGTAGTGTAATAATGGTTTCTATTACTACTTATTCATTTTGGACTCTAAAAACCCAGAGGTTCCTCTAGATACGCGTACTAGTACTTATGATAGCGAGACGCCGGCGCCTGCTTGTGACGTCACGCGACGATCGTCCCACTCGAGAGCCGCAACCGCCGAGTCCGAGCCTCTGCTTTGAACGTCGCCAATAGCACCGCGCTCATCGTCTCACGCGACGCCGACGTGGCAGGAAGGAACGTGCAACGAAGTGAGCAAGATCCGGCCTATCTTTATGCGTCTGGGACGCTTCTAAACCTCACGCGCGGCACGTTGCACTCTTTATTCAATCTTACCCGCATACCATGTCGCACGCAGCAGGGCCCTCGCATTTAGACGAGGACGAGAGGATGTCTGGAAAGGACCGTGATTTCGGGCTTACGGAGACGTACTCTGACTTGGGCGAGGAGGAAGAACAGGAAGAGGGAGATGGAGAGTCAGATGGAGACAATCGCAGCGAGGGAGAAGAGGACGATATCGACGAAGGTGATACAGACCAAGACGACATCGACGATACGCAGCCCTATCTTACACGGAGCCCCAAGAACATGAAGGGAAAGGGAAAAGGCTCCGTCTATTCTCCCCGACCGAGTGCGGTGGACAGGACACAGTCGTCGAGCTCGTCGTGGGCAGACCTCGACTTGTCAGTCATTGTCGCTTTCGTATCGCCCATAGGGAACTGGCTTACCGGCGGTGATCACATCAAGAACCTCTTCCTGATCATTCTCCTCATATTCTACCTCCACCAGCTCATAGAAAGTGTGTCGCCTTTTTACCCTCTGCTTAATGCTATACTCACAGCGGCTCGCAGTACCCTGGAGATTATACCAAGCTTCCCTCCCTCACAAGCCCTCTCACCCAGCCAACCCGGCTTCCACAAACCCACAGACCGCCCGCCTAGTCGCTTTAGCACGAACCGAACTGCACAGGCAGGAACTCTTTTACCTCGTCCTCACGGTGGTCTCTCCTCTCCTCGGAGCAGCCTTCCTTCAACATATAGCCGACGCACTCGGCGGCACGCAAGCGCTCTCCTGGTTCAGCACGACGCTTTTCGTGCTCGCGACGGGTCTTCGCCCGTGGTCGCACCTCGTCGCGCGCCTCCGCGATCGCACCAATGCGTTGCACAACGCGGTGCACTACCCGCCGCCCGCAGAGTCCGAGGCCGCCGCTACTGCTGCAGCGCAGGAGCGTGCATTCGGGAAGGCACTCACAAGGCTCTCGAGCGTCGAGCGCCAGCTTGCGGACTTGCGTGCGCGTGCGGCGCGCGGAGACAAGCTGCAGGGCGTGTGCGACGACCTCAGCGAGGCGATCGGCGACATCGAGCGGAACGCAAAACGCGGCGAACGCAAGTCCGACTCGACTCGCTCTGAGCTCTCCGCACGCATCGCTGCGCTCGAGGCAGGGCTTTTACAAGTGGAGGAGCGCCGCCGCAAGGACATTGAGAGGTTCAAGGCTGGGCTTAGTCCGCTGCCGCCTGCGTACGCTCTCACGTTCGCGCGCGCGCACAACTATGTGTCGACGATTGTGGGCACACTGATCCGCATGCCGAAGACGCTCTGGTCCCTCGGTATGAAGGAGCTCAGTCCTGAGAAGCCTGCAACGAGCCCTCAAGCTACCGGTCGTACAAACGGACATGTCACCTCGCCGATCATTCGTGAAGGTACGAGACACGCCCCGCGCCTCGCGACGATCCCCGAGGCGGAGCACTCGGACGCGGATTCGGACGGCACGTACGTCTCGGACCCGGAGAAGGAGAGGGACAAGGAGGAACGCATGCGGAGCCGCAGCCGCAGCCACAGCGGAGGTAGCGGACGTGCCGCGAAGGCCAAGGCGCGGGCGCGCTCGTACTCGTACAGCGAGAAGGGGTTCGAGGTCGTACAGGGCCTCATGCTCTGGCCGTACCGTGCGAGCGTGCGCGTGCTGGTTGCTGTTATGCCTCCTGTGAAGAAAATCTTGCCAGTGCTGTGAAACAGGGACGCGCGGTTTTGTTGGCCATACCCAATTTCTTTTGTTCCTCCGATCGGTGAGGATATTTATGGCTCTCGTGTTTCTCGTCGATATCACTGCATCCCGCTTTGTTGCTTGTCGTATGAACGTGCATTGTGTGTATTTCTACCCTTTCCGCTGTTGTTGCCTGGAACGGGCTTGTATTCTATTATGCATGGGGTCTCCGCATTGATATCCAGAACGTTTACCACACGTCATTACCGATTATAATTCTGCATGTTGTTCGTTGCAATTGCCTGACATGGCGTGTTCTTGTGTCTCGTTTATCTGACGCTTTCAAAATCTGATGCATGACCGACCGTTCAACATTCAATATTCAATGTTCAGTCTCAAATTAGACCTCACAGCTCTCAGGGGGGCTATGTTAGTGGCAAACGTAGATGAGTCTCACTGAGGACGAAATCTGAGTTTATACAAATATATCCCAAGATAACAAGCTTCCCCGAAAGCGAGAAACACAACGTAGCCGTGCCGCTCCATATAGTGTCCGACGCACCTCTAGAACTTACCACTCAGAACCCTGGCCGACGCTCCACCAGAACCGGCAGCTTCCCTTTCTGGCAGACCACAACCTCCCTGACGCTGTCGTCATATGTCTGCGGGTCAAACCCGGCCGGGAAACGCATCGTGAGACGCTGCATAATCAAGCACACGAGCATCCGCATCTCCTGCAGCGCGAGGTTCTTGCCCACGCAGTTCGCGGGGCCGAACGAGAACGCGAGGAACGCAGATGCGTTGTGCACGAACCCCGGCGTCTGCGCTTGCAACGCCGGGTCTTCAGCGATGAGCCACCGCTCGGGCCAGAATTTGTCCGGCATGCTGAAGTTGCGCGCATCGCGATGCACGGACCAGGTGTGGATCGAGGCGTTGGTTTCTTCGGGGAGGTAGCTGCGAGAAGGGGGTTAGGACCGTCGGGAAAATGTGCGCGAGATAGTCGACATACTAAGGCCCGATGAACTTGCCGCCATGTCCCTTCCCAGTGGTCCTCTGGCTCCCGCTAGGGACGGCAGGATACAACCTCATAGCTTCGTTCCTACGACATCCACCTAAAATTAGTATACCCCACGTCGCCGATTTGCGCTCACTCACAGAACGGCATTCAGGAAAGCCATGTCCCCGTGGTGTTTCGTATCGAGTGCATTCTCGCCCGGGGGATAGAGCTTGTCCACCTCCGCTTGCAAGTTCGCGTAGGCCTCGGGCTGGCGGAGAAGGCAGAAGAATAGGCTTGTGAGCACCCCCGAGGTCGTATCTGAGCCCGCAATGACCGCGAGCGAGCCGTCGGAGATGACATGCGCAAAGGGTGGCTGCGCTTCTGCCTTGCCGTCTTCATTATTCTGCAAGCACGCAGGTCAGCGGGCTTCATGAGAAGCAGTAGCGACGGGGGGCTCGCACGAGGTAGTGGAAGAGGTCTCGGCTGTGCGAGCCGTTCTTTACACGCAGTGAGGCGCGCTGGATTCCGAATGCGCGCATCTTCTTCCAGCTCTCGCCGACGCCGGGAACGCTTCGTGCATACATGCTCAGCCACGGGACTTGGCCCAATACGGCTGCCCATCTGCGCGAGCGTTTGGTCAGCCATATGGGGCGGGAACGGACAAACAACCCTACTTCAAGCCCGACACGAGCTGGCCCCAGATACTGGCATCATCCCCGTCGCGCATCATCTCTGACCCTCCGCCGAAGCTGCGCTCACACGATGTCAAAAAAACGGCATATATCGGCGGGTTAAATTGGAAAGCCTTACGCCATATCGCTCATAAAGTCAAACCTAGCGATAAACCGGCGCGTGAGCGAGGACACGCGCACACAGAGAAGCGGAAAGGCGCGCACGTAAACCAGCCGAACCAGGTTCCGAGGTCGACCCGTTGCTGTCTGCCAACCCCCTCGACGAACTGCGTCGCACGCCGGGCTATTATTTCCTCGTATCCCTTGAGCGCGGTCGAATTGAACGCTCGGTTCCACGGCTTCCGCCGCGCTGCATGTTCCGCTAGGTTGGAAGTACTTATCAGTGAGCGGATCTGCGGGTACATCGTGCGGCCTGCCCATTCTGTCAACGGGTTAGACAATCCAGGAAAGGGGCCGAGAAGAGCGAGAACTCACCGGAACTGCGAGGCAGACCCAAGGAGCCCATGAGGGGAACAACTGCGGCGGTATCACGAATGGACACTTCATTGGGACCTGCAGCAGCATTTCATGCACGGAAATTGGTAGACGTAATCGACAAGGCGTACCAATTCTTACAATGTCACCATAACGCTTGTGCAGCGCACGGCCGTGGGTATGCGTGCGTCCCTGGAACGTAACCCACCCCATGGGAAACTTGGAAATCTTTAGGAGCAGCGGGCCCGGGTACCGCGCAAGCGGGTGGAAAGGAGAGAGACGGTATATAACTACCGACAAGACGATGGTGGCATAGTAAACAGAGAAAGATATAAAGACTGCTTGAAGAGGCGCAAGATGCTGCAACAAGAGCGGTAAAGCTAGAGTCGGGGGGATCACGAGTAAGGGAAGATGAACGGAAAAGTCGATTGGCTCGTAGCGCTTGAATATGAGGTAGACCACCTGCCCGAGATGAAGTCAACTTTACAAGAGAAGTGGTCACCTATGCTACTCACAATGGCGGAACCGCAGAGTGTGAGAAGTGCACCACTCAAAGTGAGCTTCGGGAGAGTGAAGGCCTCTTGCATGCTGAACGAACAGTGGAAGTTCCCATACTCGAACCGCCGTACTTGTACTTAATCACAGGTGGACCCCTGGATCAAGAATTCGACGTATACAGGTTACCCGCCGATCTCCGATCCGGAACTGCCAAGTACTAGTTCGCGAAGATGTTGGCCGCTGGTGGCCTGCGCGCGAAAATGTGCCTTAAAGGCAAGGCAACGACGAGTACAGATTGAGTACAGAGACACCCACAACCTCGAAGGGGCGACATAGCACAGCATAGCACTCCCGATATTGGGCGTTTGCACAGCATAGCACTCCCGATATTGGGCGTTTGCACAGCATAGCACTCCCGATATTGGGCGTTTCGACTCGTCCAGGTGCGGCAGAGTTCCTATCATTCGCTTGGTGAGCACGAATGGATATGCCATCATTGCCATGGAGATTTCCTGATTTCTCTACCCGGCTGATTGAGCGATGGACGTACGTTCGGGGTTGTCAAGTACATAGGCATGGTACTTACCGCCGAGCGATCATCGTTTCGTCGTAAAAATCAATATTTTGGTCATAAGTAGTAGTGTGAATCGTGACAGGCCACATTGGTTCAGTAGACACGGATGTGACGCGTGACTGAGGTGCATACACCGTCCAGCCTTTGAATGCAGGGACTGTGCCCCTTGTGTCCTCCTCTATATTCTCATAAAATGCAATCAAGGCATGCGCAATAACTTGAAGGACAAGTCTAATCACTACAACACACCCTCGTAGCTGTTCATATTTGGACCACCCAACGCTGGTAGCCGCTCCCCGGGCCTGGTACTACCGACACGGACAAGACACGAGTTCCTCCTCAATCTGTAACGTATGTTTCAGTAGTTTCTCTTTTTTCTTAACACTGAAATACTGTTTAGTGCTAAGACTTCTGGTTGGGCCAATCGCAGATCATCTCGGCTGGAGGATCACCGGAGAGCGACATACACGTACGCGAGTGACCTTTTCGCCGGGCTTTGGTCGATAATCAAGACAGTATTGCAGCTTTCGGACATGGAAGAAGATGTATTATCGACGCTGTACATGCCAATCGTCTCTCCACCGACCCCGGCACCGTCTCCTCGTCCCGCATTCGCTTCTCTCTCTCTCGGTCCTTCACTCAGCGACCCAGTCTATCCATGTCGTCGCGAGTTTGCGTCCTTAACCCCATCCCTCCGCCGTCAATACCTCTCCGCCATTCTCACAGAATGTTCACCGTCCGAGCTGCTCTTCGTATCCACCACGATCGCTCCACTGCTGAAACGCGATTTTCTACATGACTTGCCGCCTGAGATTGCACTACATGTGCTCAGTTTCGTCGACGACCCCAAGACGCTGGCGCGAGCCAGCCAGGTGAGCAAGTACTGGAATTATCTGCTCGACGATTCGTGGCTTTGGCGGAGGATGTGCGTTACGCACGGCTTCGAAACGGATAACGAATCCCAGAGTCCAGGGCGAATGCTGCGCGGTGCGAGCGAAGCCTTGGCAAGCTCCTCCAAACGAGCTGTTTACTACCCGACAAACACGGTGTTGCCCTTCGCGCTTCGCAGTCATTCGTTTGACAGCGCGTTTTCGTACCGCCAGCATTTCAAGTATGCGTATGTCACAAGTACGTTCTCTGACCCATCATCATCCAGCACAGGACCGCTGTCTCACGTTTGTTGTTCAGACACCAACTGGCTTCACGGCGGAAGGCTCCTCCGTAGTCACCGTGTACCCCTTCTTTCTCCGACCCAACAGCCCACAGCGCAACCTGCGCCCAACGTACCCGGTGTGCCAGCGCTCTCCTCCGCAATACCGACCTCTGTCGCGGTTGATGCGAATTGGGTCGTGGTCGGGCTCGCGAACAGCCGTATACACGTCTTCAGCGCGAAGACGGGGGTGCTGAGCCGCACACTAGTAGGGCACGAGTCGGGCGTGTGGGCGGTCGCATTGATCAAGGGCGGCGGGGCTCACGGTGGGGCGGGCGGTGATGGGGCGGATGTGGAAGAGGCGGTCAGCAGCGGTGAGGAGGATCTACATGATGCCCCCCCGGGTCCGGATCAGTATGTCCCACACACGCTCCGCTTTGCACTCGGCCTCGACCAGGTACATCCCCGCCGCCGGTCATCGTCCCAGGCGATACATGGGAGGCCCTCTATGTGGCAGCCGTGGCAGGACAAGCCGAGTGATCCGTCCGGCGCGTCTGACGGGTGGGGCCAACCGAACGCGCTTGTGGTGAGCGGTGGGTGCGATAAGGAGCTGCGGGTTTGGGATGTCAAATCTGGGTAGGTCGTGCGTTGGACGCTTCCCTTGTTTCACAGCTCACGCCGCTCCGCAGCTACTGCATCTACGTCCTGCGCGGACACACGTCGACGATCCGCTGCCTGAAGATGCTGCACGGGCGGCCGCTTGCGGTGTCGGGTTCGCGGGACCGGACGGTGCGGGTGTGGGATGTGCAGCGGGGGACGCAGGTGCGGGTGTTCTCGGGGCATGAGCAGAGTGTGCGCTGCCTGGACGTGTGCGGGAGCCGGGTGGTGAGCGGGAGCTACGACTGCACGTGCCGGCTATGGGACGTCGACACGGGCGAGTGCCTGCACGTCCTCCGGGGACACTTCCACCAGATCTACTCAGTCGCGTTCGACGGGGTGCGCATTGCGTCGGGGGGGCTGGACACGACAGTGCGCGTGTGGGACGCGAAGACCGGGTGAGTAGTCCCACATATGTCTGCGCACGTTGACATCGTGGCTGAGATGGGTCGGCAGGACGTGCCTGGCACTGTTGCAGGGACACACCGCACTGGTGTGCCAGCTGCAGCTGTCGCCGACGATGCTCGCAACGGGCGGGTCGGACGGACGAGTGATCACGTTCTCGCTCGAGTCGTCGTTCTCGGTCGTGCAGCGGCTCGCAGCGCACGACAGCTCGGTGACGGGCCTGCAGCTCGACGAGCGGTTCCTGGTCACGAGCGGGAACGACGGGCGGGTGCGCCTGTTCCAGTTCGGGGCAGGCGGGCGGTGCGAATACGTGCGCGAGCTGAGCGAGCCGAGCGAGAGCGTGTGGAAGGTCGCGTACACGCGCGAGACGTGTGCCATTATGTGCAAGCGCGCGGGGAAGACCGTCATGGAGATCTGGAGCTTCAAGCCGAAGGCGGATGTGTGATGTGTGGTGGGTCTCGGTTTTCAGCCTTCCGGATAGTTCGTGAGGTGTGTATCTTGTGTTTTTTCTGCGGATGCTGCTGTAAGCTATGTAGGCGGGATCGGATTGAACTATGGAGCATCAGCCTATATCTAACTGTCACAATACCACTACTTAATTGACTCTATCATACCACAGACTAGATTTCATGTTGTTACGGGATGCACGCCGTACGTTCCCCTCCAGCCTCGGGTTTGCATCATAGCTCCTTGACATTGCAAGTCGGGGAGACGTACGTCGTGAAGCTGGGCGAACGCGGATCGATCTCTTCCCTACAACCAGGGCATATAATTCAGATACACTCCGAACTACAGGTACTATGATACATCGAGGAAGGCTACACGAGACGCAGACGAATGCGCAGATTACTACAAGGAGATAAGTACACTAGGTCGAATGGAGGGGTCAAAAGAAAGAACATGATTCGAAAGAACGAACAGAGCAGCCTGTCTCTCGTCTAATACTTCTCCTGCCAATGACCACCAAGCAGCGTCTCAGCTAGTCAGTCTCCTTCACAACCGTCATGTATATCGGCCCAAAGCCATTCACATACTGCGCTCCGCGCTCCCTCGGGCGGGAGCTCAGGCTCAGATTGCGCGTCACGATCCTGTCCTTGCTACCCTTGCGCCGCGCGCGCCTGGGAACTGCAAGCGTCGACGACTGGGCCGCGGCGGGCACCCCCGCATCGCCAAACGGCGGAAAGTGCGGGAGTGTAGGCGAGTCGCCGAGCGGCTGTCCGGGCCCACGCTCGGGCTCCTGCGCGTAGGCGTGTGCGCTGATGGTCGAGGACGCGAGGCTCGTCGAGAGCGTCGAGAGTGATGATGCGCTGGCAGGGCGCGAGCCGGATGCGGAGGCGTCGGGCTGGGGAGTCGGAGGGGAGATCATGATGGGTGCGACGGGGGTGGGGATAGCGGAGGGCGGCCGTGGCCAAGGACCATCAAGGATGGAACGGGGAGAAGCGGTTGTGGTCCCAGACGTAAGGTGTAATGCAGGAGGTATTGTGGAAATTGGCTGATCTAGAGGAAGGGGAGCTGGTTTCCTAGGTCGCGCCAGAGAAGGGGGGAGCAGTGGGAGGCCGAGCGCCTCGCGACCTGTGGGCGATCCGACGTAGTTCAGCGTCGACTGGACGAACGCACCGTCCGAGTCGTCCGACGCTGAGGAGGTGGGAGGTGACACCGTCGCATGTCCCGGGATGGAGATGGAAAGGGGCGCCGCCTTCGCCTTAATGGAAGACGTTGACCGAAGGGTGTCGTTAACGTCTGTCGTCGGCAGGTACACGGGCATCGGCATCATGGAGGAGTTCAACCGTACATCCAAGGCCGGATCCGTGAAAAGATCGGTTCTACGGGGAGAGGTATCGGTGCGGAACCAGCGAGGTGAGTAACGATATCCTCGGAGCACCTCTTCCCGTGCACCACAGGCAAATCCGACAATGTATGCGGAGATGAGCACCAACGAACACGCAGGGATAGCCCACCACGTTATAGCTACTCTGATCAGTTCCAGACCCGCGGTAGGAGGGATAACGCGAATCGCTGACAGCTGTGCATGCACGGCCACCCATGACGTCCAGGGCTCAAGGCCTGCTGTAGAGACAATACGAGCGTGTAGAGAGAATGCAGACGAAGAAAGGATTAGAGATACAATGATGAAAGCAGTCAGTATTGGGCGAATGAACGTGAGTACTCTAAACCCTGAAGAATTTCTCAGCGAAGTCACACGAACTGCTTGTCTGAAATTTAACAAGGCGAGGAAGGCGTAGCAAAAGGCTATAACACAAAGAACGAAAGGTGGTAACCAGATGAGGATCACCGCGGGTGTTGAAATGTAGATGGAAGGTTCGCAACCGTACTCCTCGACCAGGTCAAACCGGCGATCTTGCACAATAACATCTGACAAGGATCAGCTGTAACTCAGGTAACGTGGTATCGAAAGAACGAGGGTCTTACGTATCGCCATGTAGAGAACAGGCACAGCAACGCACAATGCGAGATCAAGCGCAAGGAAGCTGCGCCGACCTTTTGTCTCTACTTGCCTGGCACAATTCTGTAGATGGCGACAAAGGCATAGACATGCTGCAGGCAAGGCGACCCAAGCTCCAAGCAGAACCTTCGTCACTGCAAGCGATACAATTACGTGAGGATTTCCTGACTTCGGGATACTTCAACGGACACACCGATGTCGCACCAGACTGGTACATGAACAGCGATATTACTAGCCCACACGAGCGAGTTTATGCCTTGGATTATGTTGCATAAGAGCAACCATGTGATGAGCGAGAGCATCGGGACGCTTCGAGATGCCCAGTACGCTGGGCTCATACCACAAAGCAGTACAGCGCAGACAAAAGACAATATTGGTAACTCGACATGCATGATGACGATGACGATGACGATGAGGTCTCGCTCTCCAGGCGGACAAAGGTGGTCGCGGCAGTTCGAAAATTAACGATGAGAGACAAAAATATGGGTATCAGCCAGAATGTGGCAGCGAGAGCAGTCGCACAGCAGAAGCATCCTAGGATCTTCACTTTGTAGTAATAAGACGAGTGGGCCTGTATTTTCCAGAAGGCGGCATTTCAGCAAAAACAAGACCTACCTAAGTGAAACAAGAACGGTATTGTGACTCGTCGCCAGCGTCCCTCGTTAAGCAGTAACCGACGGCCTTCTAAGGCCCCAGAAGGGAATGATAAGAGGAAGCCTATAAGAAGGAGAGAGAATGGGAAGACGATCCTCGTCGGATTTGGCATGTAGTATGAGTTCGCCATTTCGGGAAAGTCTAGTCACGGAAGCGGTGACTAGCGAAACATTGTCGACACATGCTAGCATTTCCTCGCGATAAGTCCTCGATACTCGCGTTCGGAGACGAATTGACTGACGTTAACACCATGGACTTGAGTTATCAGAACCGTCAGTGGCGAAATCCACAAGTACACTAGACTCACCAAGTTGAGCAACCCACAGCTTCAAGGGCCCATAGTCGTGCTGTGGCCCAGGGACAGATTGCATGGTGCTGAGCTAGTGTAAATGCGGCGGCGAGCTGTGGCCCTACCGAGGGTCGACCAAGGGTCCCGGTGGTCAACGTTTCGACGGCGAAACTCATTCATACGCATGGAAGATGATCGGCTCCCTCAACAACTTCGACCGAATGGGATACCTCACAAGGAATTTGCTGTTCACCATAGCTGTAACTATTGGGAAGCCGACTTTCTAGAAATTCAAGGCTCATTACTCCAGGATACGATTCGCGGGAACGTTCAAGACGAAGTCACGGTGCGAGCTGGCCACGTGTACGCGGAGGCATGCTCCAATACGTCCGATCCGGATACGGGTAGATATTTTTGGATGGCAGTCACCACTCTCCGCTGCCGGTAGGCATGCTATATTCTGACGGACGTCAGCCACTTCATGCTTCGTGTCTGATGTCGTCGATATGTTGCTGGCAGTCAGTACCTATTTGACTTGAGCATTCCGAATTGAGTCTCTAATATTAATATTCAGATACAGAGAGCGAAGAGGAGAATGAAACTACTGATGATGTACATGAGATGGATACTGCTTTGGAAGAGTCGGGATAGCAGTGGGCGTGTCCTGGGCGGTCCTGGCTAATTTTACGCTTTTTTAAATAAAATTTTGGGTATTTTTAGAGGTTATCTCGGCCATGCTAGGTACAAATACACCAAATTCGGCTTACCCGACGCTTTGTGCGGGTTTTTGGGGTTTTTGGGCCGAAAAGGTGTGCGGACAAAATTCGGGACTTTGGATCGGACATATTGGAACATACGCCGGGGGCCTGTACACGGGCTCGGCTTCAGACTAATTGGAAGCTACACTACTCGGAGCTCCTACCTCATTGACTCCGTATTCCAGAAAAAGGCCTCTAAGTAGAAGGATACAACGGGGTACTTCTGTATTCAGGCTATTCTTTCAAAGTGCGTTCAAAAATTTGGACATGTTAGAGACGCGACCCCGCGTCCCATAATTCCTCAAAATATCCCGTTTGCAGAAAATGAAAGTACGTTTCCTCTCAGGACTGGCGCCGATGTACAGACATGGATAGTTTTTTCTGCTTTCGCTTTCGAAGTCGCCGATACAAATGACTGTTCGGCAAAAATGCACCTCAACTGTGATCGCTCAGTGAACCATCTGCGGCCTAGGGGCAGAGAAATGACACAATGTAACATCGTACTCGCCCCGCAAATGCGGAGACTCTACCGCGCAGTGGATAGCAGGACGTCGTCGGCTTAACAGAGACTACGCGTGGTACACCTTTCTTGCCGTGTTGTGGTTATTCAGGCACTACCGACCGTCCGAAATTCGCGGTCACCCTGTCGAATTCTTGATCATAGGGGTTCACCCGACGAGTCCATCCATCTGACTATAATTACCGTCATTCAAACATCCAGAGGCGCACTCCCCGCTCAGTATGCAGGGACCCTTCACTCTGCCGGAGGTCACCTTGAGTGATACAGTTTTCGCACTCTGTGGTTCCGCCGTTGTGAGTAGCATACCCCATTTCTCTTGTAAAGCTGACCTCGTCTCGTGCAGGTAGTCTACCTTATATTCAAGCGTTACGAGCCGATCAATTTCTTCGTTCATCTTCCCCTACTCACGATTCCTCCGACCCTGGCTTTGCCACTCTTGTTGCAGCTTCTTGCGCCTCTTCAAGCAGTCTTTATTTCTTTCTCTGTTTACTATGCCACCATCGTCTTGTCTGTAGTTCTATATCGTCTCTCTCCCTTCCACCCGCTTGCGCAGTATCCGGGACCGTTCTTGCTTAAGGTTTCCAAGTGTGTCATGGGTTGGTTTGCGTTCCAAGGCCGCACACACACGTACGTCCACGAGCTGCACCAGCTTTACGGTGACATAGTTAGGATTGGTACGCCCTCCTGGAGAAGTCTACCGCTTCACGTACATGAAATTGCGCCGCAGGTCCAAATGAGGTATCCATACGAGATACCACTGCAATCATACCCCTCATGGGCTCACTAGGTCTTCCCCGCGGTTCCAGTGAGTCCTCCTCTGAACCTCACTAATACGGTCTAATGCATTGACAGATTGGCGAGCCAGGGGGATGTACCCGTCGATTCCCTCCCTAGTGAGCATTACGAACCACGCAGAGCATGCGGAGCGGCGTAAGCCTTGGAACCGTGCGTTCAACTCGGCTGCGCTTAAGGGATACGAGGATATTATCGCCAGACGCGCCACACAGTTGGTCGAAAATATTGCCAGACGCGGTAAGGTCGACCTTGGGACATGGTTTAGCTGGTTCTCGTGCGCTACCTTCCTACTTCTCTACGGGCGCACACTGATACGCCGGTTTATCGCTAGGTTCGACTTTATGAGCGACATGGCGTAAGCCCATCGAATTCGACGCTCCGATGCATGCCTGATCTCTGACATCGTGTGAACGCAGCTTCGGAGGAGGGTCAGAGATGATGCGAGACGGTGATAACGCCAGTATCTGGAGTCAGCTGGAGTCGGCCTTGAAGTGCGTTCGTTGTTCGCCTCTCCTGCTGAACATGTTTTACAGTGCATTCCCATAGGTGGGCAGCCTTGCTGGGCCACATACCGTGGCTCGGCGCGTACGCGCGCAGCGTGCCCGGCATTGGCGAGGGCTTGAAGAGAATCGATGCTTTCGGGACCCAGCGCGCGACGCTGCGTGTGAAGAACGGCTCGCTCAGCCGGGACCTTTTCCATCACCTCGTGCGCGCAACTCTGTCTACTCCACAACGCCCACTGACCCACGTTACAGAATGGGGAGGATGGCAAGGCGGGGACGCAGCCACCTCTAGAACTTGTCGTCGCTGACGGCACGCTCGCAGTTATCGCGGGCTCCGATACAACCACGGGGGTACTCACGAATTTATTCTTTTGCCTCCTTCGCCATCCAGAGTCCTATGTGCGCCTGCAGGCTGAGGTTGACAAATTCTGCCCACTGGGTGAGAACGCGCTCAACACGAAGCACCTTGGGGATATGGTTTACCTAAATGCTGTTTTGTGAGTGTGCACGACATTCGTAGGTTAAGGTATGCTAATGCGAAGCCAATACTATAGGAACGAAGCTTTGAGGTTGTACCCTGCTGGTCCTAGCGGGAGTCAGAGGACCACTGGTAAGGGTCACGGCGGGAAGTTCGTAGGTCCTTAGTACGTCGAGCATAGACATGTCAAGCCGCGACTCTGACCCTCCCTGCGCAGCTATCTTCCGGAAGAAACAAACGCCTCGATCCACACCTGGTCCGTGCATCGCGACGCGCGCAACTTCAGCATGCCAGACAAATTCTGGCCCGAGCGGTGGCTCATCGCCGAAGACCTCGTATTGCAAGCGCAGACGCCGGGGTTCGTGCATAACGCATCCGCGTTCCTCGCGTTCTCGTTCGGCCCCGCAAACTGCGTGGGCAAGAACCTCGCGCTGCAGGAGATGCGAATGCTCGTGTGCCTGATCATGCAGCGTCTCACTCTGCGTTTGCAGGCTGGGTTTGACCCGCAGACATACGACGACAGCATCAGGGAGGTTGTGGTTTGCCAGAAGGGGAAGCTGCCGGTGCTGGTGGAGCGTCGATCTGGCTTCTGAATGGTGAGTTCTGGGAGGTGATGTGCTATTCTCGCTTTCGCTGAGCCCGCTTCCGTTAGCTCGGGACATGTGTGGTTTAGTTCACAGATATCGTCAGATCTCGGTGTTCGTTACTTGATTATGCTTGCCAGCAGGATACCCCCGAGCTGGTGGAATGAAGCTTGGCTGTGAGGCTGACCTGACTTTGATAATATCAGACATTATAACACCACGGTCAACAATGAAATCTTGAAGTGCAGATGTACCTGTGGCCCGCGACCCCGTGGCCCGTGGCCTGTGGCCCCGTGGTGGCCTTCAGCTCGATTCACCAGATAGAGATGTGTGGCTCGTGGCTTCGACGGCCTGTGGCTACCCATTAAATTGACATTTGCATGCGTCTTGGCTTTTGGAATAAGCTACGCAACAGTAAAGATTCACCAACTTCGACAACTGCTAGTGTGACCAGAGGCTTACACCCGGTCTGACTGGCCGCCTGGTGGCCCAGTGGCCCAGGAGCAAATTGGACACATTTCAGGGAAACTTGTCTACGCTCTCATTTTTCTGCGCTTCCTGCACGCGTCTATGGGCGCGCTCTTGGCTCGAAGTATTTGTCGCGATCTCATCTCGACGACTCGAGGATGGCTGCATTAAGACCCCCTGCTTGCGCACCCGCTTATACTTTGAATTGTTTTGTGATTTTCATCTAGGGAATCAGCATCGTTTTCCGTCGAACTTGGCTCAATCTACGGTTACTGTCTGGAGTCTGCCAGCTACAATTTCCATACTCCCAGCTTGCTTTGTTCGTGTCCTCGCTCTCTGCCGTCGTTGCTTCCTATCATATTCCACGGCAAACCACTCGAATCCTAGGCATTACCGCCGCTCTCGATGCCACGGGACTGATGGTGTTAGCTTCCTGATGTTCTTCTCTTTTGTCTTGGACGTTTTGGTGAGCTTACGTAAGCCCCGACTAATTGTTCTCTATTGTCTCGATCCAAGCGCCGATATCACTACCCTGCCTACTCTATAAGCCATGAGCACAGCTAGCATGTTTTCTCTCACTCGCCGCTATCTGGCCTTGAGATACTCGCTCTCTGACTTACGCGGAGGACTGCTGTCGCCCCTGCATCATTCATTCACTTAGACTTAATTTGTTTGAACTACATACTGAGAATGTTTCCCTGCCGTCTTCTGTTCTCCCTGGTGTTCGGTTGGACTGGTAAGTTTACTTTAAAGTCGTCTTTGGCGGACACGGACCTGATTATCTGGGGTTATCCAGCCTTGCGCAGAGTCGCAAGCATGCCGTTGACCTCGTATGCGGTTGAACTAGCTACTTGCTATTCAGCGCAGGATGTACAAGCTGTCGCAGACCAGGTAGGTTTTCCTCAGAGAGTTTACCGTGTGCATTGCTGAGCGACATGCTTGACATTTCAGTGTGCAGCCATTTGTCAGCCGGTGCTAGATGCGCAGGTAATGAAATAATTCATTTAGTTGGTCCATTGTCCTCATGACGTCATCTTCTAGGACTGCAACAGAAATGCTGCCTGCACATGTTCGACTGCACCCCCATCGGCGGTGAACACCTGCATACAATGTCATGTTGGCCTGGACAAAGAAGTTCAGCCTCGTGAAATTGCTCTCCTTATCCCATCGCGATTGAATGGTGGGTTCGATGCCATTCCACCACGTCTTTATGTTAATCATTTTTACCAGCTTATTCGCAACTTTGCGGACAAGCACCTGCAAATCATGGTTACCCCATCGTCGATGCGCTGCCTTCGGTGCAGAATTCGACGTTAGATCGCCGAGCGGTGGTGGACATCCACTGCATCTACGGTCTCCCTGATGTGGCCGCAACCGGGATCACCGTGCTTATAGAAGGCCAACGGAAGGTGTGGCCACTCTACGCTGTTATGTTCGTGGTGATGTTTTACGCGATTGAACGTTGGCGGAGATCCTTCAAATTGTCCTCTAGCATATAGGCTCCACGTATCTATCCTTATTGCACATGTACTCAGCACTGTATCATAACTTCAAACTTTTAGTAGTGTAGCCTCAAGATCATCGGTGGCTTGAGTCTCTCATGGGTCGTCGGTAGTATTCGAAAAGTTCCAAGGACTCAGCGGCTCCAAGCTCGCGACCGCCAATCGCGATCTTCTGGGAATACAGGTCAGTGGCTGATGATCGAATGCAAGCTGACGAAAGTCCTGGGAGGCGTGTTATGCCCGCCTCGTGAAAATAAATTCAACTCCCGAGTTTCAGGTTGGACTGTATTAGGTCCCATCTATATGTTCCGACGCAACGTCATTGGGTCATCCGTTGTGTCTGCTACCCATAAGAGCTGTTACCTGTACATGCTGAAGAGCTGAATCTGTTTCCACTGGTGTGAATCTCAATTCCATAGTAACTCGGAAGCTCCAAGTCGCAGGTGCACGAGGAGAGCAAGATACAGTATCTCGGCGAGACTCGACAATACTAGTACATGCGGCGCACAGCGCGTAGACGTATCCGAGACATGACGTATAGTATATAGCTGGTATATAGCTACTCCAGATATGCCGATAGTAAATAGCGATTGCCGACACACTAGTCCTCCCCTCTCCCTCCACGTCACCTCGAACGCGAATGCGCACCTCTCCACCCTAAACAAAATGCATACATAAGAAGATCGAAGCCACACCCCTCTGTCTGGAACAACCATCGCGTACACAGACGACTTCACATGAAGCAAAACGCAATCGCGAATAATAATAGCTGAACGCAATGTAAAAAAAACTTCAGACTATGCACACCTGGCAAATGGGTCAGTTTTTCAAGCGATCAGAGACGCTCGGTAAAGCAGCGTACACAAAGATCGGATATCAGAGGAGAATCAGGATATAACACAGTAACCTGCGAAATCCCCCGGATTCTGGGTATCGGAATCCCTCGGCAAGTTGGGCTCTTCATGGAGAGACGTAGCCGCCTCGACGAGGATGATGGCATCAAGGCGATCGAATGTGTCCGTCGCGTTTATGGTAGGAGTGACGGTAAGATGAAGCGCGGATGACTGCATGGCGATTTGCACGAGGAGGACGGATATCAATTGAACGGAAAAACGACGCAGAGAAAGTGTATTCGGACAGTATCCCTCCCCCTTTTAACCTGGATCACAATACACACATATCCGGTCACAATAGGCATGAAGAAGCGACGGTCGCTCACGCGTAAGTAAGTGATGAAAATCACAGATTCGCGTAGCGTATATGTTCGGATAATAGAATAATGGACGATGAAGCTCTGAAGGAGGAATGCAAGCTATGCGGGCTCCCCCGAGTGGGAGGACAATGGACGTAGTGAAAACGGTACTATTAGTGCCTCATATGGCAACTCCCTTAATTAGCCGCTGAGTTCATAAACCTTCTACGCACTTTGTGGCATACTATGATTGTGGCCTCTGTCCTTACTTACTGTGCATGCAAGTTTAATCTGCACATCTTTGGCCACAATGCAGGAGATCCTGAAGATCCAGTAATTAACGCTCCATATTCAGCGCTCACCCCGTGCGAATCACCAATTGTCCATTGTTCTCAAGCACAATCGCTCACGCCGCAGCTCCAAAGCTCATTTACCGTGAACAATGGTCGCAGCTGCACCATTGGTTCACTGTTTTTGGCTTACTGACAAGAAACTGCCATCAAATATAAGCTAAGTCGTGTCTTTCACCCACAGTTTCTCACTTTTTCTCTCTGCGTTTCTCCGAACTTTGCAAGTGACATCTGTCGCCACGCAGTCACTGCTGCACTACCAAGTCCTCACTTCCATCCTTACCCCATCTTGCGGTCACGATGCACCCCATCGACGAGTTTACAGTCTCCATCGCCGACTTAATCGGTGCTCGCAGCATCGACGATACTACTAGGAACCCTTCGTACCCTGTCAATGAGGACACGAGTGGCAATTATGGTGCTGTCTGTGTGATCTCATAGGTTTCCAGATTTTCATGACTGCTTGTGGATTCGATTCTAACTCCAGTGAATTTTAACAGTGAATATACCCTGCAAAGCGCTCATATGTGCACGCGTTCTGCTCCCTTTTCATCGGACTTAGTTTTATGATGGCGGCGATCCAAGTGCGAATATTGTGTGAATCTCGCTATACTACGCACGAACTGATATCCGATTTTAGGTCCGTCTAACTTATACCCCCCTTTCCCACCCCTTTGGCCGGGAAGGGTGTTTCGCCATCTTCGGACACCTTGTACCACTAATGATCTTTTTGTCTGGTTGCATCTGCGAGCCCCGTAGTTATTGGCTTATCTTGTCTGTCATATGTACATTACACGTCGAGGACCTCGTTTATGGTCGAAAGTTTGAATATCTGCTAGGAATGACTGATACAAGCTGGAACTTGTTTGACACTGCGTATCTCAACCGTGAACCACTCGACCTCGGTCAGGTGAAAGTCGTCTTTCTAGCTTCTAAAACACCATTTGGACAGGCTCTTGTTTCTGAGCAGTATGTGAATAGTATTTCCCGATCTGTTATGGATATCTTCGCTCTCAACCGCATGCTCCGAATAATTCACAAGTTTTTCATCTAACTCACGGTATCCGTTGCCTCCACAGGTACACGTTACAAATTCCTTCCGCTCACAGCGTTATTGGATACATACTATGTTTGAAGCTTGATATTGTTGCCTGCAGGCAAACCAAATGCTGCGCGCACGGAGAGCCGACGATAAACTACTCAGGCGTTTATTTGAGCTAGTGAGCTAACCGCTCGATGTAAAATTTCAAACCTGTCCGTCAGACGCACCCAATGTTGAAGACTACTTATCGTGAACAAAAGACGAGCATTCCCTACACACGAGTAGATAAGTACACGTACAAAAAATTCGAGTGCAAGAATTCGGAAGGGTTACGAGCAGATAATACTCGGGATACATAGAACAAATAATAATGATAGCGATATGGCAGAAACGTTGACATAGGGCGAGGATAAAGCATCTGGCGGAGGCAAAAACGTGCTTCCACGGTCTACTGTCCATGCCCGATTGTGAGACAGAAATGAAGGATAAATTTGCCAACTCACCTGATACGCCAGACTTACGCCACCACACAGAAATACTTTGACACTGATCCTGAGTGTTCAAAGTCGACGGGGTATAATGATGATGAGTCCGGCATTGTGCAGGACTGGAGAATGATGTCGTCGATCGTCTCGAGAGTGTCCATTATGAGGGCGGTGATAGTTTTCTAGTACTTGGAAGGCGAAAAACATGGACGAGACGTACGATACTTATAACGGTGTTCACCTCTGTACCCGCGGTGCGAATCCGAGTCTCGCGCACATTGTCCACATAATAGTGGGTCCGCGGCATCGATTGACGAACCTGAAGTCATTGTAGTTCGGTATTTGCCGACTGGGCCAAATTAGAGTAAATTACCATTTGGTACTATTCTTTTTCACCATTTGGGATGTAATTCCCTTACATAGTAATATTATGGTAAAACATAGTTCAACTTGCATATGCCCGCATTGGGGAACCAATGGTTCGCATGTAATGAATGCCGCAGAGTCTGACGGCCTGCATCTTCATTGTCCCAAAGCGCACAATCATAAGGATATAGTAGAGATGTCGTTCAGCAAGCCTCCATCCTTCCTTGCGGCCCCGTCAGAAGCGCCATGCTTGACCCCACTTATCCCGCGTTCCCGGTCTCTGCTCTCTTAGGACTTGGCCTCGTGTTGGTTCCTCTTCCATGGCATCTTCAAGCTTGGAACTCAGGAACATGTCTCTATATGTGCTGGACAGCACTGTCTTGCTTTAACTATGGAATGAATTCAATACTCTGGCGCGATACTGTCGTCAACTTTGCACCCGTCTGGTGCGACATCTGTAGGTCGCATGACCACTGCACTGAAGATTGTCCGCTGATCATTTACAGCTTCCCGTATTATTGTTGCGTCCGCAGTGGCTATCCCTGCGGCGTCATTATGCATAAACAGGCGATTGTACTGCATTGCTACCATCAAGTCTGTAAGCTTGTCGTGGGCAGAGGTATGACAAGGGCGAACTGACTCACCTTCACTTTCACTTACTTGTGAAAACAGAAGCGCAGAGCTGTTATCATTGACCTGACGATAGGGCTAGGCATCCCATTGCTTCAATTGATTTGTCGTGAGTTTGTAAGCTTTTTGCCGCAGCTCCAATCTCATTGACGTTCGCAGAATACGTTGTATCAGGTATGTCACAGCCGTGCATGAAGTGTTTCTTTGCTGAAATTGCGGAAGGTCATCGTTTTGACATTTTTGAAGGCATCGGGTGTTATCCATACACATACAACACCATTGCTGCCTATCCCTTGTCGGTTTTATGGCCGCTGGTGATCGGCTTAATTTCCGCTGTATATTGTGGTAAGTTATATTGTGACTCTCCAACGCTTGAAGCTTGATTAGTCAACGACGCATTTGACTTCAGTTCTAACTCTCCGAGAATTTTTTCGACGCCGCGCTGAATTTGCCGAGTATCTCTCCGCGAATCCCTCTCTCACCACGAATCGTTACTTCCGGTTGATGGCCCTCGCTTCCGTTGAATTGCTTTGCACGGTGCCGATATCATCGTATGGTCTTTACCTCAATTTATCTGCAGCACCACTGTCTCCCTGGATCAGCTGGAGCAACGTACATTACGACTACTCTCAGGTTGACCAATATCCAGCTGTCGTATGGCGTACGAGTAGGAACAGTCTCGTAGCTTTTGGACTCAGCACATGGGCCGTGCCTTTCTGTGCATTTGTATTTTTTGGCTTTTTCGGGTTTGCAGACGAAGCCCGGAAAAACTATCGAAAAACATTTTTGTTCATCAGCAGGCTTTGCGATGTTGGCTCGCATAAGCGACTAGCAGATAGGTTCGTTATATTTGTTCTGCATCGCTGAAGCGATCATGTGCTGATATATCAATTACCGCAGACCTTCGGCCAAGTTCGGAGGATCAGTGAGAGTGGGTTGTAATCTCGCTTCGACACCGTTCCCTCGTTGTCCACCCCCGGTTCTGCACCTCTCTCTTACTCCCAGCATTGACTCTGCTGAGAAGACTGACTTGGCGATGGAGGCCTCAGTCGCCCAGGTCGAACCGAGTGATTCACGACCTCCATCAGATTGATCTTGTCTTCGTACGCTCCACCACATCATCTGTTCGCCTCTGCACCCTCAGTCGTTGTATTGGGTTGCATGCAGTGTAACCTTTCTTCGTTCTTCGTGCCCATCACTGTAGCTTGGATTGATTTGACCGACATACACTGACTTGCTTTGGTACACCTTTATCACATTCATACGTTCGTTTGTCAGTAGAAGACGACTATTACCCCCGACACAGTACTCTGCATCACCATTAATCTTGTGATCTGAAGAAACCAATTGCAACGGTCCTTAAATAAGTGTTCCAGTCTTCATAGAGCTTGAATGACGCTTCTACACCAGACGGCTGCGCCATACGCTACTCGAAATGTTCAGCAAAACGCTACCAGTAGGCAGGAGAACTGGATTGTGCAATAAAAATACTGTGTGTTATGGACTCGGACGTCGTACATCTAATTTACATACTGTAGGTACTAACAGGAGCTATTCTGTGCAGAGTAAAGGAACCATGCCTGACAGGGTAAGTCGAATCTCGAAAGCGAACCGCAAGGGGCAGAGAGACAGTGGTCGAAGGATGGTCCAAAGATCGTTTCAGAGCGTCTCCGACATCTGTTGTGGGGGATGGATAGGGTAACGACGCAGTTTTATCCAAGGAATGTTCTTCACCTTCCAATTGACGAGTGTGCTTGCTAGACTTAGAGCTGTCGAGCCTGGACTGTGAATCATCGATCTTGCTTTCCGTAATGGCAACGACGAGTGAATGCGACGCTGGACGGTACAGACTGTGAACTGGGTTAGACTCGACGTCCACGCGCAGGCAAAAAAACGTACGTGAAGTGAGGAAGCGAGGACTTCTCGGCAGGACCTTGTCGGAGCATGCAGTTTGGGAGTACGATACCGCAGAGTCGAAGGAAGCCAGCTCGATAATCTTTCATCGTGTCTTGACCAAATGCAAAGAACACGAAGAAAATGTAGGCAGACACAGGAATGGTCCACCACAAGAAATAGGTCATAGTGATATCATGACGTGGAATCATGATAGTCGGGAATTGCCCGATACGAGAGAAGTTCGAGTGGACGTTGCTCCAACTGATCCACGGTCGTAGGCCAGCGCTGTATGAATACCACATGTTCAGAACCGACACGAGCAGGCTCCAGAACATTTCAAATAAAGCCATCGCCATAAGACGAAAATAGCGGGCAGGAGTGAGAGTAGAGGTGGACCTCTGCAAGTGAGCCGCGAAAGTTGCACGCCGTCGAAGGAAGTGAATAAAAGCCATGCCTACCGATAACATGAGAAACGGCAGGTTCCAGAAATGAGATCACGCACCGGCGAAGACGAAAGTGCCAATGGAGAAGACGATAGGCGGGAGACGCATCAGAAAAAATTCGGGTATCGAAACATAGCTCTCAGGTCTGCATCCGAAACCTTCAACGATGTCGAACCGATGACCCTGGACAACATAGACTGAAAATGAGTCAGTAATTGAGCAGAAAAACGGAATGACGGTATGCGTACACAACCCTATATATATTGCGGGTACCCCAATGCAAAGCAGAAGATCCAAAATCATATACTTGCGTCTGTCGTTTTGAGTGGTGTGCACCAGGCGAACGGATGCGACGCGTTCAAGTTGCATACAAAGACAGAAACACGCGACAGGAAGCGCGATATTGGAACCAACGGAGACTCTGATGACTTCCAGGCCAGAGTCAGTACGTTTTCATGGAAAATTGGCGTATACTCACTGATGTCGCACCAGGAGACCAACCGTATTTCAACATTATGGGCCCATAGGATAGCATTGATTCCCTGGATAACATTCACGACAAACAGCCAAACAATGATAGTTATCGTAGACACGTTGCCAGCTCGCCAATGAGTAGGTAGTGGGATAAGGACTAGGATAGCGGCAAGAAATGCACCGAACGGCAATCCAACCTCCATGTCCTTTCGATAGGTCGGCAGCGAAAAGTGGCAAAGGAAATGGGTTCGAAAGTTCGTCCATATTGTATAAGTGTGACCTTTATGAGGCCGAGGGCTCAGCTTCCTCGGTGGAACAAAGCAACGACTTCGTTTGGCCACTGTTCAGTGTTCAGGACAATGGGGTTGGTCACATGATCAAACGAGTCCGTGACCGTGATTCGTTTTCTCGTTTTCTCACCGTCTCAAACAGCTCAGGCTCAACTTCAAGTACTCATTGTTTGTACTGTGTCACAATGGGCGACCAACTTGATAGAATGTATGCTAAATTCGCTACCTTCCATCGTCCGTCCACGATTTCCAATTGCAACGATGTCCGCCCCCACCTATCCCCTCTTCCCTGTCTTTGCTCTTCTTGGATTCGTCCTGGCTCTCATTCCTCTCCCGTGGCATCTGGAAGCATATAACACAGCAACATGCTACTTCATAGCTTGGTCTTCACTCGCTTGTCTGAATCAGTTTATCAACTCAGTTGTGTGGGCTAATACTTCACTCAACATCGCCCCCATCTGGTGCGACATCTGTAGGTATTTCTCTCGTTCGTTCAAGCTCTGAAAAGTGTGACACCGAATACACAGCTACGCGCATCATTACTGGTGCCGCCGTTGGCCTACCTGCCGCTTCGCTGTGCATTAATCGGCGGCTCTATATGATCGCTCGGCTTCGCGCGACCACAGTAACGAGAGCAGAGGTTAGTGGCCTCGCACATGCCAATGCTACTCGAACACTGATTCTTGTAACAGAAAAGGCGCGCTGTGCTTATTGATAGCCTTATCTGTGTGCTGTTCCCGATTGTTTGTATGGTGCTCGGTGAGACGATTTGCGGACAGAATATCGCTGGATCTGACATTACCTCAGAGTTCATCGTACAGGGACACCGATTCAATATATACGAAGAGATCGGTTGTTCCCCTGCTACATACAATACACTACTGGCGTATTTTCTTGTCAACTGGTGGCCCGTTGTCATTGGTCTAGTTTCTGCTGTTTATTGCGGTAAGCACATAATTAGTTCTCTCGCATAGCATGACTGAAAGTTTGTCTCTAGTCCTGTCTCTACGCGCTTTTGCTATTCGTCGTGCTCAGTTCAGAGAATTCTTAACGTCGAATCACTCTTCATTGAGCTTTGGCCGCTATTTCCGCCTCATGGCTCTGGCGACCACAGAGCTCCTCCTCACCGTCCCGATCTCGAGCTATTTGATCTATCTGAATGCCACCACGGAACCACTGGAGCCGTGGGTCAGCTGGTCGTATGTCCATTACGACTTCTCGCGAGTCGAGGAGATGCCTGCGATCATCTGGCGAATGAATCATGAAGCAGTCGTCGCACTCACTATCGGTCAATGGCTCAATCCTATCAGTGCTTTCATCTTCTTTGGCTACTTCGGCCTAGCCAGTGAGGCTCGGAGGCATTACAAGTTAGCTTTCTGTTTCATCAGCCGATGCTTACGCCTGCCGTGCGGCGGCTTCAGAGGAGCCGCTATTCGTCCCATAGAGTGAGTAAATTTGAATCGTTATCTCCGAGTATACGCTGACTAGTGGCATCGTACAGTGTGAAGTTCGCCGCCCCAAGCAAAGTCGTGTCGTTTGATGCGTTGCCTGCGTATTCAGCATCTTCCCGTGTATCTTCGCGGTTGTGGGATTCCTCTATAAGCACAGGCGAAGCGAAGGTGGACGTTGTACCTAATTCCACACCCAACTCGGCTTTTGTAAGCGAAAATGCCCCCTACTGTTCCCTGCGGCCTTCGCCAGCATCTACATTGCCTCATTCCACACACGACACTTCTTGACTCAATCCTTCTTTCTTCGTCCCTCATTTGTAACATCATTGTACGATTCTTGCACCTCGTGCTTCGCTGCTCTTGGATTTATCTGCTGTTCAGACCCATTTTCGCCGACAATCTACGCATGTCGAATTGGTCCTAACTTTGAAATCTGTTTAACTCTTCCGTTCATAACAACTTCGTATTTTAGAATTGCGCTATGTATTGTTAGGCTAGAATCGACGACAGTCAGTAAGCAATAGAACAAAGACTGGAGCGCTGACGATGCCACAGCGTGTGGCACAATTGCGTCTGGGGTACATCGACGACCCCGGCCGGGTGTGCCATGACATGCTTCTGCCGCCGCATGCGGTATCTTAAAGAATGCTTCTGTAGTGTATCGAATAGTATCGACTAATCTCTCAGATATTTCTGACGTGTGTCGAGCGATTTGGAGACATGCCGAGGTGTGGCCTCGAGTTGCCTACGATTATCGTAATTCTAAAACTTGTATACCGTACAATGAATAAGCACATCTATGAACACCCAATTTTGAGGCAATCGGTCGAGAGTCTCAAACGGCAGAAGGAAGTATAGCGATAGCATATCCGGGTAGACTTATAGTAGACTTATAGTACACATCGAAAGACTTCCCTGGACCATGGGTTTCCCTGAGAGTGGAAGGGCCTTGCATACACTTGAAGACAATAACAGATGGAGTGTATTGTCGTATCTTGCATATAAAGAGCGGTTTTTCTTACTACTTACCGTATTAATTCCTCCGTCGACTATCCGAAGACCATGGACGACCTTGAACAGTTTATCGATCTTACCGCTCTCCTCGAAAATCATTCTCTCTCTCCGACGTGGACATTGGACTTAGTCCCCACGGACCACGAGCATACACCCGATAACCAGGCTTATGGTTGGTGTGTCTTGATGTAGTATGAATCCCGAATTGCAACCGGTGGGTGAGTTGACCGTAGTGGATGTGCAACACTGGCACTACCTATAGCTAACACATTTCCAGATTTGTGTCTGCTCACAGTGCATTATCATTATGTGTCGTTCAGTATTGGGGCTTCGATACCTTCCGACTTCCATCTCTCGAGTTTGCCGCCCGGAGGGTTTACATGTAGGATTGATATTAATTATACCGCACTTTTCTACAAAAATCAGTAGCTTAGAGCTCGGCCTCGATGTATTGGTGAAGTTAGGGATGATCCAAAGATAACTAGATATCGATGTTAACTCACAATTAGCCATAATAAGCTGGAGGACTATGGATCTTCATCGTGTCATGTTGTCGGTACATTGTCCTCCGAGTCGATGCGTATTCAAGTGAAGAACCGATGTTCCGATATTGTATTCAGTTCTCTGAGCCCATGGTGTGAGGAGGACCATATCGCCTGTTGATGGCCAAAATACTTACGTTGCATACTATCGTTACACGACGAGCAATGGCCTCGGACAATCTACCGACGCACTGAGTGGATTGCAGGGATAGGAATATCTTAATGAACACAGACTGTTATAGTCCATCTGTGATGAATGGGTCGATGAGGGTCTAATGTTTAACTGCAATGACTATGATCATAGCGGAGGATAGTTTTACTATCCTCCGATCACCTTCCATGTACATATAACAATTAGCCTGTCCCGCTGGTGTTGCAGGCTGAACGTATCCTGTTGTGAGAAAATTTATATTTCGGGTGACCGTCAGGATGCTCAGAAAGATGCTTTAAAGACAACTCTCTCTCTGCTATCTGCATGTCGCCGCTGGTGATAAGCTGCCATTGCCTCTCGTGTTACCTCGGTAATGCAATCATGATTGCACCTCTGTCACTGCTCGATCAAATCGAGCCCGTTTTGCCCCACACAACAACAATGGTGACTTACTACCCCCGGCGCACCAGGCAGATAGCCGAGGAAATTGTCTTAAAATTGCTTTTCGGCAGCCTCCGTGAACGTCTGTAATCGAGACTACTTACAATTTACCGACTTCGCATCCTTCACTTCCGAATCAAAGTATTTCGCATCATGCACATCCACTAGCTATGGCTTTTTTCGAATCTTCAGTGCAGACTGGCGTGAGATCACGAAATTACACAACTACTGTAGTAGTAGGCCTGATTGTAATATGTACCGGGGTAACCATCGAAGGCGACAGCTCCAAATGGGCCACAATTGGAGCTAATGATTAAACCTTTATTGGTCCACGCGTGTACTCGTCAACAAGCGAGATCGATATAGCGAGATCTATAAGTTGTGTTAACAATGGACAGTCTCACGTGACATTTCACCTTCCATTGTCCGTCCTCATTTGCGGTTCAATTAGCTTCTAAAGTCACTCTCTTTGTCCACATTGTCACGCCCCATTATGTCGTTGTATATATACAAGATGCGGTCGGATTTATTTTACTTACGAGACCCAACATGTCGTCTCTTCCTGCTGCAGCTTTCATCGGTGCCATTGTTGTCCTTTTCCCTCTTCCTGCACACTGGCGAGCTCGCAATGTCGCCACGGTCTCACTTATTGCATGGCTTTTCGTCGTCAACATCATCTACGGGGTCAACACTGTTGTTTGGGCACATAGTGTGGAGAATTTTGTGCCAGTCTGGTGCGATATAAGTAAGGAAAGTTCGTCAAAGATCCCACGACCGAGTCTAATTTTTATTTACAGCGACGAAGATTATCATTGGATCATCTTCAGCACTTCCTGCGTGTACACTATGCATCTGTAAGCACCTCGAGCTCGTTGCGTCCTCTCGGTCGGTCAACTCTACGCACGCGGACAAGAGACGGCGCCTAATATTTGAACTGGTGATGTGCTTTGGAGTCCCGGCAATTCTTATGGCGTTGCGTGAGTACGCTCTCCTTTAGGATGTAATATTTGCAGAACCTTAAACGCGAGTTTTCAGATTATATCGTGCAGGGACATCGTTTCGACATTGTGGAACAATTTGGGTGTGAACCAGCCACATACTATTCCCTCTCTGCTGTCTTTATTGTGTGGTTCTTCCCACTCTTATTCGCCACGATAACAATGCTTTATGCTGGTAAGTGTTATTGTCCGCTTACAAGCAGGACTTGTGTTCACGTCTCGCAGCGGTTGCGTTCCACCATTTCTTACGCAGGCGTGCAAGTTTCGCGGCTCACCTCGCAAACTCAAACAGCTCTCTTTCCGCAAATCGTTATTTTCGCCTGATGGCTATGTCTCTGGCGGAGATGGTATGGGGCACATCTTTCACGGCGTACACTTTGTGGGCCAATGTGTCACCTGGTTTGGAACCCTACGTCAGCTGGGATTTCGTGCACGCCGACTTCTCTCGGGTTGGACAATACCCGACAATTATCCTCTCAGCCGAATATCGTCAACAAGTGTTGCTACTGTGGTGGGTTTTACCCGCATCGGCTTATATATTCTTCCTGTTCTTTGGCATCGGAACGGAGACAATCGCAGGCTACCGGCGCGTCATCACTTGGATTCGTCGTACTGTGTTCAGGCAGACCATCGATCCCCCTTTGGGATCTCTGCCAATACCCGAAAGGTACGTAAATAGGTGACATCCACGAATTAATCAGACTGATCGTTACTACTCTAGACCCGTTCACAAGAAACCTGCCAGCATTTTCACCAGTATCGACTTGTCTGGGGATGATCAAACGCCGCCATCGTACAGTCCACCCACTGATCGCAAAATCTTCCCATCTTCGCCTGCCAAGATGAGCACCTGGCCGACAGTCATCATGAATCCAACACCTCTGGATGATCTTGACTTGCCTAGCCCGTCTGCAGCATCGTCATCGCTTCCAGTGACTCCGCGTAGATGGTCTTTCCCGCGGTCATCACGCCGATGGTCGTTTTCCGGTCCATATCCTTCTCCACTACATCCTCAGCGTCATCCCAGCGGCAGTGTGGTTGTGCAAGTGGAACGCACACCGCGTGCGTCCTCCAAGTCATACGTGTATCCGGATGCATCGTATCCAGGAGATGACGCGATCATGACCACCATCCTGGTCAAGTCGGAGATTGCGGACATGGTTTGATTGACTCAGTGATGATCTCCTCCATCCTCTTTCGTCTTCTCTTGTACATCTACGTCGCTGCATGCGTCCCTTCGTTACTGATCCGTTATATCTATGTCCAGCTGTGTCTCCTCTGTCACCCTTAAATGTATCGCTATCATCCATCCTTCGTCACTCCCTTTGTCGTTTGGCTCTGCACCTGAGCAATACCCGCTATGTATCTGGCCTGTACAAGTAGCACGCATAGAATTCGTTTTGTCACATTTGCAATGTCACAGCTCTCATCGTACACTAGTAGTGTTTGTTGGTCAACACTTCGAAGCACCAGATCAGCGAGTGGGACTACTTGCTTAATAACTGTGAGGCATGTGCCAACATTTCTTGCGCGTCGCGATGCAGGAAAATCGTATTCCACTAGGCTACAGCGACTTCACTTATCTACTACAAGATGTGGGAATACATAGAACTAGCGATAACTAACAATAATGGTAAGTTGCAAGGAACGACACAGAGCGAGCGCAAAACAACATCGTCTAGCAATACAACGAGTGTGGAAATATGCGGAGGAATTAGGATAATATCGGTGGCGTCTCCAGTGGATAACGGTCGGCTGCAAGACGAGATCGAAGATAACGTCGTCCGTAGGCAGTATGGTCAGACAATGTCACCGTATGAATCCCGTCTTACGGGAGACGGCACGTCAGGCGTGGGGCGGAACATGGACGAGATATCAATGACGGTGCTCCTGGTTTCCGGAAGCGCAGGGAGAGGCTTCTCCGTCATGACTAGCGCTTCCGATGGCTCGACGGGTGCCGAGAAGGGATTGGTGAACGCGACCTTGACCTCCTCGAGCGTGCCCGTGTCGCCGTGCGAGAAGTCGGAGAGCGAGAGTATCGAATGTCGCTTTGCTGATGCTGCACCAATTACTGGGACAGCCACCGTACCCGATGAGGTTGATGACACGGTGCCGGAGTTTGTCTTCCTCTGGATGAAGGACGGGATGGTGATCTTGGCGAGGAAACTCGAGGTCGGCTTCGAGCTAACACGCACGAACAAGAGATGGTCAGCCGGGTAAGGTGAGAAGTCCAGGGAGGATACGTACCCGACGGGTGTGCCTGTAGAGCCATGCAAGGGAGACGTCGACAGCCCGAGCCGTCGGGCCGCATACGTCGCGGCCAGCCGATAGTGCCTGCGCGCCTCGTCCGCGAGGCCGAAGAATCCGAAGAAGATGAACGCGCACGCGATCTGCAGCCAGATGATAGAGAAGAACGAAACGCGGTACCCCTCGAACGAGAGCCAGTACACGGCGGGGTACTGCGGGGTGCGCGAAAACTGGTAATGGATGTCCGCCAGCCCATGCCAGGGATAGATCGGGCTCGTCACAGAGTAGTAGAGGTCGACGCAGCCGACGGGGACCGTGAAGCACATCTCGGTTGCGGCGATGCCCATGAGGCGGAAGTAGCGGTTGAAGCTCAGGTTGCTCCCTCCTGAGAGAAACTGCTTGAATTGCCGTCTTCGCGCCCAGAATGCACGGAGGGTCAGCGCTGGAGGCGAATGTGAGCGATATATTTCAGGATTCGAGGACTTCTGAGTACGCACTGCAATACACCATTGATACGAGACCAATTACGATAGGCCAGATGGTGATTAAGAATAGGTGTAGGATCGTATTCGGTATATCTGGGTTGCAGCCGAGGCCTTCGACGATGTCATATCGTTGGCCCTCGTAGAACCAATCTATAACAACAGACTTAGAAGACTCCATAACAACACCGCGCTTTCCTTACATAGTGCGACAGCTAGGATAGGAATACCCAATCCGATGGCCAAGTCAATGATGATTATCCGCCGTTTGTCGGCTCTAGTCAAGGAGACTGTGGAGATCTTGGAAATCTTGTACAAACGTCTGTTGATACACAAGGATGCACAGCAAACCCCAATCGACGATGCCAGTTTCCATCTTGAAGCTGCGGGTGAAGTTAGCCCGGACGACCGTCCACGGCTTGGCGCACTCACTGATATCGCACCACACCGGGGCCCAGTCGATGACGTTGTCTTTCCAGATGATCAAGTTGATCCCTTGGATTAGACACTGGCTGCCACACCAGAAGATGTACAGGACGCAGCCCATGTTCCATGCTAATGAACATAAAAATTCAATCGGTGGATGAGCGGGTCCAAGTTTTGACTGCTTACCTTCCAAGTGCCACCAGAGCGGAATACATACGAGGATAAAACCAAGGAATGAACAGAAAATCTCGAAGTCGGTGAGCGAGTAGAATGTCTTAAGGTCCATGGTGTACGCCGTGAACCGCAGGGAGGGCAACAACGAATGGTGGATAACAGCGCAACCCCATGATTTCTTATTGCTTATAATTTCCTTTCGGACCGCAACACGGACGTTCTTGTTTTCGCCGTCACTGGTGGATGGGTGCGACGCGATCCATAGAAGGCAGTCGTTGTCCTAGAAAGGCAGGAGACACGGAGATCGTGTTCGGAAGAACCACCAAATTTCATCCCCAGCTTTCGTTCAAAGGGAGTCCCATATTGGGGAGCACAAGGATACCACTTTGGCACAAAGTCCTGACATTTGTGGGCTGTCCGTGGATTGGATTTCTGAAATCCAGGCTGCGGATGCGTGAGCGGTCACAAGTTCCCGGCCGCGCTAGCGCACTGCGCCGCCTCAGAGTCAATGTATGTCATGAGTCAAAACCCTCGAGTCCTGTCATTCTACAGAAACATTTAACGAGCAGAGAGCATCACGGCGAGGAAGAAACTTAAGCGGAAGTCGTTTGAACTTCGAAAACTTAGATAAGATAAGCTAAGACTCTAGGCGCTTATCGCTCCTCCGACTCGCCGGCAACATTCGCTGTGACGGGCCATAGCAGGGTTGCGACTCTTCAACGTTCAACGTTTGTATCTCTGTAACGATAAATGCACTCCGGATGTTGTTAAGTGCACGCGTGTTGCTCTTCTGTGCGACTAGGTTTTCCCTCGATGCCTTCGAATGCTTGGCAGCCTCTTCCGCCGGTGCTTGAAAGTTGCCAGTCGGAACGTTGTCCCTTTCTGCAAAGAAGCGCTTCACGGATCTCTATAGAGCTGAATTTTGCACTTACGAGCAGCACCAGGTACTTATCTCCAGATTTTGAAGTTGGCGAATGATAAATTTTCGGGGGAATCGTGTGTGACGTCAGCGACACTTTGGTCGTCCGACGTAGGTACGTGTCCGTTGCTTTTCAGCCGTGCTGAAGCCTGGATTCAGGACAGCCGCTACCAGAAACTTTCGCTTCTCCGCTGGATGCTGGAGTTTATAACTGCGTGCTGCGCCTGCTCGTGCCAATTTTTTTCTTGCTTTGTTTAGCAACTATTCTGTATCGGACACATGGCACGTTCCCTATTGTTGTCTCTAAGGTGATTGTCCTTCTGCTGCAACGTGACGCAAACATCTCGCCACTTGCTTTGTGGCTGCCGAAACTGGCGTAAGCGCCGGGCTTTCGAGCTATATAAGACCCTACCGGGTGCAAGCTTTCCTCAGTTAATACCCCTCCTCCGCACTTCAACCGGACATGCAAAAACGAACTTTGGTATCCCAAGTCACCGCTTATGAACTCTGGACCTCATTCAGACAAACTCGTCCGTGGACTGCACACGTTATGTTGCAATGGATGTGCGTTAGCTCGACCGTCTGTCTCTTCACTATCCTAACGATTCCTTTTCTGCAGTGCCGGCACAGCACATATGATAATGCGTATTAAGCGTCGTCTAGTCAGTAACCTTTCCGTGAGTTCAAGAACTGCGCTGACATTAGTCACAGGTGCGTTCACGGGTTCGGATGATGAGTATTATGCGCAGGGAAATCGACGGTGCGGAGTGCGACTCTTTCAAGATCCGTATAACCCAGACAGTGAAGCTATGTACGTGTATCATCGTATGCTCGTTGACGTCGCTGACCCATGCTCCTGCCCTTTCCTCAACCCAGGAAGTTCCCTTGCCCGTTCCCAGGGTGCACATACAGAACCCTCCAGGCAGGGAACCTGAAACCACACAGCCTGAAACAGTGCGTGCTTGCACCAACAGTGCATCAGAGTCTTCTTTCGCTCACCGATCCTGATGCCACTGCCCAACTCAGGTGTGGACCATCTATGTCTGACTCCGTGAACGTTTACGGTGCATTCATTGGCGACAGCATCGACTTCTTTGTTCCCTCCGCGTCGCTCGAACTTCTGGAAGGTCACCCGACTGACGTTTTCTACGGCTCGCACACGGCACAAGATCTATCGAATCATAGCGCCGTCCCCAGCCAAGTTAATGGCAAGCTCAAAGAGTCATATTGCACGTTGGCATACATTTCTCGTGCAGGATTTTCGACCGAGAATTTCCAGAACCAAGGCGACTTCGTTGGGGTGGGCGATCCGAACAGAGCCAGCTAGTGGTTGACCGGATTCCGCAAGAGCGTTGCACACCCTTGCGTGAATTTCAAACCAACGAGGCACTGACGTTCGAATTCCGCCACAACGAAAATAAGTTCTTTCCAGCGAAAGATGCCCTGTCTAAGAATTTTGCTGGACTGCACCCGGCGTGACGAGGTCGTGATCAGCAAAGACTACGGGCGAGAAAGCACCAAGCTGATGATTCGATTCTTGGTACGTTTTCATTTGCCCTCCCAGATCATATTGCTGATTTCTTTTTCCAGTGGCCAGTTCAGCGAACCGAGGACTCCCGTTGCTGTTTGCTTACCTGGACACGGAGCTCAAGCATGGAGCTGGAGAATGGCTGTGTGTGGAAGGTGGTCCACCTCCGGGACCGCAAGCTCGGGGCAATTTCGCGCGCCGCAGACTGCAATTTGTTGGGTTCGACGTTCAGTCATTCTTGAAGATCTCGACGTCGGTTCTTTCTTTCCATTCTGTAATGTGCATGTTGTATGTGGAGAAGATGTTCGTCTCGCTGCTGGTCCTATCCACTCTGTAATGTGTATCTTGTCCGTTGGAGTCTCCGTGATGGTTCTATCCACTCTCTGTAACCCACTGTGTACTTCATGGTTTTATTTCCATGTTGGTTCTATCCATTCTGTATTTTGAGCACTGTACTAGTGTACTTGAAAGTTTTGGGCCTACTCGTGCCTCAGAAAATAAGACCTATGGTAGGGGTTGTCCCTAAATTCCTGCGCGGCTTAAGTTCGGAACAATCCGGATGACGAGTTTGGCCAGCCGTTCTCCTCCAGTCTTAGTGCGTGTCCTAATCCGGTAATTTTCGATAAACCGGGTAAGTCTCATAAAACATGATGTTGGAGGAGCGAGAACGCTGTAACGACGGATGGTTTTAGGAGCCTGCCGCGAGACCCACATTTTTGGTCAGCATCTCACCTTTCCACACCAGTAAGGCATCGTGGTCGTATAGCATGCTAGTCGTGTCATCGACCAGCGCTCGCCTTGCTCAATCTGACCCGAATACACAGGCGAGCGCAAACCTCGGAGCAACGTTCTGACTGAGCAACGTTCGTTGTCGCACGTGATCTTCAATCCGACTCGCCAACTTTTCGCTGACTCCAGCAGGGTTGCGACTGCTCGGCGCTCAGCGTTTAATCTTCTCGTCTTTGGAACGATAAATGCACTCTGGATATCGTTAAGTGTATGCGCATCTATGTGACTAGTTTTTTTTGCTCGATGCCTTTGGATGCTTGGAGTCTCTTCCGCCGGTGCTTGGAACTTGTCACCCGTCGGAATTTTGTCGTTTTTAAGAAGTCAAGCTTGTCACGGATATCGGTGCAGTCGAATTTTGTACTTACGACCAGTACTAGGTACTTAAGTCTCTGCAGATTTTGAAGTTGGCGAATGTCAGTGCAATCGGGTGTGGCTGGCTCGCCCGTGGCATCATCGACGCTTCGCCGATTCCTCGTGCTAACGAACGAGGTACGTGTCCGTCGCTTTTCAAACGCTCTGAAGCCTTTCAGGATAGCTACCACCAGAAATTCGCGTCTCCACTGGATCCTCGAGTCAGTGCTTTGTTGTAACGGCATGCTGCGTCTGCTCGTGGCAGATTTTTTGTCTTGCTTTGCTTAGCAGCTATTCTGCATCGGACGCATGGCGCGTTCCCTATTGTTCGTCTCCAAGGTGATTGTCCTTCTGCTGAAACGTGACGCCAACATTTCGCCGCTTTCTTGCTGCCGAGGTTGCTGAGTGGCGCAAGCGCCGGGCTTTCGAGCTATATAAGACCCACCACCAAGTGCAAGTTTTCCTCACTTAACCCCACTCCTCCATACTTCCACTGGACATGAAGAAACGATCTCTGGTATTTCGAATCACCACTTATAAGCCCTGGACCTCACTCAGACGAACTTATCCGCGAACCGCACGCGTTATCTTACGAATGGATGTGCGTTAACTCGATTGTCCGTCTCTTCACTATCTTAATGATTCCATTTTCTGCAGCGCTGACACCGGTGGCGTTGAGCACCACGTCAAGGCGAGGCCGTTGTGAACGAGCATTTCCAGATGCAGTCTCGCGCACGGCAGCTACAGACGTGCGGTGAGCCTGGTTAGCCTCCATGGGTGTCACTCCCAGAGGCGCCACCATGACCCAGGGAAACCTCGGAACACACATCGCATCAATCCACATTCGGTCAGCGTCGGCGGGTCAGCCAGCTCCTCCGGCCACTCGTCGTAGAAGCACTGGAACTGAAGTCGGATGCGCCGAATCAAGGACTGGGCTGCGTTTTGGGTCTCGGAACCCGACTCAAACCCCGATTTCGCGTTTTGGCAGTCAAACCGAATCAGACGCTAGGCTACCAAACCCTAATCGTGCGGCATGTAGGTGTTGTTCAATCCCGTGGGGAGAAAGCCCTGGGTGCTGGAGAGGGCGTCAAGCCGACTCGGAGAGCCACACCACCGTTACGCATCACCATCCAGCTCCACCGTTGCAGGGTCCATCCAACCTGAAGGCCGACTTCCACCCCCACGTAGCTGCTCTTTATGCATCGTCCTCCGGTTCAGAGCCCTTTCGCTTTATAGCACCTGCGCGCCATAGTACCTGCGCTGTCGACGACTCTCGTGCTCACCACGAATGGCCAGCGACATCAGAAGCTTTCTGGACCCGTCACCCGCCCAGCCCAGGACTAGAACAATCTTAGTGTGGCCGTGAAGCTGTCTGCTCCAGTGCGCGGACACAGTGCGCTCGAACGCGTCCCCCAATGTGGCTTGAAGCGTACAGGACACCCGAACCGAGGTCTCGCATTTCTGTTCGCTCATGGAGCTCAAGCATGGAGCTAGAGAATGGCTGTGTGTGGAAGGTGATCCACCTCCGGGACCGAACGGTCAAAACGATTTCGCGCGCCGCAGACGGCGATATGTTGGGTTCGACGTTCAGCAATACTTGAAGATCTCGACGTCGGTTCTATCAACTCTGTATCTTCATCTTGTACCTGAAGAAGATGTTCGTCTCGGTGGTGGTTCTATCCACTCTGTAACGTGCATGTTGTACGTTGGAGAAGATGTTCGTCTCCGTGTTGGTTCTATCCACTCTGTAACGTGCACCTTGCAAGTTGCAGAAGATGTTCGTCTCCGTGTTGGTTCTATCCACTCTGTAACGTGCACCTTGCAAGTTGCAGAATATGTTCGTCTCCGTGTTGGTTCTATCCACTCTGTAACCCGCTGTGTACTTCACGGCTTTATTTCCGTATTGGTTCTATCTGCTCTGTATCTTGAGCTCTGTACTAGTCTACTTGAAATTCATGTCAGTAGATGAGATTGTGTTTCTTAGCAATGGAACTTCTATTGCTCAACTAATTATGCAGTGTTCATCTGTCTTCTATAATTCATAGCGCTGAGAGTAGCTTGGATCTTATCTCAATCTTATCTTATCCCTACGAAGTTCGACGTCAAGCTTCTTCCTTGCCGTCACGATGCTACACCCTCGTCGCTGCCGTGACGCCACAAGCAGGCGACACGTATAAACCACGAGATAGCCATACCTACAGAATGGTGCAAGGACAGTGTTTCTGGTCGGAGAGCAGCAGCACGAGTTATGACGTAGAACGCAAGACGGGCGCGATTATTTCTGTGGGTTCGCGTATCTCGTCAAGTACAAGCACTGACGGTGCATTGGGACCAAGTTTCTAGGGCTGCCCAGGCGGCGACCTGTGCGCAGCCGGCTGGTATCAACGGCTTCTAAAACTCATTCGTATCTGTCAAGAAGAACAATTGGTGCACCTGCCAGGACCAGCTTGCAAGTCCCTACTCGGATGCATTTAGTGCCTTCGGAGCTCGGGTTCACCTGCAGTTTACGCCGGAACAAAAGTGCGTCCAGCAGCACCAAACAGTGCTCGACAGTGTTGACACACTGCGTTACAATTAAGTACATTCGTCACTCCTCGGAGCACAGCATCGCTGTTTCCCTCTTGCGTATAGCCCGAAACCTCACCGGGACCGTGAATGACTGGGAGAGCACCCCGACACTGCATCGCCACGCACCCTAGCTTGTATTCATTTGTGCTGCTCGCAGGACGCTCTGGACGATGGTCTGCAGGGTGAAGGCACTCACATCTAGCATACTGTCCAGCCGCCCGGCGAATGAAGTAGATACTAATAGGTTCACCACATTTTCAAGCTGGCTGGATCTGCCAACTGTGTGAATGAAATCCGTGGTGCTTTGCATAGACAAGGAACGGCTTACGAGGATTGTATCAGTGCAGATCGTCCGCGAGAAACAGGACGAAGAGCAAAAACAAGGCGGCACCAGTCGAAGACGCAACAGGTGTCACTGATTCTAGTCTTCCGTGGACCGTGTTGATATGTTCAAGCTGTTGGAATGGAACGAGCGCTGCTAATGCACAGACCTTGTCAGTCTCTTTTACCTCGAAGTTGTCGGTCGTCGCTTTTCTGAAGTCGAGCTCGTCACGGATCTCTGTGGTGTTGAATTTTGCATGCACTACCGCCGCAGTTTTTGGCGTTGGCGAATGATCAGATTTTCAGTGGAATCGGGCGTGGCTCGGTCGTCTGTAACATCATCGACGCTAACAAACGAGGTACGTGTTTGTTGCTCAGTTCAGCTGTGCTGAAGCGTTTCAGGATAGCCACTACCAGAAATCGCCGCATCTCTACTGGATCCTGGAGGCAGTGTTTTTTTATAACGGCGTGCTGCGGTTTCTCTTCTGCCAAAAATTTTTCTTGCTTTGCTTGGCGATTATTCTGCATCGGGCGCATGGCGCGCCCCCTATTGTTTTGTATCTAAGATGATTGTCCTTCTGCTGAAACGTGACGCCATTATCTCGCCGCTTTCTTGCTGCCGAGGTTGCTCAGTGGCGCAAGCGCCGGGCTTTCGAGCTATATAAGACCGTCCACCAGGTACAAGCTTTCCTCACTTAACCCCAATCCTCCACACCTCCACTAGACATGAAGAAACGATCTCTACTATCCCGAATCACCGCTTATGAGCTCTGGACCTTATTCAGACGAACTCATCCGCGAACCGCACACGTTATCTTACGAATGGAGGTGCGTTAACTCGACCGTCTGTCTCTTCACTACCCTAACGATTCCTTTTTCCGCAGCGCTAGCACAGGCGGCGTTGAGCACCATATCGAGGCGAGCGCTGTTCTGAACGAACATTTCCAGGGCGGCAAGCCGGTGATTCCTGCACAACGGCAGGAGGTACGGCCGGATGTCCTGCCTCGAGTAGCCGGAGGAGGTAGTCGACGCACTAACCGTGCTGACCGCAGGTGCCTCGACTCTATATGCTTCTCAGGCCATGGTGGCATGTCTAGGAGCGACGTAGGGAGGCATGGAGGTGGCCGATGTTCAGCATCATTCCCGGGATCAGCTACGCTCTGCATCAATGCGACCCCATCATCGAGTTCCGCAGTCGCAGGGTCTCATCCAACCCGAAGGCCGAATCCCACCTCCATGTAGCTGCTCTTCGCGCCTCGTCTTCGCTGTCGGATCGGATCACTGGCAGGCAATCAAGGAGGATCCTACTACTCCACGAACCCACACCGATATCAGTCGCATCGCAGCCGCCCGCTGGCGTGCTCTCCCTGAGGACTCGGAGGAGCGCAAATATTACAAGCATCGCGCGGCACTCGAAAGTGAAGCCCACCGTCAGAAGTATCCCGGTTACAAGTGCCAACCTGGATCCCGAAAGGACAAGCGAGCGAAGCGCAATACGAGCCGTAAGACCAATCATAGGAGGTTCGAGAGGATATTGCGCGCGGCAGCTGGCAATCTGTTGGGTTCGACGTTCGGCAATTCTTGAAGATCGATGTTGGTTGGTTCTGTCCACTCTGTATCTTCTCCTTGTACCTGGAGAAGATGTTCGTCTCGGTATCGGTTCAATCCGCTCTGTAACGTGCATCTTGTGCGTTGGAGAAGGTGTTTGCCTCGGTATTGGTTCTATCCACTCTGTAACGGTCGTGTTATATGTTGGAGAAGATGTGCGTCCCGGTGTTGGTTCTATCCACTCTGTAACCCGCTGTGTACCTCACAGCTTTGTTTCCATGTTGGTTCTATCCACTCTGTAATTTGAGCTCTGTACTAGTCTACTTGAAATTCACACCTGTAGACGAGTTTGTGTTTCTTAGCAATGGAATTTCGGTTGCTCAACAATATAAGCCTAAAGTCCGTCTTCCATAATTCTGAGAAAAGTCTGTGCATATGAGCCTTGTTCTACTCCACGAACGACTTCGACATCAACACGGTGCACGGAAGGCTATAGAATCAGTGACACTTGTTGCATCCTTCGAGTTCGGCTGGTGCCGCCCTTTAGTATGACTTTGAGCCCCTCTGTGTTTTGCTCTTTGTACTGTTTATTGCCGAAGATCCATGGTTTTGTCCTATCTCACTGACGCACAGAATAGATAGATCATGGATGCCTGAGGCATCCGAGTCCATGATCTGACAATCACACTGATGCAATCTTCGCCAGCGCAAGTGGGAGATTCTCGCCGGCCGTTCCTTCTCTACGCAAAGCACCACGAAACCTTTTTCATTCTCACAGTTGGCAGATCCCGCCAGCTTGAGCATGCGGTGAACTTATCTACGTCATCCGCCGGGTGGTTGGGCAGCATGCTAGAGGTGAGTGCCTTGCCCGTGCACACCATCTTCGAGAGCATCCCGCGAGGAGCAAAACTGAACCACAGGCTCGGGTGCTTGGCAGTGCTGTGGCGTTTCCCCAGTCATTCACGGTTCCCGAGAGGTTCCAGGCTAAACGCAAGAGGGAAACAGCAATGCTGTGCCCCGACGTATGGACGTCATTAATTGCAACGCGCAGTGTCGTGTCGACACGAGTGCACTGTTTGATGTTGCTGGTTCACCGCAAAAGCGGTCTGACGACACTTTTGGCTGTTTCTTGAGGTCGATGGGGACGTACTGTTGTTCCGGGGTGGTCTGCACGAAGGCACTGATGCGCCCGATTGGTGACTCGCGAAGCCGGTCCTGGCAGGGCGCCTGTGCGGCAACTGTCGTCCTTGACAGATACGAATGAGTTTTAGACCCGGTTACCACTGGCAGCCGGCTGCGCGCTGGCAGGTCACCGCCTGGGCATATCGGCCCAAGAAACTTGGTCCCAGTGCTCCGTCCGTGCTTGTACTGGACGAGATACGAGAACCCACAGGGGTAACTGAGCTCGTCTTGCGTTCTACGTCGTAACTCGTGCTGCTGCCCTCCAGCTAGACTGTCACCTCACTTGCACCAACTTGTAGCCATGGCTATCTCCTGGTTTACACGTGTCGCCTGCTTGCTGCGTCACGGCAGCATACGTATGTCCACTCTTCGTATCTCGCCCGGTCCAATTATCCTCACGCCTCTCTTCGGATACGTAGCCCATCTCGTACTGGCTCTCGCCTTCATCCAACCAGTTCTCGCATCGGTCAATTTTGACCAGTGCTTCGCCGCCATCCAGAGCGGATCCTACGGACAAGATGGTGGGACCGACAATCACGGAAATCCTGTTCCCGTTGAAAATGCCACTGCCATCACATACTCGCTGTGTTTATCAGCGTGTGGTTCGGACCAGGAGCCTTTTAGTTGGTCGACTTTTTCGCAGCAGTTCAGTGCATGGCTGCTCCCTTACCTCGCACTCGTATCTCAGCTTCCGTTCGGCGCGAAGCACAGACTGGGAAACCTCACGTCTGTCTACCTGACTGTGGGGTCGCCTACTCTTGCCGCGTATTCCCTGGCCCTTACCGTATTGAACGGGCGGTGGGTCGCTGGTCGGTTTTCCAGGATAGCATATCCAAATGCCCAGAAAGCTGCTCGCATTCTTGGCAGTCTGCAGCAAGCCCAGCTTCGTATCTCTTACGATGACGCTCTTCTCTCCTCCCTCGTCGTTCTGCATGAGAACAATGCGTGGTGGGACGAGCTCGCCGATGCCCTCGATTACACGCACACGTGGTCCATCGCTGCCCTCACCCAGATTGTCTGGGTCGTCGCCGCCTACGTATTCACCGTGGTGCAGTCGCTGACTGACATCAACAGTAACATCAATTCCAACGGGCAAGGCGTCGGCTCTGTATGGTTATGGCTTCTGCCCATTGTTGGAGGGTGGCTGCAGCTGTCCCCGAAATGTGACACTGTGAGATTACGCCGCGCATTCGACAAGACAAACCCTCTTCCGTTTGTTACTACTCCTACAGGAGAGGTAGTCAAGGTATCGAGCATAACGGATGAAAGAGCCTTGTCAATTGACAGCTATGCAGACGGATTCGTCCGTGACGGGCATTGGTTAGCATCGGTGACCCGCGACCAAGAGCTTAGCGCACCTATCTTTAACTATGCACGCTTCCTCCCTTGGGTGCAGCGCGTCGAGGACGTCGCAGCTGCTTTTCGGGCAGCGGCGATGAGGGCCAAGAACCATATTCCCGTCTCTGGGCAGCTGTGGACGCTGTCGGAGGACGGAAGCATTCACAGAAACAACAGAACAGGCACTCTCGCGCAGGTGATGGCCTACACCGAACCGCCCGTGTACATGCGAAGGTCTCACTGGGGCCAGGGCGTGTTCACGCGGATGTTTATCGCGTCCGTGCTGGCGCTCTCGCTGCAGTGGGGCACGACGGGTGCGGCTGTCATCGTCGTCTGGTTCACACCGACGATTGGACTGGGCTGTCGCTCGGGCGCGTACCTTATCTACGGGATAGTGTCGACCATGGTCTGGCTCATCCTCATCACCTCAAGCGCACTAGCGCACCACGCGTCGCCGCGCTCGTACCACGCAAGCAGCCCTCTAGCCAACATGCGTTCCGTGCGCCTCGCGGGCATGCTCGCCATCGCGCTCCGCCGCGTCGGCAAGACGCTCGCGTTCATGAACGCCGTGTGGATCGTGCTCGCGTGCGTGTTCCAGTTCAGCAACGTGTTCGACCGGTGCTACTGCAACAGCAGCGTTACCGGGCTCGGGCGCAATGCCTACGACGTCCTCGTGAACACCGAGACCGACCTGGTGCGGATGCGGCTCGCGTGGGCGGCGGGCGTCGCGTTGGCATCTTTTGTCGCTCTTGCGTTCTCGTTCTTTGTGAATTTGATCAAAGATCCGGAGGACGAAGGGTGGTTTAGTGTGTGAGCCTGACGGCGGGCTGGCAGCGTCTTGGACCTCAGAAGTTGTGTGCTATAGTTATGTCGAGCTTGTGTTAATTGCTATCATACGTACTAATACCGTGTGTTCATGCTACTGTATACCATCGCATCGCTGCATTACCTTGGGGTTGTTTATATAATATATATATTTTGTATCATATCAGTTGTGTGCTCTGGCGTACTACGGTGCGATAGTCATGTGGTTGAGGCAGGTCGCGATGAGCGCATTGAGAACAATGGTAGGAGCGTGAATTGGGATGTGAGTAGCATCACTCCCATACACAGGGGGGTGATGGCCTGGCGCTCCGAGTCAGATGCATTGATATTGCCCCACGGGTGAAGGGGTGTTCTTGTGGAACGAGAGACAGCAGCAGGGTTGTAGCATCATTATGTTGGCCTATATGGATTCATGAGATGACCATTACTATCTGCGTGTCTATTGAGTGGAGAGACTCACCGCTGAGCACTTGCGCAGTAACCATCTATCCCATCGCTCTCACCTGAGGAGACCACGTTGAAATGCGAGACACTCAGTTCTGCGTGACCTAGGATTCAAAGATCCGATACTCGTTGACAACACATACAACATTCCAACTTGAGTCCTATCCAAGAAGATCGTCAAGGAAATCTTGCATTCCCTCCTTCTCCGTCCTCTCCGGCTTCGGTTGATCAGTGGGCAGGGGAGGAGCTTCCACATAGACTCGTTCTACTCCTGAAATAAGATCATGGAAAAACTCCTGCATGATCTCACATACCTTGAGTCCTAACCCGACTGACCAGCTGTGTCGGCTTCCCGCGCTGTTTCTCGGTCTGAGCACGGAAGCGCGACTTGAGTTCTATACCAAGTGAGCATGCAGCGGAATACTGCGAGTGCAGACAGAGACACCTACCCCATGTTGCCTCTGCCGCTGCCTTCTCGCGATTCATCTTTTCCAGTTCAGCATCCCAGTCGACTTTCTGTACACGTCCCTTCTTCGACTGAGCATTATGTACGCGAGGCCCGATGTGTGAGAGGCTGGTGTCTACGTCCTCATCTTCCACTGGGGGTGGTGCAACGCTGGGCCCTGGCGAGTGTCTCTGGCGCTCGAGAAACGCCGACAGGTCGACTTCTGGCTCTACCACTTCCTCTCCTACGTTAAAACCAAATCCCCATTAGAACGACTAGGATCTCAGGCACGACCATGAATATAACTTCACCTTCCGAGTCGAGCTCAGGCTGTGGCTCGACATATCGGTCGGCATTGGATCCTAGCTGCCGCCGCGCGTACCTCTTCTCCTGCTCCTCCTGTTCCTCCGCGTCTACTTCAGTTTGCTCCTCACCCTCTAGAACGAGTCGGTGGCCCCATTCCGCTGGACGACCTCGCCCTCGTCCTCGTCCTCGGGCGCGGAGGTATTTCCCTAAACCACCACGCGACTTTCCCCTTCCTCGCGCCCTGGTCGCTGGGGTGGAAGAACTTGGTGCCTGGGTGTCGTCCATTGGATGTATTGCTGCGAATGAGGAAGTGTGAAGGTACTTAGTTATGCGGCGGCACTGGCACGAAGTATAGCTGATTAGATTAGATTAGCAATGCCGCAGTTGGGCGCTTAACTATCATACTCGTCATTCCGTTGAACAACTTGCGTGAAAGTATTTGAACCGACAATTTGTCTACGTTGCTCTGCATTCAGTTGCAGAGATTCGATGTCTCCGAGATGAAAGTTTTTTTTTACCGTGGTCCTGCGGCAGTGATGGAATGAATGGTCTTAACGTGCGTTCGCAATCTATACAATGTGCTTTCACGGCTGGTCGTTCTTATTTTTATGTTTCGCAGCTAAATCCCATCGCCAAGCGGGCGATTTGATTGCTGACTCGGGAGCAGCTTGACACTATCGCCTGTAATACTCTGGGCACTGCGTGTGGTTCTGGTCTTTCTGCACTCGTGCAGGCATTGACGGATGAATCAAACCACGGATCGCTGTGCACCCTTGCATACCCGTGGATGCATTGGCCATTGACCTCTATATCAGGGAAAAGTGCTGGTGATGGTACACTAACTTCAGTAGTTCTGACCTTCATGAGTAACATGGATACACAAGCTCGCTCCCTCAAGGCTCCGAGTCGTGATTCCTCGCTAATGTGTTACAGATAATTCAGTCGCTCAGCGACCGTGACATTGCGCGTAACGTAGGTGTGCTGAACGGTACAACAACGTGTGAAGATAATACTGTCCATGCTAATCGCTCTCGATAGTGTCCGTGCCGACCGCCCTGCGGTGGTCGTGCGATGCCTCCTCCCTCAATTAGAGTCCATTAAACTACTCGGAAGTCCGATGTCAAAGAACCGCGCGGAGAGCGCTTGCGCGAACGAAAGTGTTTGAAGGTCAACGAGCTCGTATCGTGGATATGATGTGCCGGGAAATGGTCGCTGGGACCCTACAAAGAGCGGGTTATTGGCTGAGAGGTGAGTGATACTTCGTTCACGTACCTGTCGCGCCCTTAGGCGACGACGCACCAGGGGTTGCCGCAGTAGGCATACCCCTCCTTGGCAGACTCGGTGGGGGTTTCTGTGTTGGGTACGATCTCCTCAGCGACGCTGATGGCGGAGGCAACGGTGAAGGCGTCCATTACAGATGGGGAGAATGCGAATGTAAATGCAAGTGTGGTTTGAATGCGAAGGGAGAGAGGAGACGAAGCTAGCGTCTGGAGCGAGTGGACTTCGTTTCTGGCCAGCAGAGAGATATGGCTTGCTCTTTATACTGCTATGGCGGCTGTGCGCGCGCAGCTAATTGTGCAGTGCGAAGCGTCCTGACAGGTGGTTACATGGAACGGCGTTGGACTTAAACATCCGTGTTTGAGTAACGTTCCCGCCTGCCTTTGCAACGGACGTCAACAGACAATAGCTCGCTCCGTGTCATCCCCCACGGTGAAGTATATCTGTCTCTGGATCTCGGGTGATACGAGGCTATCGGTGCGCTGATCTGAAGCAATGTGACTTGTTGTGTGCTCCGAGTATCCCAGGCGTATCCATCGTGCTGCGTACACCTTCGTATCGCGGCCTCTCCGCAAATGCTGACCATTCAGTTCTTGCTCGAGCGGTGCAGGTAGCGACCAAGTGGACAATCGCTCTGGAGTGCAACACGCAGCTCCGCCTTGCCCGAGCTGTGCCAAACGCTGCAAATGCTTCAGGTATCGAAAATACGACCCAGATCGAATCGTCGAACAAAGAGTACGGACCTTGTAGGACATTAAGTCCAGGTGCGTCCTGTCATGTTCACCGGTCAACCTCCTTGGGATGTACTGTGTCCGATTGAATTGCATCACTTCCCCCTCCTCGATGGTTCTCACGTGATCGAGATGTAGAACAATAGCAAGCATCTCCGAATCGCCCTCGCGGACTCTGCTTAGACTCTGCTTATCGCCGCGCTCGCACATGCTAATTGTGTGCGCGAGGAACCGTGTCACGTCGGTGCGCAAAGTTGCTCTCCGCCCGCCATTCCCGATCACTCTTCGGCGTCACTTGCGGTCGGTTCGTGTGGTGCTATTGTTATGCCCAGGATGCGGCAGGCATGCCTTCTGAAAGTCTCAGTCTCAAATGCTCTAGCAGTTATCTACTCTCGACAGCACCATGACTTGACCACCAACATTTCATGACCACCACGAGCACACCTCTTCCCCACTCCTATTGCTGCAGGAGGAACTTGCACGCCGATCCGTGTCTGAGGTGGAGCATGACCGACCGATGTTCTCTTGTTCGCTATCTTCGCTATCTCCCCCTATATCTACGCAGCAGTACGCCCCCGTGCGAGGCACATACTCAATCGCTACTGAACTTCTGTCGGCGGTATACATGGCAGTATTCGTTGTCTGGCTGCAACGTACGCGTTGGATAGGCCTCACCTGGAGGAGCTGGGTCTATGTAGGTACGTCTCACGTTCCGGAAATACAGGACATATATCATAACCTCCGTGCAGAGTTTGTGTGCAGACGGACGTAAGTATCGCCTGGGCGTAACCCTCTCCATGGGCGCTTCACACGCCAATGCCAGGAACGTTTCTGCGACTCGCACCGGTTGATCTTTCCCCTGTTCGAGCTGTGAAACTTGATGAGGTGTGAGCGCCGGGTTCTCGAGCTCTGGAAGCTCTGGAAGCTCTTCGAGCTCCTTGAACTTGAGCCCGAATACATCGTGGATATAAATTGTGACCGTTGCAGAGTAGAATATGTTTTTAATGAAGTCGTGGGACGGAGAATTCGAAGTTCAGTGTTTGCCGTTACGGTTGCCCTGACAATTCAAGATGTGTAAGGCGCCGTAGGTGTCGGCTAGATCCGAGTGTGCTTACTCTGATTGGTCGGTGTGTTGTGCTGCATATTGTCCACCGTCTAAGCAACTCTCCATCCAACAAACTCAGCAGTGCTCCTCGCCACCACCAACGACGACGACAAACCTTTCGACATCATTCAAGGCATTCTCCCGACGCTTCGATCTCTCCGTTCCTCGTTGCCTGCCTTTCCAACCATTCGCAACGGACTTGGCGACTCACTCTCTCGACTGGGGTGATTCTCTTCCAGGATAATCTTCACTCGTAACGATGGCCTTTAATCAAGTGACTGCAACCTCCTTGACGCCCTCACGACCCGCCCCTGCCGCTCCAATACGGCGAGGAACCGATATCCAAAATGTGCTTGCTGCTTCCGGATATACCTCGTCTTTCTCGGTTGGGACATCCTCACCTTCTGGCTCTTCCTACGCCTCGTCATATTCAGGCATAGGAGGGTCCCCCAATCGCAACTCAGACATGAGCTCGCATTCGAACACCGTGAGGGTCGGGTATGTCTCGATCAAGGAGGATGGTGTCATCAGCTGGCTATGGAGACCGAAGTGGTTGATCCTGAAGGAGCAGACGCTTACGATCCATAAGAATGAGGTGAGCTCGGGCATTTTGATTTACTTGTACAGTATGCGGCGCGCGATTTATAGGGCATCGGGCGCCTCGGTCTCCATGAGGATCTTTTTGTCCTTCTCTGTAGATATAAGAGCTCATTAACAGCATCTTCGGTGTACGTCGACAGACCTTTATACACGTCTATCCACGTACAGCAGACGCGTCCGGGATACATCTCTCTCTATTGAGGTTGTACCGCCAAACGCCATCTTCTTCTCCGCCTGTGGCAATAATTTGCAGGAGATGACGAGATGAAATCGATAGCCTGAAACTGACTTAATTTCCATACCTACTAGACCACAGTGCAATACCAAAGTCTCATAAACCTTGGTGACATCGCGAATATCGAGCGAACGGACCTGAAGCCCTACTGTCTACTCTTGGAGACGAAGGACAAGCGCATATTTTTCTCACTTAAGAATGACGAGGAACTCTACGGTTGGCAGGATGACATCTATTCGCGAAGTCCGTTGATGGGCGTCAGCAATCCCACAAATTTCGTACACAAGGTACACGTTGGGTTCGACCCGGTTTCAGGGGCCTTCACGGTACGTGCCCCAGTCAAATGTATAGAAAAACATATTTTGATCTAGGACCTTCTATACTGTACGCAGGGTTTGCCTGACGCATGGAGCAAGCTGCTCACCAAGTCAGCGATCACGCGCGAAGACTACGCAAAGGACCCCCAAGCGGTGCTGGAAGTGCTGGAATTTTACACAGATCACAAAAAGCGGGAGATAGAAGAGATGGGCGACTTTGGCGGCACGTTGTCTCCGCGCTCGACGAGCGGCACGAGCGCGTCGACCCTCGTTGGCTCGACGTACTCAAGCACAAGCACACTTACCCCGTACTCCGACACGACCAGTGCGCCACGGTTTAATGCCGGAACAGGACTCGGCGGAGCTGGCATGAACAAGATGTCCCCGCTGACCGACACCCGGCCACAGGCAAAGCGACAAGACTCCGCGCCAGCAACTATGAATGGGACCGACACCGTCACAGGCATCAACGGTGTACAGATGTCGTCCAGCGCCGCACTCGCCCGGGCCGCGGAGCTGGTGAACGGGTCGCACGCCCAGCATGCGAACACCATTTCGGCCGCACAGGCGAATCCCGCTCTCCGCCCGACTATCCCACCCATGTCCGCAGGGTCCCTCCAGGCGTCACGGCCTGCACCTGCACGGCCCCTTCTCACCGCTAACCGCCCCGCCCCGCCGGCGCCGCACGGCGGCCTGCCGAAGCCTCCGCTCCCCGACCACACACCCTCGTCCGCCGACCTCCGTGCGCGCGCCAGGGCGCTTGGGCCACCAACGGATACACAGACAGCAAAGCCGCCAAGCCTTCAGAAGGACCTGTCTGGCGAGTCGTCGGATAAGACGCGACCTAACATCGCGCAGACCAAGACGGCGCCTGCGACTACGCTACCTATCTCGCAGTCCACTAGTGGGTCTGGTGCGACGGCAGCAATTAAGCCTCTGCAGCCGATGAAGAAGCCGTCGGCGCCGAAGGAACCTGCAGTCACCGTCACTCCGCCTGAGGAGAGGGGTGGCGGGGTGGCGGCGGCTGCGGCGGCGCTCGAGAAACCGAAGGAGAAGGAGAAGCGCATCAGCACGATGAACGAGGTACAGATCATGGAGAAGTTGCGTAGTGTTGTAAGTGAGGACGATCCGAAGACAATGTACAGTAAGATTCGCAAGGTTGGGCAGGGGTGAGTGGCCTTATCTGATCGGTGTGGGAAGGCAAGCCTAATAGGACGTGCGCAGTGCATCCGGGCATGTGTATGTCGCGAAGACGCTTGCAACTGGGAAGAAGGTCGCTATTAAGGAGATGGACCTGTCGAATCAGCCGCGGAAAGAGCTTATCGTTAACGAGATCCTGGTCATGAAGGAGTCGCAGCACCCGAATATTGTGAACTTCCTTGAAGCTTATCTAGTCAAGAGCAATGAGCTTTGGGTGGTGATGGAGTATATGGAAGGTGGTGCGTTGACTGATATCATAGAGAACAACACCTTGGAGGAGGATCAGATCTCGAGTATCTCTTTTGAGGTTGGAGTTAGCTTCATTTCGTGTTATGGCAAACTCACCTTCTTTGCGTAGACCTGCAAGGGGTTGGGACACCTGCATAGCCAGCACATCATCCATCGCGACATCAAGTCTGATAATGTCCTCCTAGATGCTCAGGGTCATGTCAAGATTAGTATGTCCTACACCTACTGCGTGCTCAATCTATGCTAATCGCGTGGTTCGCAGCTGACTTCGGCTTCTGTGCGAAGCTCACCGACCAGAAGTCGAAGCGTGCCACGATGGTGGGCACACCGTACTGGATGGCCCCAGAAGTCGTTAAGCAGAAAGAGTACGGCGCCAAGGTGGACATCTGGTCACTCGGTATCATGGCGATTGAAATGATCGAGAACGAACCTCCGTATCTGGATGAGGAACCGTTGAAGGCGCTGTACCTCATTGCGACTAACGGGACGCCAACGTTGAAGAAGCCTGAGGCGTTGAGTCGGGAGCTGAAGGGCTTCTTGAGCGTGTGTCTATGCGTAGATGTGAAAAGCAGGGCCACTGCTGACGAACTGCTGGAGGTGAGTTACACGATTGTCGTGTTGACGCCCACGTTCGCGCTGACATCTTCGATGCAGCACGAGTTCCTGAAGAAGGCATGCGCGCTGTCGGGTCTCGCGCCTCTCCTGCGGTTCAGGACGAAGCAGTCGTCATGATTTCTCCGTTATATTCTCTGGACCATCTGGTGATGCTGCGTGGCTCGTCCCTTTGGCTCACTCGTCACACTCCTTCTCCTCCGCATGTATCTCTCGCTCCCACATGTTCATCTTCCGTCCAGTATCTATTAACTCGACTAAGCGCCATCCCTCTCCTTTCTATTATCCTTCAGTTGCACCGTTGGAAATCCCGTACTGTACTTTTCTGTCTTCTAGACGCGTATTTGAAGGCCTATTGTTGTACATAGTAGGCGTGCACATATATGTATGAGGGATATGTTGAGGAATATCGGTTCATTACTAGAAGTCAAGATCACCGTTAACTTGGTAGGATCGGAGCCATAATCGGCAAGACGTCAATGTCGTTGAGAAAGACTTGAAGCCCGATATTATTTTTTCCTGAATGATTCGCTCCCTTCAGAATGACTTCTTATCCTTCACAATTATGGACGAGGCGAAAGATACAAGTCGTTCTGCAGTCGGTCCAAATGTTCCATGATCTTACCGCAGGGCGGCCGGTGATAGCTATAAATCTGAGATCTCATGGCAAACAAGGGACAAACAGCCGATGTGGCTGCTGCGAACTTCATCGACTCGTTAACACCGCCATCGTCAGCGAGCGAACGGCCTCGCTCATCGGGCACCAGTCTTCATGATCATTCCAGCGATCTTGCTCTGATGATGCAAACAGCTAGCCTGTACGCCGGTACCATCCCGCTCTCGGGAAAGCAGCCTGTCGCGCCCGCGGATTCAGTCCGGGCGTCGGTGAGCCATCTACTGTCGCGGGCGTGCGCTGTGCCGTGCAAGAAGGCTGCGGAGGCGTTCACTGAGCTCGTACAGCCGCTCTCGCGGTTCCCGCTATGTCTTGAAATGTTATGGCCGCTCCTGAACAGTCATGCACCAGTCAGTCTACGTCATATTCGTGCTTAACCTTAACTCATGATCTTCATTGTTATAGCCTGCGCAACGGATACTTGCCTCTTATATATTGTACTCACTATATGCACCGCATCCATTTATTCTTAATCCGTTCAAGGGCGTCTTGTTCGCGGCTTTCTGCAGGGAGCGCGAGCTTGCGAGACAGGTCGCGAACGCGGGAGGTATCAGCGAAAACGAGCAGCTCGTCTGGGTGCTATGGAAGATCTTAAAGGGTGATGGGCAGGATGTGAGCATCTCGTCCGCTTGTTAGTGCTGTGCCCACCGATTCATGTCACGCAGATCGATCCGTTTTCTCCAAGCACTCTAGCACGATCGCCCTTGCCGCCACAGCTCAGAGCAACGAATCTGTATCTCGATGAAGAGACACGTCCCAAGTTCGATCCGTACGTTGCAGCGCAGTCTTCTCGTGTCCGCCGTTCATTCAGCCTGTTATCAGCTTCGGAGATTCAGCTTCGGACAATACGGGGCCCACGCCAGCGGATGTGACGTCATCGACCCAGGCTGCGCCGGACGTGGCCGTCTCCAGGGAGCGAGAAGAAGAAACGAAGAAGCTCTCCGATGCAATGACATTGCTGTTGGCCGCGCGCAACCGCGTTTTGACCATTTCAGAACAACGCGTACGTATTTTCATATTCTTGATTTTTTTTGCGCTGATTGTCTACCCATTCCTCAGATGTTGATCCCCCTCATTCCGCAACTGACGTCTCCGCCGGTCATCACTTCGGTTGACCTCCTCTCCGTAATAATGAACAACCCGACGCTGGCCCAGCCTCTCTTGACGGCGCTCCTGGCTCTGCCTCCGTCATCCACTAACGGCTATGGTCCTGGTATTTATCTGGACGTATTGCAGCACCTCCCGCCGACCTTACCCTCCTTCGATCTGCTCGGGCGGCTTCTCCGTGATCCCACTGCTGTGCCCGATGTCACTACTGGCGGGACGACGACGATTGCCGACCTTGTTCGAACAGAGGTACTGGGCTGGTTCATCCACGAGTGCATCGTTTGGCTTGATAAGGCCGAGCAAGAAGAGCGCGAGGGTGCCATTAGCGATGACCGCTTCGCGAAGGGCGTTCAACACGTAAGTCTTTCCCTACTATCGTGACTGGCATGTTGTCCTTCAGGCTGATCGCGTCCATCCTCGACGCAGCTTTGCCGCTTCTACAGCTCCTTGATCAAGCACTCGATCGTCGATACCGGGTCGGATGCGGACTCGGCGGAGATGGCGCACTTCGCGCTGCGCAACTCGCGCTTCGAGGACGCGACCGCCCTGTATCGCGTGCTCGCGCTAGGCAAGTTCTGACTGACGACCTCGCTCAAGTTTGACGACTGTATCATTTGCACCTTAAGTTTTATAGCTATCGGATTTTTGCGCTTACTCATTACTGTACATGTACTCCGCGCAACGCTGAGAGTTAATACTGTGCTCGCTTTCGGGTGGATCGTTGTAGATTCTATGTTGCGCTGTTGACCTTTAGCCCTTGGACCGTAGGTGTATGCCCTAACCTACTACTGACTGATTATGTACATCCATGTCGACGTTGATACGCTATGTTTTTATGCAAATGCTGTTTGGACAATCCTGGAACTGCGTATTGGCACATGCTGTAGACAAACCCGCCAGATAGACATATTATGAGCTTCACCGCCAACAGAGGATATGACAGGCTCACAGTGCGATGTATGCATAAAGTCGTGCAAGTAACGCTAGTCTGAAAAAACATCACTTCCTGTTTAATTGATGGACAGCGAGCTTGTGCCTTTTCATCAAAGAAGGGAAATCGCGCCACCGTGGACCTGCTAAGGACAGATCCAAGTCTAGACTGGGGAACATGGAGTCCAGCACCTGCACCGCTCCTGCAAAATCCTGTAATGCCCCCCAGGAAGGTTCTCTATGCTGAGCATCCGCAGAGGGTGGCTCTGTACGGGGAGCATCTCCGGGGAAGTGATGTTGTCCATACGCATGCATTGGAGTTCTAGATCTTCCAGCACTGGACACCCACGCGCAAAGTGAGCCAACGTCAGGGCAGATGGTAAGGTAGCGGTGCTTTTGAATTGAGTGTCGACATGGAACCTCTTCAGCCCGGGCCAGGCTGTTGCCATGGCCTTTGCATCGTCGTCGGAGAATGACAGTTGTACATTGCAATCAAGACAGACGTGAACCACATTTCGGATGCGAAGCAAGGGGCCGAAGAGGGCGAGGATCCGTGCAATGAAAGGGCTATTCCGAAAGACGCCAAAGGAACTGAACTGGAACTCGCACAGAGACGGTCCATAGATCGCAGTCATGCAATCATGAACGCCCTCTACATCTTGAAGGTCACTACAGATGGTTATAGCAAGCTTCCGTAGATGTGGTGCAGATATTGCGCCCAGATATGACTTGATAGACCTGCAACTCCCAAACAAAGAAACGTCGATGCGGAGTTCTCGCAGCTTGGCAAAGCTACAACAGGATTTGGGCTCTCCTTTGAACATGCCTCGAATGGAAAGTGTCTCGAGCTCTTTGAGCGCGGCCATGGCCTGCAACTTGGTACAATCGAAACCCGTGTTGTCATAATCTAAAAATATTGAGAGGTCGCGCAGATATATGAGACCGGTTATTGGAAGCAGTGAGAATGTGGCGGCCGTCCACTGAAGCCGTAGATGCAAATTCCGCAGGTAAGGCGAGCTTTCAACAATGGAGTGCAACAACAGATGCGGTTGTGAGTTACTGCGGAGCTCGAGAGACTGGAGAGATGAGGAAAGCAGTAGGCACAACGGCAGCTCGGCCGCGTACCGGAACAACTGCATGCAAGATATAGAAGAGAGTAAGGGCTTTCCTCCACTGCGACATCGACAATTTGACAAGATTGGCACAACTTTGCGAACCTCGTTTGAAGATATCGAGATATTCCGCACGCGGCGAGCGTAGTCTTGTAAACGCACCCAATGCTCTGGAGCCACATCCTCAACCACTGGCTGGATATAATACTGCACGCGACAAGTATTTATCAGAATTCCTCTGTTAAAATCTCACAGACTTACTAAGCTATGAAAAGCAGGTATTACATTCAGCAGATTCTCCAAGCCATCTCCTAAATCCTGCCATAGGACATCAATTGAAGGGTCGAAGAACGCCTTGCACACGCGTGCAGCCCTCGCCAGGGCAGTCCGCCTGATCAACAAATCATGTGGAGTGGCTGAATTAGAGGTGAAAGTTGAATGAAGATCTCTAAGAGGATATCATATTTTTTGAGAGCTTGGTGTGAAGGCATCAGGATAAATGACTGGCTCAAGGGGTCGTGGTAGAAAGTGAGGAAAGTTCATGTTAGGGGCATGATTAGGGGTGACTGGTGGCGCGTTAGCGCTTCCAGAAAGGATGCAATTCTCGAAGATACAAATCTCACGAACGCCAGCAGTGTTCAGAACCGTATTGATCTAGTTTCTGTGTTTTCTGAGCCGTAGCTGTATAGATTACATTGAGTTCAAAAGTCCGGCAGAAGCGACTAGTGCTACGAGGTACCTATCTGACATCAAGTAGGCGTGTTCCAATATTCTTCAGCATGCAGAAGTAGTAAACCATTGATCGAGAATATCCAGGAGATACCATTCTTTCGAAATCCGTTATCTTCCATACGTATGGCGCTGAACGCACCAAACATACCTCCTAGGGACTCGTAACCAGCACCCGATGGAGGCACAGGAAACGCACAGGAAATGGTATACGATACATGCAGCATATGAAGGAATAACTGTGGTGCTGACAGCAGGGAATCACCGGTTCTTAGTAGCCCTGTGAACGAAGAACTACCATCACAACCAAACTTAAATACATGAGACAGGTGTTTTGCGCACTTATATGTGAACCTCTTCTTGGTCATCGCAAACTCGCCCAACTTGTGACCCACCATGTCCTGCGTAATAAGTACCGGAACGTAGTCCTTCCCGTTGTGTATCTGGAAGCGGATCCTGCTGCGCCGTCAATGCTCGGTTCCCAGGGCTCCAGACGCGGCGACTGGAATACGTAACACGTACCCAACAAAATTTGGCAGGATGGTGCATGAACGCGCTTTTGTGCGTATAGGAATGTTGTTATCTAGCGCATTGCGCAGGTTAGGAAAGGCGACGAAGAACGGACCTGAAAAGGCACCAATGTCAGTGATAGTTGCAGTCAAAGGTCAAAAAATTTACTTTCCTTTCCATGCCGACCGTCCGCCTTGTAACACAGCTGTCGGGATCATAGTCGAAACCCACCCAACTTCAATGAGTTGACGGTGGTAAGCTCAGAATTCTTGTAAGGGAATCTTTTCCTACCACGTGACTGACGCGTCTTCGTCACAGGCGTGATCGCCATCGTGACAGGCTGGGTTCGTGCAGGCGGCAGCAGCAGTGGGATCAATTTTCAGATTTCCTGTTTCTCGAAGGAGCTCTTGCGAAATGAATGCCAACGTTTATGAATATAGTTCTGTTGGTGGCTGTGTAACCACACGGCCATATACATGTGGGCTGCCTGGGCGACGTTCAGGTGCCCAATGCCAATGTTCGTGCCCTTAGTTGCCTGTAAGAAAATTCATTACTTGCACTACTCAGCGACTTTCCATCTGATCCTTTAAAGCTGTAGGATCGTTTGCAAGCCCAAAATACTGCACCACAGTACTGACTTCATCACTACAGCTTTAGCAGCCGGATGCTGAACCACTCTAGCTCTTGCTCCGCCAACACATGTACATTCAACTTCATGGAAAGAAAGAAGGCCAGTGATGCGACTACACTTTCACCACGGTTTTATAATACGAAACCGGCACGTACCAACATATCGTCAACGCTGGTGCACGCGTACCCCGATCTCCAAGGTAAATAAAGCGCATTTTTGCGAGTATGATCCGGAGCCCCCCTAACCGCACAGTCCCACAATCCCATATTCTGAACCAACCCAGCATGTACAGCAACAGCAACATCGGCCCCAAGTACGTTACCACGTAATCCCGTTGTCAATGTTCTGACATCCCTTACCTACCGCGAAGCACCGACCAGTACCACTTCCTGGAGGGCAACCCCGTTGAGACCCTTTACATCCTGACTGGTGTGTGCTCATGGCAACGGGGAGGAGCATGCTTTCGGCCGAGGAGAGGACAATGTCGAGGTCACCAAGGACCGCATCGGTCATCGTCAGCTCCACGTTTGAGAACCGCAAGCAGGAAACGACCGGTGGAAGTGAGTCGTCTTTTCCGTCTTTTGACCGCTGTGGCAAGGGCCGAGACGCAACGGAGCGTCGACAAGTTGTCCTTGTAGCTATCTAACCTGCCAGGTATCCGTAGTTGAAATGCCGCGTTCCCTATAAAACTCTTAACCTGCAACTTTGGGTGAGCAAATATTGTGACCTCTTCGCGCGTACAGTTGTCCGGCTTCAAGCTTCAATGTCGGTCTCACAGATGCCTGGCAATACTCGACTTTGGGCTTCGATTATTATGAAAAGAGGTATACATGTCTATGGATACACTTCGTGTTCTACAACGTATCTTTCAAATACTTTATGCGTACATAAAATTCGCTTCTATCAACATCAAACCGTTTGATCTTCTCTCACAGGCTTGCCGTCTTGGTCTCAGGCGGGCCTACTATGCCTCATTTTGTCTCAGCAAACCGCCACAACGCAGGAACAGCGTTATCCGGATCGAGCTTCCACTTCGCATCCGTGCCCCGCCTGCCCGTCGACACCGTCTCGGCGCAATCGAGCTCGTTCAGGCGGCGCATCAGCTTTTCGTCCTTGCCAACAGCGAGTACAAAGTCGACGTCTCCCGCACCCGCCGTCTCGCTAGTTTCGGAAGTCATCCATGACGGGCGCGGCGCTGGAGCTGCGTGTGCGGGTCCGCCCGGCTGCAGGATCGCGCCGACCGCTGTGGACCGCGAGATGTTGTTCGGTAACACCAGGAAGCTGTTCGCGCCCGGGATAATGCGCAAGCCATAGCGTTCGCCGAGACTAAAAAAGATCTGTAAGCATAAGACTAAATAATAGGAAGATGGACCTGCCTGTCGAAGATGTGGTTCTGCGCCTCTGCAGCCTGGCGACGTGCCCACTGCCGGTCGGAGAGATGGTCGGGCTCAGTCCAAAAGCGCCAGACGATGGACGCCTCGCGTTCCTCAATAAACGAGCCGGGTGTGCGTTCGGTGAACTAATGACGACAACCGTATGAGAAAAACTCAACAAATCAAATAGCTGGACCTACGTAGTTCAGAATCTCGAGGCACGGCGCCTTCCAAGTTAGATTAAAGTTCACGACCATGTTGATCCACGACGACTCGCCGTTGCGGCCTGGACGCATCTTAATGAAGCACCCATTCTCTGCACTGCACAAGCCGAGCAAACATGAAGCCGTCAGTGCACTTACAGTTGAAGACTAACCGTACTCACACAATCCCAACTTGCGGTGCAGCCTTCGCAGCAACCTCGAGAACACCCTTGACCTGCAGCCCGCTAAGCAACCATACCTCGTTGCGCGAATCCTCCGCAAGGCGATTGAGTAAACGGATCGCGTCTGCCGGAGGGTCGAATGCGCCAGAGATGATGGAACGCATATCGCGCTGCCAAATAGTGCCTTCGAAGTCAATGAGCAGCAGACGCTTCTGGCTATGGCGGTAGCGCGGGAGTATGCGGGCCACGTCGAGTTCTGCGACATCAACTGTGTCGCCCCGTAGGTGCTCGATGCTTGCGCGGAGGCAGCGCAGCAGGAAGGACGTCACAAAGGTTTGGGCACTTTGGGTCACGACGTGATTGTGCATGTCCTGTTGATGTCAGCTCAGCTAATATTCGTCGTTTCAGAACCTTCCTCCATACCTCCCAGCGCGATGTCGCTTCATCATCGCTCATCGTGAGAGCCTAGGAATGGTAAGAGTCAGTCAACTTATCAAGCAGGTGAACAAACACGAACCTGGTATATGGCATTAGCAGTCATGCGTTTGTCCCACGGGTTGATGGGTATACAAGAGCGGAACCCGCTGTAGCTGTACGATCCCGTGAACTGTACGACGTATTAGACACCACTGAGCAGATACGCACATCAGCAACCTACCTCACTCAAGATCAGAGGCCGGTGTCTCTCCTCCTGGCACTCCACATACTCGTGCGTCCTGCAGCTCACCCGTCAGCACCGACATACTTGGGCATCTCGCACAACAGACCTGAGTGCCATGCCCTCGCGCAAACTGGTCACCATAAAGGCATCTGCAACGGTGAGCAGCGCAAGATACTGCGTAAACGTGAGGTCCTGGGTGTGCAGGAACACGACGGGCTGGTATGTCAGCGTTGAAAACCGCGAATTCAGGTGCGAGACCATGTCCGTGACGCCACCCTGCGCTTCGTTCTCCTCTGTTGTCTGCAGCGCAACTTGGATCATGACCACCTGCGACCGAGTGAGATACCAGATCGCCGAACTGAAGAAGTGGTCGCGTACCTTCCCCTGGTAATCCGGGTACTTGTCAAGGAATGCCTCAAAGGCCTGCATCTTGTGCCGCACGCCCTGAAAGGTCCGAAGTTCAGTCAAAACATGATCTCTTTTCTCACACCAAAACATACCTGAATCTCATCAAGCTTGTCGCGGCCGACAATGAGCTTCATGCCAGCATAGCGCTGTTTGAGCAGCTTAACCCACTCCGCGACCTCCGGATCGTGTCTGTAGCGCACACGCACTTTACGATCAAAGTCCGTACGCAAGTAGATCGAAAACTCACTTTTTCTCCGTCAAGCTGCTGACGTCAATGCCCATGGGGAACACACCGACGTCAACGAAGCGGTCTTCCATCTGCACGCCCTTGGGCAGGGCCTCCGCGGCGAGGATACGGCTTACGGTCTGCCTAAAGTGCCGCGCAAAGTTGGCAGTCTGGAAACCGATGAGATCTGCCCCCAGCAAGCCGCGAAGCAGCTCCTCGCGCATGCTGAGACAGCGGAAGATTTCAGACGAAGGGAACGCAACATGCATAAAGAACCCGATCGGTGCGCCAGGCAGACGCGCACGAAGCATAGCCGGGAGAAGCATCAGGTGGTAGTCGTTCACCCAGATGATGTCCCCGTCAGTGTACGCGGCCGCAATGGTGTCCGCAAAACGCTGGTTCACCGCGACGTACTGCTTGTACGATGCGGACTCATAGAACGATTTGGTCTTGGGCGCATCCGGGATAGCGTAGTGTAGGCACGGCCAGAGCACCTGCGCGCAAACGCGCGTCAGCATTCCAGAAAAGCGCTGTTAATGGGGAGAGACGCGCCTGATGACAGAATTCATCGTAGCAGCTAGCAAACTCAGCGTCAGGGATCCACACCGGGGTGCTGTCTGAATCATCGCGCATGCGCCATTCCATGGAGCGCCGGAGGCTCTCGCGGAACCTATCTGTGTTTATTCCGAGTGTGCCTACCCAGAGTTTGCGCTGCATCCGTACGCCCATGCTGCCCACTGCGTTCTTCAGCCCGCCATTACACTACATAACCAGCATGTAAGCTGATGTTGCATGTGCACGAAGCATGGGACGCATACATGCGGGTTGCTCTCAAGGTGCCAGCCCTGACTGAGATCATGGCTATGGTTGGACAGAGAACGCGTGGGGGTACGGTGGGAGGAGGAGCGGGACAAGCGCCGCTGCACGCGGGGCTGGGATGCGGTACTGTTGGGGTGTGTTATCTGGTGCGGGCGCACATGGTTACCGTTAACGCCGTTCGCACTAGTACCATTCTCCTGGGAGAGCGCATCAACGAGCGAGCTGGATACAGCAGTCGCTGTGGAATTCACGGGTACGTCAAGCCCGGGGAATGACGTAAAGGGATTGCTGGACTCTACGCGCGGTGTTGCAGCGGGGGTTGCTTGCCGTGACTGTACGCGGCTGTATCAGACTGTCCAAAACATAATACGGGCAGACATTTACCTTATCCTTGAGGTCCTCGACAATACTCTTCAACGGACCGGTAGCCTTGTTGAGGAAGGGCCTTACAGGAGGCGGTGCAGACGGAAAAGACGGAGCATCACCAGGAGTGGATACGAGCGGGGACGACGGTGCGGAGTCACCGAGAACGGCAGTGGTGGGCAGAAAAAGAGATGCGATAATGACCCTGTGCTGGCGGAGAGAGCTCATGGTGGTGGTCGGCGAGGACACTAGATGGGTGCGATGGGTCGGTTTTGTTGACGATTGACCCCACGTCCCGAAATGTCAGTGCTCATCCCTGACGTCACGTGCACGTGTCTCACCGTGATCGATTCCGGCGTCTAGTAGACTGCCCTCTTCGTGGCCTGCACTCATATTCTGCTCGTGTTCCACTGCCTTTGGGTGATCCTCGTCCTCTCTTATGTCTTCTCTCACCAGTCCTCGATGATCGTTCGCGACTTCTGGGGACGTAAACATTTCCCGCGTCCGACTAACTTCCGTGAAACGTTCGTCAGGACCGCCTGCCGATTGACAGGTGATTGGTCGCATGAGTCTGTGGAGATACGAGTTAGTGGTGCCACTGTGGTGGATCCCTTTTTGTTGATATCGCTCGAAAATTTTCTATACATTGCCTCTTACTAGCATGGGTTTCGATAGCATGTTTTGACAGCCAATTTCGAGAACCTGCTTGTCAATCTGCTGCGGTTACGAACGGGGGCGGAAAGATTGATACTCCAGCCCGTGCAGTTACCTCGGTCCTCCTCGTGATCCCGTGCTGTTAGTGGGGGTTGCCGCGGATGACATCAGTGAAATCGATCCGTCTGCGAGACGATTCCTAGCAGTCGGCGACGGTATGTATCGCGCTCACGCGTCGTTGCGAGAGTAAGTTTATAGCTCCGAAGGGTGCGAATTTGATGCCACGAACGGCGGAAGCACGACAACCATGCCGTGCTTGCTCACGGCGACTTTGGACGATATCGCCGTTATTCGGAGTGTTATTATGCTCTTAGAGGTAACAGACCTTAAGACGACTTGCCAGCGCAGGAAAGAGGTGAAAGTTGGCACGAAAGTGCGAAGGGTCAGCAAAAACAGATCGAGGACCTTATACTTATACCAATTACTTTCCCGACTTTGGCTCAGATTGAAATGTATCAGATATTTAGGTGGCGACAGTCAAAGAGGGATGACGTATGTGTATGAAATCCACGCCGTGGGGCAGTTCAAAAGGGGAAGGTTACCTGCCATATAAGGAAATATTCACATTCAGAGCGTCGACGGGACGGTGAAAAAACTAGTGACTACGGACGTCTGCATGTCTTTTTCTGCGCGATCACAAATATTTACAATATTTATCTCTGACTTTCAGAAGTTATATATTATGTGAGGTCGACGAAAGTATCACTGTGCACTGATTTTGAACCAAGCGTGAATTCAAAGTTCTCCCTCCACCTTTTTATAATCATTCTTCCTCCGCAGAAGATATCCACGGCCATAGGACTTCGAAAGCACCGCATCCCGTCTGATCTGCGCAGTTAACCGGAGTGCCGCCCAGTTAGTACCACGGTGGGGGACCACGCGGGAATCCTGGGTGCTGTGGTTTGCTTCAGTTTTTGCCTGAACTGTTATTGTGTTCACCATACAGTACATAAACACAACCGCAGTCCGTAGTACACTGTGCTCGAAACTCACTGCACATGCTAGATTTACACCAATTAGACGAGGCCGTATTACTTACTCCTCATCCTCCCCCATCTCCACATCCCTTTCCTCTCCGCCCGCGCACGCATCACAAAGCACCCACAGCGCGTCCCGCAGCTCACGCACCTCGTCCAACTCCAGGCCCATGCCCGCCAGCACGTCCGCGTGCCGTGCCGCGCCAAGCGTGACGAGCGCCGCGTGGCTGGCAAAGAGATGCGCCGTACGTGTAGTACTGCTCAGCGCAGCGAGAGTGCGCATCGAGGGCGGCGGTGTGGGCGGTGGAGGGGTGAAGAAGCGGGGGAAGGAGCTGGGGAGCGGGTAGGCGGGGGAGTGAATGCTGACAGAAACTCAGTTATCTGCTCGAGTAAAAGTTCAAGATATAAGTACCTGTAGGGTACTGGCCGCCGCTGTTCCGCCCACTGATCGAACTGTCTTCTCTCGATACCCGAGAAGCCTCTCGAGACATAGATTTTCGTGAATTCCGTCGGATCCTGAGCAGCCTGACATAAGTTCATCCAGCTACAAGCATCGCAAGACAGACGCACATATTTATCCAGAGTACCGGTACCATTCGAAGGGCTCACAGAAAAGTCATAAGTCCTGATGTCAAAGTCCCGAGTTGGGACAAGCGATGATGAAAACGGAAACACGCCAGAAAGGTGGGCAAAGCGGACGCCCCCGCCCAAGCTGAACCGCTCACACATGCTGGAAAGGTCGTCCATGCTCCCTTTCAACCTGCATCCCATGAGCACTCCAGGTCATCGTCAGCTGAACGGGAGCAACATACCTAACGGGCAGAGTTGCGCTCTCAATATGCGCAGACACAATCGCGGACGTGTGATACAAGCTAGTGCGCTGTGACAAGGAAGGTCGGCTGCGTCGAGAGGAGGCGAAGCATCGCACTTGCGTTCAAGTTGATGCCGCCCAGCCAGTCCCCCGGCGCCCATGTCGATGGGGACTGGATCGGCACGGTCAGCGTAGAGAGGCTGTCCAAACTCCGTAGGCAGAGCGCGTCGTTGATCGCCCGTCGAAAGCTCAGTGCCTGCGTACAAGCATCATCAAGCATTGAAACGGCGTCCAAGGAGAGAATGGCGTACGTCCTCTACATCGAAAGATCCTGGGGTCGCGCCCGAGAGCAGTGGGAACGCCAGACAGGGCAGCTTTGGGAAATCATCACGGATGACTGTCAGAAGCGAGTCCGTAAACCCGCCAAATGTAGCGGTATCGTGCATCACTTGTATCCCCTACGCAAGCATGTTGAGCACAGTCTCCTCACGCAAAAAAAGGAAAGCACACCTGAACCGTATCACACTCTTCGACAAATGGCCGGAAGGCCTCCTCCATGACGTCTGTATCCTGCAGTAGCTCAATCATACGATACGTTCCCGACGGTTTACGGATGGACTTACCGCATCGTACCTTCCAAACGCCTCCCGCGATGCCCCCCAGTCTCCTTCGGCATCCTCCCACTCCGCACGGTCTGGCAGCTTCTGTATCGTGCGTGGATGGAAGAACACGCGGCTATAATCCGACCAGTAGCGCACGTCCGATGGGACGACTCTGGGTGGCTGGGGTTCATGCTTCTGTGCCTCGTTTTCCCTCCTGTTTGCCGCCTGCTCTCCCGCATCTGCAGCTTCGGCGTCCAGCTGCGCGTGATATGTGCTTGGTGGAATACGGGTTTGGCGGTATTCCGCGACGGTGCTGCTCCTGTTAGACGAGCATGAGGCGGGAAGGTCGGATGGGTGACAATGTGCGTACCAGAGGGGCGCTGGGGCGTCGTCCGTCTCATCCTCGTCGTATCCATATAGTCCGCTCGTAGCCGAGACATTGCCAAAATTCGCTACACGCGTGAGATTTCGTATATGTTGTGTTTACTACTTCGCGCGTAGTTATACGGATGTACTGGGCGCACCTTTGCGATCGAACAGCAGCAGCCGTGGACAGAACGTAGCCTCTCCCTGCATCGCAGCATTAGCACTATCGTTTATCCTCAGAGATAAGACTCGAGCACCTGCAACGTCACACCCTCCCGGAATGACACGTCGTGGTCCACATCCGAGTCCTTATCCAGCCCGTAGGTGAAGTAGCTCTCCTGCGTGTTCCAGAAGTGGGTGCCGATGTAGTTGGCGAACGACCCGGCTTGGACGTAGAGGACCTCCTTCATCGTTTAAGTCGTTGTTAAGCAGAAATTGAAGTCAACTTAGTCAAGCACTGTGCAAGGGAACCTGGTGCGGTCACGTGTGTCTCCCCGATGTTCTCGGGATGGCGTATGGGTAATGTCAATCGCCGCTGTGTTTCGAAGAGGCGATCATCTGGTCTATGCCATGATATCAAAGGTTGTACAGAAGCTTTGCCACCGGAAGATGATCGCACTCGTGGGTTCTGCCGGTGCAGTGTCCGGTTCGCTCTGCCGCTACTCTCTTTTCATTGCATACAACGCGTGCATGATCTCTGGGTGGTCACTAGTGCCGATGCAGTATGGCATTGACGGCGTTTATCTCGTTTTATCTGCGTCGACTCTGATGATCAATGTTACGTTTATGCGGGAACGCACGTCTGCAAAGTTCGAGTTTCCGTTCCTGGATACTTCCGCGGCAACCCCACTCCGTAGACTCGGAGTGAGCTTAAGCTTGTTCAGCCGTTTCACGACTTTTCTTCTTTTCTTGTCGTGGTGTCCATCCATTCCTTTCGGGTCCGAAGAAAGTGAGCTTCCGTCCTTCAACTGTTTCCAGCGTAGACGAGCCGTGAAGTAGGCGTACTGGCACGCTGCACTGAACTTCGCTTAGTTGTTGTGCTTCCCGAATATGTCTATCAAAGTGTGCGGTTGTTGCGCACATCTATTGTCAACCCGTACGTACTCGACTGGTCATGCGTCGTCTCCGGCGGTCTGCCCCGGAGAGGCTTTCGCGTTGAACCGGATGTCTTATTCCAGTCTGCGTTGATCGTGAACACCGTCGACGCTTTTCTCACTCCATTCCACAGAGGCTGTCGTTACACAAGGCCCCCCTATCTTCCACGAGCATAACGCGCGCCGCCTGTCCGCGTCGCACCTACTGGCGTGTGCGGATAGGACCAATTCTGGCCTCCTCCCTGCGTGCACAGCTTCGTGGCCCGGATGCTCATTGAAACGAGTTTCTCGTCGAATTTGGTTTCAGCCACTAAAGCCAAGCATCAGCAGGGTCAATGCACGCCGCGGTCCCCCATCCGCGGAAACAGACCTCGCGTTCCTCACATCCTGCGGCCAAGACGATCATGTTCCGTGCCTACCAGCCCGGAGAGCCGAAGAGCCGCCGACATACAACTAAGAGGGAAAAACGGCGACTGGAAGCCGTGTATGACCAGAACCCGACGCCACACTCGACGATCCTCACAACGCTAGCGAAGGAGTTGAATATGGAGATACACACAGTAAGGATTTGGTTTCAAAATAGGTGTGTTGTATAGTTTACCTCAGCTGAGACCAGTGGGACTGCGTTGAACTTATTATATACGGGTAGGCGTGCGAAGACAAAAAGGCAGCAACGGTTGATGGAATCCAAGTGCTGTACGCCCGTGCCCAGCCCGCAAGACACTGACAATCCCTCATATCCCGGGACTCCCGACGGCAAATTATTCTGGGACTCAGATACACTCGAGCAGCCCAACTCAATCTCACCTGCATATTTAACCTACTCCTCTGAGCAGCAGCCTTCCACAACATGTACGTCTTCACCTGTGGACTCGCCGTCCAACCCAATTCCTGGTCCGTCTCGCATGTCCACCTCAGCATATCCTCTCACGAGCCCCCCGAGGCACTCAACCCCCATGCACATCTCATACAGCGAGGCGCACCGCCGGCCGTCCCTCCCTAACTTCCACAGCAGTGTTCCTGTCAGTGATTACTACGCATCCCCTCCCCGCTCGACTGACGCTGCGTCCACCTCATACTCGCATTATTCCCGTTCGACATACGGATATGACCACGGCAACATGCACAGCTTCGCTTGCACTGAGCTCCGCACGTTTAACCAGGCCCGCCGACTCTCAGCGGATCTGCATATGTTCACACACATGGAACGGCGCTCCGGGTCTCCGAACGCAGAGATGGTTATGCGACGCAACACGGAGCTAGACGGCGACGACGGGGTGCAGTTCGCGCGGCACTGTTCATTCGACGATGGTGGTGTGACCGAGCCCCCGTATACGCTGTCGATACGCGAGGTCTATGCTCCTCCCCCCGGTCCTCTCCCTGCACCTGATTTCTCTTTTGGCGCACCTTACGCGGGAGAGCAGCCGCCACTACCTGCATTCGCTCCACAGCCACTCATCTTACCGTACGCCCTGGAGTCGGGCAAGGATGAGTCGCATGAGGAGTACGAGTACTATGCATATAAGTACGGTGTACGGCACCCTCCTGCAGCGGGATATCCGTATGACTTTGCGCATCCGAGCGGGTCGACTGCCCGCTTTGGCAGTATTGCGAGTGTGGCCGAGAGTGAGTCGAGCTTATCGTCTGCTTTCTATTCGAGTGGCGCGGGGAGCCGCAAGGGCAGTGCAAGCATTGCTAGGAATGAGAGCGGGCGGAAGGCCGATGTGTAAGTGTCTTACGTGTTTTTGTCTGCATTCACGACTCGCTGTATAACATTCTCATCCTCGCCTTTTATCCACTCTACTAATTCTACTCTTCGTAGTGCGTCAACCCATGTCGTGGAGCGCTTCGCTGACCTTGCCATTAACACCTCCCACGCCCATAATGCCCAGCCTAACTCTTCCGTATCGACTATCGCTGGAGGCAGTCAGCTTCATCTGATCGAACCCTCTCCAACCGGTTCAGACAGTGCTCTGCTGCAGCGGCACAGCAGTTCACTCGCACACGCACTCCATTCTCCGGAAGAACACACCGGGCACGAACGGTGCTCCGTGCGCGACGTGCCCATGTCTTTCCCGCAGCAGTATACGTTTCCTCATGTGGTTGGGAAGCCCAACTCACCGTACGGTGCGTACGACATCCCGCCCAATGCTGATGTCTCCGCTGCCACCCCAAAGCTCGCGTATGCTGCGTACGACACTGATCACCAAAGTGAATACGACGTCCAGGCCCCGCAAGAACACAATCATCCATCGCAATCACATTCGTTCCTTCAAGGTAATCTCTACAGCCTTTATGGGTACCGCTTTGGTGTAGGCACCGTCGATGAGCCCAGCATGTACGATAGCCCGGATGAGGGTCAGGATGGTGCGCCCTCGTTCTGTGAGACACGCGCGATCGATCCAGGTCGTATGTGTATCCCGCCGAATGCGACGTTTGACGCGGTTCAATTCGTACACGAGGGTAAAATGTTATATCCATAATTGTGTGGCGCGAAATCCGGTATTGCTATGATCTATCGTCGTTCGTTCCCTCTTCTCCTATCATATCTTCTCTTATTACGCCAGATGTCGCCCCTCGGGCTCAGTAACTACCCCTGCGACAGGCTTCGTTGTGCATATCCTATACCATCCTAGTCGTTCTCTATCCTCTCACTGTCCTGTCTCCCGCTGTCTGTCTGTCTGTCTGTCCCCATTCTGTCGTCCACTGCTAGATCGCCATCCACTCATACATACTACGTACTTACTACTCTCGCATTCGTTACCGTCTTTCGAGTCCCGCGTCCGCTAACGTTTTGGATCGTATCTTGGCATATCATATCCTATACGTACCATACAACTTGCTGTCCTGTCGGTCGCATTGTTGCTACATTCGTACATACACATACTCACGTAGATAGACATACATGTAAACAAATTATATAGTCATTATTGTTCTGATATATATGTCTCGCGGCCACCTAGCTTGGTCCAAGGCGGGGCAGTTTTGCACTTGTAAGACAGTATAGATATGACAACGTAGTGTTAATCATTCATACGTGATCTCCCCAAGACCATGACTGTTGTGTGGCTTTCGGGACCATACATGAGCATTCGTCCTCGCACGCCCGTTCAAGCATAACTTTTTGTCAGTGTTGGGATGCGCATCCTCGACGAAATTGCCTTTACATGTGTTGGTATCTTGTGCATACCGTGAGCTAGGTCCAAGATTGATAAAGGGATGGAACAACTTTAGACCGTTAATTCAAACAAACGCGCTCCTCTCGCGACTGATCTGCACACCCGCAGCGTCCGCGAACGACAGCGCACTGGGCTTCTTCGCCTGCACAGTGACGCCCTCGATGGCGTCCGACGAGAGGCACACGAGGCGGACGACATCCAACACGAACTTCTCGAGCGTCTGATATGCCGATGCCTCGATGTGCTGTGCAGGGAAATGAGTATGGACGCTGAGACGTGCGAGCGCCGGCGCACCTTGGAGACCGCCGAGACAATTGCGGGATAGTCGACGGGAGTAGGGTGGAAAGGGTTCTCGCGCACGGTGATGCTGGTCACGATGCGTTGCTTCGCCTCTCGCTCAGGCGGGTTGACGCCAATGATCGCGGGGAGGACGAGGTCGCGCAATGACACGCGGACGCGGCTGTCGAGCGAGGAGCCACTGGGCGGGGACGACATCTCGAACACGAACTCGCCCGTGAGGGGGATGAGTTTCGCGGAGACTATGACGATGTGCACGCGCTCCGCCGCATCACCCGCGAACTGGAAAGTGACGTTCGACGCGGCGCGGGCAAGGCCGTGCACGCCGAACCAGTGGCCATCCGCGCTGAAATACTGGCCCATGGCTGGTTTGGAAAGTACTGAGAGCGCCTTGCAAAGCTTCCCGTAGTGGACTGAGTCGCGAACATTGTCCGAGGCGCCTGCACGGTCGAGATAGGACGGGCGTAGATGGACGTACACGCTGAGGGACACGGGCTGCTCGCGGATACGCCCCCACCAGTCAGGCCCTATGTTGGCGGAGAGCTGGATATTGTCAATGAATACGACATCGGCAGGGGAGACATCCGTGTCGGAGAACGACGAGTAGAGAGGGGAAGCCCCGGACATGGCGTATCCTTGAATTTTGAGACGAGCCGCTCCTGTGCTTATATGTCAGACGCAGCTTTTCTAGTGCACGGATTGCAATAATTCAAATTGCAAGCATGATCGTGAGCTCGGGAGGTGATTCCAAATAGACATGATACTGGTTGTACATGCTTACGAGCCACTATAACCTGGAGCAGCACTTCTACACAGACACGGGTGTCCTGCAGCTGTGATGCGCACGGAGAAGCGGAGTGCGTACTTACTACGACAATTCGATGGATCTCAGATCTTCAAAGCGGGTCGAAGTACTTCGGACAGACGGCGGCGCGAGTTGTGACCCAAGTTCCCTTCGTTTTGTCTTCCACGACCAGCTGATAGTGCGGCGGATAGAGGAAGCTGCTTGAAGGTGTAAGTATCTTGTAAACTCGAAGTTAAAGTAAGGAGCGTCAAACCTGCGCTCCGCATGCGGCGAAGTTCCTCTTCACGACCATGTATCAAGCACCATATCCACCTTACGATCCCACAGACAAGAATAGGTGAGCGATCCACTCTAGCTGGACGTATAGCAGAGGCACGACATCCTAGCCAATAACTCGATCATGTCTGATCCTTCCTATGCATCGCAAAATCACACAGCTTCGCGTAAGTGCTTACCGCTCTCCGAGTGAATTTCTCCCATTCACCGCAGGACAGATATGAGACGGTGCTCAAACGATGGCCGATCATCCTCACGAACGTAATCGACAATATCTACCTCCACGATCACGACCTGAGCATCGCGCTCACCGCTGGCGACGTGCCTGCTGCAGACGTTGCACGCGTGGAGGCGCAGATAGCGGAGGGGAAGACCATCATCGAGCGCATCGGCAAGCTCAAGTATGAGATGGCCCGGGATCGCGCTCTCGAGTGAGTCCGGGGATCCTCGGAGCTTCCAGTAGGCTGAGTGGTCGCGACGTGCAGACCCATTCCCGACGACGGCGAGGCCCTAGTGGACACTTACAACACTGAACTTGCACGCCTCGCAGGGGAGGGCAAGGGCACCTGGTTCACCGTTCCATGGCTCTACGCAGAGTACGTCCCCCCGTCGCGACAGTGAGCAACTTGCGGTTCTGAAGCTCGCGCAGATGCTACTTGTTGGTGTCCCGCTCTTATGTTTTGATGAAGAGCCGTTGAAACTCGGACGCTGCGCAGATACCGGCTCATGCGCTCTTACTTCGTGCAGACGACGTACTGGCGTGCGCACGACCCGTTCCTCGCTTCAAAGCAGGACACGTTCAGAGCGAGTTCCAGGGCAATATTCCGTGCGCATGCAACCCTTTCTCGCAAGAATGGAAGTACGTGATGACGGGCTGGTTTCTCAGAGCTCGCGACGACAATGCACGAGTTCGAACGCGACAAGGACACGCTCGACGCCGACCCGGCGAACCTTAATATCTTATTTAAAGAGATGATCCAGATGTGCCTCTGGTGAGCTATGCTCGTAGTTTCACGGTCGCTCGCTCATGCCCAGATTTTTCAGGGGCAACGCAACGGTACGCATCTGATTTGAACACTGGCACACTACTCACTCCGTTTTATAGGACCTTTCCATGCTCACACATATCACACATGAGGATATACAGCACCTGCAGTCGGTCGGGCGCGACGCCCAAGCGGCACGTAAGGAATTTATTTTGAAGGATGACCAGGACAAAGTGTGGGAGCATCTCACGAGTCTCGGGAAGAACGCGGGTACACGAGTCGACTTCATTTTGGACAACGGTGAGTTCCACATTTGAGCGCCAGTTCTGTCCCTTACTATTGTTCATGGCCGTCAAGCCGGATTCGAGGTGGGCCTCCTTTACTCGCGGAGGTACATGTTTTCTGACATTGATATTCCAGCTTTTCACAGACTTCGTCTTCGCTGACTTCCTCGTGACATACACGCCCTACGTCTCCAAAGTGGTTTTCCAGTAAGCCCATTTTCTCCCGGAGGACCTGACTGACGCGCTGCATGTCCAGCCCGAAGCTCATCCCCTGGTTCGTCTCCGACGTCACCCCGCCGGATTTCGCGTCCACGATTACGTCTCTCCTCTCGCCGACATTCTTCCCCCCATCCAACGCGGCGCCCTCCGGTTTGTCCGACGCTCGCGCACACCTACGTGAGATGGTCGAGCGGTGGGCGGCCTATCTGGACTCGGGAGTCTTCGAGCTCGCAGTGCTGCGGGAGACACCTCTGGGTGCATCAAACGTTAAGGTGCGTTTTTCCCCCAACATTCAAATAGAAGGTTGAATGTGCGAGCATACTGCTGCAGGCCGACTTTTGGACGTCGCCATGGCCGTATTGGAACATGCAAGAACTCGCGCCTGAAGTGTTTGAGGGGTTGAAGCACAGCGGGCTGGTTATTTTCAAGGTACGATGCGTGTTTTGCCTTGCGTGACTCTACGGTGTTGACAAGCGTTTCAGGGCGATCTGAAGTGAGTGGACGTCTTGAACAATCCGCAGTTCTTGATGTTGAGTCGCTAACTGTGGCGGCGTGGTGTAGTTTCCGCAAGTACGTGATACTGAACGATTCATCCTCCAATCCCACGCCTACCGCATTGACAGGTTAACGGGGGACGTACAGTGGCCGGCGTCAACGCCATTTGAAACAGCTGTCGGTATGTCGGTCTCCGACTTTCCCTGATTGCTATGTGATGTCTTGACGTTGGCGTATCAGGTCCCTTGGCGGGAGCGTTCCCAATCCTCACTCTGCGCACAAACAAGGCAGACGTGGTGGTTGCCGTCGATGACGAGGTTGCCGCACGTCTGGACGCCAGCGGCGAGAGGTGGCGATTCAACGGAAAGTAAGTTGCCTGGTTCTCCGACGTTGAGACCGTCCGGTGAATTGTTTTGGATGGACAGGTATGCGCTGGTGCTGTTCCTGCCCAAGACTAGAGAGTGATGTGATGTGATACGATTCACGTTGTGAGTTCGCGTGTAGTATGAGTGTATCATTAGAGAAGAGGACAATGTGCTTATGCTGTGTTGATGTAGTCACCTATTCTGCCTGTCAGTAGTCAGAGCTGGCGCTGAAAGTGGGGGTCTTCAGCGTTCGCCTATCGACAGTCGGACATTTCATTTTACTTGTCAATATTTCATCAGTTTGGAGTTGAAACTGAAACCCAATAAATGACAGCAGCTATGCATCATAAAACTTCGTACAGTGCATGTGTCGCTTCGACCAGGACTTGGGGCATCGTCTCCATCAACTGCATGACAATACTAATTGCTCCGGAACTCACGCGTCTCGTTGCGGTGACTACGATCACCTGACGTGTGACTAGACGCGGGGTTTCGATGACGTCTGCCAGTGAGGCGCGCCACCCGGGGTGGTGGCCGCCACCGCTGCATGGACAATGGGGTCCGACAACCAGTGCTTCTTCAGGATATGCCAATACGCGCTAAATCCCACTCCACCTCTTCGCATTACTCCGTGCGTTCACCATCATCGCTGCCTCTGCCAGCACACTCACTTTTGTATTCGCTTAGCCTCTGAAAAATTGCGGTCAGAGCATGTCGACGTCCAGTACAGGCTCTCAGCAAGGAAGGACCTCGCCTGAGGTGCCACTCATCGAGGCAGACGTGTTGAGCAAAACGTCCCCACCAGCACCCGTGTCCTCTACCCCGCGTAGCAGCGGCGCCTCCGTCGCCCTTGCCGAGGGAGTAGACCTCACTGCTATCGGAAAAGGTACGTCTAAACTCACAATGCACTCACCAGTCGGGTCAATATTCACTTCAGAGGTGGGGTTGACTACACAGCGGAAGCGCGCAAGATCATGTCCGAAGAGCACCGCATTCTCCGATTCCGCCCCCCTCAAGGCTCGCTTGCCGCCGAGGCGCAGGCCGCTGCGGCAAAGCACCCCGACGGCAGGCCTGATGCGGCTCCGCCGGATACGCTCAGGCTCAAGGCGCTCGCGCGCAAGGACGCTGAACGCATCCTGTACGGCCATCTCGCGCGGTGTTCTCGCATCCGCTGACCTCCCTTTGTGTTTTAGGGCGGAACGCAAGATGAATACTGAGGGGGCCACGGCGGACGCGGACGGGAAACGCGTCGAGGAGAAACACACCCCTGCCACAGAGGGCGTAAACCTAAGCACCATCAGTGCAGGTGCGTCAACAACCCCCCCCCCCCCCCCCCCTCAGGTATCGCGCAAGCGTTCCTCCCACTGACGACGTCCTGCCGCCAGTGGAAGCGCGAACATTAATGTCGCACGAGCACCGAGCATTGGGCTTCCGCCCGCCACCAGGCTCTATCGCCGCAGAGGCGCAGGCGGCCGCGGCTCGGCACCCCGAAGGCGACGGCGTGGTGGTCGACAAGGAGGTGCTGAAGGAGATCGCGATCAAGGATGCGGAGCGCATAAAGTGAGCTCGCCATTCATCCCTTTCCTTGATCTTTGGATATGCGCTGACGCAACTTCGGGGGAACAGGGCGGACCGCGAGCTCGACATCGTCGGCGAGGCGAACGTTAGCACGTTCGGGCGAGGTCAGTCCTTCACAGTGGGCACTTGCAGTCTGCGATCACACTCATTCCGATTGGGATTAAATCCCAAGCTGGTGCTAGGACTGTTGTTTCCGGCATGACGGGTGTCCTGAGGCACTCCCCAGAAGCATCAGCCGGTTTGTTGGTAGCGGAGGCAGCGTGCGTGCACCCGGAAGGTGCGAACTTCCCTCAGGCGCTGGATGGAGAAGCGCAGCAAGTGGCGGAGGCAGAACAGGGCGAGGCTGAGCTGTCGTGGGAGACAGAAGACTCGTGAGCGGCAGGTTCCTGTAGCTGAATGTCTTTTGCAGGACAAATCTACCGTATCGTAGCGGCGCGAGCGCCATTCCCCGACTCCGACGGGGTGCTCACGGTTTTTGTAAGAGTGAGGGTGTATGATTGGTGGTTATGTAGTACAAGTACAGGCATTTACGGTAGTTACAGCAATGAAAAACTACATGAGCGAGGCATCATCGTTGTCGCTGTCATCCGAGTGGTGTTGGTCAGGCTCGGAATTTGGTCGGAAGACTCCGAGGAGGGGCATGGGCTCGTCCTCGAGGAAGCCGCGGGGCATCGATCCCGGATTGGCGAGAAGGACAATGGATTGGATGTTGAGGGAGATAGTGGTGTCGGCGTTTTCGTCATCGAGTTCAGGGTGGCTCTTGATGTACTTCCCAAGAGTGAAGAGCAGGAGGACGGCAGACTCTGTGGAGAGATCGTCGTGGATTTTGGGAAGCATCGATATGGAGCGCATGGAGAACTTGAAGGGCTTACACCCGTCGAAAGTCGGCACTGCGGGGGGAGTGAGTTAGGGCGCATGTGCAAGAAAGTTGGGGGCGATCTTACCATCTCGATCGGCCGGCAGCACGGGGGGTGGACCTGCAGGGTGCATTAGCGAACATTTTGTAGTGCGAGACGTCACGTACTGCATTGTGCGTTCACCGGGGTGGCGGGAGCCATGCCGCGGATCTTGGTTGGAGTGTTTGAGGTGCCGGTGGTCAACCTTGTCGAGAAGGAGAGGCCGGCATGGAACGACGGGAAGACGAGTGTTCGTCTGTTAAGAATGGCACCCAGGACGGCAGCCGCACATGGCCAGGTGAGTGCTGATGGTGCAACGCAGAGTTGACGGCTGCGACCGCTCGGACTGATCAGGTCGCTGTGAGTAACGGAGCCGACGACAGAGAAGAGCGTGAGATGGGTGCTTGTCTTGAGCTGAAGGTAGTCGGAGGCTCCAATGGTGACAAAGTGGAGTGCTGTGGGGTCTGCAGTCACGAGATTGATGATGTCATTGTTGAAGGTGGGCAAGCTGGCGCCCATCTCGGAGGTTGCCGGCGGAGTTTTCCGTAGTAGATTTTGTACGCTCGCACTGGTCGTCGTATGTTGGGAGAGAATTTTATCGTCGCCGCTGCGCCATCTGTTGCTGCTTGTGCAATAGGTTATGAGCCCTAAGCTCTGACACCCTAGTGTTTGCTTCTTCCTACTGCTCACACACCCTGCTTATTCTCTTGCTGTGCATCCTCGAATCAACCACTAGCAACGACCAGTAGTCACGCTTGCAACTGCATTTCGGCCTACACTCTCGATTTTCAGCAGTTACCTTTGGCTTGTGCGCTCATCTACCAAGCCATCCAATCATTTTCCATTCATTCATATTCCTATTCTATTCTACATTGATTTCGTCAGTGGTCACCATGCCAGAACATAACTCGCACATTCCCAAGCTTGTTGAGGGCAACTACATCGAGTGGAGTGCCCTGATGAAGGCGCATCTGGTCGCTGCAGATTTGTAGGAGGTTGTTGGGCCTGAGGAGGAGGAGCTGGTAGTGAGAGGACTGAAGGGAGTGGCAGCGAAGAAGAAGAAGTGTGAGCAGGTGTACTGGAAGATCTTGATGAACCTCAGTCTCCCAGAGATGGCTTTCGTGTTGGGTTCGGAAAACCCCCGAGAGGCATGGGCTGCACTTGAGGAAACTCATAGGTCAGCATCTATCAACACTATTCCGTCATTGCATTGCTGTTTCTTTGGAGGATGGGAAGGATGAGGCTGTGATGTTGGTGAGGGTTTGGGATGACTCAGGGGAGGTTTTGCATTTGTTTTGGTTTTTCCCTTTTCACTTCCTTACCCTCGATGGGTGCTCACCTTGTGGGAGAGTGTTGAAGGTGGGCAAGCTGGCGCCCATCTTGGAGGTTGCCAGTGGAGTTTTCCATAGTAGATTTTGTACGCTCGTGCTGGTCGTCGTACATTGGGAGAGAATTTTATCGTCGCCGCTGCGCTGTCTGTTGCTGCTTGTGCAATAGTCATGTGCGGTGGCGATCGAGACGTGGTCCAGATGTCTTTGGGGTTGATTAGTAGTATGGCAGAAAAAGCGAGGGCAAATGGACATACTCAGTGATGTTCGAAGGGAATGCCCTCTTGAGATACACGGGTTGCACGAGGACAAACACATTGTTCATGGCACGTGTCACGGCAAGCGTTTCTCTGCAAGAAAGTGTCAGTGTGAGTCACAGCATCAGGAAAACCCCACTTAAATAACTTAAATGGACTTATGGTCCTTATTTAAGGACATAAGGACAAAAAGGGCCTAAGGCATATTCCCTGAGTGTCTGAAATTCGACTTATTTGAACACTTATGGCCTTAAATAAGGGTTCTCAGACCCAAAAGTCTAAATAAGTCCATAAGAGAAAGTTGGGTTTTCCTGATGAGTGGATAATTGCCAAAGGGCGTACCTGAGTTTCGACAGCGACTGGAGCACTTCGGTTCTTGTATATATGGTACAGTTAGCGGAAGTGTCTGTCTGGTGGCAAACAGTGACTCACGGTGTCCTGGTTTTCTCGACGTGCTTTCCTTTGTTGCGGTAGGGCTTACCGGGAGTCTCGTCGGGTCGGTGACTGGCATGAGCATCGTCTGTGGGAGTATCGGATGTGGTGGAGTCGGTGTGTGCTGTTGGTGAGAATCTGCGAAGAACTGTGTGTTGGCTGGTATATGGCGGTGAGTGGGTATGAAGACTTACATGTCATCACTATCTTCGGGCTTCTGCCTTTTTGCGGGTGAAGGCACTGGCGTGGATGGCGACGGATGCCTCGTCTTGCATTTGCTGCCAGTGGTGGTTGCAGGAGCATCAGTGACGGAGGCCATGGTGGCGGTTGTGAGAGGAAATTGGGTGAGGTGGGAGTGGTTGGCAGTGCGACTGTTGGGGCATGTCCGTCGGTGTTCGCTGTCTGGGCGCGGTCGCAAAACGGGGGTGAGAGTGTGGAGGAAATTGCATATGCAGTGCAGGCGCGTGCTTTGCAAGGGGCGAGGTGTGGCCTTGGCATTCGAACGGGAGGTCCGGGTGGTGGTCGATCTAGGCGTAGTTGTGAAGCGTGAGGGAGAGGGTCGAGGTGGCGGTGTGTGCAGCGGGGCCGTGTGTTTTGCAGTGGGCCCGGTGCACTATTAGCATTAGAACAGGAGGTCCGCGTGGTGGTGGCATTGGCGAGAATGCAGGTGGTGGTGGGCGTCGGCGGTTGAGGTGGTGCGGAGAGCGGTCGCGAATGCGCATCCAGTGGGGATGCGCGTTTGGGTCGGGCGAGGTGTGGTGTCGGTATTGCCGCACATTGCGGCCGAGTTGGTAATGGTGGCAGAGAATGTCAGCGACTGTCAGTGTCAGTGGTGGAGATGTCGCCTAGAGCAGTCGTGAAGGTGCACCAAATTTGACGTGCAGCAGTGGCGCATGTCCACAATGAGCTGGGCGCGACGGTGAGATTTGAATCTGATGCGCGAAGGGTTTGTCGTGCGGGGGCAAGCGTCGGTCATTGCGGACAGCTACTTACCTCCACAGGTGTGTTCGTTCTTGCTCGTTCATTGTGTCTTGCTGGCAATTGACACTGGTGTATAACATTTAGTAGAAATCTTGCTGCTTTCGATCGAAATGAATATGGAGGCTCACCTGAGTTCTGACATGATGGCAAAGGTCTTTCAGGATGCGCGTTGTGGTGCATCGGGTTTTTGTTTTTGTGATCGGACTGGATGATGGCTGAATCTTGGTCAGTGAAATTATTCGATGAGTGGACGACATGTACGAAGGCGCCAAATCCGGACATGGGTGCCGATGGACAGGGATTGCAGTTCCTGCTCGAGATGTATGATCAGTTCGAGACGGTCGAGCATTAATTCGATGTTCAGGTCAGTTCCGGCGGGTATTTGTACCTGGTGTGGCGAAGCTCACGCGAGGAGGTTACACTGCGTGTGTCTGGGTTTGTTTCTCAGATGAGTCTTCTCCCGCCTTTCAGGCACTCATTCAGGTTTGTCACTTGTGCACTTCACAAGCTGCTTGCCGATGTGATTGATTGGTATCTAGGCTGCTGAGGGGAAATCTGAATCTCGCTCTGCAGACCGTCGTGATTGCCGGTGAAGGTCCTGCATTCCGGCAAGCCATCACTGCCTGATCAAACATCTTACGTTTCATGGAAATGCATGCACGCCGTAGAATGACATCTGTAATCGATGATGTCTGGCTTGGCGCCATGCCGTGTTTTGTTGCAGAGACACGTGTGCTCACACCTATGGTGGAAGCACCATTGTTTGACAGTGCTGATCTGAACATGGTTATTGACCCTTATGGTGCATTGGCAGAGCTAGTTGCTGGTGGGAGGCTCTCGTGGACATCAGACAATGTGGTGTCATGCATGGAGCTGAAGGGCGAGTATGACGACAGGTATGTCATGATATGAAATCATCTGTCCGCATTGCTTGAGGTAATGTTGTGTTTATGTAGGTGGTCTACTCCTGTGCAGTCACACCTTGACATGGTGCATGCTGGTGAGCTCGTTGAGCTTTTGGTAAACTTTCGGCTTCGTGAGCATGTGAGTCCAAATGGGGCGAACGTGGGTCGCAAGTTTCTTACACGACTTGATGCTGTCATGATCATGAGTCGCTTGAAGATGAAGGTGAGTTGGCATTCACCCGCATTTGTTTGTTATCAGAAAATGACTTCTAGTGGCGGCTATAGCTGATTGCAGACTGCAAGTCAGAGCAGTTGTTGACGATGCATATTGCTGCTGCAGCTGATAACACTGGTGGAGGTAAGGCTCTGAAGAAGAGATGGTTCTCTTACCTCCAGTCTGTGCCTTCTGTTTTAACCAGTACTGAACAACACTTGAATTCACTGACAGTAATGGACAAGACAGATGATGTAGATCAGGTAATGAAGCCAGTGGGATAGTTGCAGTACTGTTACATATAGTCATATGATATAAGATACTGATGGTATGGCTGTCTTTTAAAAATCCAAATGGAAGAACCATCTGAGCATCAAGATGGTGTCGATCGGGTAATGAAATCAGTAAAATAGGTATAGTGTCGTGGTGGCGATAATACAATATTTTGTTGATTCAATTGATTCAATTGAATGAACCATTTGATGTACACACGAGGATGTGCGCCCAGCGTCCGTCGAGCGTAAGGAGTGGTGTAAGGTCATCGGTATCCATTCTGTTTTCATATTGTGGGACACCGTCATTCTGTTGGTCATCGTATATCCATCCTGAGTTGTCAGAGTGGAGGAGACATGCTGTAAAGTGACTAGATCCAAACTATATTACAGCTGCCAATGAGTAGGTGGTCTGCATATTGAATTCCAGATGAAATATGGGAGTGACAACTGTATGTTCCTGTGAAGGATATTCAAAGTATAAGATGGGCAGTGGTGTAATGTTGCTTATATTATGATGAACTTCACTGTCACATTGACATAGTAATCCTCTTGCATGCAGAATGGATGATGTCATGGTCTTACTTAACCAAGTTTGTATAGTTTGAGTTTCAGCAGAGGACTGCATGCCGGTGGACACAATAACAGATGGAATTTGTAGTGTGAGTGGGCATGTTTGATAACAGGCAAGACATTGTATGGTCGTGACTATATTGTTAGTGGTGTTTTTCAATGCACATTCAATTATGCTTGCTGCAGAGGCAAACAGTGGACCATATCTTGGATATTCTGTAGGTGATTGTCTACTAAGAAACTCTCAGAAAAAATCATGTTGCATGTTAAACTGCTCGGCACTGGAGTCTGGGCTCAAATTCTCAAAACAACTGACTAACAGACTAGCAATAGCCGACTGATTCTTCCACATTGCATGCGAAGAAGAGCTCAGTTGAGAGTAGCTGTGATAAAGTGACATAAATGTGGCATCATATGCACATGAGTAGTCTGTGGATGACCATTGGCAACCGTGGTTGTACACGTATGGTGATGAGTCAGAAGGTGGCATTGACATTGATGGCAAAATCTCTGATTCTTCCATTTGTGAGGCTTTCCGTTTGGTTCCTTTTGACTGTGAGCTACTGTCACTAAAGTTGACATGAAATGACTTTGTGGAGATGTCATCTTCACTTTCAGGATTTGGCAAAGATACGAGAGATCCTGTTTTAAAGCCATAGTGAATTAGAGTATTTTGCTCAAGCACTTTAAATTTCTGTGTCTCATGGTATAGGTCAGCAGAAACAGGCTTGTTTAGCTGTTCCAACTTTACTAGCTCTGAGATAAATAAGCCATTTTGTGTGTGTGCTCTCGATGCAGCAATGTAGGCTGCAAAGCCGCCCTCAGTCATATTGTTGAGTACTTTAGGCAGTGTTTTGCCTTGCAACGTGTGGCTGGTGACCGCAAATGCAGGTTGTATGATGAGTTGCAGTCGGGTAACTTGGTACCTTTGTGTATCTCCATTGGCATCTCTAAGTGTAGTTGTAAACTGCCATGTTGTTGGAGCAATAGGCACATAGCCTGAAGGCAAGTCAGGCAGATGTACCTTGCTTGTAGGAAACTCAACTATAACACAATCTGCATATGTGTATCCAACAGGACAGTGTTTAATCGAGATGTGCCTAACTATGCCTTGAGCACCATTGGTGATTCCAAGTTCTGTGGAGATGTTTCGACTGCGTAGTACCACAGGCATGCCTACATATAATGAAATGAATGCTGGGAGGGCACCTTCAGAAGTAAGTGGTGTTACATTGAGCTGCAGAAGTGCATCACAAGTGGATTTCTCAGGTACCTGACCATCAATCTTATCAACCGCTATGCATATTATTAAGCTCAAACCATTGTCTGCATCACAGTTTGCCTGTGCCTTTTCAGTATTAATAACTTGTCGTAGCAGGTTGGTATTGACAATTACTGTAGGATCATCATCATCATCTTTTATTTGAAGGCCATCAAGATGGGTCGCTGACTTAACTACCCATGTATTAAATAGGTCAACATCTCTCATTGTGCATTCACGTGTTCGCAATCTGTTGACTGCATCACTATACTCAGGATCATCTTTCATACGTTGTTGCTCAGTCAACTCTATGACTGCGTTTACTTGCTTCCATGCAAGTCGACCAAGCCTCTTGCTGAGTTCATCTGATGTCTGTCTTGCATATGCTGATATAGGTGTGTATAGCGGTGTGCCACCTACTGGAGGATATTGATAAAAATCTCCCGCAAAAATTATATTAATACCTCCAAACCATACATCTGGTTTTTCTTTGGCATAACGTAATGCATGATCTATCTCAGAGAGTAACTGACAGCTAACCAGTGAGATTTCATCAATAAGTACAAACTCAGCATGCTGCCATTCATCACGCAATACTGTACGATTTTGAACACTAATTGTTACTGTATAGTCCTGTTCACTTTCGCCCAGTCGCCTGTTGCCTTTACCCTTTGTCTTTGATTGTATCTTCAAACCAAGTCCTTTGTGAATTGTTATTCCATTGATTAGGGCAGCAGCAGAGCCAGTAGGTGCAAGAAAATGAGTTTGGTATAAGCAGCCAAAGTATGTCATCAATTCTTTCAAGGCTTTGACAACATGCGTCCTGCCTGTGCCACCGGGACCGGTGAGTAACAAGTACAGTGGTTCCATTACAGTGTCTGATTTGACTACATAGTTTTGAATAAAATGTTTTGCACAAATCTGAAAGGCACATGCCTGCTTAGCATTTAAACTGTAGGATGTCTGAACAGACTGTAGAACTTTCATTGAGGACTGTTCAACTAATGCAATAGTATCACTCATATTTGAGGCTTCTGTGCATGTGGTTAATTGTTCTGGTATTGTAGGTGTCATGTAATACTCAGTGTATGCAGGAGTTTTTTCAAGAGTAAACTGAGAGCTCATGTTGCCAGCATTACGTCTTTTCTGCATTACTTGCATCTCTTGCTCATGTAGGGCTGACTTCCACTTCTGCAACTGCAAGTGGGTTATATTATATTTAACAGTGGATAGTGCAGCTATCTTGTGATAAGTGTTGTGATGGAGCCAATTGCACTGTTCGAGTAAAGAGACAAACTGCTGTATCTTAAAGTCATTGACTGCACTTCATCTATTATGTGATGTAACATCAACATCATCATCTGTGTCTGCTGTAACAGATGAGTACATAGATTTTGTCAAGTGACGTGATTCTGCTAGCAGCATCACTCGCTTGCACAACCGTTCACTGTCTCTTGCATCTTCGCATTCATACGCTGCCTCTCAGTTGTGCATCTTGGTTTTGCTGAACTCACTAAAGTCATATACACTGAAGGTATGCTGAAAGGTGTCACCGTACTCTACAAGTGGAACTGTTGGAACTGTATCACTGAATGGTTTAAAGTGTGCCAGCATAAATATTGCATACCTTTCACTATTTTCACGGCGAGGGATCAGTGTACCAATTGGACGTGGAACACGCTCCATATTAAAGTCAACATGCATTGAACTGAAGTGCTCAACAAGTACATGTGTATCTGCAAGAGGATGTTGTTCCTTTACAGAAAGATGTGGAAGTACACCTAGTCGATCATCTGATGTATGATGGTTATGCTGTGCTGTTTTAGACTCTAATGTGAAGTATCTGCAGAAGTCATAGAAGTTTAAGTAAGAAAGAGTGTCTGGTCTGTAGATGTCATTTTCAATTTGGTTCCATTCGAGTAGCTGTCCATTTTTATTCACTTTAATATTAATAGTACACTCTTCTATGTCATCAGCATCAGAATGATTATCCTCACCACTCTGACCTTCAATTTGCATAGCAAATGAATAATGCTCTTTGACATAAAGCAGTAACAAAATAGATAGCAAGGGCTTTGTAGGATGTGATGAAATACTATTGCCTCTCTTATGTATGTACCAGGCTGCTTGCTGAGAGTGGATCTGTTGTTGATGCAAGAATTGAGCCAAGCACCTATTTAGTAAGATTTTTGTACTGTAACTAGTCAATTGCAAGGATTGGTCATTGCCACTGGGTAAACTTGCTACTGCCTTTGATAACAATGATAGCATCTGATAGGTTTTTAGGTCAACCTTAGTAATATAGTCTGTAATATAAAACATTGCAGCCTTCGCAGCTATATCAAAAAGAATACATTTAATGTCATGATTATGTCTGCAAAAAACCAGAATATATGGATTGTAGTAGTTCACATTTGCATCTTTACACATCAGAATGACAGAGTTAGTGTTACGATCAAAATATGAGCTCTCAACAACCTCATGGGGAAATAAAAATCTGCATTTACCTTTATTGCCATACTTTTCACAGACTTTACGGTGTTGATGATGCTGCAAGACTTCTCCACATTTTTTAATTTCAGTAAGAAACACTGACTCCCATTCATTCAGAATATTGAGTGTCGATTCACCAACAATAGGTGGTTGTGGTGGTCGTTCAATACGAGGTTTGTATGTTGGATCAACTTGCATATCAATATTAGGCAAGTGATGAAATATAATGCTCTCTCAGTATCTGAAAAATCGGCATTTAAACTCATGACTGTCATGCAACCTCGCATGCAAATCAGAAGGATTCAGACCTCCGAGTAGCCATAATACAAAGTGACCATGCAGTGTACCATGCTCAGTACATTTAGGTGTACCATAAAATGCACGCAACTTTCCTAAGATTCCACCTTGCCTTTTGAAGCGTCTCTTAGAAAAATCCCAGCCCAAGAGGTCTTCAAATATAGTGTGTATACAAAAGTAGAAGAAATTGCATGCTGCAACTGGACCTTTGGCCAGCCACAAAGCATGTTCATATGCAGGCACAACTAGTGGAAATCGTTTGGCCAAGTCTACAGTAGTGTCACCATACATGACTTGGAAAATTGGATTATGTGCAGGCGAAGGATTTATGGTCATGTAAATGTGTGGCATGCCAAACTAACTAAAGTAGCTACATATCTCATTTCTG